TTTGGGCGGCGCAAGGGCGATGCGCATATTATTTTTTTTAATCCTCCAATATTTATTCACGCCTTCGGCTCTCGAACAAATTAATTTCGCACACCAGATTAGATATCGAGCAAGGACCCATTGTTATAGAGTGCTTGGCCAATCGTGCAGCATTGTTGCCGCAACAGCACATTAAGGAAAAAAGTTGCCGAGTGTGTACTTTATGAGAAAATGAGCTCCTGGTTGCACTCGGCAGCAGCAATTGTTATCTCGCGGCGGCTTTGCGAAACGGTGAGCATTCATTGTCAAGAGGCCAAATTCATGCCAAAAACGCTCTAATAAACTCAGAATAAATTGCAATCGAATTAGAAAAAAAACCATTGCACAAGAAAGGTAATGAGACGAAAATAAGGTCAACCTAAACATGGTTATACAGTAACCATGAATTTGAAGTTGGAATCAAATGTAATAAATAAGTAGAAATGGGATTTAAAATTTAATATTAATTAAAATTTAATTTAAAAAAGATGGCTTTTTACAATAAGCGATCTATGATTTTCATGATTTTTAACAGATGTTAGTTGTTAATAAATTTTTATTAAAAAGTTCAAGATTTCCTTCTCGCTTTGTTTTTAAAATATTTTATAAAATTAAAAAAAATATTAAAGAAACGTTTCCTATAGATGCAGTCAATAAAAGATAAAAATTTCTCTGTAAATTTTAGCTATAAAGGTTATTAAAAGACCAAACAAATTAAGTCGATGCATCTTTGTTAGTATTTTAATTTCTAATATAGTTTTTAAATAAATGAACAAAATATTTATTTATAGAAGGAAAGATTGGATTTTATTTCAAACGCTCTGGATTATATTTTTCATATTTAGCTTAGGTCATGGACAAAAGCTCCCATTTTCATCCAAACAAATCTTTCAAAAATTCCTGTTCTCTGCTCAATCACTCTATGCATTTCTCGATCTGCGGCTGTCACTTGTCACTTGAACGTCTCTTTTCTTATCTCTACGCATTTTCTTTCCATCTTTATCCCCCTGCGTGACGCCTCAATACACATTTGTCTTCCTCCACCTTTCATGAGAACAAAAATAGTCCTGAGAGGGACAAACGATGCTCGTTAAAAGAAGCATTTTGCAAGAATCCGATATTTTCAAAACTTGTTTACTTTACGCTGCGTGTTCGGAACGTTGGGAAAGAAGGGGAACGGAAAATCGGTCTTGAGCAATTCCCAGATAAATTACATCCACAAACAAGTCACGTGTTAACATTTAACGCAGGGTTAAAAAAAAGTTTGAAAAACTAACAAAACAGTCAAGTTCCAAATTTTAATTGGCACTTCTTGTCAAGAGTAATTATTTTCATTTTTAAGATCATTGAAATTTTTAGGAACATTCGGGAACATTTAATTGGTTTGTAAACTTTAATTACTCAATTTATAGTTTAATTTTCAGTTGCAGAGAACACAGTTAAGTTTAAAGGAAATACAAGTAAAAAAGTGAAACTTAAAAAAGTTCCTGGTAAAAACGCTGGTTTATTAAAATAAAAAATAAATAAAATAGAAATTTACAAACCTAGGATGTGAACCAACACAGAAAACCATTCCGTTTAGAAAATCAAATTTTGTGCCGTGGAATTTTTATAAATCTAATCGATAGGCGGATTTTTATATATTTTTAAATTGCAAAACCGTAGTTTTTACAAATAAAGTATGTGAACCCTGCTTAAGATAAAACCGTTATAATTTTTGAAAATAAAAACTTCATTTTGGTGGAAATAAAACTTCCGATTTTCCCCCCCAAGCCATAGAAGAAGCTCAATTTGGGATTATTATATTATTTCGGATCCACCCCCACACGGGCTATTTAATTTTTTCCGCTCCTCCGACGTGACCTTGGCCAGAGAATGAATTTTTCTTCTGGCAGGTCGGGTTTGTCTGAAGAGGATTGAGAGAGCTGCGGGGCTGCTTTTGATTCACGGCAATCAAAGCGAGGCCTCCCAAGCAGCCCATTCTTTCCCAGCTTGTTCTCACTCCCTGCTCTTCTCTGCCGCGGCTCTCGGGATAGAAAAAACTCCCCTACTCATTATTAAATGGACACACGGGCCCATAAAGATAAAAATTCCATCGAAATTAAGACGCTCTGGGAACAAAATGCACCGCACAAATAGGAAAAATAAATTTATTTGTCTGTTCCCCAGAAAAGCCAATCTGCTCTGAAGGGACAAAAGCTTTTTTTCTGAGAATAAGAATAGTAAAAAGTGCTTGGTTTGTGATATAAAGTCTCTTTTTTCCAGAAAAAGCGATATGTAATTGTTGACTTTTAGGCTTGTTTATTTATTTATTTTATCTTGAATTTAATTTAAAATACAATCCTATTTGTCATTTGTCAGTTTCAATCAAGCCAAAATTATTCCAATGATAGCCCAAGGATTAAGCAAAATAGAAAAATCACCTTTTTTAAATTATATGTATTTAATTAATCAAGTTTGACAATTTATTTAAGCATCATATTTTTTTTTATAAAATTCTCAGATTTTTATCTTTCACATACATGATTAATTGATTGTTTCCAGTGAGTTGTAGTTTAAAATGAATATAAATGCCAACTATATTAGCTTTTAATCCTTTTAAAAATTGATAACATTCTAAACAAAAATTATTTGCGCAATGTAAGAAGCACTTCATTTATTTTCCTAAGTCAATAAAATAATTTAAAGAGCATCTCGATATTAGTCCATAAAAAATATTATAGATAAATTGTCCAATATTCATTTCTTTTTTTTGAGCGATTCTAAAAGTTTTAACGAATAAACAAGAATAAATTATTAGCATCAATATTTGACGTCAAAGCGAAAAAATTCAGATTGGATGATAAATATATTCAGGGAATTTCTCCTTTCTCATTTTGCGGTCTTGATAAGAAATTCAACCGAATTGCATCTCGTCTTTTTTTGAACCGCTGGAGCGGAATAGTGAATTTTATTTCATGCAAATTTCTCTGGCAAACCGCAGCACCAAAACGGTGCTCCGAATAATAAAATTCGATTTGAGAGCAAAAATTAATTTAATTGGCTTTCAGTCTCGGAGGGAAACAGAAAAATGGAAATTGTTATTGAATTTCGAGGTCAAGCGGCGTGTAATTTAGAAAATAATGCGGCGATGATCACGTTTGGTCAACTCGAGAGCAATAAAATATGAGCAGCAGAGATTGCTTCCAATAATTGCTGCTCGTTTGTATTATACCAATAAAAAGAAAATCGCGGCCACCGCTTTCCAATTGCTAGTTGCATTGACCGGCCGCAGAAAAGTTTTGTAATAATTGCTGCTACAAACGCTACTCAATGTCGTACACAACGTTTACCGAGAACACTTGCATTTTTATCCTCTGCTTTCCATTTCCACTTTCAATTCAACTTAATTCACTTCCACCAATTAAATTCACGATTAAATTGTTAATAATTAATAATTATTCTTCAATTATTCTTAAAATTGTTGAAACATATAAAGTAATACTAACAATTGATAAATTCACATTAAGTGAAGCAATTTTAAACATTATATAGAAATAATCGTGATTGCAAGTTCCTATTGAGGAAACGCCAATACAAGATAAATATATCAAAATTAAAATGTCACTGTTAATTAAATAATGTTTAAGATTAATAAATAAATAAATAAAAAGATTTTCCTAAATGTAATCTTATGAAGATTTTGCAATGTTCTTTAGAATATAAAATAAAATTTTAAGTTTTAATAGCCAATTAAATATTTGAATTATCATTTCACCTATTAAAAAAGAAAAATTAAAAAAATAATATATTATAATATAAAAATTTAAAGTTCTGATTGTTTTATGAAAAGATACGACTTCATCATACTTTTTAAAGACAGAGAGGTATTTATAAAGTTTTATTATTTATTTTGTTTTAATTGCAAAAAAAAAATTGAAATTTCTGAATTGGACAAAAATTTAGTTGAAATGTCAAAATATGTACCTAAAATAAAATTAATATTGTTTTCTCACTTTCAATTTAAACTTTTTATTTTTATTCAGATACACTATTTGATATAAATCCAATTTACTTATATGTTAAAGCTTCAAAATTTGGGACACCTGTTGCATTTTGGCTGGTTCTGGAACTATTTTTTTTTTTTTTGATATTCAAATCTCATTTTTCAAAACCACACATTAAGAAGCAATTTCCTCACATATAAAAATTTGGAATACGTCGAATTACGCCTGCGTCGTTCCACTTTTGACCACAAATTAAGGAGCAATTTCCATATAAAACGCAATGATTTTATCAATTTTATATTGATTATGGCCCTCTATTTAAGGAGAAAGTCATTTCTCTCGCAGCGATCGATGAGCCTCGCCGGCGCACGCGAAAAACGCCTCCGAGAGTTAAAAACTTCAATAAAAAAAACCGCCGTTGAATATAATAAAATAATAGCCCAACGACAGAAAACAAAACGCCTTTACATACACATGCGTGCTGTCAGTCGAAACAAAAGATGAGGCATTAAAATTCGCTGCACACGCATCAGAGAAAGATGATGTCAACAGAAAGAAGCTCATAGGAAAAACGTGCACGACGAGTCGAGATTGAATAAAATTGGATGACGTCATTTTAAGGGGTCGTCAGCAAAATTTTAAATAAATTTTATTCACAATTTTTCTATTGCAAATTATTATATAATTTAATGATTTGTTAAAAAAGACTCCCGAGGACTAATTTTTTAGAAAAAAAAAATTAATTGACCTTTGTCTCACGAAAGGACAGGCCAGCACATTTACGCAAAACACATAACAGTTCTTTTTATTTTTTGCTGACAAACAAAAAAAAAATCAGCAATATCAAAATAAAATTTCAGCTTGTTGAAAATTTTTTCTATCTGTTTTAGCAAAATAAACTTTACTTTAACCGTCTTAAATAGTCGAAATTCGACGATTCCATTAATTAAATTTGGCGAAAATTTGGCTGAAAGGCTAAAGTGACCTTTGACGTACCTGTAACGGGGCTGATGAGGGTGTTTAGGGATGATTCAGCTGCCGAGGGGCATCGCGAGTCACAACACTCGCGGCCGTCCAAGAAAACTGCAAAACTGCCAGCTGACTGACGGACTTTCTTTCCGCGCCACGCCCGCGCACTGTCGTCGTCGTCCACCTACAAGCTGCTGTGCCGCAATACTCAAATGCTCCTCTGGTTGCCTAAACTCTCACAGTGCCTGAAATTTTGTGAATTTAAAATAAAGAATAATTATCATTATGTTTGAAATCAATTTTGTAAAATAATAATTGTTAAATTTCGTTATCACGTCTTTCAAATGCATATTTTTTTTAATTGAGAAATAACGAAGACAAATATGAAAATAATAATTTAAAAAAAAAATACAGATTAATAAAAATGGAAAAAGGTTAAATTTGGATAAACAAAGGCTGAAATTAGTAGCAAGCTTACTAATATGAAATTTATACTTATATTTAAATAGGACTGAAATCGATATTATTATATTCACAGACAGTACATTTTATACTTGATTTCTCTCTAGAAAAATATATTTTTTTTTATATCAAAAAATTTAATTCTTTTTATTTATGCAACATTATATTCGATTTTTAATTAGTGGTATATGATTCAGAGTGGCGCGGTTTTGTTTAAAGAAATCAAAGAATTTGTATTCATTTGTTAAAAAATGGTGTGAGTTTTATTGTTACTTGCTCGGACGGCGCTTTATGAGGGATGATTGTCTCGTTGGATATATATAACCACAGTATATAATTATTACATGGTAAAAACTACTTAATCAACAAATACACATAATTAAAAAAGCCAAGTCTTAATGAGTAAATTTGTCTTGAGCGGCGCACAAGTTGGTTTTAAATTTTCTTTTGGAAACTATTTATAATTATATGAAGAGTTTGGGCTCGCTCGCTTGGTCTGAGGGTCAAATCACAGCAGTCTTATCAATAAGAGGCTCTCCTTCTCTTTGCTCTATCATCAAATGAGTCTCTCCTCTGGCGGTGGCTTCAGCACGTGGTCCAGTTCGAGGCGCGGATTGCAGTACTCCTGCTGCGAGGGGCTGTAGGTGCCCCTGGTGGCGCGTTTCTTGCGTGCCAGGGACACGAAGATGGCCAGGGCCACCACGCCCACCAGCACCAGGATGCACACAATGGGCACGATGATCAGTGCAATGTCCACACCCTGGCCTTCCGATTCACCTTCCATACTCTGAAAGCAAAATAGAAAGTTAAGAAAATAACAAATTTTTTGCAATATTTCCATTTTGGAAATATAAATTAAAAGAAATTTTGAAAAAGAATTCGTGATTTATTGCAAAATCAATCAGAATAATAAATTTTATTTGTCATTTTTTTTCTTTTTTAAAATTCTTCACCATTTAAAAATTTAAATTTTATTTTTAAATAAAATTTTTAATCTCTTCCTCAAAAATTTTAAATTAATGAATTTTTGTTGGAATAAATAGTTTTAGAAATAAATTATTTGAAACTTATTTTGTTTCTCCTACATTTAAAACAATAAAAGTTCACCCACATTTTCACATAAAGGTCCTGTCCACTCTGGAGGACAAGTGCAAGAGAAATCCTCTTTGATGCTGCAATCTGGTTTGCAAGTGCCCCCATTTTGGCATGAAGTTTCAGTGCACCGGTTGGTCAAGTTGCAGGAAATTCCACAAAAGTTGCTGTCTGTGCAGACACACTCGAAGTTTCCTAACAGGTTGATGCAGGTGCCCTGACCACATAAGTTCGTAGCGTCCACACACTCGTCAATGTCTTCCTGGCACTTTGTTCCAGAAAACCTATCAGATTTAAAGATATAAAAATACAATTGAATCAAGAAATAAAACTGACCCTGTGCCGGTGCAGTCGCAGGAATAGGTGGCTGGGAGGTCAAGGCACTGCCCGCCATGCAGACAAGGGTTGGACAGACACTCGTTGATTTCCAATTCGCAGAACCTTCCTTCGTAGCCAGGTGGGCATACGCACTTTGGTGTAAGGGCATCGCAAACTGCTCCATTTGAGCACGGAATTGACTCGCAGAAGGCTATCTTGCAGTGCACCCCTTCAAACCCTTCTCGGCACTCGCAAGTGAAGTTGTCTCCAGACTTCGGGTCTATAAAAATACAGCAAATTCAAAGTTATTAGTAATTAATTAATTAATTATTAATTTTGGTGAAAGAAACTAATTGACAAAAATATTTGAAGAAAAATTAAGTTCATTTTCGTAAAAAAAAGAGATTGAAAAATGAGAAAGCCCAATTTTAAATTACATTTTGAAACTAAAAATTTGTAATAGAGGAAACTGAACTCTTACTTGGAACATCAATGCATTTGGCCTTGTTGAAGCAAGGTGCGTTTTCACAGGTGACCCTACGCGGACTCTCGCAGCGGTCTCCAACAAATTCCTCTGGACAGTCGCATTTGAAGGCAGCCAACAGGTCATGGCACGTCCCGTTGTTCTCGCACGGAGAACTCTCGCACTCATTAGTTTCAAATTCGCAACTGAAAAAAAAATAAAAAAAAAAAATAATGGTCTTGTTTAATTTGATAAATTTACCAAAAATTTTTGGCAAAAAATTAAAAATAAAATAAAATGGCCTTACTGAATGCCCTCGTATCCTGGTTGGCACAGACAGGTGTAGTTAGCAATGCCGTCAACGCAGGTTGAGTTGTTGACGCACAGGTTTTGGGCGCACTCATCGATGTTGATGTCGCAGGTGCGGCCGCTGAAGCCGTCAGGGCAGGCACACTCATAAGAGTCTTCGGGATTGCGGCAACTCGCGCCGTTTTCACACTCGTCCTCAAAACAAAGGGCGCAGTCCAGTTGGGGTGCAGCGGTGGAGGCGAGATTCCAATGCCTTGATTTGTCTGTTTCCTTTATCTAAAAAAATAAAACAAACAAAAATGGTTAAAAAAAATTTACATGTAACAACTTATTTCCGAGTTAAATTTTCATTATTTTATAAAAAAAGTTCAATATTTTCAAATGTTTTAAATTGAAATTACTGTTCACTGACCTGATCAGGTGTGAAAAATGGTGCAAGAACGCCAGCAACCTTGACGGTGGCTAAACATCCTCTGTAGGACCTGGCGACCTCCAGCTTGCCGGAGCGCATGAGTTGGGTGATGGCTTCGGTGGGGGCGAGAGCCTCATCGGAATCAACCCCGTCTTCCACGCTGGCAATCAGGTGACCCAGAGCGTCCGTGCGGAGGGACACTCGCGTCCAGTTACCCGGCTCGAGCAACTCGCGCTTCCATGACCACGTCCAGTTGGCTACGGTGGCGGCTACATGCACCACCGAGCCGCCGTCGCTGACCGAAAAAACGAGTGAGTCGCCGTCATAGTTCGGGCCCTCAGGGCCGCGAATCGCCAACAACTCACCGTCAAAAGCCGATCGGAATTCAACAGACGCCTAAGGTAAAAAATATTTCTCAAATTAAATGAAAAAAGAGAAAAAAATGATCTTTATTTCATCAAAATGATGGTTAAGGATAAATTTATAAAAAAAAGTCGAGGAAGATAAATCTTGAAAAGCAAAAGAAAAAATATTCACCTTAGTTGGACCCCACCACAGGTCAGTTCGTTGCGGAGGCTTGAAGATCAAAGGTGGATGGCGGCCGTCGAAGGTGGCTTTGGCCACACACTCGAACCCTGCGTCCACGTCGACGCATTGTGTGTGCGCGGGACAGTTGTTCAGTCTGCAGAACTCCATCTCCAGACAGGTCTTGCCCTTGTAGCCTACCTGGCACTTGCACTCAAAGTCGTTCCAGGTGACGCGGCATTCACCTCCGTTGGCGCACGGTGAATCGCGACACGCGTCGTCCGAAACGACTCCGGCCAGCACGGCCAGTGGTTCGAACATCACCTCTCCGAACGGTGCAGGGACCTTCAAATTTTCAATTTGAACCTAATTTGTAATCATATGGCGGCGAACATATTTTAGATACACATTTCTTGGCAAGGGTAATCCGATCTAATCCCAAAAATATTTAATTTCATATTCTACTTCCAATGAAAATTAGATTAAAAATAAATCTATATTTATTTTTATAATAATGGGGGGCTACGACAACGACTTCCGATCGACTACACTCAGAACGAACATTCTACGATCAAGTGTCCCCTGGAGCTGGACGAAGGCGACGTTCAGTACCAAGAGTTGTCGACCACGCCACTAGCAATCCAACATGGCTCACCAACCTGCTCAAAACGGCCCTTTTCAGGGCCAACCCTCGATTTTATACTGGAATGCAGGAGGTTATTCGAAAACCAAATATGCTGAGCTCTCAAAAATAATCTTCACTGAACAAATTGATATCTTTTGTGTCTCAGAGGCTGGAAAAATTGCAGAAGAGACAACTACTAATCGCCAGGACCTGAATCTGCCAGGCTACACCATTCACATTCTCGAGAGAGGGCGCAAAGTTGCCTCAGGAATAATAGTCGGTGTGAAAAGCAATCTCGTCTCCACCTTCACGGTTCTACATAGAATAAAGGATGACGACCCCGACAAAATCGAAATTGCCTCTCTGGAAGTCTGGAAAAATAGGGTCAAATCAACAATATACATGGTTTACAACCCTCCAAATAATATTCCACACTCACTCAATAGTATCCAGTTTGACAAGCACTCCCTTTTTGTAGGCGACTTCAACGCCCCCCACAGAGACTGGGGCTACTCAACTACAAATAACGTGGGGCGGCACATTGAGGAGTTTGTGCTGTCAAACACCCTTGCCATCCTAGACCCCGAGGGCGAAGATGCGTCCACGTTCTTGTCCTCGGACGGCTCCCGCACTTCGAGACCTGACCTCGTCATCGCACATGTCAATCTCGTTGATCAACTACTTCAACATAACCTGAGCTGCCCATCAGGGCATGGACACAGAATTATAAAAGTTACTCCAAGTCTCTCTGCAAAAACAAAAATGACAAAAACAAAGCGCTGGAATTTCAAGAAAGCGGACTGGGACCTGTTCAACCAAACGCTGGAGAAAATTGTCTCGGACACCGTGTGGACAGGAAAAACTAACCCAGATGAAAAACTCTTTGTGAAAGCCATCCAAGATGCCGCTGCCAAATCGATTCCTCGAGGCAGGGCCCAAGAGTTCAAACCTTTCTGGAACAGTAAACTCGAAAACCTCGCAAACGAAAGAAACAGCCTCCGGGATATCACGGACAAAATTAAATCCAGAGAAGCTGCAGACAGGCTTAAAGCAGCACAAAAGAATCTTACTGACGAGATAGCAGCAGCCAAAGAATCCAAATTCAGAGACTTCCTCAGCAAAATGGACTACAGAGAGGATGCTATTAAAGCTCACAGATATTTCTCTCGTCTCTGCGGAAAAGCTGCGACTGACACAAAAAAAAACTCACCTCTTGAGTACAATGGCAAGCTGAAAATCACCCCACAGGAAAAGGCAGAAGCCCTGGCCAACCACTTCAAGGCAGCCTGCTCCTCATCTGGCAGTAACAACAATAAAAGAAGTCTCCACTATAAAAATAAAAATGACATGTACAATCGCCCCTTCTGCTTGGCGGAGCTGGAACTGGCAATCAAACTGCTCGACACTGGGAAGTCCCCAGGAGAGGACAACATTCACCCCGAATTTCTCAAGCATATGGGACCTGGTGCGAAAGCAGCTCTGCTGGTACATATTAACAACACCTGGCGGACAGATATTCCGAATAGCTGGAAGACGGCCAACATTGCACCTCTTCTAAAGAAAGACAAAGACCCAAGCAAATCCTCCAGCTATAGACCTGTTGCCCTTACCAGTGTCCTAGCCAAAGTGGCCGAGCGAATGGTATGCACAAGGCTCGAGAGTTTCTGTCAGGAGAACAACATCATTGCTGCCGAACAAGCGAGCTACCAGAAAAATAAAAGCACAATGGACCAAGTCTTGTACTTCTGCCAGAGTACCAAAGAAGGCTTTGCGAATCAACAGAGCACCGTAGCCACCTCCATCGACCTGACGGGGGCCTTTGACTGTGTAAACAGAAGACTGCTCATAAAGCAACTGAGGAAACTGGGAGTACCAAATAATATTACTCGGTGGATAAAAAACTTCATCATGGAACGGCGGATCCGAGTAGTTTTTGATGGCGCTCGCAGCAGAGTGAAGACAACCACAGCAGGAGTTGCTCAGGGCACCATTCTTGCCCCCCTGCTCTTCATTCTTGCTACCAATAATCTTGCCAAGCTGATGAGGAAAATTCCAAGCCTAAATTTCACAGTCTATGCTGACGACTACCTCTTGTGGATTACTGGAAAAAATCTGCCAGTTCTGGAACAAAAAATGAACAGGGCCCTTAGCATTGCCCACAGTTGGTTCAAGAGACACCACTTCAAACCAAACCCTAGTAAAACCCACTACTGCTACTTCAGCAGAAGCAGAGCGAATTTCTCCTTCGACCTTCGAATGGATGGAGTACGGATTGGGGAGGAGCCCCTCCTCAAGTACCTCGGAGTACTCCTCGATAAAACGTTGACCGGAAAAGATCATCTGGAAGCAGCTGCAGAGAAAGGAAAAAGTCGCCTTCGACTTCTGCAAAGAGCAGCTGGAGTGAGCTGGGGAGCCTCTGTCTCAACCCTCACGCTTACCTACAAAACCTACATCCGTCCTGTGCTGGAATATGGCACAGAAATCTTCATTACGGCCTCTGACAAGGACTTTTCCCTTGTCAGCAAAATTCAAAATCAGGCACTCCGCCTTTGTTCCGGCGCCATAAAAACGACGCCCATTGATGCCATGGAGGCCTGGTGCAAGGTCGAACCTCTTCAACAGAGACGGGATTTGCGCGCCATCATCCTACACGAAAAGATGATTCGATTACATCAAGGGTACTGGAACACATGTCCTGCAACAACCACTAAGGCGCATACCTCTTTCATTCAGCAAGTCATGACCTTAAAGGAAGTCTATTGCCCGGAGCTCAACTACATCAGTCGGATTGATTTCGACACGGGCTGGGCTACAAGGCTTCTGGAAGTTAACCTTTCTGCTGTCCAACCTCCCCGCCTACATATCGACGGACTTTCCAACAAGGAGGATGACGTGGACAAAAAAAAGAGACTCGCCCTCACACACATTCAAAATCACTTTCCTTGGTCCATCTGGACTCACATCTTTACAGACGGGTCGAGAAATAATACAAAGAAGTCTGTTGGCTGCGGCATCTACAGCCTCCTCTTCGAAGAGCATCACCCGCTGGACCCAAACGCCACCCACTTTGAAGCTGAGGCAATGGCCATCGTCTTGGCTGTTGAAAAAGTGGCGTCCGTAGAACTGAAAGGCATGAAGAAGAACATCGTCATCCTCAGCGACAGCCAATCCGCCATACATTTCCTATCAAACATCTCAAATACTAGCAACATCTCTCTTCGTTACAAAAAAGCCATTGAAACTCTTTCTAACAAAAATTTTCTAGTCACTCTACAGTGGATTCCTAGCCACTGCAAAATTTTAGGAAACGAGAAGGCTGACTACCTCGCCAAACTTGGAGCCAACAAAGTCCCTCCTCCACCTAGGGGCTCTGACTTCAAGAACACAAAGGCCGTCATCAAGAGTGGCGTGAACGAGGTATGGAAATCAAACACAGCCTCAACCTCTAGTCATAAAAACTGGTGGGAAGCTGCCAACAAAGGACCCAACAGAAAATGGAGCCGAAAAGTATCCACAGCCAACTTCAGGCTTACCACTGGACACGATGTCCTGCAGCACCACCTCAATCGTTTTAACATAGTAAAAGAGCCAGCAACCTGCAAATTATGTGGATTAGAACCTCAAGACAAAGAGCACCTATTTAGGTGCCCCGAACTTAAGTTAGATGTCGACGCATTACCTGACCATTGGAGCAGGATAGAAAAAGAAGCCCATGTCTACTGGATAGCTAGGAAGAAGAATGACTTAAAACTCAAACCTTCGGCATAAGAAGAAAAAAAAAAAAAAAAAATCTAATATGAACCTCCACCTTATTAACTTGCGTATACTAATAAATCTGACATAAAATTCCTTGCTGTATGTCACGAAAAATCTACTATATTAATTTAGTTAAAGCGTAATTGAACCATTCCAAAGTTTTTGTAATTATAAATAAGTGAAATTACCTGAGTCACATTCAAAGGGTAGAATTCAACAGCAAGGGTATAAGAGCCGTTGGAGAGCTGAACGTCCTGCAGGATGCCCTTGAAAGGGACAGGCAGGGCCCCTGACGAGGCGTCGACCAGGGCAGCGGGGGTCAAAGCCTGCCGAACTGTGCGGACCGATTCGGTCGAAGGTGCGTCTGGAGGCGGTTTTCCACCCAGATAGAGGAGGGGCGCGTTCAGGTTGGCCCCGAACGGGTATGTCTTGCGCAAGTACTCGGTGCCGTTGATGCGGACGGTCACCAGAGTCAAGTTCCGCACAACCTCGATCAGATGGAGGTGACCGTCATCCAATCGAGTGCCACCAACGTGGTAGCTCTCGCTGTTGTTCAGGTTGACGTGGACGGACAGTTCACCCTTCTCCAGTTGAGCCCAAATCACCTGGTTTATAAATGAGTAAGATTTAAACTTTCCATAAAAAAAAGCCTGGATCCCAAACTTTTTTTAATTTATAATTTCATGATATTACAGGTAAATCGAGGTAACCAAACAGGAGTAAAAAATAAATTCAAAGGTTGTAAAAAATAATTGAATTAAAATTTTTTTAACCAAAATCAAAATGAAAAAAATCATCAAAATTTTATTTAATCTTTTATATAAAATTTTCAATAAATATCTTTAGATAATTAGTAAATAGCTGGTAAATAGTAATTTTATTAATAGTAAAATACTTACTGTGTCACTGTCGACGGCACCCAAGTGGAAAAGAACACCATCTGGCTTTCTGGTTCGGACAAACATTGAGATAGCAACCACCTGTCGAAGGCTTCGTCTCGACTCATCACTGGCCTGGACAGTCACAAATCCCTCAGGAGCTTTCTCATGGCCAAATGTGGCCGCAATCATCTCTGCAACATTATTTTTCATTTAATAAATGAACAGAGAATTAAAAGTAACTGGCATGAAATAAATAAATAAATTAACGTGACAATCATTGCATATAACTAATTATCGAATAATCTGAATTTATTTTATTTTCTATGGGCCAAACTGGGTTATTGTTTGAATTTAAAAACACACCATATTGGCAGGTGCGTCCAAGTCTAGGTCGTTGACAGGCACACGAGAAGGTTGTCCACAGGTCAGTACAAGTGCCTCCAGCTTGGCAGGGGTTTGGAATGCACTTTTCTTCACGTGTGCAACCTGCCTCAACGCCATAGTAGTTGGTTTGGGCAACGTCACCCTGATCCTCGTCCACCAGTGCAGCACTTGCCCCCGGAGGCGGCAGAACCCACTTTCCGTTAACCACCACATCCTCCATGCAGCCAACAAAATTTGCCCTGCGGAAGGAAGAGCCTCCCAACCTGAGATTTTAAAATAAGTTAACACCAAAGAAAGGAGAACCAGATTCCAATGTTAACCTTGTGTTGCTGAAGACGTTTGAGGTGGCGTTTTCACTCCACTGAATGGGGTAGATACTCTGCTCGTCTAGGGCAGACAAAACTACGTGGCTCGAGTTTATAGAGAGAAAAACGTGTTTCCAGTTGCCGTCATTCAGGTCTGATCCAATGAAAACTCCGTCAATTCGGTTCAACAAATCTGTGTCCAAGTTGAGTCGGCCGGACACCAGTTCCAGGAAGAAAAGGCTTGGTGACCTGAGAGAAGGAGTTTTAGTTTGGTGCTTAATTTTTTTTTTAATATTTAGGTATTATATTGTTATTTACTAATAATTTTATATATTTGCAGCATTAAAAAAGTTTCCATCAAAATATACTTAACATAGTTATTAAAATATTAAACTTATCCTTATAACTTATAAAGATAGAAGAACTAAAACTATACTGACCCTGTGCCAGCTACAAGCTGTCCGCTGTTGAGGGTCGTTCTGAAGCGGAAATGGATGTCGTAACCCTCTTCACGAGCAGTGGGCACCAGAACATAGCTTGTGTTGCTCACAAAGGACAGGGTGGTGGCTCTACTGCACGTCCTGCCATGGAAACCCTTGGGACAGGTGCAGTTAAAGCGGTGGTCGGTCTCGCCCTGCAGCCATGCGTGGCAGGTGCCGTTGTTTTTGCACTGCTCTGTCCCCTCCTGGCTTACGCACCCTGTCAACTTGACGCTGCAGTTGCGGCCGCCATACCCGTCAAAGCACTCACACATGTAATCCGCCTATGAAAAAAATTCAAAATGACAGTTCAATAACAATATTGAAAATAAAAAAAAATAAAAAAATGATCTTAAGAATAAGAAGCTTTTAAACAAAAATTTTATATTTATATATCATTCGTTGTATCATGTTTTTTTTTTTTACAAAGCTGAATCTTACCTGCAAATCTCTGCAAGTTCCGTGTTCGCACGGATCCGGTTCGCACTCATTGACGTCCGTCTCGCAGTGTATGCCCGAGAAGCCCTTTTCACACTTGCACTCATACGCGTTCAGCAAGTCCTGACACGTGCCATGCTGACACGGCGACGAGGCGCACTCGTCAATGTTGACCTGACACGTGTCGCCTGAGGTGCCCGCTGGGCAAAAACAGACGAAACCAGCCGCGTTTTCAAAAGAAAACTCGGCCGGCAGCAAGTAAGCAAGCGGGTTTGAGGGCGAGTACAAGGACTGGTCTGACAATTCGAGGCAAGTGCCGTTGTACTGACACGGTGATGGCTCACACTCTTTAAAGTCGATTTCGCACCTTGTGCCAATGTAACCTGCGTGGCACGTGCAATTGAAGCCGTTCACCTGCATTGCGAAAAAGAACAAAAAACAAAATTTATCACTTTCGTCTAAAAAATTGAGACGTTTGAAAAAATTGGTTTGTCATTAAAAATTCGAGGTCATCAACTATAAAATAAATTTTTTTTTAAAGAAAGATGGTTTCTTATAAAAAAAAACTGAAAAGTGAAAAACCCAAATACTGGCTTACAATTATTTTAATTAAAAAGGAAAAATTGTAATACTTTTAGGCACTATTCAAGCCTAATTTAGTCAGAATCGCTATTTAAAATTAAAATAGAACTCTTACCTTGTCCACACACGTAGCTCCATTCATGCAAGTGTCGGGAAGACAATCATTTATGTTGTTTTCACACAAAGGCCCCTCAAAACCAGTTCCAGCACAATCACAGTCGAACCGATTGATTCCATCCACACACAGTCCCCCGTTTTGACAGGGATCAGATTTGCAGTCGTCGATGTTTGTCTCACACAAAGGACCCTCTATGCCCTCAGGGCAAATGCAGGTCACCGAAGCCACACCATCAATGCAAGACCCTCCATTCTGACAAGGAGAAGACACACAATCGTCGATGTTCGTCTCACAGTCCTTGCCTGAAAATTCATTGATTACTCTAAATTCAATTAAAATTTATTTCAACATACCTGTGTAGCCTATCTGGCAGGTGCAGTTGTACCCATTAACCATGTTGGTGCAAGAGGCGCCGTTTTTGCAAGGGTGGGAGAGACATTCGTCAAAGTCGAGGTCGCAATGCGTCCCAGAAAAGCCGGGACGACAGTAGCAGTCATATCCACCTTGAATTTTAAATACTTTTAATCAAGGCGAAAAATTGGGGAAACTGAAAATCTACCAGGACGGTCAACGCAGATTCCATTGTTACAGATGTTGGCGGTGCGATTGCATTCATCCACATTGTCCATGCACAAAGGTCCTGTCCAGCCTTCTGTGCAAACGCAGGTGTAGTTGGTTACGCCGTCGCGGCAGCTGGCTCCATTGGCACACCTGAAGACATTCCAGCCAGATTTAGATTTAGAGAACATTTAAATTAACTTTTGAGAATTTAAAACCCAAAGAAACCACTCAAAATGGGAAATAATTAAATTAGTAACTCACAAGTTTCTAATTTAATTTAAATTATTTCTTGATTAAAATAATAAAGCAAAAATTAAAATAATCCAAAATGAAAAATATTGTTTTCAGAGTAAGTGACAACAATCCATTCATCCAAAGTAAGATTAAAAATTCCAAAATTTTGTGATTGTAAAAAAATTTTAAAATAAAAATTATTCTAATTAAAGTAATATCAACGGAAAGAAATTTTTACCTGTGGTCAACGCAGTGGTCCATGTCCTCAGTACAGTTGGGGCCTCTGAAGCCCTCCGGACAGCGGCACTCGTGTCCATTGACAAGGTCGACGCAGACTTTGCCGTCCTCGCACTGCCTACCCTGGCAGTCGTCAACGTTGCTCTCGCACTGCAGACCTTCAAAGCCGGCGGGACACTCGCAGTAATACCCACCGCTGTCCTTGTCTTTGCACGAGCCGCCGTTCTGACACGTGCAGTCGGGTTCAAGGTCAATGGCCCTGTCGCAGCGGTCGCCGCTCCAGCCGTCCGAGCAGCCGCAGCTGCCGTCCGGGAGGCACGAGCCGCCGTTCAGGCAGCTGCACTTCTCGACGCGACTCTCGCACTGCGCCCCTGCAACCAGACGGGGCGTCAGCTTGGCGCAAAAAGAAAGAACCTCCACCAACACAGAGCAAATCAAGCACATGAAAAGCGACGTGCGTGGAAGGGTCGGGGGTTAGTCGGGGTGGCGTGGTCTTGACACACAAGTGTGAGTGCTTTCTTTGGTTAACATGAAGAGAGAAATAGAATAATGATTATTGAGAATGGTAAGAATGGGCCCTCGAGAGGAGCAACTGGATAATAAAGGGGCACCTGTGAAGTTGGGAAGGCAGTGGCACTTGTAGGGTGTGGCTGTGCTCGAATCGCAGATGCCTTCGTTCAGGCACGGCTCCGACTGACACGCGTTCTCCACCTCAGTGCAGGACGGGCCGCTGAAACCGGCGGCGCAGGCACACACAAATCCGTCCGTCTGAAATTTCCAGGGAAAAAATTAAAAAAGATACACTTTTTACAATTGGACAAAATGCTATTTAATAAAAGGTTCAAATTTGGGGTTTGAAAATTTTGATTTACTACTTTTCTCTCATTTTCAATTTACAAAATTCAGCTTATAGTTTGAATTGCAAAATACAATGAAAAATAAGACAAAAAATAATATTTTCTTTAGCTTAAAAAAATTTAGCGATAATTAAGTGTTTTTTCTTGGCGCCGTTTGTTTGGCAAAAGCTTTAACAAAATGAGCACTGTAAAATTTTCTGAGATGTTCAACAGGAGAAGAGGTACTAAAAAAAAAAGAATAACTGACCGTGTCATGACAAGTGGCGCCGTTGAGGCAGGGTTCCGAAGTGCAGTCACGCGAAAACTCGCAGAAAGGCCCTGTCGCTCTCGAGGGGCAGCGACACCCTTCTGAGGTGCAAGTGCCACCGTTGAGACACACCCTGATTTCGCACTCGGCGATCTGGCACATTTCGCCAAGGAAACCAGGGGGGCAGGTGCACTTGAAGGAGCCACCCGCCTCGCGACACGTGCCGCCGTTTCTGCAAGGCGACGATGAACAGGGCGGCGCGCACCCTGCAACACCAGGGGCGCAGATGCACTCAAAGCCGCCCAACTTGTCGACGCACTCGGCCTCTTCGCCACATGGGTTGGAACTGCACTCATTTACATTCTGATAACAAAAAACAAATTGAATTGGAAATTTTTTTAAACATATTGAAGATCAAATGTTCAAGTTATGTATTAAATTATTATTTTAGAATTTTTCAAGCCAAATTGATTTTTTTACCTGTTCACAGTTTTGTCCGCCAAAGCCAGGTCTGCAGTGACACACGTAGCCGCCGTACGTGTCGAAACAAGTGCCGCCATTGAGGCATGGCTTTATGTGGTCGCATTCATCCACGTTCTGCTCACACCGTTCACCCTCATATCTGCAAAAAAGAATGGCAAATTTCTGAATGCGCTTCCAAAATTACAGTGAAAACGCGATCTGAAGGCCTAAAAAAACAATTGTTTATAATAATTTTAGTTTTTTGGTTGCATTTATGCTCACAAATAGTCCTACAGATAAAAACTTGTTTTAGCAATATAATGGAAAACAAAATTAAAATATTCCGGGTGGAAAAAAAATAAAAAAACGAAGTTTTTAACAATACAAAGGTCATCTAAAAATTGACGTTTATCAGTGAAAAGATTTTGTCAGGGATCGTTTTAGTCATTTAATCAAAGTACAATCAAAATAAAACCATCTTATGATAAGCAGTTTGCTTCATTTAAAATATTGAATTGAAATTATTGAAGAAAAAAATAATTGATTGCACGTGCCACTATCTATTTGAGCACGCAAGCGACAAAAAAAATTCTGAATAGGTTTGTTGGCCTCTATCTATTGCTTAGTGTTCCAAACGAGTGGAGAAACAAAGAAAAAACTGCACTGACCCTGTGTGGTCGCAGCGGCACTTGAAGCCGGCGGTCGGGTGCTCCTCGCAGGTGCCGCCGTTGAGGCACGTGTCTGGTGGACACGGCGAGACGCGCACCTCGCACTCAGCGCCGCTGTAGCCCTCGGGACAAACGCACTGGACGCCTCCGGCCAAGTCGGCGCCGCACGAACCGCCGTTCAGACACAACAACGTGTCGCACGAACGCAATTCGCACAGCCGGCCCAGCCGACCCTCCGAACAGTGGCACGTGAAGGTGCCGTTCGGACGGTCTATGCACGCCGCTCCCTCGCCGCAAGGGTTGCCACCCTTTCCGAAACACTGCGAACCTGAAAACGGCGGGTTGTTGCAAAGAGCACTTTGATTGCAAATCAAAATAAAATGACACGTATTTAAAATTTTAAACATCTATTAAAAGTACGGTTGTAAAATTATTGCACTGCCATTCTTTTTTACCTGCACATTACCCTCATAATATTAGGCTGAATTTTTTAAATTTTGGACAAAAAAATGTGATTCAGTTTCTCTTCAAATTCTTATATTTCAGATAAAAATTAAGTTTTCATTCATTTATGAAAATAAACAGATGAAATGGTTCAAATTAGATTAATTTACCTGAAAATTGCATAAAATTGCTCCAACTCAATCATACAATAATTAATTTAAATGCCGTTTAAAGTCTAAAAAAAATTCCTCGTAAATTTTTTTTAGATTTAATTTTCATTTCTAATGCTGCTATAATTAACGTAAAAAAATCAAATTGTATTAGGCTCAATCCAATCCAAAGATTTTAAGAATTGAAAATAGAAAGCTGAAGAGACTTTGAGGGCATGAAATTCAATCGTCAACTTTGTGTGCATTGACAAAAATTGGCTTGGCTGCAAATAATTCTGGTCGAAAGTTGCCTGAAGTACAGTAAGTGCCGGTGTGGATTGCTTCTTTTTATTCTCTCTCTCTCTCTCTCTCTCTCTCTCTCTCTCTCTCTCTCTCTCTCTCTCTCTCTCTCTCTCTCTCTCTCTCTCTTTTGCGTGTGTAACACACTTTCGCGAGCATATAATCCCCGTTCCCACCGAAGCCCTGCAACTTCATTTATGCAACCGGCGCGTCAGACTGATTGCAAGAAAAATTCTCCGATACCAAAAGTGGCGACGCGAGCAAATTCCAAAAAAAAAAAAAAATCAAATATAAGCCGCTCAAACTATTTGGAACTTGCTTCATGTAATCGCCAAATTGCCAGGGCTAATTGCCCTGAAATAGAAGCACATCGACCCGGCACACAACTATTTTCCGCCGAGACTGTGAAATCGATCGGCCGCGTCATTAAACAGCTCGGCACAGAAAATAACGCGACTTGCACGCTCAGCCGAATAGAAAATTGGTTGCATTGCCATAAAAGAGGCCAGGAAAAAATAAGACGAATCTGATCAAACAGAATAGACAAAATTTTCATACGAAAAAAAAGATATAAATTCAGAAATTCACCCTCAAAAAAAAATCTGTTAAATCGGCGTTGAATTTTCCTCAAAAATATTTCCACTATCAAAAAGCGCCATGGAGGGTAATAAATTCCTAAAAATGGAATTTTCTTTATCTATACAGCTTTTTTAAGCTCCAATAAGGAAATAAATTTATTTAAAAACTGTACAAAGTGACCTTTCTCTCTAAGGGTTGCAGAGAGTTTTTCAAATTGTTTATTTATGCTGAATTTTTGTAAGCAATTAAACTAAATAACAAAATAATTTTCGCTCTGAAAGAGTTGTTAATTATTTAAAAATAAGGAGTAAAAAGAGTGGTCTGAGAAAATAAACTTTGGGTTGCATGGTGGCGTGTCATTTCATTGATTTGCGCGTCAAAAGTGGTGCCAAGGGCGTCGGAATTTTACCTAGGTCAATTTCACAGTGGGCGCCTGAAAACCTCGGTGGACACTGGCAGAGTCCGTTGGGGCTGCACTGGCCGTGGGGTCCGCAGCCGCCGCACCTGCCACCTGCGCACGGACACAACACAAACAAATACAAACACCGCGCTAGCCACGCCAAACGAGACGACATTGACAGTTAAGCAAAAGCGGGGAGGAGACCCTTGCAAAGGTCGCGGTCACTTACATTGCGTCTGGCAGGGGCCCCAGACGGCGCCCGAGGAGCGCGCCCTGCCCGCCAACTGCACGCCCGGCCCTTCCAGGATGCACCCCTCGAAGCCGTCGCCGCCCACGATCAGGGTTGTCGCCTCCGACCCAGCCGCCTCCGGCTCGCCCAGCACGCTCACCTGAAACAGGGGAGGCAACAAAAGGTCAGTGAGAGAGGGGAGGGAGGTCAAAATATGAGGGCTTGCTCACGACTGCCGGCGGACCTTTGCGTCGGTTCACCTGTGGAGCTCTCAAATTAAAAAACAAATTACCACGGAAGGGAGTGATTTTTACACAAATTTGAAGATTAGTGGTGAAATTATTAAGTTAATGTCTTCAAAATAATCAAAACTAATGATTCTTGAAAGATGAACAACTCTAAAAATTTTCTAACCACATGATTAAAAGTTGAGTTCCCATTGTCTAAAAAAATTAGTTTTAAATAAATAAAATCCAGCTTGAAAAGTTTTAGAATGTGTTTTTCAATGTTTTTCTTTTTAAAATTAATTTCAAGTTACACGGAAACATTCACATACTTTTTTTCCCCGATTAAATTAAACTTAAATAAAATCCATCACCACAAATTATTCCCATCAATTTGATTTTCTCTTTTACGTTTTTAGATCGATGGTTTACAAAAAGTGGGTAAATTGAGAACTGACCTCGCCGATGCCTGGTGAGGAGAGGGTGACGTTTCCGAGGCGGTCGGCGACCTCGACCGTGTGCCAGCGGTTGTCCAGCAGCCGACTGGACGGGAGCAGCGTGTCCACCCGAGAGCCGCCAGCGGCCAGTTGGGACAGCAGCAGGCCGTCTGGCCGCAGCTCAAGCGAGAGGCCGGGGACCCCCGGCCGGGCCTCCTGCCGGAACAGGGGCCCCGCCTTGCACGTTTTGAAGCTGAGTCCCAAGTGGGAGCCCCGCAGACTGAGCGGCCGCTCCAGCAGAACCTTGACATGCGCCGAGCCATCAAAGTACGCCTCGCGGTGACCTTTCTCGCTCGGAACGCCCTGGTCGCCCCAGACCGACCCCAGGAGACACCCTGAAATCAAAACAAACACAAATATTTGTCAATGAGTACATTTTTTATGTTTAGCGATACGAAAATTACACAATCAACATTTTTTTTGCTTAATATATCTTTAATATTGATTTTAAAAGCTGATGGGAGCCATTTAAAAAAAATTTGAAAACCTGATTTAGCACAAACAAAATTATAAAAAAAATTTTAAATCACCTAGTTCAAAAACTTTTTGATCAAAACATCTAATTTCATACATCGCCAATTTTATTTTATTGAACTATTTTGTAGATAAATTCCCGAAGTATTTACACGACACACCGCATTTATATTCATTCAAAGACTTCTGACTCGTATTCACTCCTATTGTTAAGTACAAAGTAGAAGAGTTTCTGCTACAATTTAATTTAATACAAATATAATTTTTTTTTTATATACAATAAAAACATTATTTTCAATACACTATTGAAAATTCATCTATGTATTTAATGTTCAATACTTCCACTGACAACTTTCTTTGATTATGTTACAACGTTAAATAAAAAATCAATAAATAAAAACGACTAATAAACAATGAAATACTCAAACAGAAGTGACAGGTGAAAAATCTGGTAGGGCCTGTTAAACTTTCAGTTTACAAAATAAATGAAAGAAATTTTATATTAAAATACATTCATATTTTAGTTTTTTTTTCTTTATATCGATTGATTTTTTCACTCACAATTAATGCCGTGAATATAATTTCATGAGCAACTGAAAATAGCAGAAATAGAAGATTTTTCAATATTTTTCCAAATTTCAGAACTGATTCTTCTTAGAAAAATCCATTCATTTATAAAATTCACTCTGCTAAATTTTATACTTCCTCAAGAAAGTAAGGAAAACTTTTTGGCCAATTTCAAATAAAATGAAAGTAAACAACCTTTTTTCAACTGTCAATTTTTTATTTTATTTTTTCTTTTTCCCTTTTACTAAGCTTTCTTATTTGAGTAAAAGGGGAATTCTCTTAGATATTTATTAAGCAATGGCCTGCAGCTCTGGAAATTGACACCTCGCGTTCCAAAGGTTTGAATTGCTGGCAGGTGGAAGGAGGCGAATAAAAGCTTGGCCCTGGGGGTCCGAATGGGACCAAATCGCGCTACAGGTGGCGGAAGTGCCGTTTCAAATGGCAAATACTTTCAAAGTAAGTTTTCCCATGCATATCTGACCAGAAGAAGCGACTTTGAATTTATTATTCATTTTCCCAGAAGCAAACACGCGATCCACAAAATTCTCGCACGATCGATTTGGCGCCGAAGCGAGAAAGTGAATTTGCGAATCCGCTCGCTCTCGTTTCTTTAAAATTAATTGTAATAATTCTTTCTTTTCGACGCTGTGGGAAATAATAAGAGTGATTGGTTTAAAAGCGAGACGAGCGAACAATGAAGGGAATCTCTTTCCGAAAGTGACTCACAACACACTTACGCACCCATTGGTCTTATCTGAAACGAGCTCTTTATCAGAGACACCGTGTTTTCTGATTAAAATTCAATTCATTTTAGTCACAGGCGTTCAATTTATCTCTACCAAGGCCAAAAGGAATTATACACAGACCTGCTTTCTATCCCCAAAGTAAATAATCCAACAAATTTATTTTAGATTTTTCTTTTTGTAAAATTTTTTGATTAAATAAAAATGAAATACAATATTCAAATTAAAAGTAAATTCTAAAACTTTTCTGCAGCGAATGCTGGCGTGAAAAGCAGCGGGTGTTATTTTCATGCTTTGGCGCGGGGTCAAAAGTCTGCGGAAGGAAAGGTGCGGGCGTTGAGATCTTTTCTAACGGGGCAGCGAACAAAGCGCTTCTTCAGCCGTGACCATCTTTTTGCCTCCCTGACCACAAAAACACACTCGGTTTCATGCAAATCCCCGCACCGCAAAAAAAATCAGAATCAAAATTAAATAAAAAAAATATTAAATACAAAAAATAATTAAAAATTAGCAGCTGCTCCAGAGCAAAATATTTATTCAATTGTTCTTAATTTACATACTAGTGCAGAGAGTTTGCGAAAAAGGTTTTCGCGAGCGTGCGAATTAATTAGGTTCGGCAACCTCGCGGGCATAGAAGCGAACGGTCGATAGAAAGGTGAGTCACACAATACAACATCTTCTTTCGTTCTCGCCATGACTTGTCCCCGCAGTGGGCGGATTTTCCTTCTGCACACAATCAATGGGCTTATCTCGCATTAATTTTCGGTGGCACCAACGCACAGGAATAAACACAACAATATGTAATTTTTCATATCTAGATCAAAACCCTGAGGAATAGAAGGGGGCGTCTATCTTCTCTCGGTTGGTTGGGAACAAGGTTCAAAAAAATAACGCGACAGGAAGTGGGCAATTTCAAAGGTGGAGGCCGCTCTGTCTAACTCAGGGTTCGTTCCCATCTTTAGCAAAATATGACTATTGAGGATTTTTTTTTCAAAACTGGTAAAATTTAATGGCGACTGTCCTAAATTTTCCCTCCTCGACAGGTGGAGGCGGCAGGCAGGGGCGGCTGCGTTTGACTCACCTAGGCTCAGGGCGAAAAGGAACCGCGCCATCTCTCTCAGTACCAGGCGCCGCACATGTCCTCAGCTTCGGCACTTTGATTTCCTCCACGCACTTTTTTGGCACTCGGACTGGAAAAGTTTGTTTTCCTTCTTCTTGCGCCGCCCGTCACTTTTCCTTCCTCTCGCGCTGCTACCTGTCTGCTGGTTCAGACTTCGCTCGCTCACAACGACGAGAGCGGCCGCCGTGCACCTTGCGCGACTCGCATTCCTCCCGTCGGCGGCGCCACTGCGCCTTACCTGGACGTGATTTTGAAGTTAAGAATTTTTAGTTTTGAAGCCACCTAGCGGAATAAATTGAACTCATTGCAAATTGATCAATCATGGCGGCCCGCACGAGGATCGGGTGTGCTTTTTCGCGACTTTTGAGGCCGAAAATGTGCGTTCAAACCCTATTCTAAACTTATGATGTCCCAGAAATCCATTCGTCCTTCCGCTTTATCCTTATTTTAATTTTGCTTAAATTTCCAGACGCCAAAATGAATTCCGACGCAGTTTTTGTAGCAGTGAGGGCTCTTCGGCCACGCCCCCTTTGTCGCAGCCCTTGCCCGGCCTGCCTCCAGCATTGTTTGCCACCCCCGGAGGCCTGCCGAATGAGACACGAGTGACTCGTCTGTCCAATGGTCTTCGGGTCGCTACCGAAGAAAATTTTGGACAGTTCTGCACTGTGGGGGGTGAGTTTTTTATGATGAAATTTTGTTGCATTTTTTATTTTCTTATGTCCTTTCAGTTGTGATTGATGCAGGCTGTCGCTACGAAGTCGCCTATCCCAGCGGCGTTTCGCACTTTTTGGAAAAACTGGCATTTTCTGTAAGTTTGAATACTTCAATAAATTATTTTGTAAATAATTCTATCAAATTAAAAAAAATTCAGTCGAGCTCTGAATATGAGGACCGTGACCACATTATGCAAACTTTGGAGCAACACGGAGGAATTTGTGACTGCCAGTCGTCAAGAGATACTTTCATCTATGCAGCATCGGCAGACACAAGAGGAGTTGATAGCGTTGTTGGTGTACTTGGGGATACTGTTCTTAGACCCAGACTCACAGAACAAGAAATTGAAATAGCCAGGATGGTGCGCAAATTTCAAATTGGTTTTTGACTCTAAATATACGTAAAGTTTATTTTTTGCAGACTGTGCAATTCGAACTAGAAACTTTAGCAATGCGACCTGAGCAGGAAACGATTCTCACTGATATGGTGCATGCAGCCGCATTTCAAGACAACACCCTAGGATTTCCAAAGATGTGTCCAGAATCAAATCTGGGTCGCATCAATAGACAGATCTTGCTTTCGTTTTTGTCAAGGTAATTTCCAGTTATTATTTTTTGCATTTTATTCATGTCATTTTAGGCATTTTGTGCCAGAGCGAATGGTGCTGGCCGGAGTTGGTGTTCCTCATGAGCAGCTGGTCGAGGCTGCTGAGAAGCATTTTGTCCAAAAGCAGCCATTGTGGACAAAGGGTCAGGGGCCTGAGGTTGACACGTCCGTAGCTCAGTGGACCGGAGGCATTGCCCTGGATGAGAGTCGGGTGCCCCAACACGCTGGTCCCTCGGGCCTGCCTGAACTTGCACACGTCGTTGTCGGACTTGAAGCTGTTGGCCATCAGGACGAAGACTTTGTGGCAGTTTGTGTTTTAAATATGATGATGGGTGGCGGCGGCTCTTTCAGCGCTGGTGGACCAGGCAAGGGCATGTACACCAGGCTCTACACCAATGTTCTCAACAGGTATGCTTAATAATCTTATTTAGACATTTCTTCAACCTCCTATTTGGTTTAGGTACCACTGGATGTACAATGCAACAGCATACAACCACGCTTATGCAGACACTGGACTTTTCTGCATCCATGCAAGTGCACCTCCAAGTCATTTACGCCAAGTAAGAATTACTCAAATTGTACACTGATATTATAACTATAGATATAATTGAAGGTTGCTGAAGTATTAGTTAAAGAGCTGGTTGGAATGGCAGGGTCTGTTGGAAAAATGGAACTGGAGCGTGCCAAAACACAGTTGCAGTCAATGTTGTTAATGAATCTTGAAGCTCGGCCAGTGATTTTTGAAGACGTCGGCCGCCAAGTGTTGGCCACTGGGGAGAGGAAACGGCCAGAATACTTCATGAAGCAAATTTGTAAGTAGTTTTCTCAACTACAGTCTAGTATATTTATGTAAATAAATTTAATTTTTTCAGCCAAGATTAGTGAGACTGATATTGCAAGAGTAGCCAAGCGGCTTTTGAAGTCACCGCCTGCAGTAGCTGCCAGAGGTGACCTTGCAAAGATGCCATCGCTCTCAGACTTTCAGGCAGGACTATTGGACGAGGCTGGAAAAATGCCATCAAAACTTGGCCGTGGCCTTCTCTTTAGATAGATAACTTAATTATTACAAAATGTTATTTCCCAGTTTCTGAGGTAAAAATGTATTTAAATGTGTATGGGAAGTTGAGTCAGAAATAAATAAAGTAATTAATGGAAAAGGTCTTAACATTCAAATATTGAAAACACAAAATTTCAGTTTTTAGCAATTTCTAGGCCAATTTTATTCGTCGAAAGAAAATATTGAAAATGTTTTTTGAGAACACGTTTTGATCATTTTTATTTGTGTGTAAAATACATCGACGGTACAATAGGCGCAAAATCGACGAGTACAATTATCAATAGGTTCCTCCTACAATTGCAAAATCTATAGACATTGGTAGACCACGTGGTATCGCGACGACCAAAGTGCTCCTTTCGAACTGCAATTCGCAATAAGACACAAGTTCGTCAAAAATGTTCATCTTGTGGTATCGCCTAAGTCTCTACAAGTGGCGCGTGGAAAAGAACAGAGTATCACCTGGAAAATGCGCGCTTTGCAGCTATTTCTTTGACTAACCAGCGCAAAGCCACAAAGCTATGTTCTCTGGTTTGTATCAAGCTACAGACAAATTCATGACGAACAGAGACAGAAGGGGGCTTGAACAATATAACACAACAAAATGTTTGTCAGACTCAATAATGATCCTTTGTGCAATCACAAATGCTCGACGGCTTCAAAGAGAAAAGAGCCAAATCAAGCGAGTATTCATTTTCGTCGAAGCACCAAACTTCATCTAGAGAGCGCAATGTAGTTTGTAATGAGCAAAAAATAATGATATTAATATCTGATACTTGAGATTCTGAATTAAAAATAATGGTCAACCAAAAAATGAGGGAGGGAGAGGCCAGCTCTAAGAAGGGTCTGTCAGTCGGTCCAGTTGGGCAGAGTCAGGTGATGAGCCTGGGAGCGTGGAGGCCATCAACCTTTGAGTCAATCAGGGGCCAGTGGCTGGTGTTCGGAGGCCCCCAGTCATGGAGCCCAACACTGTTGGCCAGCCTGTGCGTGAGACGGTGTGCAATTGCAAAACCCCCACTGCCCTCTAGTTGGGTCAGCACGATGATTACTTGCCTAACGAAAAAAATAATAATTAAGACGCCTGAAAAGTTTTGGAAAATCAAAATTACATGTATGAGAACATAAAAGATCATGATCTCATTTAGAATTTTGATTTTCAACACTTTCTAGGAAATGTCGGTCTTACCTGTGCAGGGGTGGCACTGAATCGACTGTGCGAAGTTGACCTCTTGTGGAGACGACGTTGTAGCTCTCTTGACAGTCACACTTGACGTTGATCCATTTGTTGTCATGTCTGTTCTCCACCATGACCACCAGCCCAGCCCAACCTTTGGTGAGGTAGTAGGCCGTCATGCCCTCGCGCCCCTCATGACGCTGACCCTTGACCAGGGTCAAGCTTATTATGGCGTCGGCCAAAACGTACGACGGGGGAGCAATTTGCTCGACTAAAACGTGTTTTGAACTGTGAATGGACAGTACGTATTCGGGAAATTGAACTGGGTCTTCAATTCCTGTTAAAAATTAAAGTTAAATGTGCATTATTTAGCTGAAAGTGACTAACCTGTGTGCCAGTGGTTGAAGGCGAGACAGGTGACCATGTATTGACACTGCTCCAGCATTTTGTGACAACTCACAAATCCACGCACCTGCCTCTTGCTGTGCTCCACAAGCCGCCCAATGCCTGGTTGTGCTTGGTTGTTGGTCCTGAACATGACAATGCAAAGGTCCAGTTGGGAGCGTTGCGACTTCTCAGAGTTGCGCTGGCCCTCCTGGAAGAGGGTAAACTCAACTTCGGTGGGCTCGAGCACGGTCAGAAGGACACAAGAGAGGTGCTGCATGGAAGCCAAAGGCGGCAGGGTGCCTTCCAGACGCGTCTCAGTCCAATTTTTGTGCACTTTGCAAATGTCGATGCAGTCAAAGTACCTAGCAATTGGACATGTACTTTTTTAGATGCGGTAATTAATTTGATATTTACTTGAGCACGTCATCAAATGAGATCCAAAAAACGCCGTCTGAGGCGCCTTTGGGCATGAGCATTTCTCGCAGCTGTGGAGTCCAGGTGGATGAAGCATCGGCCCAGTCACCCTTCCATGAATAGTGGCCCCAAGGGTTGCGAAGTCGCAGCAGACGCAGACCCGAAACATACCTCACATCAAGAACAGAATATGCATGTCTGTGGAATGACAAATGATAATAATTTTGTAACAAAATGTAAGCCCAATTATTTTTAACTTCAAAAACTAAAAAAGAAAATTGTGTACCTTGGTCGCAAACCTTTGCGGTGGTACTCGTCTTCATCAACTTTCATATTTCCGCCTCCGCATGAAGCTCCCATGAGAAAGCCAGCCCCGCGCGAGCTGAGAAGTTGGGCCCAAATCAAGTCTTTGTCCAGCTCCTCCTCGGATGGCAACGACGACGGCTGAAGAGGGATGCTTTCACAAGGGGCGCCAGTCAGAGTGGCAAGTCCCTCAATTGCTCGACCAGACACCAGCGCCTCATAACAGCCGTGGATTTTTGCAACCGCCTTTTCGATCAACGGAACCCAAAGCTGCTTGCGCTTTGCCTGTGAAAAATAGAATTGGTGACAATGCTTTCTACAAAAATTGTAAAGCTACCTGGGAGTAGACTAGGTGGCACTTTTCATCACATGGTAGCAAGTCGTCAACCACAATGGTTGTCCACTTTCCGTCTTTGCAGAGCCGAACTTGGTATGCGCCTCGAGGATTGACCTATTTTAATATCAGCATTATTTTTCAAGGAAATTTACTAATTAAGAAAGTGAACCTCATGTTGCACCATGATGTTTTCAATAAGCTCCTGACGCTCAGCAAGAACAGCCAGCGCGGACAAAAGCCAACAATTCCCAAGAACACCCTGGGAAATGTCCGACGGAAGGGGCTCTCGGAAGACGACCCACTCAAGGGCGTCGTTGGAGGCCTTGATCTGGTGAGGCCTCAGCCACTGCACTACCACTCCTTCTGACAGCTGTTGCTTGCCAGGTTGGTAATACAAAGAGTGGTCATTTGGGGGGAAAGATTCGTCCACGAATAAATCACAATTCTACGAAATAAAAAAATTCCAATTGAGAATTTCCGATAATAAACAAATTTACTACCTCAGCAGGGAGCAAGTCAATGGTGGAGATGGGGCTAGGTTGCTCAGAAAACTTAGAAGCTCTTTCCACAAGACGGCCTTCAATGTTGAGAGAAGCGGCCGGGGCACCTCTGGTGTTTCCACACATCTCACAAGACACGGCGTCTGCCTTGTTGGCGTAGGTGCACTTGAGGCACTGCCACGGCTGCCGCTTGGGGGCCATGGGACCCCGGGGGCCTCCGTGCCTACCGGCGTTACCACCCCTTCTAACAATCTGCTTTTGTTGGTGGCGTTTTGGGTGCTGCTGTTTAGGCACCGCGCCCCTCGGAGGTCCGTGGGGAGCTCCAGGGGTAACTGCGGAAGCAGGGGGCCCCGCGGGGCTCTTTGCCGGAAGCGTTTTGCAAGCAATGCAGCGTGCCTCGGACAAGGGATTGCGCAGGGTGCACATCGGACAGGCCCAAGACTCACCCTTGCGCAGGGTTAGGTCCTCAACCTGAGTTATGCTCCTGAGTTTGGAGCCGCCGCAGACGACGCAGGCCATGCTGGAGCCGTCATTGAGCAGGGTGCACTTTTTGCAGGCCCACTTGAGTTCAACGTAGTCATGTTCCAAAGACGCAAGTTCTTCATCGTCAACTTCCAAGTTGGCTTCGGGGCCCCTGGACTCAGGGCTACCCACCTTGGCCACGGTGGTGACGCTTGGCTCCGAGACAGAAGGTGGAGATTGCTGTTGGAGACAAACTTCGCACGCCTGATGAATACAATTAATTTAATCTTCCATGTTAAAAAAGTACCAGACAAATGTATGTACCTGTGAGCTGAGGGAATTGAATGAAAAGTTGCATTTGTTGCAGGCCCACATTCTGCCAACATAGAATTCGATTGTGTCTGTGGAAACTGAGACGGGAGCTGCGCGACGGAACGGTCGCTGGAATGTTGAGGCAATCCCCTTTGGTACAGAACCGACCATTGAGAAGCGCTGAAATCAATTGTACTCTTTTTAGTTGTATGGAAAATATCAGTGCGTGATAGTGAAATTTTGTTTGTAAAGAGTTTAAAGTCGAAAGAAGCAGCAAATCTCAAAATTTAAATGAATTATTTTTTTTAGTGGAATTAAGTGTTTTTTACTGAAACTTTAAGAGTACAACTTGGCTTTAAAGAAAGGATTACCTTGCCAAAATATTAATAATTATGATTAATTGTATGAAGTGAAAATCAGATTTTCCATTTAAAAATTAAAAGCTGATCCTGGAATTGCTAGATGCACACTAAACAAATGCATCATTCTCTCTACATTTTTTGTTCAATTTTCTATCTTAACTTGAGCATTTTAACTATTTCAGAATTCGCCTGGATTGAGATGGAAACCGAAGAGAGCGCCAGACAAATTTACTTTGCCATAATATACACACATATATACTAAAAATTATCGAGTGAATGTAAATTAAAGGTAATTTAACTAACTATGCCAACTCTTCTTCAAGTGCAAAATCTCTCAACCAGGCTCTTTTAGGAGTCTGCTTTTTTCAATGAATTGGTTTAAACAATATTATGAATATAAATCTTCAAGTTGTTAAATATTTTAAAAATATATTATATACATAATAATATCAGAATAATATATTATATGACGAATTAAGCTGAATAATGTCTTGTATTAAATTTTCAGTTCTCACCTGGCTGAGCTGTTGCGTGGAGACATCCGAGTGACCCCAGCGCGAGACGGTCACCACAGACCCTCGCTTGGGAACAGTGGACGTGCGTGACAGTTCCACGGGACAGTCAGGGGTCCTTGGGGGGTCCCTTCGAGGCGGCCAAGCGGCGCGCAAGAGTTGTTCCCGCACCGTGGCCCACGACTGCAGCGCGCACGCGCCGCACGCCATCCGGTTGGCAGCTCTGCACTCACGGCAAGGCTGCCAGCCGGACAAGGTGCGCGGCTCGCTTACGCTCCGAACCTGCAAATTTGCAAAAATTTATGAATATTTGCAAATTTTTACTGCAAAAAATTTTAAATTATAAAATTTTCCATCTTAATTCAAGGTATTTTGTATTATAAATCATGATAGATTTTACGAGAGAAAAAAGCAACAAATAACCACATAAAATGAAAAACAGAATAATTAATTACACTCGATTGTCACAAAACACCTAAGCAGATAATACATTTTAACTAAATTTCTAAGGTTTATAACGCGTGCGCAATCATCATTTTCATGAACAAAATTTTACAACTAAATTATAATACACGCTTCAAACTGACTCATAAACTAATATTAGTAAATAGTAAATAAATTTTGTAGCATCTCATTGATACCGAAAAGAAACATGAAACCTTTTCTTGACACTCAAGCACCTTACAATAAGTTGAATAATTATTGATCATAGAGCAACAATATCAGTGTTTGATTTCAAATATATCATAAAAAATTTGCAATAAACATTATCATAAAAATTGGCAATGTGCAATGTTCAGTGATCGCCAAGTGTTTACGAGATTTGCCTGTCACGGGTACCACTATTTATTTTGTAAGAATAAAAATTTTCATTCTCAAGCGACAATAGATTGTGAATGCAAGCACTGCGGTAAGAAATGTTCACAATATCATATTCTTGAATGTAATGAACGAAAACTAAGCCTAAGAGAGGCTGCAAAAATCAAAATTAACTAATTTTGTACTTTGTAATAATTATCGAAACAAGCTTAATTGTAAAATTAATTTTAGGAAGACAAATTAGCTTTAGACACCCGTTGTACACCTAGTTGTGTTCAATAAATACTCTATCTAAATATCAAATTTGATATTTTAACTGACCTTGCTGCATTTGGCGGGAATGTTTGCGAGGTTTGGACAAGAGTGGGAGAGTTTCTTAGACGGCCTTCGAGGCTCCTGGAGCGGCTCTGGCTCCGTTTGCCGGATTATGTCGTTGAAGTGTTGCTGCACCTCAAGGGCCGCCTCCAAAAGCCCTTCCTCGTCTTCGGAAAGGCTTTCTTCAGGCTCAGCCTTGCTGGCCACTCTCACATCGCTCGCCACACTCCTGAAATTTTATATTAAAAATCAGTTATTTCAGATAGATTTATTTAGATCCATAATTTGTTTCAATTTTTTTTTTTTTCTTTATTATTATTAGGATGTACTTCAAATTTTATGAATGATGTTTAAAGAAAAATATTATGTGTGGCGTAAAAAGAAGTTAAAAATTCTAGGGATTAAACTTTTTAGAGAACATTTTGACGCAAGAGACGTTTTTTTCTCTGTGTATTTTTAGCCAAGGAAATGTATTTCTGGAGTCACCAGAGTGCCTCCACTTGCCTTTGCTAAATTAAAATCCCAGCAAAGTTCTCCAGTCAAAGATTATAATTCATTGCTCTACATTTTCTTTTAACAGTCAAGCGCTGAAGAGGAAACTGTTCGAAAAATAGTACGCAAGGAATTGCGCATTGACCTCTTTAAACTTTGAACCCATTTCAACCCCCTTTCTATTGAGCACAATATTAAGCCCAACAATGAGGCAACTTTCTTGTAAATGAAATGAAAATAAAATTAATTTTACATAAAAAAAATTAAGACGGATGAAAATCAAAATAAAAAATTTTATTCAATATGTTACTAAATTTTCAAAAAAACTTATTTTCCGGCTTTCATACAATTCCTTTTTAATATCTGAATAATTTTTTCATTGCAAATTTTTTTTAATTCAATCAAAAATGGAAGCCAAATGGAACTCTTGTTAAAGGGTTTGCGGGGGGTTGGTGTGGTGACAGCAGAATGACGCGCTGATTCCTTCTCGTCCTGGGGGTGCATTTTCGTCAATGGTGACAAAGTTGGAAGACTGTGCAAAAGGGGACCCTGGAATTGGGCTGTTTAGGAAATCGAACGAACCTCGGGGGGCTGCCTGGAGGTTTCGGGGGCGGCCGAGGGAGGCGGCGGAGACCGCAGCGGGCGCAGAGGGGTCGCTCGGTCGGGTTGATCAAGGAGCAGCGGCCGCAGTGCCACTGCAGAACGGACGCGATCGAGCCCATCGTCGTCGCCCGCCCATTGTCCCTCTGCTGTCCACTCGCCCTCGCAGCTGTCCCGACTAGCCTTCCTCTGCGTCCCGTTCAACACCCTCCAACAATTGCAGACATACCACAGGCCACCACCATAGCCACCGCCACCATACTCTTCATTCACTGCTCACTGGCCCTTTAAAAATTAAAACACCGGTATTTGTGTGTTCTTTGATAACCGGTTTTATTGGCTTTTTTAACAGCATTCGAATTTTACATAGAATAACAAGTTGACGGGTCAAATTAATTCCCGAAAAATTTCAATTAAATAAATTTCAAGAATTTTGCAGGAAATCGTTAGAAACGTTCAGAATTGCACGTAAAATCGCCCATAGCAACTGGATGGAAACCGGATAAGATTTTCCAATTAATTTAAACCGGTTTTTACTTTTCCAGAAAATTCAAATTAATTATCAAACTGCAACAAACGTAAAACGATATATAATTGCAACCTTAAAAAAAATGATTTTAATTTTATTTATAAAACGTATAAAACGTTTAGGGAAAAAAAATATGATTTATAATTTTTTTTAAGTTTTAGCGCCATATAAGGTGTGTGGAAAAAGTTCAACGAATCCGCGATCGATTGCACTGGCGCTCGTGTTGGTGAAAACACCTCGCCTTGTTCATGTTCATTCAAAACGAAGTATTAATCGGTGATAAACGATAAATTTTACCGGTTCAATTTATGCAACTCTCGGAAAATTTTCAAATTCTTCCATAAAGATTCGCGCAACTATTCAATTTCATAAGAATTATTGAAAACATTTAGTTTTCTTGTCTTCTACTTGAAATAATGTTAAATATACTCCAATTTGATCAAAACAAAATCAATGTAAAATCACTAAAAACCGGTTTTATAAAAATAGTCGAGTATCTGACAGCCAAGCGCTGATTGGTTGACCGCTGAGGAAGGATTCTGTCGTCCATTGATGGCAAAAACTCGGCGGAAGGAAGAAGTGAGAATTGGTTCAGTGAATTATTTTGTGTCCGGGATGCGAGCGGCTCCGCGCTGCGTCTGATCTGCGGCAATGCCACCGCGGAGGCCATCGGTGTCGTAGCTGACGCGGCCCCTGGGCCCGAACCTTCACGCAAACGTAAGTAGGATGTGTAGCAGTGCAGGAGCCATTCTCCTCCTATAGCTGCCCGATATGTAAAATATAATTCACACCTCCCAGCCCAAACGGTATGGAGCGTCCGAAATATGTCCCTTGTTGTTCACCTTTGAGCTATTAATTGATGTGCAACGTTGCAGGCAGGCTCTCCGAGGGTTGAGATGTCATCGTCATCGGCGCCGCCCCCGGGGGCCGGAGGCGCTCGACGAGGACGAGGCGGGCAGCCCAAGCAGCACATCTCGTCCATCCTGTCCAAGCTACACGGCGCCTTTTCGGACGCGGTGACCGGCTCTGGTGGTCCTCAACACCGACTCGCCACTGACAAACGCACCCTGGACAAGACTTGGAAGCTGATGGACAAGGTGGTTAAGTTGTGCCAGCAGCAGAAGATGAACCTGAAAAATTCGCCGCCGTTCATCCTCGACATTCTGCCAGATACCTATCAAAAACTGCGACTAATATACTCCAAATACGAGGACAAAATGCATGTCAGTCTCTGCAAAGAAATTATATTTTACAGGCACTAAAAAGTTCTAATTCAAGGTTTTGCATGCCAACGAGCACTTCAACGTCTTCATCTGCAACCTGATGCGAAAATGCAAGCAAGCTGTGAAACTGTTCAAGGAAGGCAAGGAGAAGATGTTTGATGAAAATAGTCACTACAGAAGGAACTTGACCAAATTGAGTCTCGTCTTCAGTCACATGTTGTCCGAGCTCAAAGCAATATTCCCGAATGGACTTTTTGCTGGGGACCAGTTCCGTATTACAAAGTGTGATGCTGCCGATTTTTGGAGAAACAATTTTGGAAACAGGTTAGTTATTTCTTATCCGTAACGTAATAAATATATTTAAATTAAATCCCCATAAAGCTATGCATACAACTGAATGATAATTTTATCAGAAATAAACCACATCTTATCAACTTCAGATATTGTGGTTTAGAGTGTTGTGTATTCTACTTGGTTGTGACTAAAGGATATGTGAATTTTAATCTCATCCTGTTTCCTCAAATGCAGCACGCTGGTACCCTGGAAGCATTTTCGAGCAACTCTGAACGAGGTGCATCCTATCAGCTCGGGCCTAGAGGCTATGGCCCTTAAGTCTACCATTGACCTCACCTGCAATGATCACATCTCAAATTTTGAGTTCGACGTGTTTACCAGGTGAGAATTTCAAATTCATATATCATCAGTATTGCAAAAATTGCTTGATCTTGAGATGGAGCAATTGCTATTATGATATATAAGCAAAAATTGGCAATTAATTAAAGACAGATTTTTTGGATAATTTTTTTATTACAAGGAAACTAGGCTCTAAAAATTAAGTTTTTACAAATCATTTAAAGTAGGTAACTTGATCAAGTTAGAGAAATAAATCTTCCCAACTTAAAAATTATTTATCTACGTTTCCTTTAGATATTTTAAAAAAGACTATTTATTTTCTTTTTCATCATTATTTTTGTTTATTCGTTGGATTAGTTGCAGGGGTTTCCTATATCCAGAGTCTAAAAATCAAAATTTGTTCTATCAATCTATAACTTATTATGTTTCAGACTTTTTCAACCTTGGACGAGTCTTTTGCGCAACTGGCAAATCCTGGCAGTGACACACCCAGGCTATGTTGCTTTCCTGACCTACGATGAAGTGAAGGCGCGTCTGCAGAAGTACATCAACAAGCCTGGTAGCTACGTCTTCCGACTAAGCTGCACCCGACTGGGCCAGTGGGCCATTGGCTATGTCACTGCCGACGGTGACATTTTGCAGACCATTCCACAAAACAAGTCTCTCTGCCAAGCGCTGCTTGACGGATACAGAGAGGGATTGTACGTACCTGTCTTTTTTTTTCATTTGGTAATTTATGCAAACTTTGACTGTAGCTACCTGTTCCCTGATGGCCGTAACACAAATCCAGACCTGTCGTGGGCAGTGCAGCCAACTCCAGAGGACCACATCAAAGTGACACAGGAGCAATATGAGCTGTACTGTGAAATGGGGTCAACGTTCCAACTTTGCAAAATTTGCGCCGAAAACGACAAGGATGTGCGCATCGAGCCCTGCGGCCATTTACTCTGCACACCCTGCCTCACCTGCTGGCAGGTTTGTAAAATTTTTAGTCATTTATTTATAACCTAAAAAAATATAAAGATGAAGTTTTTGGCTGTAATATATGTTATAATTAACTTATTAGGACAAAAATTAAGTTATACTCTTTTTAGTCAGTATTTTTATAATTTTCATATAATTTTGGTTCTGACAGATGTTTTAGTAAGGTGCGTTAAAGAAATATATCTAAATTTGCAAAACCAGTCGCTAATTTTAAAGTTTTGACTCCAAAAAAGGCTATCATGCTTTTTGGAGTTAAAATTAAAAGTGGTATTTAAAGTGAGCTATTTATAATAAATAAGATACAATCAAAATTTTCTTTCAATTTTATTTTTTTTATAAGCAATCCAATTGGTAATTAAGTTTTACTAATGATTCAAAATTGAATTTTTGTTCGCATTGAATTGTAGGACTCCGAGGGCCAGGGCTGTCCCTTCTGCAGAGCAGAAATCAAGGGCACGGAGCAGATAGTGGTGGACCCCTTTGATCCAAAACGTCACAACCGCGCCTCGTCTACGGGGAACCTCGTCGACCTTGACGAAGACGACGAGGTATCCTCTGAGTAGCCTCTTTGTCCCTTTGCCACCCCCCCCCCCCTCGCACACAGCTTTTGCTTGTTTGCTGAAGAACTGGAGTGAACGATCACGTGGCGCATGACAAGAGCTGCCGTTTTCGTGTGTTTGATTGTGATTGTCCAGTGTTTCCCTGTTTCTCTTCTCTTTCTTGCAGTTTTTTACAACCACACAAAGAGAAAAGTTGCGAGTGTGTACATTTATGCATTAATCGGATGGAATGGATGTTTCAGTCGACCAAGCTAATTATTATTATTATTATAATTTTTTACGATTATTTTGCAGCCCATTTAGTCGCAATTATAGCAGTATTATACAATTACCGAAGAAGTCGAGCGCTTTTCTTTTATTTCCACACACGACCCTTGTGCATGATTCAAATAAAGCAAACTGCTGCTTTTTCATTTATTTATTTGTGTTGTAATCAGCACGAGCTTGTTTTTAAAACGCTTTTTCGCCAGCTTGCGCGATCTGTTGAGCACAAAATTTGAGACGGGTGGGTGATTTTCAGGATTTAGACACCTGGAGTTTGAGCAGTCCCAGCCTGCAGGCGCTCGCTCTTTCTCCTAGAACTGAGACGCCCACCGATCACAGGGTGAGTCTTCAAATTGCTCCCCTAGTGGTATAGGAATAGCTTAAATGTAAAAGTTGTAATATGCAATTAATTATCTGCTATTACAACTTTTAGTTGTAAAAAATGGCTTCCAAGATATAACAAAAATGTTGTTGGAAGGAGATTAATTTACACAAAATTTTTATTCATTAGCTTTAATTTGTTTTAACTTGAAGTGACTGATTGACTGCAAAAGCTTCTTTTGAAGCTTAAATATTAATTTACCACCCGCAACTATTTTTAACTTGAAATGATGTATTTTGAAAGAGGAGCGAAGGAAGTCCTTTACCATCGCCAACGGAATCTCCTTCTCATCAGGCCTCTAAGCGACCAGTTCCACCTCCACCGCTACCTCCTCGTCGGAACTCACCTACCCACGGTGCTCTCAACATTCTCACAAGGTTAGGAGTTCTGTTTAAATGTAATATGATAAAAAAAAAATCATTTACTCCTATTTTCGGCAAATTTTTTAAATTGAAGTAAAATCAAAGAAAGGAAATAATTTTGCTCAACATTTTATTTTGGTAATAAATTCAGTTATGTTTAAAAATTTACAGTCCTTCAGCAGGCATCATGACAGTGCCGTTGGAGAACGCGCCTCCACCTCCAATAGAGCAGCGGCCGTGCTCGTCTAGCAGTGGGAGCAAAGAGGATGGGGTGGCGAAAAAGCCGCCGCCACCTGCTGTGCCATCGGCGCTGCCCGTGGGAAAACCGGCCGCACCAACTCCCATCCCCCGCCCCCGCACGCCTCAGACGTCGTCCCCTTCCTCGGCGGCGCCCTCAGGGGCTCCGACGCCTCTGAGCAGAAGTTCAAGTGAGCATTTGGCTGTGGCTGCAGCATCCAGCAAGAACGAGAGCGATTCTTATGAGCACCTGGCCGTGGCGGCCGAGCACATTAACCAACTCATCTCGGAGGGATACACCGAGGAAGCTGTAGTGCGCGCCCTCGACATCTCCAAAAACGACCTAGCCATGGCCGGCAACATTCTGCACCAGTTCGCCACCAAGCACCCTTGAAACCCAAACCGACGAGCGAGTACAAAAAACAAAAACTTTATTTCTTGGCACACTCCTCAATTGTTAATTAATTGTCTCTCAAATGGCAAAGCTTAAACATTTTGCACTCTTTGAGGCAATTCATTCATTTCCCTTGTTCAAAACGCACTCGAATTTTCTGGACACATTTAATAACTTTATCAGCATTGCAAAGACTTTTAATTTATTACCTGATGCAATTAATTTCAAAGAGACACTTCTGTATTTAGTCAAACTTGCAGCATGAGTCTCTTGTTTTACTTAATTTAACCTGGAAGGAAGCATGTTCAAAGTGAACTTCACATTTTCTGTCTCCTACCATACTCGTACCACTTTCCTATTGCTCAAGTCATTAAATCAATGTTGTACCCCCGTCAATCAACTCAGGCAAAGAACGGTTTATTGCATTTTATCAGCATGAATGAATTGCAACAAAGATTGGGTCTTTCTATAAGTTTTGCTGCATTTTACATTTTTACTTTTGCTTCCTTAGCGTGATCTTTATTTTAACTTATTTTGTGCGCTTGAGACTCTCTGGTCATTTAATTTTAACCTCTATTATATAGTTAGTTGAAATAAGAAGAAGTATCGCTGTGTTAAGTTTTCTCAGACAAAGGCAATCACCAAAAAAAAAAAAGAAGACCGGCACTGGTGCGCGCGCGGTAACTGTGAAGATAAACAAGAACAGAAATTACGTGCACCATCCTGTTAGTGTGGCAAAGAAGTATAAATATTAAGTCTAAATGAGTGAATACCAAAGGACACACAAATTACAAAAGCAAATAAAAAGTCTATTTTGACGGTCTACGTGTTTAAGAGCCTAAACTATAAGAGTGAACAAGAATTCAAAAGAATTGCATTTTAATTGCTTATTGAAAAAAAATTAAATTCGTTCATTTCTTCCATTAGAATTATTAGGAAATGCAATTATTACCATCATCACTGCAAAAACCTAATTACCAATATTATTATACTGCGCATAGAGTAACGAAAAAAATATATTTATTCTCTCTATTGATGTAATTTGAGAAAATTAAAAATATCAAATCAGCTTTGAAAGAACAATTGTTTTATTCTTTTTGCTGTCTTTACACAGAAGCAAATAAAATTTCAGTCTCAGACTATGAACTTAAAAAATAAGCAACTGCTCAACTTATATCACAAAGCCAATATTTAAATGCAATAAGGGCAGGACTAGTATATTTTTTTTTGTCATGAGAAGCATTCAGACTTGAAGGGGCTGCAGGCGTAGCAGGAGACTAGTCAACAACAAGTTTCCCTTCTCCTTTGTGCTCCAGCGCTGAGCAAGGTCGGTTCCACTCACTTGGTATGATCCTGGTTGTATCAAAAGTTCAAACCCCACCTGACTCTTGTACTTGCACCTGCTGCCAAAATCAAAGAAACTGTAATCAAATAGGAATTGAAGTAAAATTAACTGCATAATAAGACAAATTGAATTTACATCTTGTGTGAGGCATTTTCGGCAGTGCTCTCTATATTTGGTGCAAGAGCTAGGGCTCGTCCTCCTGCAGGAAGTGGTGGGGATCCCCTATCTAAGCAACGGCGAAGTCGACTGGCGGCAACTTGGACGAAAGCAGTGTGCCAAGATGAAGAGGTGGCAGTCGGTCGTCTCCGAAGCTCAAAGGCGCACCACCCTCGAGGTGGCCAGAAGTCTGGATGGCTGGAAGTGTCTCCTTTCTCTGATGCCACCTCGCACACCTCGCAGTAACAAACGCCTACTTGCGAGTCGGCAAAGAAGCCATCTGGAAAATCAATTTTATTTTAATTTTCATCAAATGGAAGAAGAATTTATTGCAAACCAGGGAGCCCGAGCTGTCTTTTGAAGGTGGAACACAGTTCCAGATATTCACAAGTGTTTGCTCGCGCCAAAACTATAGACTGCAGTAGCAGAGAGTCTTCTGAGATGCTTTGGTCGATATAGCGGAGGCTGGCAAGCGAGTCCTCTTTTTCTTCCCCTTCGTACTCCGCCTTCTCCTTTTCCGGAACACGAACACACATTGAGTTATACTCCAATATTGTAACCTAGGATTAAAGTTAGGTATTAAAATCTAATTTTCCTAAATTTGTAACAACCTGCTCGCACTGCCCGTACACATCAATCAGAGGGTAGCAGTTTGGTGGAACGTTTTTAGCAAGGATGCCAACGTCCTTGTGGTCCAGGAAGAGGCGCAAGTTGCCTTTGACGTCGACCATCAGTCCAAGCACTTGACCTGCTTGCGGATCAGCTCCTAAGCTCCATTCACCACACTCCCCAATCTTGAAAAGAAAAATGATAAAATTTTGTTGCATGCCACATGTGATTAAATACTTTGTCTCCGTTGAAAAATACACCATCAGATGAAATCACCCAGGTCTCCTTTCGGAGAGCCAAGGCTGCCACTGGAACGCTAAGAGATTCAGGGCTTTGGCTGGTGACTCCTAGAGCAACTGATGAAGTCCAGCGAGAATTGACTCGATCAACACGGAACTAAAATCAAATGATCGAATTTTTTAGATACTGCATAGCGCCTGTGATTGCAAAGGTATGCAATGTGCACACATTTTATGTCAAGCAGGTTGCATAGCTCCATAAGTTTTATTCCAACATATTATTCTTTCTCATATAATTGTTCGTGTGCGTGTTTTTTCTGTTCAAATTAGTGTAGAGTAAAAATATTATTCTTTGCTCCAAATATGCAGTGGAGATCTTATATTCTTCTTCGCTTGAAAATCGCTGGAAATTTTTAATGGCAAGTCATGTTGGCACCATGGCGACCAGGTTAATAGCGAGTGGCAGCGTCGCGCAGCCTCTAGGAAAGTGATTAATGCAAGGAAAAAAATTTTTAATTTATTTAACAACAAAAAATTTTGAATTCTAAGAATATTTGGAACACGTTAAATTTTGAATGAAATTTCCAAGTTAACTATAATTAAGCTATATAATACCAAAAATAAATAATATTTTTATAAAGTCAAAATTATAAAAAATAATTTTTAATATTTTAAAAATAAATAAAAAAATTGCCCATAATAAAATTATATTCAGATTATATTGAGCTTAACATTCTTATATACAATTTTGATTAAATTTGAATTTAAAATCTTATTTTAAAAAGGGAAACTCAAGTCGTCAGATTTGAGACCGTGAGCAATATACAAAGAGAAAAAGACAAAGTTTCAAATATAAAATTAGTTAAATAAATAATCGTCTCAGAACGTAACCTTCCGTCTCAGGCCACCTAGCGCTGCCTCGGAACGCCTAGCAATGCCAACTTTTCATAAAACTTTTAATTTAAATAACGAGAAAAACTTTTCAAATTATAATAAAAGATTTAAATGGAATTTTAAATCCATTAATTGTGTAAGAGAATCAGAGAGAATGTTGAAAATAGTACATTTGTTCACTTTAAAAGGTTAGATTGGCTCTTCTATTTGTCAATTAGTCAAGGCATATTCTTAAGTTTTTAAGGTAATCTGTACCTGAAAAATGAGGTCAGCAGTGAGAGGATGGGCACCAACAACTACTCCTTGGTTGTAGGACGCAATCCTTTGTGCTGTAGCCCTCGAGTTGGACAACTTGATGTTCCTTCCATGTCTTTCGTGAAACGCCAGCGGAGGCAATGCCATCTCTATAGCTGGTCCCTCTAGCGCTGGAGGCGGTGCCATTGGTGAAGACAACGTTGACGAAGTGTGCATGCCCCCTCCAGAGGCCACTTCAAGAGAATGATGTAACCAGTCCGAGCACAAGAAGCGAGCGTCCTCTGGAGCTGCCCTTGGCGCTGTATCTGGGGCTGCTGCCCCCTCACTCAAAATGGACAGACCCTCTGTTCGGCCAAACACGTCAAAGACGGCATAGAGGCGCTGATTTTATATTGCATTAGAGCTAGGAACTTAAATTACTTTGATTTTTACTTTGGGCAAAGAGTCTGCAATCTCTCCAAGGTCCTCGTTATTCAGCAAAAGGCGCAGAGAGTTTTCTGCAGTGAGGCGCAAACCAATTCTGTCCCCTAGAACCAGCCATTGGAGATTGGGGCAGAAGAGCGGCTTGAGTAACTCGTGGTTTCGTTGTACTTGAGAGCCACTCACAAACCACGTGTCGGCGCCAACATCAGCCAAACCTCCTCCTCCACCGGGGACAGCCTCAACCAAATCAAGATCTAACGAGGTTGCCCCTACGCTCAGACAACCACTGCTACTTGGACTTTCTTCACTGATTATAACCTGTGGGCAAAGTTCAGTGTAAAATTTATAAAATTAAATTTATTTAAAATAAATCACCTCAAAGACGGAATCAGGTTCAAGTGGTTTTGATGAGAAGAGGAGCGCATGACCATGAGATTTTTTAAGTCTTTGTGCGTTAAGATTGTTGTTCCTTAAAGTTAGGCTGCTGCTGCACTTTGAGCTGAATCTGTTGGCAATATTCATTAGCCATTTGTTAATATTTTAACAGATATTCCTACTGATGCTTCAATATGGGAGGTGCAGATGTTTTTGCTGGTGAATGGCAACCTGGAGGAATGCTGTCAACGCTATCTTCCAAATCTCCTTCTCTAGGGTTAGATATGGTCACTTGAGAGCACTGACCATAAAGATCAATAACCCCATATATACCTATAGAATTCAAGTTTAATTTAAGCATTTGAATAATTCTGCAAAAAATTACCAGAAGGAACATTTTGGCAAGCAATACCCTGATCTTCACCATTCAGGTAAAAGTGCAGATTACCATTTGCGTGTCTAACAACACCGATTCGATTGCCTGCACGCACAGTATCAAGGTCACAGCGGTAGCCATTTCGGACGGTAGATCCGTTCTGAAAATAAAATGAATGAGATTTTTTATGTATTTGAAAAAAAATTCACTTTGTTTCACCTGCATCACAGATGAGCCACTGAGCATCCAGCTGTCATGGTCAATATCAGTCATAGTTGAGGGAAACTCAAGTTCCTCTGGTCGAATTCTTGTTACTCCTTGGAAGTGTCACAATTAATTAATTAATTTTCATTAAAACCCTATTAAATAATTTTGAGCCTACCAACTTCTATAGAGCCACTCCACCTATCAACTGTGTGCTCAACAAGAACTTCGAACAGTTCACCATCACCTAAGGGTCGATTTGTCACAACAATGGCATCATTAAACTCGCCATATGCCCTTGGTCTGCAATTTAACAAAATATACAATAAAATAAATTTGAGCAATAAAAAGTGGCCAATTTACCTGGAAGCTGTGAAGCCATTTGTTGATATGCTGGCATTCTTCCCATGTACATTGTGAAAGCGCAGAGGTCTCGTCGAAGGTGCTGGTGCCTCAGAAGGTAAGATTGCCGCCGAGACGGGTTGCCGACTGACTATTGAGGCTCTGGAAGCTTGTCCGTATAGGTCAATGACACCATACACAGCCTCAGGTACTCCTGTGGCCGCAACACCCTGATCAGTGCCATTGACGTAGAAGTGCAGTGTCCCGTCAGCCAATCGCATTACTCCCACTCGATCACCCACCTTAAAAGAAATTTTACAATTCTATTCAATTCAGGATGTTCCGCAAATATAATAAAAAGAAGAAGAAAATATAGAACATTCCAATTTGGCTGTTCAAAGGCTACTTAAATAACAGAATTCTTATGAAATTTATAGATCCAGAAAAAATTACTCCTAATCTGTCCAGGTTGTGACCGTAGTCATCCAGGACTGTGGTGCCATTGTGCATAACCCCATTTCCAGTCATCATCCAGGTCCCAGACCGCACATTGGTCATTGTGGATGGAAAGTCAAGCTCTTGAGGCCTGTGGGTTGTGACACCCACTTCAATGGAGCCAGCCCACTTTTTGACCATCTGCTCCAGCCGAACTTCAAACAACTCTCCCGTCTGCAAGAAACGGCTGGTCAAAACCACTCCATTGTTGAAATCCTCCAAAGCACTAAAAATGATTATCAATTGGTTTAATGAACTACTTTTAAATAAAATCGAGGCTACTTTGGTCTATGAGCCGTTCGACCTCCGTTGATCACAGCTGCGTTTGAGCCACACCTGCGATGGAATGTGAGAGAATCGCAGCTACTTTCGAACTCTTCCTCGACTCCTAGAGAAAGATTTTTTAATCATCTTGTTTGATTAATATAAAATTTTTTCTGACCATCATCTGCTTGGTTTGCTAGAATAGGCTGCTCTGCCGAATCTTGATCCACGATGGAAACTTTGACTGTCATGCCATAGAGGTCGATGACTCCCCATATGGGGCCTCGAAGGTCGTGAACCGCCACACCTTGGTCCATGCCATTGATAAAATAGTGCAGGGAGTGGTTGGGTCTGCGGACTATGCCGATCGTGTCCCCTTCACGTAGCTCGTCCAAGTTGAAGTGGCCATACTCACGCCGGGTACCCTGGCCATTGGTCAGAATGCCACAACCTGACATCATGGTAGTACCTGAACGAAGGTTTGTCATTGTTGCTGGCAGAGCAAGGGTCTCCGGCGCATGGCTTGTTACTCCCACTTCGATCGAACCTGACCATTTGGCAACTAGTTTCTCGATTCGGATCTGTGTAAAAGGGAAAGCTTTACAAGAAGATGATTTAAAACTGATGAAATCCAACCTACCTCAAAAAGCTCATTGGTGAGTAAAGGTCGATGTGTGAGGACAACACCATTATTGAACTCGTCCAAGGGGCGACGACGCTCGGCTGTACGCTGTCCGTTAGTTAATTTGATCAAATGTCCACAGCGAGTGTGGAACCTTAGACGATCTGGCCGTGGACCTGGTGATGCAAAATTACGTTAAATTTAATATTTTTATATTTATACTTGAATCAAAGGTAATTTTACCTGAAAGTGAGGAGAGCGGGGGCTGTACCACACTCACTTGAACACATTTTCCGTAAATGTCCACCAAGGCAAACAGACGAGGAGGTGGTGAAGCTTCAGCCACCCCTTGCGACTCTCCGTTTACCAAGAATTCAAGTTCACCCTAAAAATATAGGACAAAAAATAAACATAAAAATTAAAAATGCCTATTTTTATGTTTTGATTCCTATTTGCATATGTAATTTTGCTTACCTGATGGTTGAGAAGAACGCCGACAGTGTCTCCCTCCTGTAAAGTGTCAAGGTCTGTGCCATATAGTTCAAGGAGAGAGTGTCCATCCTTGAGGACAGAGCCACCTGACATAACAAAAGTTTCTTGTGCTAAGTCTGTGGCACTCAAGGGCAGTTCTGCCATCAGGTCGGGGTCGAGAGCCGTCGCTCCTACTTCAATGCTGCCACTCCATGTGTTAACCTTTGATTGTAAATAAACAAAAAAATTATAATTATTTTTAATGTTTTTAAACTGATAAATGTATGATAAACATATACCTTTGAATCGATCCGCACGATGAAAGGACGGCCTGGCTCGAGAGGCGTCGATGAAAAGACGAGGCCGCAGTTGAAATCGGCAAGAGAACGTCGTGCTACGGTGCGACCTTCGGACAGAACTACCCTCTGACCGCACCGGGGGTGGAAAGTCCCCGCGGACCACTCAGGGCCGCCCATGTCCCGAATCGGCCCCGACCGATTTTGAGAGATAATTTTGTTTTGTTATGGTAATAAGCTTCTGTTGCTAACCAGGGAGGGCGCCACCTCTGCTTTCAAAAGGACGAACTTGTTCTCAACATGTTTGTAGAAAAATCTCAACATAATACAGCGAAAAATATCGGTTACAAATTTTAAAAAAAATTGAGGCTTATCATACATTTTATTGTAAGCAAAATAAGATAATTTTTATTTCATGAGAAATTTAGTGAAACAAAATCATTCAATCTCAAATAATTATTTATTGACAAGCTGAGAATGCGTGAACCGAGAAGATTAAAGCCCTCAATCAAGTTTGGCCTTTCCAGTTTACCTTCTCAAATATAATAGGAATTAAAAGCATCTCAAGTGTATGCCTTTGGATGATTAAACATCAATGCAATTATTTTTGTTGCTGCCAAATTTAAAACTAGCATGACCAGCAGACACTGCGCATAAGTGATGCACACAATGTACTTTACATCTCGATATTATAATAGAATTGTTCAGCTGAACGCATAAGCCGCAACATTGGGAATGTTTATAAAAAATACTTTGGTCAAAAGTGAACTAGTAAGAGAGAATGCTCTACATGTTTTTGAATTCGCCTGCGCTGTTGAGAAGCGTGACTTCAGGGTTCTCCTCCTCAAAGGTTCCTCTCCGCTTCTCACCCTCCTCCTGACCCCACTCACCAAGGGACTTTAACACGTCTGGCAGTTTCTGCATCTCAGCCTCTTCTTTCTGCAATTATGAGCCCTTAAAAAACATCAAGTCAGTACCAAAACTACACAAAAATCATTCCATGCTAATACTAAAGCAACTTCTATCAGCTACTTAATAAATTGCAAATGCTTAAATCACCTGCTTGTCAATGGATGCGAATTTCTCGAACATATTTTTGTAAAGCCGCTTCTCCTTATTGAGCTGCTCTTTGATTTTTAAGCCGCACATTTTGATTTGATTTGCGGCAGCCTTGTTGTTTGGCTCCACTTTTAAGATCTCCTCAAAATCCTTTTGGGCCAGATCATAGTCCAACATATTCATGTGAGCCTGAAACAAAAATTAAATTTTTGTTTTACTACGAGCTGCAAGTGTTGAAATATTTTAAATAATCATTGTTCTATATGGATTGTTTTTAAATGGATTTTTGCACAACACACTGTTTTAAAGTTGATCAACTAGTTATTCCAAATATAATGTAAAATAAAAGGTGACAAGCACAAGCAGTAAAGGTAGGTTGGTGGCTTTCGTAAGGGGTGGCGTCCCTCTCAGATGTGGATTTGGGACAGGTTCAAAATAGGCGATATTTTTACAAATAATTAGAGTCAAAACTATTAATTCATTTTAAAATTTTCAAACATCCCAAATATCCATATTCCATTCTGTTATGTAATGCGTGAAAGTTTGAATAGTTAGCCACCTGGCATTGGAATAGTCCATTGTGAAACAATTTACCTTTTAAATGAGACTAATAGGGGAGCAATTTTTATTTTCACCAATTTTTAGAAATAAACTAAGGTTACCTGGCCTCTTCTAAAGAGAGCCTTCTCATTGGTAGGATGCTGTTCGAGCACTTTGGTGCAAATTTCCTTGGCCTCGATGTCCTTGTTCATTTTTAAATAAACCATGCCAATGTTCAATCGGCACTGCAGGAGCAATTCTGTAATTTCGGCTTTCTTTGCTTTGGCCTCTGAAATAATAAAAATTTAATTTGAATCAACTTAATAAACATTTATAACCAGACCTTCGCTGTAGTCATCGCTGTATTCAAGGTGGTCTACCGCTCTCTTGTACATGCGCAAAGCAACAGGGTAGTTTTCTATCTTGAAGTAGTGAGTGCCTTTCTCCTTGAAGGTTTTGCTCTCAGCAAGTTTCTGGTCCATGTCCAAGTCCCAACTCTCTTTAGACTGTAAATTTTGGTTATTCTCCAATCTGAAATAGCAATTCACTAAAACTCACTCGTTCGCATTTCTTCAGGTGAACTTCGTAAGTAATGTCTGCGTTAGGTGGGATGTTGAATTCTGCCTTTCCTCCGTTGCCAAAGGCATACTTTGATTTGATTTCAACCTCTGATATCTGTCCCTTCTTCATTTTAGAAATAGCAATTTCCAAACCTTCGCAGATGCCAAGGGCCGCGCCCTCGCCCATCATGAATGATACCTCTCTTGATTCAAAAACTTGGTCTTGGAATTTGCCAGTGATTTTAACTAAAATTTAATTATAAGCAATTTTATGCCTTTCCAAAGTTTCATATATTTCAACTAACCATCGACAGATGAACCATCGTTGAGGGTGTAGTAGCCCTCTTCTCCCTCCTCCAGCACGTTGATCATAATACTCTTATCACTTTCAGGGCTTACATCCTTGCCTTCCCAATAAAGCAGCTCGACCTGGAGAAGATTTATTTTTATTAACTTTAAATCTGGAACGACACAAAAATTCGATCTTATAATTTAATCTATTTTAAATTCTAACCTCAAAGACAAGAGTGGCAAGTGGTGGAATGGTGGGTGGACTTCCACTCTTGCCATAAGCATAATCCTCTCTGCAGACAAACATAGACTTTTCCCCTTTTTTCATCGTGGCCACTCCGAGGTCCCACGCCTTGATAACTGCACCTGAGAACGTTAGAATAAATTTTAATTCAAAACTTTAAATAATTTTCAAAATTGTTTGTACCTTTTCCTAACTCAAAATCGAAAGCAGAGCTTCGGTTGCGGCTTGAGTCAAAGACGGTGCCATCCAGCAGGGATCCCGTGTAGTGAACAAAGGCCTTGCAGCCCTTAGGCGGCGTCCTGCCTGTTCCCTCAACAATGATCTCCTTCTGGACGCCACCATCCTGGTTTGGGGTGATGTCCACCACGTTGGGACCCGGCTGATAGGGCTCAATTTTGTTTGGCACACTCATGGCAACCTGCAAACATTTACCGAATGTGCTCACTGAAAACTTAGAGAATATTTACGAATTCTGCCGCTTTTAAGGCACAGAATTCGTCAGACCTTTGGAAGAGATATTTAATTGACCAATTCAGGTGCTTTTTCTTTACCTTTTATGTTCCTTTGACCGTGGATCTGCAGAAATTGCTAGAACGAGCGAGAAATCAACAAAATTTTCAGTTTCACCGGCAAACAACCAATCTGACCCCTCCCCTCATTGTTGATTGGCTGAATGCCTGGCCTGAATGAAATGTAGATTCGAACTAAGCGCGCGAAAGAGGCCTACATGAGTAACAATGTAAGAAATGAACGCTATTATTTAGAACTTTATTTTATTAACTTTTATTAAATAGTTATCAAATTCAAATTTTAGATATACTTGAAGATGAATGCAGTATAATTTGTTTAGTTGATTCACAATCACTACTATATAAATAAGTTTTACATTTTTTCCTTATCAGCTCTGGGGTTACTTTGGTTTATTTTTGTTTAGTAATTGTAATTCCTTAAAAAAAATGGATAATAATCATAGCACTTATTTGGTTACAAAATAATTCTTTCAATCGCTTTTAATATTGATATTGAAGTTTCATTTTTAAATTAGAAATTGATTCTGTCCATTTATAAACTATTCATACATGGGATTAATTATTGCCGTTCAACAGCATTTCACGGTAAAATAACAGTTCATTGGATTTTAAACTTTGAAAATAATAGCATGATCTTGAATGGACCAAATGGACCTATTGAGGTTTAGACATTATTTTTCTCATTTACATGGAGACCTTGTACTCAATCAAGTATCCTGGGTATGCCTGAAAGTTTAAAATTTTGTCAAATAACTCTTAAATTTGAATAACAATAATTTTACCTGATAGTTGTTGTACACAATGTACTCAGAGTAGTTGAGGAATCCTGACCTGGGCTTGGCAATGACGCTGTGGTAGCCTTGCGGAGCTTGCAGGATCCCATTCATGGGCGCGGTGGCTTCATAAGACTTGCCCAGGGCCACTTTGCAGACCAGCATCTTCCTGATGCAAGAGGTGCAGTAGACGATATTGTGGGACTTGCATGCAGTGTTGCACCCCTCAAACGTGTACTGGCTGCTCTTCGAAGACAAGTCAGCAAAATAGATTCCTGATTTTACATTTTAAATTCATAGGACGAATAACTTTTATGCTTTTTATAACTCCACCTTTGCCGAACATGCCGTTGGGGTTGGAGCAGTCAACGTTGAAGCCGTCTCTGACAATCTTGTCTGCGTGGTTAGTGCCATGGAACAACCTTATCTCAGGAACTAACTTGCCCCTCGGATAGTCTCGGGCCATCTCGTATCTCCTCTCAGTATATTTGTTCCACAGCTTGGAGTTTTTCACCTTGTACACCTTCAGAAATATATATATTTTTTTTGTCATCGAGCTTAAATGTAATAATTTACACAAAATAAAATCATCATCAAACCTGCACAATGTTGTACTTTGAAATTTTGGTTCCGTTGTGCACGGCAATGGAGTTGTGCATCTTACTGGCAATCCAATTATAATCATTGTGATTCGGGGGAAGTTGTTCCTTTACAAAGCCCTCGACCCAGCCTCTGTTTCGGTCTCCATCAGCAGCTACTGCCATTCCTTAAAAACGTCGATTTAATAAGAAAATTTATTTAAAAAAAAACTGATTTAAGAAAATGCTCAAGTTTGGTCCTTTTGTCTTTACCTATATGTGAATTTATGAGCATTTCTAGTAATTTATTATGAAAAATCAAATTTCGATACCTCCGCTAGTTTGGCTGTGACGGTTGTGAGACGATAAATAAGATGGATAATTATTTAGCGCGTTTCGTTGATGACGATTGTAGGAGGACATGAAAATCGCACTTCAGACCATAAATGACGGCACGAAAAATGAAGAGAAAATAAAACGGCTCTGCTGCAGTGTCTTCGGCGGTCTACGAATAATAAAAAATAAAACGATAGAAGTTAATTAATTCAAGTCTTAAAGCTCTTCTCTAAAATCTTGTCTTACTCCAACGGTCGTCGGTCCGTCTGAGGACGAGGACTCTGAGGCGTCAGGCGTCTGATCTTGCAGAGAAAGAAAGGCGACTAAGGCAAATAATGCATAAGAATTCACTAACAAAATGAAATGAAAAAGATACGGATTCCTGGGCAGAAGATCAGGGGTTGCTCGGAGAGCGAGTGATGTGGCCGCCGCTCAAGACGACAAGACACGGCAAGCACTGATATTTTGTTGAGCGCTCACCGCGCACTCGTGGATTTGGAAAGAACAAGAAAAAAAGAAAGTCTCTTTGGTTTCTGGATTTTGGTTGGCGGCGGCTGCCTGCATTCTTCTCCCCTTCACAGGTCTCCATCACAAAAATAGCAATGCGTGTGTTAGGTGAACAAGAATTCGCAAGAAAATTCAGGTCCAAATAATTATGAATTCTCAAGCTAAATTTTTTGCGTTCTGACCAGTGCTTGAATTTTTTTATCGAATTCTATGGAAAGAGCAGTGAGAGGCGGAAAGAAATATTATTTTAAAATACATATACATGGAATAAAATGTTATATATTTTTTTAATATAAAAATACAATAGTGCATAATTTGTACAACGCCAGACAAACGAATATGTATGACAATATTATATATTAAGTAATTAAATTTATTGGAAAAAGATTTAAAATAACCATAAACAGCAGGGGCACCTTACTTATTCAGTTTTTATTCTTTAGTGTGTTTTTTTTAATCTGGGAGAAATTTATTTAATTATTCATTTTAATTATTCGTAAATATGTAATACCTTTTTCCGCGAGAAAGCTGAAAAATACAGTTTATTTTCTTGTATCGGAAAAATCCAGTCTATGTCCAAAGTCCAAAGAGGCAAAAAAGAAAAAGCGAAGAGAGCGGCGGGTCCCGCGGGAGAAAGATTTAAGATTTCATACCCTGCGTGACGAACGGATTCTTAGAAAGAACAAGTTAAAACAGAATTGTGCATAAGTGCAGAGGCAGAATTCTGTTCTATCCTTCCTATGTTGCAAATTTGTTGCCCGCATTCTCCATCATCCCCTTAATTTATGTGATGGGTGTCATCAATCATGCCTCAAACCGGCAACCTCGGACGTGGCTCGGAATCGCTGTTGCTTGCATTTTTGCTCTCAAGGTAAAAATTTATTGCCGCCAGAGCTGCCAGACGCCAGACTAGAGAGACAGTTTGACTGATTCGACACAAGCGAATCAAGCTTCAAGCGATAGCCGTAGCCGATATAATTTCACTGTCGCTTCGCTTGCATGCGGTGTGAATGTGAAGTTGTAATCATCTCCTGCCTCCTGCTCGTTATTCTTTTCTTATAGGCCGATCCACAATACCGTCAGCTTCCGCCCGCTGCCGCTAGCAGCCGCTTTTGTGACGTCATCTTGGGTACGGCGAGCAAGAAGTAGAAGCGGCGGCGAGCGGCTGCTCACACTGCACGCTGTGGAGGCGGGGCTTGGCTTTACATAAACAAAAACGGGAAGAGCGCGCCGGGAGGCCAAATTGGAAAAATCTTTTTGGAAAAATAGTGTATCGACTAGAATTTTGAGTCAGATTTTCTATAGTGGGGTTTCGAATTTTTTTATCATTTCATAACTGGAACAAAAAAAAAATACAATTGAACCATAGTAATAATTCTTCTATAAAATTTTAACACAGAAGGAAATTTAAAAAAATCAATGTTATGTATTAATATTAGTATCATAATGCTTAACTTCGAAAAAAGCGGAAAATAGAGTTTCATTTTTTTTGTGATCAAAAAATTTTTTAATATTTTTTTTAAGAAAAATATATATTAAATTAGATTTAGAAAATGTAATTTTTTTATTTAAAACTGGAATAGAGATACTGCATTTCAGCAGGTATTGTATTTTTTTTAATTTTTAATTAAAAAAATTTATATAATAAATGTCTTCAAAAATATTATCTACAACCCGTCAAGAAAAATCAGATTTCTTAATTCGGAAAATTGAGATCAACCTCGAAGGGATTAGAGTATTTATTTGTCATCTGATTTAGATATATGTCTTAAAAATTTTAACAACTTTAAATTTAAAAAAAAAAATTTTATTTCAAAATTAAATTTAAGTTTTAAAAGAAAAATAAATTTAATAATAAAGAAACAATAATAAATAAAATAAAAATTAAATATCGTTAAAAATAAAATAAATTATGTTAGTTGGACAATCTACGCAATCCAATACCTTGAAGAAATATAAAATTTAAAAAAAATCCTAATGTATATTAAAGTTGTTATAATATTTAAGACATATATCTAAATCAGATGACAAATAAATACCCTAATCCCTTCGAGGTTGATCTCAATTTTCCGAATTAAGAAATCTGATTTTTCTTGACGGGTTGTAGATAATATTTTTGAAGACATTTATTATATAAATTTTTTTAATTAAAAATTAAAAAAAATACAATACCTGCTGAAATGCAGTATCTCTATTCCAGTTTTAAATAAAAAAATTACATTTTCTAAATCTAATTTAATATATATTTTTCTTAAAAAAAATATTAAAAAATTTTTTGATCACAAAAAAAATGAAACTCTATTTTCCGCTTTTTTCGAAGTTAAGCATTATGATACTAATATTAATACATAACATTGATTTTTTTAAATTTCCTTCTGTGTTAAAATTTTATAGAAGAATTATTACTATGGTTCAATTGTATTTTTTTTTTGTTCCAGTTATGAAATGATAAAAAAATTCGAAACCCCACTATAGAAAATCTGACTCAAAATTCTAGTCGATACACTATTTTTCCAAAAAGATTTTTCCAATTTGGCCTCCCGGCGCGCTCTTCCCGTTTTTGTTTATGTAAAGCCAAGCCCCGCCTCCACAGCGTGCAGTGTGAGCAGCCGCTCGCCGCCGCTTCTACTTCTTGCTCGCCGTACCCAAGATGACGTCACAAAAGCGGCTGCTAGCGGCAGCGGGCGGAAGCTGACGGTATTGTGGATCGGCCTTATAAGTTATTGCAGTTAGTGCATCTAATCTACAACTCAACCCTCGCACATCCACTGTTCTGACCAAATCTTTACCGTCTTCAAAGAAATAAGTAAGAAAAATGCAATAACATTTCCATTATTTAATTTTATCAAAAAGTCAAATAAGTCATGCATCCTCCCTTGAAAGTCTAGCTTGAAAATATCCTTACAAAATAACAAGAAAAATTGGTGAAAAACCAAAACCAAAAAGAAAGTTGACAAAGTTTGAACACTCATAAATTTTTAGGTATGGCTATGTCAATGGGAGCGGCAGGAGACAATTACGACCGTCATCGTTGGGTCGAAGGCTGTTCTTTGGAGCCCATTCCCTCTCACCGAGGCGAATACCTATGGATTGACTATAAAATGCAGAACTCCATTGCAGTCCATGGCAGCAACAAGATCACCAAATATGACATTGTCCAGGTTGGAAAGAAAATGGGCTAAAATGGGGGATAATCACAAAATCACAAGTCATTATTATCAACAGAAATTCCCGCATATTTAAGTCCACTTATATATATACATATACATACACCCCAATTTAATTATGTGTTTTATTAAAAACAAACTTAAAGAATTTTTTCTGCAGGTGTACAAAGTGAAAAATTCAAATTTGTGGGGGCGGTATGTTGCCCGAAGGTCACTGTTGGCAAAAGACCTTTCCCCTGGAGAGAAAGTGGAGGAGGAGCGCCTTTTCCACGGCACAAATTTTGCTGATCAGATTGTCAAGAAAGGCTTCAAGGTGAAGCATGCTGATCCCCAGGGCATGTTCGGCAAGGGTAATTTTTCTTAATAATTTTCCATTCGCTTAGTTTTAAACCAATTTATTCATTTAGGAATCTACTTTTCAAACCTTTCATCTAAGAGCACCCAGTACACTTTGGAGGGAGGCACTGCTCCTTGCCAGCCTCACAATGCTGTGTACTGCACCACTTGCGTCAGGAAGATGTTGATCTGCCGAGTGGCCCTGGGCAAGTCCTACGTGGCCACCTCTGCCATGAACGGCATTGATCAAGCCCCAAGAGGATACCACAGTGTTACTGCCAAACCTACGTCAGGTGTCCTCAACTTTCCTGAGTACATTGTTTATGACAATGATCAGGTAACAAAGAATTTTTGGTTTAAAAAAGATCAATAAATTACTTCTGACGGGATTGCAGGCCTACCCTGGATATCTTGTTGAGTACAAGATCTGCGCTGAAAAAACCCGTAAAAGCGGTTCAAGGCATTAGTAGAAGAATTTTGTAAATGTCACCTGCTGCATTCATCTTGAGGAAGTGTTTATTTTCTAAAAAAAAAATATCAAACAAGGAATTTCTTTTTCTTTGAAATGATGTTAGACATCAAGTGAAAAAAATGCTAATTTTCCATTATTTATATAAATTTCTTTGAAAAATAAAGAATTTGCTGAAAAATAATTTTAGTTTAAATGTACATCATTTGGCTGATGGGATAGAAAGCAAAAATGTGTAAAGAAATAATTATAGCTTACGTTTGAATGATGTTTTTCTTATGTCGGTATGTAAATTCTTGGCTTATCTCAGCATTGACTTATAAAAAGTCAACTTTGCTTTTTATATAAGCAAAGTTAGTTAAAGTGAATCAAAGCTTGTCTTTCGTTGAAATGAGGGCGATAACGTGGCTTCCGCGCCATCTTTTAAACATCATTGACGCCGCCCTGCCATTGCTCACATTGCTGCCCTCTATGTTGACAGCAAAAGAAAATAGTGGGCGAGTTTCCTGTAGCTGTGTCACCTAATTCAATAGGTAATTTTCCCGGACTTATTTCCTTTTCAGGACGTTTTGAAGCATTTTCTACTTCCATTATACACTGAGTTTTCCTTATACTATATTAAAATATAACATAACGTACAAAATTTGCATCTCAATCTGACATTTTCCACTTCTTGAAATTTGATAGTCCCACGTCCCACTGCTGTCACTCGTCATTCTTTACTAGGTTTCGGCTCTTAAAATTTTGGCATTTCTTCCTTGCAGATTTTTCCTCGACATGGACGCTTTTGGTGACGACGAATTCGTCAGTGGCTCGGCCGAGGTTGACCCTGCAGCCGAATTTCTCGCCAGAGAACAAGACCAACTGGCTGGACTCGAAGATGAGTTGGAGCCAATTTCTTCAGCTCCCAATCCTCTTCCAGAGGGTGCGAATTTTTATTTTCACCAATATAATACCCTTCAAACTAATCACCTAAATGTACAGCACTAATTCAATGCAATTTTCCGTTGCGATTAATATTATTTAAACCAAAAAGTGATTTCCTCCAATATTTCTAAAATAATCCTTGACACTGCATGATGATTATGAATAAAAAGTATAAAAGAATTGACGTTAAAATTCATGTTAGAATGTAGTCTGTGTATAAAAATTTGAGAAATGTTTCTTCATTCCACACATTCTTCTTTTTCTCACCTTTTTGGATTGCATGTTGTATATTTTGCATGCGCAGAGCTGTCCGATTCGAGCCCGCAGGAAACGAGTGTGCTCGAAGAATTCTCTGCCCCGAACGAGGACAGCTACGAGTTTGTCGAGTCCTCGAATAACGACCTTGACTTATTTGGTGAGTGAGCTAGTCTCTAGTCCGTCCTTTGTGGCCGCTTCATAGCCAACTCTATGTGTCCTTTTTCCTTTTAACACAATTAATTAATTTTTCGCCGTGTAATTAACTGTGCTGCTTGTTTGTAACAAACACGATCTGCTCTTTGTTTCCTCAGAATCTGAACTGGAGTCGAAACCCGAAGAGGTTAACGGCTACGAAGGTACCTACTAATTGTTATTTACCTAACTTTGTTCCTGAGATCAGCTGTAGATGTTGAGAAATTAAAATTTCAATCTTTTTTCAGAGCCCGCAGCTAGTGTTTCTCCTAAGGTGGCTAAAGAAGAGCCCGAAAAGATTCGCAAGTGGCGCGAGGAGCAGAAACAGCGTCTAGAGGAAAAAGGTGAATTTTGTGTTTAACTAAACAAACAATTGAAAAAAAAAAAAATCATGTAGATGCTGCTGAGGCTGAGGCCATTGAGAAACTGAGGCTGCAGGCCAGGGAGGAGCTCGACGAGTGGTACAAAAACCACAATGAGGCCAAAACCAAGACCAAAGCAGCTAACAGGTATTTAATTATTCAAATTCCTGAAGTTAAAATTGGCCAATCATGATCAAAATAAAAATACTTGAATCTTTAAATTTTGCTCTCAGGGAATCAGCAATGTAAGTAAAAAAAAGTGTAAAATTTGGAACGTAGAGAATTGTGCTGTAAATTAGGAATTAGGCCCATTAAAATTTGCATTTTTTTAAAGTCAAAATTTTTTTCGTAGAACTGCATGTTATGAGAAAAGCTATAAAATGTTTTAAACTTTTATTTGCAATCAAAGGAACGCAGAGAAGCAGTTTGTGGCTGCCACGGATGAGATCGAGCCAGGCACCGAGTGGGAGAGAATCGCTAAGCTGTGCGACTTCAACCCCAAATCGAGCAAGGGCTGCAAGGACGTGACCCGCATGCGCTCCATCATCCTGCAGCTCAAGCAGACCCCTCTGCCCTCCAAGAGCTAAGTCATTCATTTTTCTTGTTTCGATGCAAGCTGATCAGTTTAAAGAAACTTATTATTTATATATTCAAGATGATTCAAGATAGGAGATTTACAAAATTGCGGATTTTGTTACGGCATTCCATGTTAAAGTCTATAGAATTTAATCGCTGCTTCATTAATATCTACAAGTGAATAAAAGTGCAATGTATTACAATACATTATAAAAAAGGAAAACAATTTTATTTAGAGAAACACGTAATGTAAACATAGAGCACAACTTTATTTGACTGTCATAAAAATAAGTAGTTCAACAACAAGAGCAAGTATTTTACAAACTAAATTAATTTAAATTCAAGTTCAGTGGGAGAAAAAAAGCAATATACTTTAGAATTTTTCAATTACTCATTATTCTTAATCTTGATAGATTTTGTTCAGAGGAAACCACGTAGGATCAATTTTTGAATTTATTATGTTGACAGTTTCAGCCAGAACGATCAATGCCAATTTTATTAAAAAGGGGATTCTTACATTATTCCCCTGAACGACTATCAATTTATCTGTAACAATTTTCCAATCTGCATTAAAAATGTGCTTAGACCACTCACATTAAGAACCTAATTTTAACAATCACAAAGTAAATTGAGATCAAACTGCTTTTAAAATGTTAATTAACAAAATGGATCAAAAGACCCTTTGCCTCTTGCCTGCGAAACCAAAAAGTTTTGAGATTGAAAGAGAGAAGCCGCAGCAAAGTTGCTAAGTTGGTCCTGCGTGAGTGAATCGAAGAAAGCCTAGAGCAGCTGGCAGGTGTTGCTGGTGACCCTCTGCTTGCCCGAGCTGCCGCAGCAGTGGTGCTGGCAGTGGTGGCAAGTGGTCGTCTGGCCTCCGCTGGCCCTCGCAGGCCGTTCCGCGCGCTGCACGCTGACTTCAGAGGTGGCCGTCGAGGCCATCTGCTGGCGCTTACTGGCCTTTTTGCGTTTGTGCGCGTTGTCCCACACCTGCGTCCACTCAGGCGATGCCAGCGGCCGACCCTCGCTCTCCACCTTCATCTACAAGTACCTCTAAACAGTAAATAGGCTCCGCTGTCGCGAAAAATGCTCATTTGTCTGAACCCCCTTTTTCTCCACAAAATGTTTGAAAAATTGTCCTAATTAAAAATTCGATGGAAGTTTCTTACTTAAGAGCTATTTGGGGGTTTCAGACAGATTTTTGAATGAAATTTAATTTAAAGCTTACCCTGTTGAGAGGCACCCCTACTGGAATGGGTGGCGACTGTGGGGGCGACCCACCCGGCGATCCGGGCGGCAGTTTGACGGACAGTCCTACTTCAATAGGATCTTTGAATATGCTGCTTGGTCTTCTCGATGGATTGGTGTCCGTCGGGGAAGGAGCAGTGGTTGCCACTATGGGTGTTGGAGCAAGAGGGGCTGCATTTGACGGTGCTTGGAGTGAATCTTAAAATAAAAGAACGTCACATTTTTTTAGTTTATAAAAAATCGCGCATTATTATTTTGATTATTTCTATTGTTTTAAATTTTATTTAAATTCCTATTATGAAATTTTGACATACCCTTTCTCAAAGCACCGTGCTTTGCTGGTGAGTTGCTGGCCGACCTGTTGGCCACGTCTGCCGGCGTTACAGGAGAGTAGCCGCGCTCAACCGGCGTTGGTGACCTTTGCGCCCTTGTGTTGACCAGAATCACAGTCGAATCGTCATGTACCAGCGGCACTCTGTTCTCATGACTCTCCAACCAGTAAGTTTTCATGTCACCTGGAATTAATTTTTCAAAATAATGGTGCCTTTCATGCAAATTTCGCGTTCCTGACCTTTGCCTTTGACTGTGATTACGCCTCTCTCGGTTGTTTTATATTCATCCGGAAGGAGGTCTTTTGTGCCCTGTGAAATGTGGATTTTCATAGCTGAACTCGTCGACTCCATCCTGGAGGCTAATAATAACAATAAAATAGAATCACATTAATTATTTACATCTGTCATGGAAAACTCCATTGAATATTCTGGTTGAAATTTGGATAAAAAGATTTCATAATTCCTGTTAATTTTGAAATTCACTCCTTCAAAATGTTGCTTACAAAACAATTTGAAATTTAATTCTTTCTGTCAGAGGCTGATTTCGGTTCTCGTTGTGAAACCCTTTTCAAATTAATTACGTATTATACACATAACTTACCAGTGTTGACGGAGTCCCCGAAAAGACAGTACCTGGGCATCTTGAGCCCCACAATACCAGCCACTACCGCTCCAGAGTGCACCCCTACTCGTATCTGCAAATGGCTCCCTGCGGAAAAGGGTTAATTTGATTTCAAAAGGAAAAACCAAAGAAATAATATTTTGGACGACTTTTCTCAACTGGTGCTAATAAAAAAGACATTAAAGGATGAGCGCAACTTATCTAATTAAGCGAGTGCACGAAAGTTTTTTTGCCAGCTGTGCAGCCAACTGGTAAAACTGAATAGCCTTCATTCAACTGGCGGATTAATGCCAAAACTTTGCCAGACACACACTCGCCTCGATTATACAACTTGATCTTTTACATTATTAGAGAGGGATGATGGATTCTCTTTTTGCAATATACTTGACGTGGGACATGAAAAATTGCTCGGATATTAAATCAGAGAAAATTAAAGTATAGATCGATTAGCCACTGCCTTTCTAATATTACCAGTGGAGGGGTCCTTCAGATCCGTGATGGCGTCCACCATGTCTAAGGCCATATTGCAGACGTACTCGGCGTGTTTGTGGTTCTTCTCTGGCGCGCCGCACACAACCATGTATGCGTCGCCGATAGTCTCCACCTTGCAGCACAAAGTTTAAGGCAAACGTTTAATTAAAATAAAAGATTTACTTTATAGACGCCGTTCTTTTCGGTCAGGTTATCAAAGATTGAGTACATGGCGTTGAGCATAGACACCACCTCCATAGGGGTGATTCTGCTGCAGATTTCCGTGAAGGTGACCACGTCGGAAAACAGGACGGAAACAACGTCGAAAATCTAAAATTATTTTTCCCTTAAAAATTTTGAATACATCCGATTTTATTTATAAACAGATGATCAATTTTACTGAAAAATAATTATATTTTTGTTCTTTTCTTTTTTGCCTTATAAATCAAAATTATATATTATATTAATTGATAGTCCTAAGAAACTGTGGTTGTCTTGCTTGCATTTAATTCAGTTTTGCTAGAAAATCCCACCAACCTGACAGGTATCGATAGGATTTTCGCCCTTTCGAAGGCGATCTGCTACCATTTTCGGAATCATCTGGTAGAGCAACTCGTCAGTGCGTCTCATCTCCTCGTCTAGCTTCTTCATTGACTCCTCCAGCTTTTTTGACTTCTGCTGCTCCTGGTCTAGGGCCAGTTTGAGCTCCACCGATTGCTGCGTTCCCGCCAACATCAAATCTCTGTTTGATTTTATAAAATTTTGGTAAATTTGATATTTTTATTATTTAAAAAATTAACCTGCTGAAATCGTGCATGGAGAGGTCATTGATGAAGAGCCCTGTGCAAATCAAACTGTTGAGGTCAGGCATGACAGGAGTGCCCAGGTACATAATCAACCTCCAGTCCTCCATATAAACCATTTGACCTTCAATTATTAAAAAATTGTTACATTTAAATTTAATAAATAAAGTTTTTGACTCCGACGACCTTTTAAATGTAAATGCTTGTCGCTATTGTCCTCCATATCTTCTGAAAACATTGCATTTTCAAGGCGCTCCTTCTCCTCAAGGCCCCTTTCAGTCATAATTGGCTCCACGGTGACCAGCTCGAAAATATTATTCGCCCGGTTTAAAATCTTTTTTGGGGAAAAAGCGATCAATTCCAATTAAAAAGTTACAAGAACGGAATAATTACAGTGGTGAACCTAAATTCTATGAGCGGCCGGACGAGATCAAACCAGTCTGTTATCTTTTTGCCCACCAGGTCGGGAATGATTTGCGTGAGTGAGTTTCCAATGCTTTTGACCTGCAGGTCGGAGCCAAAAACGATGCTGAACGGGAATATCTCAAAGAGCAAACTCGAGTTGACTGGCAAAAATTTTTCGTCTCTTTTCAGCACCAGCGTGGACTCGCCAAAAGCCCGGTTGTCGAAGGTCAGCTGAAAGGTCACGTGGAGAGTGTCGAACACCATCTCCTCCTTGCACAGCTCGATTTGCATCTCCTTGCCATAAAAGTGCCTTGAAACCTGCCATATGGAGTTAACTCAGTTTGCAAAATTTAATTTTAAATGGAGAGGGACCTCTCTTATCTGGCCCATGGTGTAGTAGACGAAGCCCCGTCTTTTGCTGCGGTAATGGACGGTCATGCCCTGCCGAGTTTCGTTTTCGCAAATAAAGGACGGGGCTCGCATACGTGGGTAAGAAAACTTAAGATACTCGTGTAGATTGTCTAGGCCTAAACGTTGGAATCAAGGATAGTTTCATTTTAAATTGGCACTAATTTTTTATTACAACAAAAATCAAGAGAAAGATAAATTGCATAGATGTTTTAATTTAATTTTCACGCAAAAATAAATTAAGAGTGATAAAAAAGTTTTTCAAACTCCAAAACGATTTTTGCTCATAATTAACTCATCAAATATTTGCACCAAACAGAAAGCATCACTATAAAATTGTATTTAGATCCTAAAATTGGTCCTGTATATTTATGATCCAAACTCCTTTAAAGGAAACCTTAATGTATTATGTAAGTAGATTTCATCAATATTTTCAGTCGAAGATAGCGTGCTTTGGGAACAAAAGGAGGGTTTCGATTGTGTAATCAACTTTTCTTTATTAAAGCAGGAGAGTGCCCTCTCAAAATTCTTGCGTACAAATTCCCCTTTGCACGATTTGCGCGAAAATGAGTCCGTTAGACCAGAAAATTAATATTCCCACGGACACGAAAAAGTGCTAAGTGCATGCAAAATTAAATTCTCTTTGCTTTTAAGCCCAGGCGCGGTATTTCACAAAAGCTGGAATCTCTTTATCAGAGTAATATTGGGCCGAATTTTCACACTCTTGACCCATAGGGCAGCTCTAAGTAAAATATTTTAGAAAAAGAAATACTTTATAAAAATCTAGTATTATTTATTATTATTTATTTTAAAGGGGTGGATTATATGAAGATTTTTAATTCGCTTCTGCAAAACCTGAAACAAATAGCTTATATTTTGAAAATTTCTTTATTTCAAGGGAAAAGCGTCGATCTGTTCTACTTTTGTCAACATGCGAGAGTGGGTTGGTTGTTTTTTTTCTAATCAAAGTAATTCACCGTTTAAGAAGTCTCTCATGTGTCTGCCAAGGACGGAAAGCACTCGGTCGTAGCCGTACTGGCCGACGAAGCGCACAAAATAGACGCCCATTCCGTCAAAGAACTCGCGCTCCGAGATGCCCAGCACCTGCAATTCCAATCAACTCTCTTTCTCTTCCCTTTTTTTCGTTGAAATGCAACTCGCCTGTATGGACTTTTTGGCCAGCTTGGGCACCATGGTCTCTGGGTACACCTGGTGCACGCTGAAACTCGGTTGCTCGACATTGCAGAGGCGTCTGATCTCCTCCCACTTATCTTCGCCGTACACGAACTTGATGAACTCGGACAAATTCTCTAGGAGTAGCCCGTACATGTCTGCGATCAAACAGAAACAAGGAAAATCATCAGTACAGAGCGAGCTATGCAACCCGCGAGACTTGCGTGTTGGCCCTAAAGCCTATCCACAAACTCTGCAGGCGCTCTCTTATAAAATAAAAAAGCCTGTCCATCTCGAATATAAAAAGATTTACACATTATTTTGATGAATTTTTTATGTCCACTTATTGAAGACGTATTATTGTTTTGTATTATTTCTTTTGTTGCAAATTGCCACTATTTAGGGTTTTTGTTAATGAAAGTTGTTAGGCAAGGGAGGCAAATTGTTTTTGGTAAGGGAGCAAATGATGGATGAAATTTGAAGGATTGTTGGTGGGGTGTAAGCAAAAATATTTTATTTGAAAAAAATCCTTTGAACTAAATTTTTTAAATCAAACATGGTGTACTGGTGTTCTGTGTTACCTCCTGATTTAAATATCATGTAATAAAATTAAAATTAAAAAATATGAATGGTAAATCTAAAAGGAAATTACAATGTTAGAAGGGTCATACTCTTTTTCATTTTTCAACCTGACATTTTGAATATGCCGTTGAAGGTAGAAGCACGAAAAAAACTATGTTTTATAAAAACAATAAGTTCCTTTAGTCTAGTTGGTAAGAAATTCAATATTATGCTATGAATTTTCTTAATTTCTCTCTCTTTATCTAATATTTAGTATTTAATCTAAAGTTAAACACATAATTTTCTGAAATTTAAAAATTTGTAAATTTTGAGGAGCCTCATCAATGGGAAGATATAAATTTATTTGGATGAAGAATTATGGAGATCAGTAATTTTATTTTAAGTCATTTTTTTTTGTAAATCTATAATCTACATTTACATAAATACACGCTGAAGCTGAATATATTTTTTTAACTTGCCATTTTTATTTATTTTTATTATTATAAATTTCATTTTTTTATCTGCGCCATCAAGTTTTCAAGAACCTACGTGGGACGCATAGGACCATAATGGAAAAGGAATATAGTGAGGAAAAACTGCAGCTCTCGCCTCCGGCCTGCCAGATTTATCTGCCAATAAAATTTTGTCGAACGCAAAGTTGTGAGGCAAGTTCGCATTTTATTTTCTCGGACCTGAGAGTGGTTTTGCTCGAATCGCCTTCCCTTCTGCATAAATATTGATTCGGAGGAGGAAGTCGAGTCTCTCGTCAGCAGCATATCAGAAGCGAAAACATGGAGGAGCATGTACGAGTGTCGAGTGTCTGGCAGAGAAAAGTGATATTGCCACGCTAGTGTGATTGGAGATGGGTCAAAATTTATGCGCCTTCTCTAATGGCAAATCTTGTTTTCCGTTGGGCGGAAACTGATTTTTCACTTCTGTCCCCTCCGCACACTGTAACCACTACGACAAATAATAAAAGGCTGTGGGCGAAATGATTTTGCCATCTGCGGGACCCAATTTTATGGAAAGCACAAGCTTCCCAGCGAGGGGACCCTTAACCAGAAAATCCGTGGCTTACAAAGGGATACAAAGCGGAAGATATTGATTTTGATCCAGTTTCTTTCATGCTCTTTAATTAATATTACAAGTTAAACAAATTTTGATAAAAATTTTGATAAAAAAAGATTCATTAAAATTTGAAACATACTTTTAAAGATTTTGCAGACGTCGATCTCAAAAGCTCTATGCAAGGTGCAATAAACTCAAACCTGCATTGAAAAGGGATTTGATGGTCAACAAAACGCAAACATAGAAGGGGAAATGTGCACGTGCTGGTGGAGTGATAAGCGCGCGAGGCAAAACAGATTTTGCAATTTCAAAGCAGACTAGTTTCCTTTGACAGCTCTATTCGCACGAAATCAATCTTTTCATCTTTAGAGTGAGGGAGGATAATTTGCCAACGCACCGAGGGCTTACGCAGAACAAACATTTCCAAAGTGCTTCACTTTCAATATAGAAGATCTATTCAAAATTGAGTCCTTAATTTGCATTTTGTCCCGTCAAAAGGAAGGCATATTTTAATTTCCACCCGAATTAATCCACATTTAAAAGTTATCAAAGGCTTTCTAGGAAAAGTTTCCCCCAAGTTAGGCGGATTTTCACTTGCCGCCAATTTGCGGCAATATTCGCTCCAGCCCCTATACGTCTGTCCAGCGAACAAAGAAAGTGAAAAAGTTGCTAGGCCCGGGAAAAGGCGGGAGCGACAAAATAAAATAGGAGTCTCCTGCATTCCTTGGAAAAGGAATCACCTAGAGTACTTTTTTGCTGCACATGAGAAAAAAATTGGCCTTAAATGAAGTTCTCAATAATTTTTTGAATGAATGGATTTAAATTAAGAAATAGTTTCTGTTATTATAATTTAAATTTTTTCTTATTCAAACTTTTTAATGGATTGAGTTTTCTTCTTAATTTTACGTAAAGAATCAAATCAAAAGAAGAAAGAGAATATTTTAAGATCCCTATATATTTCAAATAGATTAGAAAACATTTGAAATAAAAATTTTTTATTAGAGCAGTATCTATGCAGAGTTTTGAGAATATTTTTTTCTTTTTGTCAATTTGGCAATGTTTTATTTTCGGCCTCATTGTTCTTCTCTCTGTTAGAGACATGTATGTTGTAGCAGAGTGTCTGTTACTTGTCAGGGCAAAGAAAGGCCGACGACGTTTTTGTTTCACCCGCCAGCACCCGGCCGCAATTTATCCCAAAAGCATTTTCAAAAAAGCGACAGCGCGAGTGCGTTCGCGGTTAATTAGCCGCTATTCACGTACGTGTCACCCAGCGACACGTATCAATTTCAAAAAAGCGCACCTTCCCTCTTTTTCAAGGAAACGGAAACCTGTTCCCAACAGGTCAGGAAATCAAAAGGAATAGGGAGGGAAAAGTGTCAAAAGACCCGAGCGAAAGTGAGAAGCTCGAGATTTTTTTTCTCATTATTTTCCTTTTTTAATAATTGCTAGCCGCCGCTCCAGTTTCCAGTTTCTGCCCATAAAATCCGCCAGTTTTTCTCTCCACTCGCAACAGCAACAGCCAGCTCCTTTTCTTAATTAGTAAAGCTCTCAATTATGTCATATCTGATTACGGCATTTGTTGTTGTGCTGAAGCGGGCATCGATTTTTCCATCAGCAGCTCTTTCCGATTTGACGAGTTAATTAGTTGTGAAGAGAATGAAGAGATGCGTAAATTCTACTAATAAGGAAGGGGAAAATTAATTTCTGAGAAAATTCCAGTCCAAAAAATCATGACTTTTTAAAATTCTTTCTGACATTTAATTAAAACTTCAGCTTCAATGACTTGATTCTGCACATCATATAGCTGTTCCCCTTCAAAAGAATCAAAAAAACTTTCTAAGTGAAGCACTTTTTATCTTTCAATAGCTTTTCAAGAAATACTAATTTGATATAACAACTTTTCAATTTAAACACAGGCTTTAAAATTAGAAGAAATCCAAATTTTATTTGTCAGGAACAGTCAGGAAGTAGATGAAATTCAATTTCCGTTTAAAAGCTGAACAACTCTTTGCCAACTTCCTGCAGGAAAAGTTGCAAACATGTTTGCAACTTTTAATTATTTCCCAAGTTTGCAAACAAAAACACAATTGTAAACTCCAGCTAAGTCATTGCGACTCATTGCTAATAATAATATAATCACTTCAAATTACAGTACTTTTTTCCCTACTTGATATTTTTAAACATAAAAAAAATACGATCTATATTTTGACAGGGGAGTTATTTTTATCGTTGCTATGGGACGTTTCTTTGAGCGGGACGAAGGCTTGTTGTAGACAAAGAATGTACCTGCGGGCGTAGAAAAATGGTCTCGGTTTGCATAATCAGATTAATTTCCCGCCTGTTCTGAATAATGGGATTTGCGAGGCAAATTGGACTATGCGTAGCAAATTGCACCCATTGTCACTAATTGTGAGAGAAGAGAGAATATTTAGGGGGCCGCTCAGAACACATCCACCAAAATTTGCTGTTGTAATGAGAAAAAATATACATTATTTCTAGAAAATAATTTTTTATTTTGTAAATTTATTTTACATTTAAAACCTATCTTGAATTTAATTTTGATGACGCCTGTTTCTGAATAGTTGGATAGACAATTTTCGATTTAATTAGGGGCCACTTTCAAAATGTTAGCCAGTTTGAAAGGAAACTACTATTGTAATTAAGCGGCTACAGGCGGCGAAGAGGGTTGCGCGGAGGCGCCGCAGGGCTGCAAGGATATCGAGTGACTTGAGCGCGCAGAGAAGTGCAATTAATCCGTTCGGTAATGCCATGTGACAATAAACACAGGCTCCAATTAGACTTGCGACTTTCCAGAGCTCCGCAATTGCCCTAAAGGCTCCAAAGGCCGATTGGTAACGACCATACGCTGCACTTTCAATATACCTAGTACCGCCTAGTACTATAAACCCCCTCCATTTGAATTTGAAATAAAATGTTTAAAGAGGGCGAGTCAGAAAATTAAATTTTTATTTTCGCGAAGAAAAAATTTCAAATATAGAATATTTCATACCACAGAAGGTTAATAACAAGTAAAAAATCAAGCAAAATCCCAATAAAAATGATATCCCATCTAACTGAGAAACAGTGAGAAGTAAAAAAGTATAGTAACAAATTTAAAAATAATAATAATAATTTTCTGATTGAATTATTTAACGATTTTCACGGCTTAAAGCTTAAAGTGAAATCTGTGCCGCGTGCCTTTCACGTCTCATCGAGTTCCCTCTCAAGTGCCATTAATTGTATACAGAGAGTCATTATATAGGTTGAAAAGTGGTTGCCTCTTGCTTTTATGGATTAGGCACTTAATTTTATTAATAGCGCGTTATTGCCAGAGGCGATCCAACTAATAGGTGGCCCATCAGTGGCTTTGACCAAGGTCGCGTTTGGTGGATGCAAAAATTAAATTATGCTTCTTCTAATCGCTCATTGTCTTCATAGTTGAACTGGGCGACGTGCAGCGTATCCACTTGACACGGGGCCAAAAGAATCCACAATTTTACGAGGGCGTTTTGCACAGAAATGGTTCGCAGGAAGTGCATCGTTATTTCGCCGCGGGAAATGTAAAACCCCGGTGCAATTTGTGCCAAAGGAAGTCCAGCGGCAGCCACACAAATTGGCCACTCGCTTTAATCACAAGCGTGTTTTTCGTCAGAACTTATTCGTTACATGCTAATTAATTCTTGCAGTGCTTCTCCACCCTTTGCCCAAATTCAAACTTTTAATTAATTTTGATTTAAAGTGTTATACATTTCAAGCAGTCTGTTTATCCGAGCCTCTCTAATTGACGCCGAGGATAAAAGGTCAGAAGTCAATAGGGTGTTTTTCAGGAGGAGCGAAAAAGATAAAGTTGCTTATTCGAATTGTACGCATTATGATTTACGCTCCGCTGGTTTTATTTAATTAATTAAGGCGCCAGCAAGTCTATTTTTTCATCACATAAAAATCGCTTACTTTTTACAAAAACAAATTAGAGATTTAATTAATTAAGGGAATGGGTTGATATGAATTTTGACTAAGCCATTTTATTCAAAATTTGCATTAATTTGACAAAACCAGATAAAATTTTCTACTTTAATTTATTCAAATAAAAAAATTGGCTAACAATTCAAGCTGTGTTTTTCTTTTTAAATTGCTCCAGATTTTCATGGTGCTTTAAAAAGTGCATTACTTTCCTTCAAGGATAATTAGCACTGTTTGTTGTTGCTGGCTGGATTAGGTGTCCCTATCAATTATGTATAATAGCACATACAAAGGGCTGACGTGATTGCATTTTGCATAATCGTTATTCATGGCGTTGGACGGCCACTTGCAATTAGCCGGTAGCAGCAGATGGAGGCGCCGAAATGGAGAGAAAAAGTGGCAAAAATTGAAATCCTTGAAATCCCGCACGAAATAATTAATCGGCGGCAGAGTGTGCAAAAATACGCGTGAGCGGATTTTTCCCCGGGGCCAGGGTTGGTGCAGGCGGAAAGAGATTCAGCTCGGTGACGTGAGTTGCACACAAATAAAATAAAATGGAAATTGCGGTTGTTTATACACGGCCATTTTTCTTGGAGAAAATTCTGCTTTTGTCGTTTTTGGGTTCCGTTAAAAAAAAATGCCTTTTTTTGTGTGCCAAAGAAACGGAGATGAATTGACCTCTGTGTGTCACAAAGTCAGAAAAGCTAGAGCGTCTTTTGACCTTAAAAATAATAATGATAAGTTGTTGCTAAACTGGAAAATATTTTTGTTTAATGTTTTCACTGAAATAACTGAAAAAAATTTAGACCATCAATATAAACGCAATTTAATTTGACAATCTAAAAAGGCAAAGTTGATTTTAGGAAATTATTTATCTCTACATCTTGAGAAGAATTACAGTTAAATTAGAGGTTAAGTGTTAATTTAACCCATTACCAGTCTTGAAAGAAACATAAAAAATAAGATCCAAGAACTTGTTTAAAAACTAAATTAAACAAAGTTTAAAAAAAATAGAATGCAATTATTTAAAATTATCATCTGTACACAGAATTTGGAAAAAAGTAATACAAAAGTAAAAAGATTCCCATAATTCCGTTTCAACTGTGAAAATAAAAGTGTTGCGCAATGCTCTAGCTTCTGAGCTATGATAATTATAAGTGTGTTTTGCATGAGTTGTAAAAACCCTTTTATATAAAAAAGCTCGCGATCCCTTGAGGAATCACAATATTATGCTTGTGTTGCCATAACTTTAGTGGATTACGTGCATTTATAAAGGGCTCCCTGGAAAGCAATCAAAAATTTCTAGTCTGCAGTTCACAAAAATAAGAAGTTAAAAAAGGCGTAAGGAAAATCTTGGCTCCCTATATAAAATATATTCATTTTAAAACTTTAAAAATTTAGTCACATACAAAGCAAAGGTGCTTATCCTTAAATGTAAATAATTCAAATGTTTTAAATACTCAACACTGTGTGAATGTGCAGTGCATATCAATTTACTTTACGGAAGAGCCATTGAGTGAAAATACTTTTTCAGTAATTTGAATTTAAAATAGAAAATTCCATTCAATTTTCTTTTAGCATAATAGTAAAGGGAAATCATAACTCATAAGACCTTCAGTTTAATACACATCTTTCGTAAAATTGGATGAGGAAGAACTGCTGATAAAAAATGATATAAATGTACATACACATATATATTACATAATCCCGACGGGAAACGAAGGAGATTTGGCGCCTTTCTTTGAGAAAAGCGAAATAGAGAGCAAGTCCAAATTAATTAGAAGTTAGTTGCTGGGAGGCGATATAAGAAAAGGGCAATCAAAAGCAGTCGGTGACTTACCTAGCGGCGGACGCGGGAGCGCGCGCGTCGTCCGTGAGTCGTTGCCTGCGGCGAGAGAGCGACTGACTGCTGAGGCTGCGAATGGGGAGCACACCAAAGAAGCACCCTTCCTAGCTCTTTCCCTCACACGCAGCCCTCTGTTGTGTAAATCTCAGCGCGAGAGACACCGGCGTTTGTATCAATTAGCACGCGCAATCGCAGCCAATCAGTCGCGTGTACCTAGGCAACTAGAGCAAAATTGCTTGCTGGTGCATGGCGCGATCAAATATAATAATTATTTAGATTTGGCCGAAACAGAAACCATTAAGCCCCATCACAGCTTTTATTAAAAAATGATCAGTTAAAAGCTAGATCGCGATAAGTGATAAAAACAAATTTTCAAATATTATTAACAAATTTAAGGGGAAAATTATAACAATTTGTCAAGTTTTAATATTTAATTAAAATATTTATTAAGCTTATTTATTGCTGCTTTAATTTACAATTTATTCCCCCCCCCCTCCATATTAATTACTTTCAAATTTTACTTAATCTTTTATATCCCCCTTCATCTTGGCCTTGGCTAAAACAAAACTAGTTTAACTCTCATTTACTTATTATATTCAAATAGGTAATGTTGAGCAAGAGCTGTGTACAATCCTATGCGTGCTATCTCAATAGCTTGTCCCTATATTGTGGGTCTGTGATTGTTGCGTAAATTTTAACAATTTTGTGTCCATTCCATCATCCACTCGTTTTCATTCTGGTTAGACGCAATGTCAGGTACCAAAGGCTGCAGTCAGTCGATCACCATCGTCTGCTTTTCCGAAAAGCGCCCCTTTCCTATTTATTTCCAAAAATCTGTGCTCCCCTGGGAAATTAGTCCATCCGCTGCATGTGATAGACCCAATAACACTATGAGCAATCTCTCAAAATCATTCCTAATATTGCGTGCTGCTTTTCAATCCCCCTGGAATTATGCAACACACTGCCCTACTACATGGGCCATTCAGAACTTTGGTCACTTAGTTTTTAATTCACAGAAAATTATAACTAGAAGGTGAACAGGAAACTTTATTACTGCAAACAATCATAAAGATTTTGGTGCGCAACTTTGAATCTAAATTTTCCAAATCGAGTTCATATATATAAAATACTAATGTGAACAATTAATTCACAAGTTTCTCCTTAAATTCCTATCATGCATGCACAAGTGTGTCCATAACTCTTTTGTGGATAGCACAATTTGTACACAAATTAAAAGCATCATTTTATCATTATTAAAGCATCTAAGAGACTTTTGAGTGCCACTTTCTCTTTTTGGTGAGTCAATTTATTATTCATCGTCACTGGACGAGTTGTCCTCATCCTCTGTGTCACTTTCGTTTCCAGACGAAGAATCGTCAGACTTAGAAGACTAAAATAATCATATTTACAATCACGGCTCATTTAAAAAGTAAGATCAAGTAATTACCTGGCTGCTATGATCATCGTCATCATCGTCGTCGTCTTCATCCTCATTGTCACTTTTAGACTCCATTTTTACTTTCTTTGCGTTGCTCCTGGCCTTCATTATTGAGTACTCCTTCAGCTGCTCCTGAGTGAGGCTCTGGAGGACAAATTTAATTTCCAAATCGATGATAAAATCCAATGTATCACCTTCAGGAAATTTTCGTATTTGCTGATGTACTTGGACTTGGCCTCCTGCAGCCGCTTGCGCCACTTGCTCTTTTCCCCTTCGCTCATTTGGTTCCAGTAGGCAGGCGCCTCCTTGACCCTGTTCGCCTCAGGCACATGTTTTGCACTTGTCACAAATTCCTTCAGGAACAACTTAAATGGCGTCCTGATCCATAAATTCTAAATAAAAAACTATCTCAAAAAACAAAAAAAGTCCTTACGAAGGTGGCGCCTCAGGTTCTCCCTTGAATAGCTCGACCTTCTCCTCCACAAGGATGGTGGTTTTGGGCTTGGTGACTTTCTCTTCTTCCTCCTCCTCCTCTTCTGATTCTTCAACAGGTTTTGAGGCAGGCTTAACCTTCTCAACAACCTTTTTCTTTTTACTCAAGACCGGGCCTTCCGCACGCTTCCTCACACCAACATTCTGCAGCTCTTCCTCCCTTTTTTCGGGGGTCAAAGACTCGAGGTATGTTGCAAAGTGAAGCTTGTACTGCTCCAGCATCTGTTATTTTTCTACATTAGTTTTTTTTTATATAAAATAGAGTTGAAATCTGACCTGCTGAACTTTGTCGTGGTATTTGCGCTTGTCTTTTACTGACAGGTTTTTCCACATGGATGAAATCTGCGTCATCCTGTCCTTGTGGTTGATGTTTTTGATTTCCTCGCTGCTCAACATGATTCTGGAGAAGAGGCTGTAGCCTGAATTGGGTGGTTTTTCCGGCTTTCCAATTGACTTTTCATACAAATTTCTCTCGTCCTTGTTGAGAATCTTGCATGTGCCACTCTCGAAGTCCGGGTGCGCCTCCTTGTACACCACTAGTTCTTTCTAAACCAAACATTAGAAGAAAAAAATCTAAAAAAAAAAACACATTTCCTACATTGTATCTTTCTTCGTCGTCAAGGGCAGCTTTGATCCAAATGACCCTCTTCTTGTCACTCAGCTCCTTCCACGCCTCTTTGTACTGCTCAGTCAAGCTTTGTTTATCCGCGTCAAGCTCGTTCAAGTGCTTTTCCATCTTATCCCTCAGGTAGTGTTGGTAGGGCGTGAACGGCTTTCGAGGGCCTGGGGCCTCCTTGGTCGACTTTTGTCTCTTGGTCTTAGAAGGTTTCAATTCAGGGTGATTGTGGCTACAATTTTGGAATGTAAGGCCAATTTAAGATGAAAATTGAAAAGGAATTACTGGAAAACAGCCATTTTCTCCATATACTGGTCTCTCTGCAGCTTGGCTCGATCAACATACTTTTGTTTATGCTTGTCGGGCAGACTTTTGTACATCGTTGCAATGATCTTTGATAACTTGGTCTGAAATTGCAAATAATTAAAAAAAATAACTTCCTTACATTGATATTTTTAGGAAATATACCATCTCAAGTCCAGGATATTCTTTGGCGACCTTGTCCTTTTTCTCCATGTAAAACATCATGTAAGTAGACAGAGGTCTCTTAGGCATGTCAGGGTGTCGATTGGTCTTTTGGCTGCGGTAAAAATTAGTCCACGGCTTGTCGGCCCACTCCTTGGCATCAACCAGCAGCTCCTTCAGCAGGCGGTACCTGCGGAGCCGAGTTGAAACCTTCTGCCACATTGCACTGCACTCCTCTGCCGAGTAATTGTCAAAGGCAATCTTCAGATTTAAAAATTAGTAAACCCAATTTGAAGGTCGTTTAAAAAAAAGAAATACCTTCGCCCAGTTCAACTTTTCAGCTGTTTTTTCAAACTTGTGTTTCTCCTTCTCAGGAACCTCCGTTTCCATGCGGTTGAACAATTTGAGCAAATCAACATAAGGCCAAAGCTCTTCAACTCCCTCTGTTTTTTTTTTGTTATTTTTTTTCCGATTAACACAATCAAAATTAAGAAATTTATTATAGTCACCATATTCAATTGCGCCTTCTTCATCATCATCATCATCATCATCTTCTTCTTCTTCTACTACTTGGAATTTCACGGGAGGCTGTTGTTTCTCTTTCTTGTTGGATTTTGTCTTAGCCTTTTTTGTGGCAGGCCTTTCTTCAAAATCGTCATCAGAGTTGGGTGGAGTAGGTTCGTCCTCACTCTCCATTGCCTGCCGCTTCTTGCTCTTTCCCATTTTCACTAAATAATAGCGAAAAATTATAGCAAATTCAGAGTTAGCAGAATAATTTCCATAAATTATTCAACAAATTTAAAATCGTGTATCAAAACACGTATGTAACTATTTAAGTATAATTTAAATAAGTAACTTTTGACTTATCGCCTTTAACGTAGAATTACGTTCCAAGACGCGAGAGACTGTTTGGATTCTCTTCAAATTTTATTAAATTTTAATTGCATATTTAATAAAAATATAAAATTTTACATAAATTGCATTGAAATACAAAATAATTATGCAACAATTTTTCACATTATAAAATTCTTTGACAGTTTCTTGGAAGATTAAAAAAGCAGCAACAAAACCTTCAAAAATTGAAAATAAAAAAATATTCTCTTTTAATTTATAAAAATATTATCCCGGATTATCTTAAAAACCATAAAAATGCTTAAAAACTAGAGCATTTGTTTTAAATATAAACGTCCTAATGTAAATAGTGGCCGGCCCTAAGAACAGACGGTATGGCATTGGTTGCGGCGGTGGGTATAATGCGCGTCTGTCGATGTCGGCCGCCGCCCTGTCATCAGCCCGGCTCGCTCTCAGCAGCGGGGTCGTTGACGGCGATCGCCTACGTGCGTCCCGCTGGCAAAAGTTGAAATTTGTCGCCAAACGGACTGATCGTGGCTTGAAACCATCGTTCTACAATCTAAAACCCCATCAGGCAAAGGTTCGGCGTCTGCCTGACCGATCTCGAGTCGAATACGACGCGGATTTTGCGAATTAATGGTTCGGGGGCGCCGCGGCCAGACCCATTTATCGGCCATCGCGACACCGACGGCGGAGAGAGCGGCCATGTTGTGCGCTCTCGCAACTAGCTGCTCGATTTTGGTCCCGTTTGTTGACGAATGTGTGAAAAACTGATGCAAATTTCTTCGAGGCAAATTTAGATAAATTTTGAAATTACCAAATAATTGTTTCTTCGATCGCCTAAGTGCCGAATCGCCTGTTTACATGAAAAATAAGCCAGCCGTCCTTTTGCTACCAACTGTCGTCGCGCCGCGCTGACTGGCGGTGTTCGGTTGTTTTAAGCACTAAAGATACCGGTTAATGTATTTCCAAAATCATAGTCTTGCTACAGAAGCCATTTTTTATTGTTTAATATCAAAACACAAGCAAAAACTAATTTTTTATCAGTTTTCACAAATAAACTTTTAATTTGAAAATGCTAAAATCAGGTAAAATTATATTTTGATAACAAAAATACCGGTAGCGCTTCACAAATACCGGTAAGAAAAACAAGCTTGACAACTACCAACACAACACACCCAAAAATAAAAATTTAAGCCTTTCAATAAAGTCAATTGTGGCAATGTTTCTAGTTAAAGTTTGTTATTTGTATTTTAAAGCGTTTTTAATTTTTAATTGATCAATTAAATGCAATAATGAAGTATATTGGCTGCGATAATCTCTTAATTAATGTTGGCAACACATCAAGGCCCCAAAGTCACCAAATTCGACTGTAAACACAAATTAATCCCTTATCTCTGAACGTCTGAACCAAGAAGTATAAAATTTTATACTTCTTGCTCTGAACACAAATAGTTGCACAAATAATTATTGGCACGTTTGTGTTGTTGTTTTTGTTTGATCATTTTTCGAAATATCAATTTATTTGGAAGTGATTGAATGAAGTTCATTTAAAATGCCTCGAAATATTGAAATCAAAGCCCGAGTGCATGACTTGGTTGACTTGCTTCGCCGTGCCAAACAGGTTAGCGACAAAGCCGAAGAGATTTTGAAGCAGGTTGACGTCTTTTTCCCCTCGAAAAACGGCAGGTTGAAGCTTCGTGACGAGGTATATATATCTGAAATATAATACTAAACTTTTGTAGCTTTAATCATTCTTACAATTATACATAGATTTATGAATGTTTTTATACTTTTTCATGGACGGTTTTTTTGTTATCTGTCCTGTATTTTTTAGGAGGTTGATGGCAAGCGCGAGGCCTGTTTGATTTTCTACGACCGTCCTGACACAAAGGGGCCCAAGTTGAGCACCTACTCGAAGTGCCCTTTGGGTTCTTCTGGTCAGCAGTTGCGCGGGGTGTTGGCAGCCGCCCTTGGCGAAAGATTGGCCGTTCATAAAACGCGGCATCTGTTCATGGTCGCCAACACCAGGATCCACGTCGATGAGGTTGACGGCCTCGGAAACTTCATGGAACTAGAGGTAAATTTTGTGGTCCTAAAATCAGTCAGCGTGACTTGATTTTTTTTACATTCGCAAGGTTGGTTTGCTTGATGAGCAGACCATCGAGGATGGAAACAAAATCGCAAAGGACCTGATGGCCAAACTTAACATTTCCGAAACTGATCTTTTAGACGTTGCGTACGCAGATATGCTGGAGAAATCTTAATAAATTTCCAATATCGATACCTTAAAATATTCAATTCTGAAATATATTTTACTTTCCTCACTTTAAAAGCTGTGTTGAATTTAGCAATAGTGAATTAAAAATCTACAAATTCTAAATTGAAACAATTGATTTTATTTAAAATATATCAGAATAACTCAATAAATTGTGAACTAACATATTATATTCAGTATTAATATCAGCTATTTAAATCTAGTAAAATATTGAATGTTGAATATAATATATTCACAGCTTACATATTTCTCCTCCAATAAGGAAAAACGGGCATTAAAGTAGACATGAACATTTTTTCATCGGTTCGAGGTATTTATCATTGATAAAAGAAGGTTAATATATGAAGTTGTATGCTAATTTTAGGAAAACCGTTTTGGAACTCAAGAAAAGAAACTATTTTAATGTATATTATCTTAAAATGGGATGATCTCAAAATACTAGTGGGACAAGTTTTACCCATTAGCCAGAAAGGAGATCGCGAGGAATTAATTTTTATCCAAAAATCCTAGTAAAATTTTTTTAATCTGTCATTTTTTACCAGTATTTTCAATAAGCCAAATATGTATAAATTTTTCTTTTAAAAATCTACTTTTTATCCACTCAATCCACTGACAGAAAATCAAGTGCAATAATTTGTGTTAAATCATCTAAAATCTCAATCTTAATAACTTGGTATCTTCCGTCTTATTGTCAGCGACTTCCGCCTTGGTTTCATTTACAGGAATGACTCTTCACTTATCTCGTTTTCCAACTCCATATTTACACTGTGCCGTACCTTGACCACGGTGGGATTTGCCTTTTCCCGTCTACTTGATTTGATTTCCTCATTCTCAGACAACATGTCTTCCAAATTTTGAATTTCGGTCAATACACTGGTCTGATCGTCTTTCAGTTCATTCTTCATGTTTTGGTAAATAGGGTCCAAGTGAGCGATCATTCTGCCACCACCACCATTCATTTTCAACCCTATAATCAGTATCATTAAAAAATTTTCGACATGATTGCACAAAATATTAAAAACCTTCTTTGAAATCTTCAACAATGGCGTCTCGCACGCACTCGTGAATATACTTGTATTGAAGCTGCGTTTAGTTTAATTAATCATCTCTATTTCTTAAATTTTAAAACACTGATACAAACCTCGGTCTGGACCATGTTGATTCGTTGGTACCGCAATTGCAGAATCTTGTCGAAGATGTTAATCTCTCGATTTGCCCTTATTTCTTGCAGCAACATATCCACAGCTATCAGGGTCCCTGTCCGACCAACCCCAGCGCTAAAATTATTATTCTCCATTATTTATTTATTTATTTATTTTCCATTCAGATACAATGAAATATACAATACACAACATCTTACATCAAGTTAAATAAAATTTAAAAAACTGAAAATACATGATAGAATGTTGATTAGAGGGGTGAATGGAGAAATGGCTCTTCGCTAGCAAACAACTTGCTAAAGCATGGCGCACTCTCCTTCGAAGAAGAGCGCACCGGCCGCTAGAGCCATTGGTCAGGGGGACTACGAATTAAGTTTTTGCCACAGATACGCCTTGCACAGCGCTGGAAACTGTGCCGCCGTACAGTCTTTCAATTTATAATTAAAAAATACAAGGAGATAAAAAAAGATTGAGCGCAGGAGTGTGGGAAAATTATATTTTATATTTAATCAAAATTTAGTCGTTAATATTTGAGTATTTAGTTCTTCAATCTCCTTGCATTTTTTTTTTTAATTTTCACCTGCAGTGCACAAGGACAAGGCCATCCGAATTGGCATTGGCCAGTTCCCTAACAGTGCGGCAGAAACTGAGCAGCAGGTCCGTCGTTTCAGGGCACCCAAAGTCCGGCCACTCTTTGAAATGGAGTTGAATCACATTTTTCAAAATCATTCCCTGTCAAACAAATCAATTAGTCTTGTTTGCTTTTCACTTTCGAAAATCTCTACTCACGTCAGTCTTCTGCACTAAAAACGTCCTTCTCGTGTAGACAGGAAAGTCTGCTTGCAAGACGCACTTGACGGCAACTCTCTCATACCTTATAGTTTCTCTCAGGTCTGGGAAGTACTTGTGGCACTTAATCTAAATACTCGAAAATTTTAAATAATATATTTTAACAGATATTTTTGGCGAACTCAACCTTTCCCTTTTCTGCCAAATTGGTGACCATGACAATCACGCATACGTCCTTTTCAAAGACCATGCGCCAAAAGTCTTCAGCAGTGTCCGCCAACGGACCTTGACAGGCAATATACTCGACCTGGCCGCTGAACCCCTTAAAAAGTATTTGACCACAGGAATACATTAATTTATTTTAGCTTTGAAAATTTTTTGCCTACTTTGACCTCGGAGGCATTGATGTAGTCTGACTCAGGGTCGTTGGGACTCACCACTGACAAAACTACCCTAGTACTGTCGTCTGATAATATTATGTAAATCAATAATAAATAATATTTAAATTTTTCATCTTTTGTGTCTTACATGGCAAAATGTTGATATATCGGTTCTTCCGCTTGTTGTACTGGAGCATGGCGGCCGAGTAGTTTCCAGGGTGTGTCGACGGCGGCGGTGGGCTTAGTAGGGCAAGTTGCTTAAACTGCTCGGACAATCCGTTGCTCTCCTCTAGTTCCGCCTCTTCCAACAGTTGCTCCAGGTACTTTGCAAATTCGTTCTTTGGTACTGACTTCCTGATCAGCGGGCGCCGCTCTTGAGTTTCATTGACGGGCTCTCCCTGCTGCTGAATTCCGCGCCGCATGGCACCCATTTTAAACATGATATTTTTTACACTGTAAGGTTGGTTTGAATAATCAGTTGCCATTATTTTGAGATTTGTGATTGGATCATTATAATTTTTTTAGCTACAAAATTGTACCATTTGGGGTTTTCAGGGCTGTTGAACCAAATGCCAAACAGAATGGTGCCGATGAAAATGAGACTGACCAGCGACAAAACAAAAATGCCTCCGTTGCTCGTCTCTTCTTCAGTGTCCACGCTTTTCGGTTCTGTGTCTCTGAAGCCCACAGTAGTGAAGGCTCTAATTTTGAAAAAGTATTTTGTTTTTGGTTTGAGAGGCCCGTTGCAGAATTTAGCCAAATCGGCTGGGTTGCAACTGTCGTCTGCTCCAATTGAATATCGATAATTTTCTCCTGGATTGATGCGGTGGTTGAAAATTTGGTACCGACTTAAAAAATTTAATGACCTGTGGTGTCGGGATTCCATTCTTTCTTGGTTGGTCGGTAGAATCGCGTTTCATTATCGTTTTTCATGTGCTGAGCCCACGTGATGACCTTTCCTTCTTGTCCGATGTAATTACCTAGTGCCGCGTCATCATTATACCTCGCCACCAAAATTTCCCATCTAACAATCTTTGAATCTCCAAAAAGATTCTTCGGCCACAGAATGGTCACCTCTTTGCCTCTCCTTTCATCATCAAGTGACGTCTCAACTTCTCCAGACGGCGGTGGCGGAACTTTGATGAAAAAAAATATAATTAAAAAAAAAAATCATAATTTCAAACAATCTCTTACTGTCGTCTATTTTTTTTATGTCAATGCTCGACTTTTCTCCTTCTGCGTCGCTTGAATCAACCACACAAACCGTTACTGTGGCAGTTTGGTTGTCTTTCAAGTTCTCATTGGTGACTCGAAACTCGTCCTGATTTACTTTGTATATTCTTTTAGGTGTAAGATCTTCATATTCAAATTCAAGCTTCAAATTATAATAAGTTAGTTTGACACGTGGATTAAAACGAATCAAACTCACTTTATAATATTTTTTGTCAATGATTACGTCTGGGTCTCTCCAGGTCAGTTTATTCGTCTTGCTGTCAAATGCGAGGTCCTTGACGGGACCTGCCACTCAAGTTTCAAATCATCACTGATTTTTCGCTAATTAATTATTTCCCACTTACCTTCTACTTTTGCATTTAACATCTCTTCCTCCGTCAGAGTAATTCCCATTTTTAAATTCACTGTTGATGAGTTTTGTGTCGTGCCAGAACGATGAAAGCCTTCCGAGGACTTTTCAGATTGCACGGTTAGTATCGGTGCTAGCGAATCGTTGTACGCATATCCGTGGGTGGTTTTGATACTAGATCCAGTGGAGCCGAGTGGTGAAAGATTCCCTATAGGAATAAAATATAATATAGGAATTATAAAACGGCGTCAATGTTACCGCCATATTGTTGAGCCTGCTCTCCCTGAAAAACAGTTATTTTTTTAATTAATTTTCCTTCAATTTTCTTTACCGTTGAATGCGCATAGGCGATTAAAAAGGCAAGTGAGACTAAAGCTCGGAGTGGCAATATCCTTATTTGGCTAGGCTTCAACGGCTCCATTATTCGTCACTTGCTTCCACACCTATATTACAAGTAGGATTTTTTTTTTAATTTTTACTAAGTTTGCAATTCTACTAATGTGCAACCTGAAATAAATTAATTTTACTATACAATTCATATTACCAAAATCAACCAAAATGATGTTTAATATAATTAAATAGGATCTGCTATCACTGAAGAGAAAATAAACGTGATTTTTCCTCGTCAAAAAAATCTATGTAGAATAATCGTCATTACCAGTTTCAGTTACGTTCTGCGACCCTATTCCATCAGTAAACGAACTGCTTTTTGGCTAATGAAGCTGTTTTATTTTACAAAAATGTTTTTTCATCACTCCTATGAACGTCTCCTCGAGTGCAAACTTTTTCACTGTATCAATTTTGTGGACTATGGTATATCTCACAGGTTCACATTGTAATTCAAACTAGCCCGGTCTTATTGTGGAGATAAGGAATCTAAGCAGTTCTCAGGAGTTATCAAAGCTTTAATCAAATACGTTGCCAATTTGTTTTACGTAAGTGTGGCCAAAAAAACGAATGGTTATCACCTTGATTAAATATTCTACAGAAGATAAGCTTAGAATATATCATTTGTGGAAATTAGTGTTCAACAGATTAAATATTTTTAACACGAATAATATTAAAGATACAATTATCAATGATTAATTTATAAACATTCTTGATCACAACATTTTATTTGTGATCACTTTTTAACACCAATAAAATTTGCAGCAGCTCTGCAGATATCATTCAGAAATCAAAAGGCCAATAGTAAAATCAGAAAAGTCAATGATTTTGTTATCAATTCACATTATGTTGCAATTTTTTTTTAAATCACATGAAACACATGCATTTTCGATCAAATTGCTACATTTGCTACCAAATTTAGCATCTCTATTCAAAATTGTTTCTGAATTACTTATTTTAATTTGAGTTGCTACTAAACGTGATTTTCAAATATAAATTAATTAGATTTGGACATGCATGGGCAGATCGCGATCGGACGATTTTCCAATTTGTGAGTGCGAGCGCAATGGTCGCTGAGCGCAGCGCTCATTTTGAGCACACACCGAAAGTAAAAATTCCAAAATTCAAACAAAAATTGTAAAGAAAAACCGTGTTTAATACCAAAAACTTCAAAACTGATCCCAATTTTGGATATTTAATTCAACTTTATCATATCCAATCGCCGATGGGTTAAACTTTTTCTCACGGGAAAAATATTTTTGAGCGTAAAGCGTGAACGCAAAATTGTTGCACACCTTTATGTCCTTCAGGTCAGCATTGGGTCCGCCCGCAGGCAAAAGGTCGGCCGTTTAGAAAACGCTGAATACATAAAAGGGGCAAAAATTGAACCTTCTTATTTTAACACTTATTGACTTTTAGTTTACAAAATATTTTTGAAATTAAAAATTCATGGATTTAAACTTCAAGCAATTGATTTTATTTTAAGTATATTTATAATAACACAATACATTGCAATTATTGATCCAGTATATTTATTTAATTTGCAACTATACTTATCTACAATTTATTTATAGGAAAATATGGAATGTTAATAATTATTAAACATAAATGTATCCTGAAATACATATTCACAGCGTATTTCTCTGCAGCAAAAGATCATCTTCTTAAAGTGGATATCGGTACATAGCATGTAAAAACAGTTTTGGGAAAAAATAAGGGATCCCAGCCAAGAAAATCGATTACTTTTTATATATCTTCAATTGGGATTTTGGACTGACTCTCCAAATATTAGCAGTTCATGATTAACGCAATGGAAAAAAGAGATCAGGAGGAATCAGTTATGTAAAAAAGCCTAAATAAAACGCTCACATTATCTAGAAATTTGATGTTCATATAAGTACTTGAAACTGTATTTTATAGGCAGAAACTTTAAACTTTCCCCTGCTAGTGCATTGCTTAAACAAAATAGACTGCTTTTTTGGCCGTCGTATCTAAGCCTAATATCCATTTATATATTTTTCCCATCCATATTTTTAGAATAAACTCTCAGTAAATATGCAACATCTTACATTAAATGAAATGAATCAGTTGAACATAAAGCTTTACAAATTGTTGTCGTCCGTCGTTCTTTGAGTGTCTTCCGCCTCGGTTTCAGTTATAGGAATGACCACTTCGGTTACTTCGTTATCCAACTCCATATTTACACTGTGTCGAACCTTTATTACGGTGGCGGGTGCCAACTCCTCTTGACTTGATTCGATTTCCTCATTCTCGGACGAGATTTCCTCCAAATTTTGAATTTCAGTCAAAACGCTAGTCGGGCGATCTTTCAGATCCTTCTTCAAGTTTTGATAAATAGGGTCCAAGTGGGCGCTCACTCTGCCACCACCGCCGTTCATGTTTAAACCTGAAACTCGGCAAAATAAAACACAAATGTCTAGAAATAATTATTTAAAATAATACAAACCATCTTTCATGTCTTCCTCAATGGCGTCTCGCACACACTCGTGAATGTATTTGTACTGGCCCTATTAAGTTGAATTAATTATCTTAATTTCATAAATTTTAAAACACTGATACAAACCTCGGTCTGGACCATGTTGATTCGTTGGTACCGCAATTGCAGAATCTTGTCGAAGATGTTAATCTCTCGATTTGCCCTAATTTCTTGCAGCAACATATCCAAAGCTATCAGGGTCCCTGTCCGACCAACCCCAGCGCTAAAATGATTATTCTCTATTATTAAAAATTAAAAAATTCAAGGAGATAACGAATTTAATCAAAATTTTGTCTCTAATATTTGAGTATTTAGTTTTTCAATCTCCTCGCAAATTTTAATCTGATTTTCACCTGCAGTGCACAAGGACAAGGCCATCCAAATTGGCGTTGGCCAGTTCCCTAACAGTGCGGCAGAAACTGAGCAGCAGGTCTGTCGTTTCAGGGCACCCGAAGTCCGGCCACTCTTTGAAATGGAGTTGAATCACCGTTTTCAAAATTATTCCCTGTCAAACAAATCAATCAGTCTTGTGTTTTTTTCACTTTTGAAAAAAAATCTCTACTCACGTCAGTCTCCTGTACTAAAAACGTCCTTCTGGTGTAGACAGGGAAGTCCGCTTGCAAGATGCACTTGACGGCAACCCGCTCATACCTTATAGTTTCTCTCAAGTCTGGGAAGTACTTGTGACACTTTATCTAAAAACTCAGAATTTTATTAAATTTCTCCAGACATTTTAGGCGAACCAACCTTCCCCTTTTCTTCTAAATTAGTGACCATGACAATCACGCATACGTCCTTTTCGAAGACCATGCGCCAAAAGTCTTCAGCAGTGTCCGCCAGCGGACCCTGACAGGCGACGTACTCGATCTGGCCACTGAACCCCTTAAAAATTATTTTACCACAGGAATAAATTTTATTTTAGCTATGAAAATTTATGCTCACTTTGACCTCGGAGGCATTGATGTAGTCAGACTCTGGGTCATTGGGGCTCACCACTGACAAAACTACCCGTGTACTGTCATCTGTTAATATTAAGTATATTATTAATTAATAATAAAATTTAATTATTTTTTCCTTTTTCCTGTCTTACATGGCAAAATGTTGATGTATCGGTTTTTCCGCTTGTTGTACTGGAGCATGGCGGCCGAATAGTTTTCAGGGTGAGTTGACGGCGGTGGTGGACTCAGCATCGCAAGTTGCTTGAACTGCTCGGACAGTTCGTTTCCCTCCTCGTGTTCAGCTTCGTCCAATAGTTTCTCCAGGTACTTAGCGAATTCGCTCTTAGGTACCGACTTACTTATCAACGGGCGCCGCTCCTGCATTTCTATAATCGTCTCTCGCTGCTGCTGAATACCGCGCCGGATTGCACCCATTCTGAACATAATTTTCTGGACACTGAAATTTGGTTTGAAGAAATAATTTCGTTACTATGAGGTGTGACGTTTGTTTTTAAATTAAAATTGGCAATAAAATAGTACCATCTAGGGTTTTCTCGACGATTGAACCAAATACCAAACAGGATGGTGCCGATGAAAATCAGACTGACGAGCGCCAAAATGTAAATGCCTGCATTGCTCGTCTCTTCGTCGGTTTCTAAGCTTTTCAGCGCTGTGTCCCTGAAGCCAACAGTGGTGAAGCCTCGGATTTTGAAATAGTATTTGGTTTTAGGTTTTAGAGGCCCGTTGCAGAATACAGTCAAATCATCCGGGTTGCAGCTGTCATCTGCCCCAACGTGATAACGAAAATTGCTAACTGGATTGATTTAATGCTTATTATTTTTTAAAATTTTAAAAAATAAATTGAAATAACCCGTGTTGTCCATATTCCATTCTTCCTTGGTTGGTCGGTAGAATCGCGGATCGCCATTGTTTTTCATGTGCTGAGCCCACGTGATGACCTCTTCTCCTTGTCCGATGTAATTACCTTGGGCTGCGTCGTTGTTGTGCCTCGCTACCAAAATTGCCCATCTGGTAATCTTTGATTCTCCAAAAAGATTCTTCGGCCACTGGATAGCCACCTGTTTGCTTCTCCTTTCGTCACCAAGTGACGCCTCCACTTCTCCAGATGGCGGTGAAGGTACTTTGCAAAATCATCAATAAATTTTTATTTTTGAGTTAGATCTCTTACTGTCGTCTAATTTTGTAATGTAAAGGCTGCTCTCCTCTCCTTTGTCATCATTTGAATCAATCGCAAAAACTTTCACTGTTACACTTTGGTTGTTTTTTAAATTTTCATTGGTAACACGAAACTCGGTTTGGTTATTGGTGCTTTTTGTAGTTAAATTAAATTGAACCTAAATTAAAAAAAGGAATTTAATTAATTATTTCTTTAAAAAAAAAATCAGCTTACCATGTAATCTTTAATTGTGTAACATTTTAGGTTTGGGGCCTTCCAAGTTAATTTATTTGTCTCATTGTCAAATGCTAAATGCATGGGACCTGCCACTGAAATTGCAAACAAAATTTAGCGATTTCATTCCAAATTAATTATTTTCTCTCACCTTCTACTTTTGTAGTAAACGTCCCATTCACCGTCCGTGTAAGTTCCAATTTATGAAATTTTATATTATAATCGTAGCTCTTTCCTGGATACAATTCCTTCAAATCAATATAACGGGTCGAGACCTTAGCCTGAAGAAAATTTAAAATTCTAGGCATTTTATAAATACTCAAACGGGATTTCTATACTTTAAAATCGCTTGTGCAATTTCCACCTTTGCAATCCATGCAGTAGGCCTCCACTTCCGTATAATTGGCATCCACAGACCAAGAAATATTAACCACGTCCGTAGAATTATTGATTTTTATCAATTTATTTTCAAGAGCTGATTTTGAGAAACTTAAATTCGTAATTTACATTTCGATTAAAAGGACCTTACGCTTTAGTTCCACTCCAATATGTGTGGCTTTTGATTGATTTATTTCTTTATTGCCAAGCAGGGCAGTCACTGAAATTGTGTAATTGCAACCATCTATCAAATCATGAATGTTGAACGCTTTTTTAGTTGTCACGTTGGTGAGATAATTACTGCCGCAATAACTAACGTTCACCTAGTTTTGAAAGGGCGTTAAAAATTTATATTATTTTATTTTATTTTACCTTGTAGGAAAAATTTTGATTTGGAGTATTTGAGCAAGGCTCGTCCCACGTGAGATATATGCCCCAAAAATCTTTGGTTTTGTTCAAATTGCGCACAGGCGGGACATCTACGACTACTAAACAAATAAAAGTCTTTTTAAAATATATTCTATTATTTCCATTTTACCTTCGGTATGTACTGTTTTGTCAATTTTCGTCGAGTTGACAAAAATTTCATAACCTGAATTGCTGGTGAGTCCACCAAACATGACGGATTTATTGGAGTTCCCCTGAAATAATTGGTAATTTTTTCTAGACTGCTTTTGTTAAAGAGTTTTTATGCATATACCTGTTCACAACTCCCGTTTTTACAGCAAGTGTCATTTCTGAGGCAAATTAGTTGCACATCATTGCACGCAACATCCGATATAAATTCAAGTGTCGCTTGATCTTCAATTACTAAAATCAAGATATTGTTATTAATTTTCTATAAATACTTAAAATATCTCGCACCTGTTATATTGTTTAACATTATCTTTGGAACTGAAGTGGTGGTACTGCTGGGAGTTTTTTGCGTAGTGAAAGTGCTCATTGTATTGGAGGAGGTGATGCTTGAACTTAATTTGGTTGTATTCTGACTAGTCGTTGAGGTAGTTGTTGGCTTTGGCGATGTTGCACTTGCTTGATTATCGTAATCTGAGCGGAAAGTAGTTGTTTTTGCGGTGGTGTTGTTAGTTGAATTTTTTTCGTCTGTCTGAGCTTCAGCGTCCCTTTTCTCCATTTTATCTGAGATTGAAGTTGACAAGCTGGTGGTCGATTGAGATTCTGAAATGCTTGATGCAATCATAGAGCTTTCAGTGTTCAACGAAGTAGTGCCTTCTGATTTTCCTTCCGAGGGATTCTCTGAGGAAGTGAAGTTATTTTCATCTTGTTGATCAACTGATTGGCTTCCAGTATTTGCAGATGAGGAGCTGAGAGCCGAAAATGAACTTGAAACGTCAGCAGAAGGTGTCAACTCCGTAGAAGAGGTGATTTCAAAATTAAAACTTTGAGTTGAGGATATTTCATTTTCGGGTGAAGATTCGATGGCTGAAGAAAAATCTGCGAGTGTCTCACTAGTCATGCTCGTAAAATTATCAGCCAACTGGGTCAACGCAGAAACAGTCTCAGAAGAGACTCTAGCATCAGATTGCACTGATGTCGTCTGTAGTGAATCATTGCGTGTAGATTCGGTGGTGTATTTACTGCTAGGTTCAGTAAAGGTGGGTAGCGCTTTATTCCCTGTAATTGAAATATATTAAAAACATGAAGAGGTGATTTCAAAATTCAAACTTTGAGTTGAGGATATTTCATTTTCGGGTGAAGATTCGATGGCTGAAGAAAAATCTGCGAGTGTCTCACTAGTCATGCTCGTAAAATTATCAGCCAACTGGGTCAACGCAGAAACAGTCTCAGAAGAGACTCTAGCATCAGATTGCACTGATGTCGTCTGTAGTGAATCATTGCGTGTAGATTCGGTGGTGTATTTACTGCTAGGTTCAGTAAAGGTGGGTAGCGCTTTATTCCCTGTAATTGAAATATATTAAAAACATGAAGAGGTGATTTCAAAATTCAAACTTTGAGTTGAGGATATTTCATTTTCGGGTGAAGATTCGATGGCTGAAGAAAAATCTGCGAGTGTCTCACTAGTCATGCTCGTAAAATTATCAGCCAACTGGGTCAACGCAGAAACAGTCTCAGAAGAGACTCTAGCATCAGATTGCACTGATGTCGTCTGTAGTGAATCATTGCGTGTAGATTCGGTGGTGTATTTACTGCTAGGTTCAGTAAAGGTGGGTAGCGCTTTATTCCCTGTAATTGAAATATATTAAAAACATGAAGAGGTGATTTCAAAATTCAAACTTTGAGTTGAGGATATTTCATTTTCGGGTGAAGATTCGATGGCTGAAGAAAAATCTGCGAGTGTCTCACTAGTCATGCTCGTAAAATTATCAGCCAACTGGGTCAACGCAGAAACAGTCTCAGAAGAGACTCTAGCATTGGTATTCGATTGTTGCGGCGCATCAGTAATTGTAGTTGATTGGCTTCCAGTTTCTGTAGTGGAGGAACTGAGCGCTGAAGATGTGCTCGGAACCTCTGAAGCTGTCAATCCTGTAATATTGTTTGATTCATTCTCGTTTTCTGAAGTTGAGGAACTGGGTTCGAAAGAAGACGAGGCTTTTTGAGAAGGATCTGCCGTTGTGATTCCATTTGACAAGCTAATTTTTGTTGTGCCAGAATAATGAGGAACGCTTGTTAAAGACTCATCAGATTGCACTGATGTCGTCTGTAGTGAATCATTGCGTGTAGATTCGGTGGTGTATTTACTGCTAGGTTCAGTAAAGGTGGGTAGCGCTTTATTCCCTGTAATTGAGATATATTAAAAACATGAATTTAAATTGACCTCAAATTTAAAGTTACCATTACCACCAGATTGGTCCTGCTTTCCCTGTGAATATTGTCACTTAGAAATTTTTTTCTATAATTTTAATTTTTTACCGTCGAATGTGCTGCGGGAATTATAAAGACAAGGAAGGCCAAGGCCGTCAGTGCCAATATTCTTGCTCTGCTAGACTTCATTTTTCATCAGTTAAAGCCACACCTAAATTTCAAGAAGGAACTTATTTCAAAATTACTTTTCTACTTCCTTGTTTGTTTTGATGTTTTAAGAAAATGTGATAAAATGAAACCAAGATTCAATTAAATTTTATTTAAAAAGTTTACGTACCATCGGTATATTCAGGTACACTAATCAGAATAATCAAATTTTGTGGACCCAAGTAAAAATCACAGGTCCACATCCACACTTAAATTTAAACTATGCCGCTTTTGGAGAGAAAATTAAGTTACGCAAATAGTTTCCATAAATATTCAAAGACGCTGCTATTTTTTCTTCAAATATTATAGTGGCCAAGCCTTATATATAAATAAATATTCTGGTAAAGACATGCTCAGCAGGATGTCACTTGAATAAAAAGAAAATATTTTTTTTTTAGTTAAAATAGTTTTAAAATATGAATATTTAATTAATATACAAACTTATATTAATTATCTTGAATTTTAAACAATTAAGACAAAAAAAAATAAGCAATGTGTTGTGTTCATTTTTTATTCATAAGGCCAAGGAAAATTATTTAAAGTTAAGAGACTTTCATACTTTTTGAAGTTTATACAATTTTTTTCAAGTAATAAATTATTTCATTCAAATTGAAATTTGAACAAAATTTTTTGAATTATTGTCGTTGGTGTTTGTTTCAATAAAAAAAAAATAATAATTGGTTAGAAAGTCTTGCTCCGCAGTCACATAAGCACCAAGCACCGGCCGATAACTCCGCTTGGAGTTGGCTGGACTTGTAATTTCTTTCCATTAAATATACTTCATTTAAAAAAAGTTTCTGTGAGTGATGTTTCAATTACAAATTAATAGACTTACATATTGATGAATGGATCTTGCAGCTTTGCACTCGGACCTAGTGTATTGAAGGGTGAACCAGGAATAAAGAAGTGGCGATTGTGGTCAGAGGCAGCGGCAGCGGCCGCCTTATCAAGCGCCACTTCCCTCTTTTGCGGACTCGCAGTGGCAATTGACGCCTGTCAAATCCGAATTTCAGGAAAATGAATAATATAATATATAAAACATGAACCCACAAAGATGACGCTCAGCAAACTGAACCGAGCGCACTATCCAAATACAATACCAGTCACATCACAAGTTAAAGCAGCACATGGCTCAGATTTGCTGCGATAACCCCCAAGCCAGCGCCACAAAACGCCTCCCGCGACGCATCATCATATTTATCATAAGCACAGTGCAGCGTCCGCCGCCTCACATGCAGCGCTTAAAAGCCAAGAGGCTGCATCAGTTTCGTTTCAAATCATTACACGCTTTTGATTTATTTTTGTATACCAATATGAGAATTATTAATCTATATATTTCTAACAGGAAATCTTAATCTTATTCTTTATCATGTAAAAAAATCCTGTGGGGGTTTCCAGTGTAACAAATATAGACTTTGGATTTATTTATGAAGTAAAAAGAATGAATTCAATATTCCCTAGATGGTCTCGTTGGTTTTTTAAAGCTACAATGTTATAATCAAGAAAATATGTTTTTTAACAACAAATTACATCAATTAAATGCAAGTTTAATTTAAATTTGGCTTTAAATCCACCATGAATCAACCCTAGATGGCCAATTTCTACTACATGAAATATATTGAAATATAATTGACAATATTTAAGGATTTCAGTAAGAAAATGCAATTCATGTTTATTTTAAAAGCTGTGATATAATTGCTGCAAATTCTTGCCACCATATAAAATGACATTTTATTACGTTATCCTGACTTTTGCCTTTTGTTGGATGCTCTGCAAGTCCTCCCTTTGTAGCTGCTCCAAAGTCAGCAGGGATACTCCAAGTTGGTCTTCTCTTGTGAATGGCTGTGCCATCTGCTTAAGCCACCGTTTGGAAAACTGCAATCAAACATATGTTAAGCGTTAAAATAAAAATATATAAATAAATAAAAACGGCTTTCACCTGAATGGCCTCTTCTGTGGACAAGTTGCTGAGATTATCTGTTAGGTACTCTTGAATCCATCTTGGAAGCTTTGATCTTTTGTCCTCATTAGAAAACCTCTGCAAAATTGAAAAAAAATCTTATCAATTATGCATAATTATTAAGGAATTCAAATCTAGAAAGACTTTTTTATATAAAATCAAACATGATGAAAATAATTAAAAGCATTATGTTTTGAATTGCACCTTATCAGCAAAGATCATGATGCCATAATCTGTTTTTCCACGGATAGCCCTGCCGACGCACTGTGCTGCATGCCTCATCGCATCAAAAGTGAGAAAGTCACCTTCTCGAATCTAAGTTTATTATTTATTATTATTTTTTTTTTATTAAAAATCGTTTAGAACTGCCATAAATGGCTTACTTGAAAAGTGTCTCTCAGGTACTCGAGTCTGGCCTTGAGAATTCTAGATTGAGTGTAGACATACGGGATGCCGAACATAAGGACGGCCCTGCCGAGGTGGTGGTCAAAGTCAACGCCCTCGCTGACCTTGCCCCTGGCCACCGAGAGCAAAATGGCGCCACGGCCGCAGTCGCATGCCTTGATGTAATTAAGAAGCGCCAGACTGGTCTCGGCAGGGTCTTGTGTCTCGATGAAAAGTAACTTGTGCCTCTGCAGGGAGGTCACGATGCCCTGATCGTACCACGCGGCCACCACGCTCTCCAGGTACATGTATGACGTGAAAAAGCACACCACCCCATCGGGCACGGTCTTGACCACCTCAACTAACAGCTGACCGTAGTTGCGCACTACAGACTGATCTTCGCGGCTCTCGAACTTGGACGAAATTGCTACCTGGTCATTTCCCTTGGACACAACCTGAAAAATCAATCAAAGTGAAGATTAGGACAAAGGAAAAATGTTTAATGGTTAATGTCACATTAAACAAAAAATATATTAATAATAAAATGTAGAAATTTGTGAATAATGAATTATTACCATGGGTAGCAAGCATGGCCTTGCAAGGGTCATCGAGAAAGAAGTCATCACTTTCGGTTGGAAGTTGAGGATTTTGGGATACATGTCCAATGGAGACAGTGTGCCAGAGGTGATCACAACAGTTTGAAAACGGTCAAAAATTGGTTTCACAGCAATTGATGCGTCCAAACATCTGAAATTTTTGATTAATTCAATTTTCTGTCGAAGCATTTTACCTTTTACCGAAAGTGAAGGATGGGATTGGGAATGTTTGGAGTTTTGTCTTCAAAAGGCTCAACAATAATGACAAATCCCTTAGTGTACGAGGACACAAGAGTGGCCAAGTGTGAAACAACTGTAAGGGCCGAGAAGTCTGTTTGGTCTGCAATTTCCAAGGTTCGCAAGAGAGACGCTAACCGCTCAGCGGCAAATCTAATGATAAAAAGTTATAAATTTTTATGAAATCCAAAAGTTTAACTCCTACCTCAAGGGCTTTCTGTCAATGCAGACCTTCTGCATCATATCTTTCAGAAATCCAGCCGGACTTTCTTGCACCACGAACTGTACTCGAAGTCTGATTTTCAAATATTCCACAAATCGTCGCAAGAAACCAACGAAATGCTCTGCATCTCTGATACCTCCTGGCACAGCCTCTATTTTTTGGTCCAAATTAAAATAATATAAAGAAAGTTTTAATAAAATTACCTTGAAGAATATGGTCTGGCAGAACAGGATTGGCCAAAACCATATCCGTTTCTCGGGCTAACTGTGTTTCTCTCAAACCTTCCACCAGTTTTTGGTACTCCTCGTTGAGTCTTCTGGGCCCAACTTCTTTCATGCTTAAAGGACAATAAAAATTTAAAAGAAACTTCAGTAAGTAATACAATCTTACTGTCTGATGGTTTTGGCTAAGTCTTGCAAGTTTGCTGAGCATTTGTCAATTAGTCTCCTTGTAATTTTTACGCTCATGGAATCGATGCAAACGTTGTCTGAGAAGATTCATTTTCAGATTTGAAATAATATAGTTTAAAAAAATTTACCAATGTTGTGGGCCTCGTCGAAAACAATAACAGACTGCTTAGGAATATCCTTCGAAACAATTTCAGCAATTTTTGGATCCAGGAGGTAATGGTAGCTGTACACAATGACATTTGCATAGGCAATCTGAAAGATTTCAAAAGCGAATAGATCAATCAAAATTATTTAATGTGCACTTATGAACTATTCAATAAAATTGCAAAACCTTATATTTGGGTATTATCTTGAAATATGAATAAATATCATGGAGCTGTAAAAATTCTAGATATCTATTTACATTCAATATTCTTGGTAAATAAAAGCAGAATTGAAACAATCTATAACTTTTGGTCGACATACCGCATGCCTGGCAATGTAGTATGGACACCAGCCCTTCTTAGCACCATAACTCTTAAGGTCATCAAGGGTGTAGACTCCTGGCTCAAGGTGGCTCTCGTTGCCGTAATCCTCAAAATCCTCAAAATATGTGCAGATGGGTACAGAGTCGTCCACCAAGTGTCTCTCCCGGACGTGCGAGGCCGTCAGGTTGTGGCAGCGGCCATCCACCACCTTGCCGTCCTTCTCCTGCCGCACATCCTTGTGGATGCACAGGTTCTTCCTCGAGCTCAAGACCACGCCCACCAAGGACAGCTTCTCCTCAACATGCTGTTCGTAGTACTGCATCAGCCTCCGCAGCTCCTCAAGGACCTTCTCGATCTCCGGCACCGTCCGAGAGCAGTAAACCAATTTAACCACCTCGCTGGGCTTCTGCCGCATGTACGCCACAATCAGGGCAAGCAGGGACACGGTTTTGCCCGTACCTGACGGCATCTCCAGCAGACAGTGTCCCTGAATATGAGTTTATAAGCTCAAAAAATCTGAAGGTTAAATTTGAATTTTTTTTACCTTGGCATCGATGGCCCTCTTGAGCTCAATCATGTATGAATACTGCTCAGGGTAAATGTACTCGTAGGGAAAGTAGACCGTCAGGTCCTCGATTTGGATCCTGAGGAAAAATTTGATTTTTTTTTCAATTTGCTTTAAAATAAGAAGAAGAAAATAATTGTGAACAATTATTGTTTGGGAGAAGAAATAAAAAAGCATAAGCGCACGCAGAGAGTGTGAATCAACAACTCACTGAAACTATTAAAATAGAAGTCAATTCATTATGTTGAATTTTTGCATTGATTAAATAAAATAATTCACCCCAAAATTTGAATCAAATAAATTTAAGCAACCGTAGTACTTACTTCATTTTGGTCTCTCAAAGTTAGTCGACGAGGGAAACCATGAGAAAATTACAGAACTCTTGGCTGGGCCATAATTTAAAATTAAATTTGACAGAAAATCTACTCGGCCAGCGTACAGATCTCACTGTGATGCTTTAGACAGCTTTTTTCAAATAATTCGGTAGTAAAATACGTAACATTCGATCCGAAATTCTCTGATGCCGCTGTTTGTGTTTGTTTTGATTCCATCTACCGATTGCAGGGAGTGGAGGGGAGGTCAGAACATGTGCGTTTAGCCCCCACTGCTTGGTTTTGACCTGCAGCCACTGCACCAACCAGATCTCACTTTCAATCTTCATCCTCCACTTTTATTATCCATTATTTTACTATTTTTTTTCCAATTTCAGTTAAGTCCTTCATTTAATAATTTATAATATTTCATATTTTAATTTCCTTAAATATATATTTAAAAGTTTTGGGTATTGCAGAATAATAGTTTAAAAAAATTAATTAATACAATTTTTGCAATTTTTATTAGAATTGCATAAATTGATGTTTAGCTTTAGACACCCGTTGTACACCTAGTTGTGTTCAATAAATACTCTATCTATAAATTGATGTAAAAAAGAAATTCAAGCTTGAAATCAATAATAATTTATTGAAATTAATGAGACAATTTCAATCAACTACAAAGGGTGAAATTAAAATAATAAAGTGCAAGTGGATTAAAAAAATAAATAACAATTTGCTAATTTTTATTCCTGCAATTTACATTTATAATGGTTGCAGTTGCCGCCAGCAGCGCCGTACTTAATCGCCTTCTCGATCCCCTCGACGATGATCTCATAGCGAGGATTCATGGGCATAATTCTGCAAAAACAAAACAAAAAATTTTTTTTTAAAAAAGTGCGTAAAATTAAATGAACAAAATAAAAAAAAATGGTTCAAGGGGAGAAGACTCACGGGCTCATGACTTTGGCGCCTTTGAGCAGCATCTTGGCGGCCTCGAGGTACTTGGGCGCCCTGCCATTGGGGTCCTCGCAGGCCACCATGTTGAGGCACTCGTAGTCACCAACGCTCTCGCTCCTCAGGTAGCTCAGGGCGAGCAAAAGGTCGCGCTCAGTGGCGTACGGATCTGCCGGTTCGAGGGCGCGCGGCTGCGTGTCCAGGTTGCTGTTGGGGTAAGAGCGACCCCAGAAATTGCCGAAGCCACCGAAACCGCGCCCGCCTGCGCTGTACTGGCTGATGGCGAACAGCACCGCCTTGATCAGCAACAGGATCAACACGTTGCTCAAGTTCAGACTCAGCACCTGCCAAATTCAATCAAAAACTTCAATTTAATTGCAAATATAATCCAAACTAAAAATACTGTAAAATCTAAATTTTTAATAAAAAAGAGAAGAGAGAAGAGAAATTACCTGGCTGTTGGAGTAAGACTTGGTGATGAGCTCCCTGGCCATTTCGGCAATCATGGTGGTGGGTGAGCCGACGGAATCTCCAGCTTTCCCTCCGCGAGAAGACTCGATGGCGTTTTCTTCGACGGCGCCGGCCAGCGCCACACCAGCAACTAAGACCGCCGCCAACGTGCATCTTCCAAACGCTTTCGCCATCACTTTTAAAACAAAATTTATTTCAAATCTAATGAAAAATGTTGTTAATTACTACAATAAAATTAAAATAAAATAAATATTAAATAGAAAAATTAATTTAAAAATATTTTAATAATGAAAATAACATAGAAAGAAAATGTCCTCTTTTTCTTTTCAAATGAGTTTGGTTATTTAAAAGATTATTATAATTGAGATTATATAGCAATATATCATGTAAAATTCAGAGCGTTCTTATAGAGATTTCTAATTTATAAATATTTAAGAAATTAAATGCATTAAAAAATTAACTTGATTAAATAAATTGGTAAATGAATATTTGCATTAAAAAACTAAAATAAAACCTAAACAAACTTAATATAAATTAAAAAATTTTAATATTAAAAAAATAATAAAATATAAAAAATAATTGGATATTTTTTTGTAAAAAATGAATAATCAATATTTAATTAACATTTGATTATTATTAAATTTCTTCATAAAAAATAAATAGTTGAAAAAAAGAAGCTGTTTATTTCTAACTTTTGTACATGCTGCTTTATAAAAAAAGGATTAAAATAGTGAAATTATTTATAGTGAAAAGTATAAAAATTTATATGATTTTTTTTTCTTCTTTTTATTCAAAGTTTCAAGTAAGATTTAATTATTTTAATAAATAAAAATTGGGCTCACCGTTTGGTGTGCAGCAGCAGTCGAGATCGCGAAGAGACGGAGTTAGGCGCCGCACTGTGTGTCAGCGGTGGGCGCCCGCCCGCTTTAAAGACTAAAGCGACGCGCCTCACGTCCTTGCGACAATGCACCCATTGTTAGGTCACGCGACACATCAAAGGAAAGCAAAAGCTGGAATGAGACGAAAATGAAAATTATTTCGCGTGCGCGCACAAACGCACGCATTGTCTTTTTTGTGTGCATTTTGTCACAATGTCCAATTACTGCGACTTGTCGCACCGCGCACTAGGGCATTGTGAAGATCCGCGAGAGTCGCAAACGCAGCTTCCTGTAACAATTAAGTGTTGCGTCTCTGCCTGGCCGCACATGACGGCATAAACATATCCAATCCAATTTGGGCATGCATAACGACCCACCAAGCGACGATACAATAAATTATGCAATATTCAAAAATATTTTAATTATATACTTTTTTCTTTCAGTGTTCACTTTGATTTGCAGGAAACGTTTCCCAAAGTGAAAATTTTTAAAAATTAAATATTAAAAGTTTGGGAATGGATGAGTTGGATGTGTATGAGAAAATTAACGGAAAGGCGCTTGTTCTGCATTATTTTGATGCAAAAATAGAATCTGATAAAAAGCTTACTTATTGAGAATGTGAAATCCATCACAGTGTTTCCTTACTCATTTGTACTAAATTAGCAGAAAAAACTATATGGCTACTAAAAAAAAATTATTTAATTAATTGATTACATTTTTTTCTCCCCATCATTTTTTACTCCAAACTTACACTTTTTAAGGATGCTTTAAGGAAATATTTTTCTCTTATAACTTAACAAACCAATAACTTTTTGGGTTTACCGCGGCGGCCGTGTCTCTTTTGATGTCGGGCGTTTTAGCAGACATCTGCTAGTTGTAAACCCTTTCTTCTCTTTTTTCCAATTTAAATTTTTGTATTGACCGAGAAGAATAAATAATAATAATAATAATAATAAAATACTAAGCCCAAATGTTTTTTACGCATAACACAAATCGGGAAAGTAAATATTTTTTATTTTTACTTCCCCCTTTGTACATAATCTAGAAAAATCTGAGTCAATATTATATAAAGCGACATATAGTTTAAATAGTCACAGATATATCTCAAGTTTCAAATATAAACCATAATTGCTTGCCACTCCGATCTTTAACCTTGGCCGCTGAGTCGCTTTGCTTTTGTATCAGTTCCTTTTATTATTATTATTACAGAGGGAGTCAAACTTGTTTTCCTGCCCAAAGTGTTATTATTATCAAGACAACTGAAGTGTCAAGTGTCAATTCCTTTCACTGGGCGCCGAGATGCACCGCGGAATGGACAGGTGGTTGGGCAGGGTGGCCGTCGTGAGCGGCGCCAGTTCGGGAATCGGCCGTGCCATTACAAAGAAATTGGCCCTCAGAGGACTGCGCGTGGTCGGAGTGTCCAGACGACCGCACAGGGTCCAGGTACGTAGTTTTATTTTTATTTTTAACTTTTAATAATGAGTAAAAAAAGAGTTTGAGTACAGAGCTGAAATCCAAAGGGGCTTCCGGCGAGGTTTTCTCGATTCATGGCGATGTGACCAAGGAGGACGACATTTCCAAAATCGTAAAGTGGACCAAGTCCTCGCTGGGCAGCGTCGACGTCTTGGTCAACAACGCCGGAGTTTTCTACCAATCGCCTCTTCGAAGTGAAAGCAATAGCTGTATTTTTTCGCATTTAATATAATTATATAAACTTTTTCGCAAGCTCTGAGCACTGAGAAAATTCGGCACCTATTTGACGTGAACGTGGTCAGTCTGAGTGTTTTTACACGGCAGGTTTTGAACGAAATGATGGTTAACGGAATTGACGATGGACATATCATTAACATGAATGGGTTAATAGTTTTTTTTTTCTTAAAAATTATATCTGTACTAATAAAAAATTCCAGCATTGCCGGGAATCGCATTTTGGACTTCCAGTCAGGAATCCACATGTACTCGGCCACTAAGCATGCGGTCAGGGTGTTATCCGAGGGTCTCAGGAGGGAACTCAGAGATGCTGGTTCCAACATCAGAATCACTGTATTATTTTATTTTCACTATTTATGATTTTCAAATTTTGATTCAATTTTTTTTTTGGCCAGGCCATAAATCCGGGAGTTGTACGCACGGATTTGTATGAGGCCTGCGGGATGACGCCCGAGCAAGTGGCGAAAATGTTTGCCGAGCACCAGGCAATTGAGCCAGAGGATGTGGCTGACGCTGTTGAATACGCACTTTCTGTGCCACCGCACGTTCAGGTATAAATAAAAGTTAAAATATTTTAATAATTAATTACTTTTAAGTTTCCTTTCAGATTCATGACGTGACTGTGCAGCCAGTGGGACAAAAACCGTGAAAAATATAATAATAATAATAATAATAAAGTAACGTTTAGTATAATTATTGATAATTATATTGGTAGCATGGGACTTAGGACTTAGTTATAAAAAAATGTATTAAAATGATAGGAGAAATAATATTATTATTTACGAAGTTTCTATAGTTCAATTTATTTGCAGCTTATTAAATTTTGTAGAATATATAAATATAATTTGAATTAATTATAAAGTAAAATTCCCTTGTAATTTGAATTTCCCGACGCTTAATTTATTCTCTCACGCGAGAGACAGAGATATCAGTTACGTCTCCTCAAACGACTCGTCTGTACAGGTCGCGTCTATATCACATGAACCATCCCCACTACCTTAAAAGACCGCATATAAATAACCACCAAGGCCTTTAACAACGATTCCTGATGGAGAGTTAATTTCCACTTCCACTTTCGTTGTTACATAATAAAAAGGACTATTTTTTAAATACATTTCGACGCATTCGCGTGACGCTTTCTTAATAATTTCAGTAAGTCTCCTCCGTTTCAACTAAATTTCATTAATTAAAAATGATTTATTCTTCTTCTATATTAAAAAAAGGTTTGAAATGGATCGTTGGGTGGGAAGAGTGGCGATTGTGAGCGGCGCTAGCTCCGGAATCGGGGCCGCTCTGTGTGTCCGACTGGCCAACAAAGGCATGAAGGTCGTTGGCGTTGCCAGGCGGCAAGGAAAAATTCAGGTAAAAATAAAAATTTCAGTCTCACCTGATCAAGAAGATTTATTTATTTGCAGGAGTTGTCGAAGCAGGTTTCGGGAAAGGGGGAAATCCACGCAGTGCAGGGTGACATCTCAAAGGAGGAGGACATCAAAAGGGTGGTCAAGTGGACAAGGGACACCCTGGGCGGCGCCGACGTCCTCGTCAACAACGCTGGCGTCCTCCACCACAGCCCATTGCTCAGTTAAAATAAATCACCTATTCAAAAGAACGGAAAATAAAATTTATATGGAATAAATTAAGGTGCTCCTACGGAGGAGTGGCGTCACGTGCTCGAGGTCAATGTGCTCGCCTTGTGCGCCTTCACGAGGGAGGTGGTCCAGGACATGCGGAGCCGCGGCTGCGATGACGGACACATCGTCCACATAAACAGGTAGTTCTTAATTTTGCATTCCTTATGTTACATATTTTAAATAAAATATATTTTTAGCGTGATGGGCCATTTTATCATTCCCTATCCAGGAATGTTTATTTACACTGCAAGCAAACATTCGGTGACTGTGTTGACGGAGGGTCTGAGGAAAGAACTGTCTGACATTAAATCCAACATTCGAATCACAGTAATTCTTAATTTAATTTGATATAATTTCATGGTAAATTAAAAACCAAGAGTGTGAGTCCTGCACTGACCAAGACGGACATCATGGTGTCCGGTGGAACTCCCGCTGAAGTGGCGGAAAACGTTTTCAAGGAAACGAAACATTTGAAACCTGATGATGTGGCCCAAGCAGTTGAATTTGCCCTCACTGCGCCACCAACAGTCAACGTAAGAAATGCAAATTGAAAATTTAACACCATTTAACAATTTTTTAAATCTCCAGATTGAGGAAATAACTCTTCGCGCTACAGGTGCCGACTAAACTGGAACTTGCCTTTCTTTATCATTGGTAAAAATAAACAAAAGACTCGCCGAGTCCATTTTTACAGAGAAACAAAAAATTCAAAGTTTGCATTATAAGAAAACTGATGCAAGTCAACACTTAAATCTTTTAATATATGTGTACATGCAACTTAAGGCGTTTTGTGCCCGAATGAAACAAGAGCATTATCGTCGTATCTTTATATACAATCACGGCCGAGGCTCAGCCCCGCATCAGTCAAAACGGCCACTCATCAATCAATCAAAATATTTGCACTCAACAAAATCAGTCAGCTTGGAATTGGGCAGCCGCGGGCACTAGCTCGGGTCCAGGGACACCATGATCGTGTCCTTGGGCTCCTGCAGACTCTTGGACGGCGGCTGCTGGGCAAGGGGACTTTGTTTTGGGCCGCCGTTGCCCTCGTCCATCGGCTCATCTCGAGGCGTCACCGAGCTTACAGGTCTAAACAGGAACTTGCCACTATTGGGACTTAGCATCGTCTCTCCACTGCAATCAGAAGCAATTTTTTTTTTATAAAAAATGAAATTTTCGTCATAACTTTGCAAGGGGTAAAATACTTGAAAAAATCTAGAGTTCAAATATTGAAATCTTTTAATGATAATAAATAATGATCAGTTTGCTGGAAAGACGAGAGAAAATCTGCAGCCAAAATGTGATATTTCTTAAATTAATGTAGGCAATCTTTAGCATAAGGCCCATAATATATGGATTACTAGAGTAATAACTTTTAAATTTTATAGTGACTAAATGCCATAAATTAAAATTAAAACATTCACGATAGGAATAAAAAATTCCAATTTTGACGATATTTTAGGGGAAATTTTTGGTATTTTATTTTGATTCAATTTACATCCACTTTTCCTTGATTTTTTTTTAATTTCCTGGAAAAAATCAATATCCTGTTTTGTTTCAGCTGTGGTTTGTCATTGACTAAAGAAAAATAATGTAATTTAAAATAGAAACTGATATCAACCAAAGTTTAAATCATTAATCAACATTCTAGTGACTTTAAATTTAGATTTAGCTCACACATAGTATTCTATCAAAATAATCCTATAAATTTGTTTATGTTTTGGACGAATATGCCATTTATACTAGGTTGGCATGTTGGTTAATAGTTGAGAAACTGCTTTGCGTACCCAAAAGGTCTCTTGGCAGGGGGTGAAAAGGAGGAGCACGAGTCTGAATCTGAGTCGATTTCAAACTTGCGCTTGACGGGGGTGAGGGGGCTGGGGCGGAAGGCGATTGGCGACAGGGAGCGCCTGCTGAGGAACGTCTTCCTGGTGGGCGACGGTGACTGCGGTCGGTGGCCGCCTCGCAGCCAGCAGGGTCGCGGGGGCGTGGCCAACGATGGTAGCGAGGGTAGCGCGGCGGGCAGGGGTGGCGGGGGCGCCGTCGAAGGGGTGCCTAGCAAGGCCAGGTCCTCGCAGCTCTGCGACATTTGCATCATTTCGCGCTCGTGCTCTTGCTCGCGGCCCAACTCGAGCCGCTCCTCGCGCCGCAGCTGCAGCACCCGATCCCCGCTCGGACGACCCCCTTCACCCTCGCTGCCCCCGTTCCCGCCACCACTGCAACTTGCAGAGAATCGCCGCGTCCGCAACACCAGTTCACGGCTGAAACACAAAATATTTATTTTATTTTCATTTGAGCGCGTAAGATTTTAGGGAGTGTGGAATTTTTAATGTTTTTTTTCTTTTTCTAATAAAATTTATTTTGTTTAATTGTATTATCTGTCACCCTGGTAAATAAGACTTTTTTAGCAATTGGGGCTAATTATCTTCCACAATTTACTATATGATATGTTTGCCTACTTTTTTCATAAATTTAAAATTAAATACATAGAGGATAAAATGCAAAATCATCATAGCAGCTTAATAATTAATTGATAACTTATTGATAACTATTATTTTGATAATAGGAAAAGAATCATGGTTACAGAATTAATTATCAATTTCAACAGAACATTGTTTTCAAAATAATACTAAATTAAGATGAAAGTATGTGTGAAAAAATACATAAGAAGAAAAAAATGTAAGTCAACCCGTACTTTGGCTGTTGATTGTCAAAACCAAAATTTAAGACCAAATTAATTGTCAAAATCTTTTTAATTATTCCTCCGTTTCAAATGCGAATAACAGCTGAATGAAATGAAAATAATTGCGCGTGAGCAAAAATCCAAACGGACGAGGCCGACGTTTGCGAATTTCAAGGGCGAAATTCGCCCCCACGGTCAATACCGCAGCCTGGCCTGGCGAAAACAAACAGCGAATCGGTCTCGTTCGGGGCTCCGATTTCAAGGGAAGCTCGGCCCCGGGGGCTGCGAGGGGATGCGGTAAAGGGGCTGCCTACCTCGGGGGTGGCGGAGCGGGTTCGTTGATCATGGGGGCACTGCTGGAGCGCTTCAAATTCGATGGCCCGTCGATGTCCATGTCCCATCACATGGGTCCGACTGCCATTTTGGACAAACCGCGCCAAACTGACGCTAGGGGCGCTGCTGACACTTTCTTCCGCACTGGCCCAGGCGCAGCGCAGCCCCCGTCGTCTCTTGCTCTTGCAGCTCCCGTGGCGCGACCGAAACACGCAGAGTGGTATTAGGCACGCAGAAAGTAACAGCTTTTATTAGGCTGGCTTATTACACAGAGTATGTATGTATAATTGTATATTACAAGGGCAAACAGATTTCGATTTATTAATTCCCTAATTTAATGCAATTAATGTAAAAACGTTCTTTTATACATAACTACATAATAAATTTACAACCCAGACGTACGGATGACGATATGGAAATTTGCAAGGAACGAAAGCATTCTTGGAGCGAGATGGAAACAACAGAAAATGTCGAGCGTCACTGTACACTGCAGATGGACAGGGCTCATGGTGATCAAATAGAAATGGAGTGCATGCCTGAAAAGCCTCTGGAATTCTCTTCCTTGCCTGCAGTCAACAAACAATTCCAGCTTCTGACTGAAAATCAACAGAAGAGGTTTTTGAAAATTAATTCAAAACAGCATTTTATTTTGATTTGAAACAATTTTGTTTAGAGAGTTTGCCATATCGGTGCATAGTGACAGAAACGTCTGCAAGGCTGCAAAACTGGTTGAGAAATATGTCAGTTCTGGAATTATGAGAGGAGCTTCGGATGACACTGCTTATGTCCTTGCCGATTTCACGGCGGACTTTCCTCAGCTGACTGCAGATCAGTTACTCATGATCTCTGCTCCTAACAGGTATAAATTTCTCTTAGATTTTTTTTTAATAATCTTCTTTTATATTGAAATAGTCCTCAGACTAGCACTCAGAATTACTTGGAGCCGCCGGATGCTAAAACACTTCTGAAAAGATCAGTGGCAACTCTCCTTGTGCACAATGAAATCCTAAGTAGTTTTTTTAAAACAATAAAAATAGCAAAATTAAGTTATTAATTCTGTCCAGTTTGCAAAAGCTCTGTGTTGCAAATGCTGTCTGAGTTGGCGCAGAAATTAATTTACAACATTGGAATGCACATTGCGTCAGAAACTGCTTTTGGATCCACTCGAGGACAGATGAGAGATGACTTGGTGAGAAAATAATTTCTTTCACAAAAACAAGAATACATTTTTTGTTATGAAATGAAGGGGGCAGCTGAAATTGCTCTGCATAGTGTGGGAATCGAAGGCATTGCAGATGTGATTCAATACTATCGATTCCACGTCTTGCAAAGGGGAGATTTTCTTGATGCAATTGTCAACCACGCCTGCCTGGAGGAAGGAGACAAAGAGAAGCAAGACACTTCAGACATTCTAGCAATCAATAAAATTCCTATTCACTGAGGTAATGACAAAATAGTCAAATTAATTCTGAATGCACATATAAGTACTTTGTATTAGATTTGTTCATTCCGTTCATTCATTCATCAGATAATATGCATAATAATGTAACATATTAAATAAATTTATTCTTCATTATATTCTATAGAATTCACTAAATTGTTGCCATAACACCAAATGCTCAACAAAATGTAATAATTTTGCTAAAGGAAATATTAACAGTAGCACCAAATGAATCAATTTTCTGTGTGAGCTTATTCAAATCAGTTGCTGGACAGAGTCTCTTTCGAGATGTTTATCAAGTCAACACATTTATGGAAGCTTTCTAAATTCCTTGGACTGCACCCGGACCAGACGAAATTTCATCGCATAATTCCACAGAGTGTAGCACTGATTACTAATTTGTTTAGTTTAATTTGGAGAATTCAGGGTACTTAAATTATTCAATTCTCGTTTCAGTCAATTCGAGCCATACAATTTTCGCAGATGAAGCTCTCGACCATGGAAGTGCTCGAGACCTTCTACCACCTCTTTACGATTTCCTTACTTTGATCATGACATCAATTCACATTAATTTTGTTTGGAGAAATGTGGGTTGCGTCGAAAAAACCTCAATTAGAGTACAGCAAATTTCCTCAAATTTCAACTTCGAGATGAAGGTTTATAAACTCGCCTATATTTATTGATGAAAATATTTATAATAAAAACTTTTGAACAGAATTTGTCGATGCTGTCATTTGGACAGAGCGTAATGGCAATTTTAGTGGTGCCTCTGGCGCTTTTTGACACTTTTTCTGGAATGCGACACGCAAGCCAAGTGCTGAATATCATTGGCGGGATAGGTCACACATTCAGTTTGCTCTCCGGGGCAATTTTGGAGCAGCAGTTTATTTTGTGCATGGGTGCCTGTCGGATGGAATGCAAGGAGCTCAACAGACAACTCAAAACTTTGAAAAATAAGAAACTGAAAGCTGCAAACTTTAATCTGGATGTAGAACTAAAAAAACTTCGCCTGGCGCACTTGCAGATTTTAAAACTATTCCGTTTGATTGGGGAAACTTTTCAAAGTATTTAAGAACGCGGGTCTAATTGCAGAGATTAATTTTTATTAGGTGTAATTTTGATGCAGGTCATCTACTCTTCCTTGGCAGAAATTTGCCTGCTTTACTTTCTAGCAGGAAGTGCTCTCAGTCCCGAGAGTGCCGAAGGAGCCTGGCAGGCCCTTCTCTTTGTGAGCGCCACGTTTTGGCTAGTTTTGCTCACACTGCGCCTTATTCTGACCACTTGGATTTGTGACAGCACAATCAGAGAAGTAAAATTTGATTTTTAAAATTCAGAAATGATAATCATAAGAGATGGATTCAATAGGCAGGTAAAAGTGGACCAATTCTGGAAAAGAGCAATAGCTCTTATTTATCAGGTTCTACAGAAAAAGAGGTATTTTTAAAAATTTAAAGGACATCTTTAAAATGTTCCTCAGCTTTCAGAATTTTCAGCTCAGATTTTAAACAACAGCTTGGCACTCTCAGTATTTGGATTCTTTGACTTTAACCTCACAATTTTACACACCGTAACAGATATGAATATTGATTTTAAAAATGTTGGTGATAAAAATTTTTCAGATTGCAGGAACAGCCACGACATATCTGGTGATTCTGCTGCAATTCCAGTCACCGTCACATTAGATCGTTTTGAAAGAAATAACCTTTTATGAAGTAATTAAAAAAAATATATTAATATATATTAGGATTGGTCAAGAACACCTTTGACAGCACTGAGAAGAGTTGCTTGCACAGCCTTGTGCACTTCAGCACCTAGTTCGACAGTTTCAGTGATCAACTGCTGGAATCTCGAAGGCGTTATGTGGCCAGTGTGGTAGAGTTGGCTGACCTGATTGAAGGTTGGCAGCAGACTGACGGTGAACATGCCATGCTCGTCCTCACCGTCCACTCCTTGCAGACATACCCTCTCCTCCACTCCTGTGGGGTCTGTCAACTCTGTGTCTCCCAGGAAAGCCTTCAAATGTATATCATAAATTAATAGGGCCCATCGTAAAAGTACACAAGAGAAAATTACCTTCGAAAGCCCCACAGGGAGATCGTACATAGGCACCGCTGCATCTCCTAGTGCAAGACCAGCACAGGTGATGGCTGCAGCTAAACTAGATCCATCGTCCTGCAGAACCAACACATGCACCTCAACTTGGAAGTTGGGAAACTCGTGCTGTAGAAAAATAAAAATTGTAATTCAAATACAGCGAAATTATTTTTTGGTATTTTTTTTTTACGAGACAGACTGCAGGTTCAAGGGCGTTTTTCAAAAGCAAAGAATACTCTTTGTCGTCGGCTTCTTGCTGATGGCTTCGCCTCTGCAGACCACTGAACGAGGCGAACTTGAACTCGCAGAAAATCTCACCCCTCAGGTTGTGTTCTGAGCTGCGTGGTTTCTCTCTCGGATCAAAAACGGAGCAGATCACTTTTGTGTGGTCCAATTCAATGTACGCCGACCCCTTGGCTTGCGTGACTACACCCGTCTTCAAAACTACACAAGAGAAATTTGAAAAAATTGAAATATATTTTACTTATCTACAGAAACGCACAAATTTTTCTCAGGTCTTTGCACTTTCGGCCGTCGCCTCTAGTCCTGTCGCCTTTATTCTTGATCAAAGGTTGCTCAGTCGGGCCCAATTTTCGGTAGTCCTCGCTGACCTCTGGACCCTGAATCCTTCTGTAGTCTTGAGGCATGTTTAAAAAACGGCAAAATCGTTTTTTCCTCTAGAAATTCTAAATAACAAAGCTAGCAGACTTTCGCACACCGAACCAGCGTGCTCTTTTTCTCTTTTGTAATTTATTGTAAACAAGTGGGAGTGGTGGGGGAAGCCAATCAAAACGCAGCTGACTTTCAAGAACACAAAATTTGACAACATCAAAATAAGCAAAAAGGTCGAAGATTGCTGGCGTACATAAAGACTAGACTATGCATATGTAATATTAATTTGCTTAAAATTATGATGTTAAGCATATGAGGAAAATTTCATAATTTTAAGGTACATAATTTAAGTTTTTCAGTCTCGATCGTTGTTTAATAATGACTTTTTAAGCATTAAATTTATGTTATGTTTATTTTGTATTTGTTCACTGTATCAATTGACTTCTGCAGAGAATATTTAGGACTATAGGAAATCGCCAACATGTTTCCCTCAAACGATTCAAAAAAGGGTAACTTCCTGGAGCAAACTAAGGCTGCTAGAGAAGAAAGGGCTCTGGAGAAGAAAAGGGAAAACGCAGCCATAAAAATACAATCGCAACTCAGAGGATTCTGTGCCAGGAAGCGATTTCGATCCCGTGTGATGTAGGGAGCAGCAATTTGTTGAAACTGGTTTTATTGAATTTCTTTCTCTGATATCAGCTCAGAATTTGATGCTTTAATTGGCTTTACGGAGAAGGGAAGCAACTCAAAAATTCAATCGATACAACTTTTTCATTCCACCACTAGACTGTTGCTTGTTTGGGATAAAAAACTTGACAAGGATAGAATCGAAAAATTATGCGGGTACGTACTATAAAATTTACTTTATTACTTACTCCGTTTTTTAAAATAATTTTTGGTCAGACTTTTAGTGGACAGCCTGGCTGAGGACAAGGCCCAGCTCAGCTACATTGGCGTAGCTCTGAACAGAGAGCACTCGATTTACTGGATCTCTCACATAAAAAAATTGCTATGGATGTGCTGCCAGTACATGGAGGGTCTTTCCCCAGAGTTGGCCGCTGACTCTCGTTCTCTTCTCTTGTTCCTGCGGACGCTTGTATCATTCACGTCCATTACGACTTGGGCCATCCTTAGGTCCCCTGCCATGGAAAAACTCAACCCTGGCATGAACAAGCTCTGCGCAAACATCATAGGCGACCTGGTCAACAGAGGGTTTCTTACCACTTTAAAAGTAAAAATTTTACAGTTAACACAATTTGTTATTCAAAACAAAAACTTATTATTCTCAGCGAGTTTTGATCAAGGGACTTTGTGGATCCAAACCAAGTTTGAAGCAAGTTTCCTTATCTGCCCTCTTCAAACTTACTCTTCGACCTCTAGTCTTGGCAGACTTTTCCGAAAAACTGCTGTCCATGTTTTTAATTAACATTGTCAGTGTTCCTGCCCTTCTGCACCATCTTACTATAATTTCTCCAGAGGTAATAAATTTTAAATAAAAGTAATAATTCTTATGTTTAATTAAAATATCTTTTTGCCAGTGTATAAACCAGTTAGTATCAAACGGAGTGTTTAAAAGGAGTATGACGATGCTCTCTTCAGAGCAGGACCTTCGAATTGTGTTTAACACCTTGGAAGGCAACTATGCCCTCTGTTTGCTGGCAAATCTCATACACATGGCGCACATTGAGAAGGATGACAGCCTCAAGGAATTGTACTTCCCAACATTTATAGTAAAAACCAGCCTGATTTATTCAAAACTTTTAATTTATTTAAATTTATCTTTGATAGTGTGTGGTGTCTCGAATGCTGGAGTGCTGCCAGAAGTATGTGGGCAACAAAAGATCAGAGGTCACTCACTGGCACCCTGTGCTGGGCTGGTTTGCTCAGGGTCTCGATTTGCAGCTTCAAGCCTCAATGCCCCTGGTGCGCAGACAGTTGAGCTACCTTTGGGCTGCTCCTCTCGTCTCCATCCTGCTCAGCGACCTGAACCAAATAGTGCAAGAAACAGGGGTGCCTGACCCTGTGGCCAGTGCTCCAATCACCTTTGCTGGCTCTTCCATGCAAAACAACTTCAACAGCATGCTCAAGAAGGTGCTCGACCGACCTAACAAAAGTGGCAACATCAAGTACGTCAAGCTCGGCAGCCCTGAGTGCACCAGAGTGGCTATGATGGCCTCCCTCTACCAGACCTCCCTTAGCACCCTTACCCAATTGAAATTGGACATCCTAACTGGTACAACTTTGATAATGCTGATGATTAATTTATTTTAATCCAAACTTGAACATTATTATTTCAGGACTTTGTTACCAGAATGGGGTTCTGCACTTGTTGTGGCAATTTTTGTGGACGCTGGGTCCTTTGTGTGGATTGAAAGCGTTTTTAGGACTACTTGATGTAGACTCCAATGGAACTTGCCCTGAATTCCAAATGCTGACCCTCTTTTGTGACTGCATGAATCACTACATATTGTAAGCTTTATTGTTTTTTTTTTTTTTTTTTTAAATTAACAAAATATTTCAGAATTTTAGACGACATAGAAATGTATGAGCAGCAAAAGCCGTTTCGAGTGGGGGATTACGTATTGATGTCTAATTTTTTAAATCAATTTGCGTACAAAGCTGTCCTAGGAGGACTATTTGGTATTTCATTCAAGTTCAGTCTTTGTTAATTAACTCATTAAGTTTTATTATCAGATGCCAAAAGTTTACATGGCAATGCGTTGTTCAACGCTGTTCTCACATTGCTCCTGAGGCTTTACCAGCGAGATTGTCGACGTCAGTACACCCCGGACGGCCACTGGTTACTGAAAGATATCAAAATCAGCACATTTATCAGTGATTTGGAGAAAGGCAAAAAGGCGAACCAGGTATATTTTAATTTTTTTTTTCAATTTCAATTTTAAATAAAAATTTAAAAATTTAGATAATCCTGCAAAAAATGCCACACATCATCCCGCAAGATGAACGGGTGCAGATTTTTCGTAGGCACGTTGCCAACGAGAAAACGTCTTTAGGAATCACTGAGAGTAGTTGCCACTCGTCATCAACTTTGATCACAATTCACAGATCAAGAATTGTTGAGGATGGCTACAGTCAACTTGCAACCTTAAACCCTCAATCATTAAAGGGCGTTATCAGAGTTCGCTTTGTCAATGAGCAGGGACTTTTTGAAGCCGGCATTGACCAGCATGGAGTTTTTAAAGGTAATTTTTTTTTCAAACAAGATTAAAAGTTTGACTCTCTTGTCACCAACAGAATTCTTGGAGGAAACAATCAAGAGAGTCTTTGACCCATCTCTGAACTTGTTCCGCACCACGGCAGACGAGCGCCTTTATCCTTCGCCGACGTCTGCCCTGCAGGACAACCATCTTCAGCTCTTTGAATTTGTAGGCAGAATGCTGGGTAAGGCTGTCTACGAGGGGATCGTGGTGGACGTACCCTTTGCCTCTTTTTTCTTGAGCCAACTGCTGGGCTCGCAACACCAGGCTTACTACAGCTCCATTGACGAGCTACCCTCGCTGGACGAAGAGCTATACCGAAGCCTGACCTACATCAAACATCACCAGGGTGATGTATCAGAGCTGGATCTCAACTTCTCCATCGACCAGGACTACCTGGGAAAATTGGAGACATTTGAGTTGGTTCCTGGTGGACGAGCCACACCGGTCACAAACGAAAACAAGTATTTTGAAAATGATTTTTTTTACTTGCAATTATATTCTGATTACATTTCAGAATAAACTACATTCATTTGATGGCCCACTTTCGGATGCACATCCAAATCAGAGAGCAGACTGCAGCATTCATAAGAGGCTTTCGCTCGATCATCAACACAGACTGGTTGTCTCTCTTTTCCACTCCGGAGGTATAAATTTTCAAATCACAAATATAATTTTGGCTAAGGTTTGAATCACAGTTGCAAAGGCTGATTTCTGGAGACAATTCTCCTCTGGATTTGAAAGATCTGAGAAGAAACACACAGTACTATGGGGGATTCCACGACTCGCACAAAGTGATTGGTTGGCTCTGGGACGTTTTGGAAAGCGATTTTTCTGAATTGGAAAAACGTCACTTTCTAAAAGTAAATTAGATTTTTCGCTTTATTTCTAATTTAACAAAAATTTAAGTTTGTCACTAGCTGTTCGAAACCTCCCTTGCTGGGATTTGCCCATTTGGAACCTCCATTTTCAATAAGATGTGTTGAGGTTGGGGACGACGAAGACACGGGAGACACTATTGGTAATTTCATCTCAAGCTTTCATCATTATTATTATTTTTTTTTTTCATTCAAATCAATGTTGCCTTTAGGAAGTGTGATACGAGGCTTCTTCACAATTCGTAAAAAGGATCCCCAGCATCGACTGCCAACATCTTCAACGTGCTTCAACCTCCTGAAGCTGCCCAACTACCAAAGGAAGAGCACCCTTAGGGAGAAACTCAGATATGCAATCAGTAGCAACACTGGATTTGAACTTTCTTAATTCATTCAGTTTGATATGTCATGATTTTAAAATGATGTGATATCTATATATTTATGAGATTTATATTGAGTAAAAATAAAATTATCAAGATGAAACTAATTTTAGTAATCTGAATGATCATAACTATCTTTAAGATAATAAGGCGTAAATTGTCATAAAAATAGCTGATTTTGCAGAGCATAAAAAAATTTATTTTCTCCAAAAAATAATTATTTGTCTTTTTGTTTTAATAAAAAAAGGAATATCAAAATTCTGGCCCTAGGCTTTGAAGCCAGTCTCCAGTTTCTGGAGATATGACTTACGGCTGGGTTCGCTGTCAGCAGGTCTGTTGATGGGAGTCCAAACTGGTTCTCCCACAAAGTATCGCTTTGCCTTTATGAAATTCTGAAATTTTAAGTAATTTTCAAAATTTGGATAGTACTTTTATAAGTTTTTTATACTTTTTCATCCAACGTAAACCGGTGGTAGATTCCAGCAGGGAGCACCAGAAGGTCTCCCTTACCCACAGCAACCCTGATCCAGCGATCCTGTTGGTCCCTCACATCAAAGTAGCCAGAACCCTCAAGGACAAGACGAATCTCCTCGTCGGTGTGCAAATGCTCCTCATAAAATGATTTGATCTAAAGTAAATTTTATCTTATATTGTGGAGAACATATTAAAAATTTAAAAATAATGACCTTTTGCTCATAGTTTGGCAGTTCCTCCGGACAGCAGGTGATTTCATCTTCATAGGAATACTTGCGTTCCTCCCGGATTTTTGACAAGAATGGATCGGTCAAGTTGTCATCAATTGTTATCTAAAATTAAAATATTAAATTCAAAGAAAAATACATATCAAATTTCAAAATACTTCAAAACTTTCTACTCCCGTTGAAGAGAGTAGTTCTTTGGGGCTAACAAACTGAGGCGGGTCAGTTTGATGCAATTTTCTCTGATCAGCATCAGAGGTGTCCATAAACCAAGCCTGGACCATGTTTACTGAAAAACAGATTACATAATTGATCTTATTACAAAATTACAATTTTTACATAAATTAAATTGCTGAAATAAAATATTTTTAATTTGTGGGATTCTCGGGCTCAGAATAATATATTTTTAACTTATTTACATAAAATTTAATAATTATCAGCTCAATTAAACGATAGTTACGAGAATAAAATAATTATGAAGACGTGGTTCACAGCAGGTTCACAGCTTGAAATAATAAATAAACACAAAGGCCACGCCCCCGTCGCGAGGGGGGATGGGCAGTATTTTGGAGAACTAAAAAACTAAAAAACCCACACGTATGACAAACAGCACGAAGTTGAGCACGAAGGTGCGATAAAAAGGCTGAAGTAAACAAAGCTGGTTGCAAGCTGGTTGGGTTTGACGTGGATTGCCAAGCCAAAGAGGGGCGCGACAACACAGTTACACAGGGTAGATAATTATATTATTGGATTAGCTGCTCGTGTCATTGCATGCAGCTCAAATATGAATAGTGACGGTAGTGTTCGTCATGTCAAATTCGTACTTTCAGGCCCGGCGAGTTTTGCGGAGATTCAAGAGCCGACACTTGAACGGAGCGCACAGTGGTATGGCGAACAAGAGGGTGATGGTCACCGGGGGCTCCGGTCTTGTCGGACAGGCCATCAAGGCTGTTGTCGAGGCGGACCCCAAGTCGGACGAGACATGGATCTTCCTCAGCAGCAAGGACGGAGACCTGAGGTATTTTTGTTCACCTTTCATGTGAAAACATTAATTGATGATGTGGCTTAACTTATATAAGGTTGAAAATCTGGTTTAAAAATTTATAAAAAAAAAAAATTGCAGTGATATGCAGCAAACTGAGGCCCTTTTCGAAAAATACCAACCTACTCATGTGATTCACCTGGCAGCCATGGTCGGAGGACTTTTCCACAATATGGCTCACAACCTTGATTTTCTGGTACAGTTTTCACAACTTAATTTGTTATACGTCATTGTCTTTATGATGTTTTTAATCAAATTTGCAGAGGGTAAATTTGCACATCAACGACAACGTTCTGCACTCAAGCTACAAGTACAAAGTGCAGAAAGTTGTTTCTTGTCTCTCAACGTGTATTTTCCCAGACAAGACGGCCTATCCAATTGACGAAACAATGGTAATTAGACAGAAACTCCATTTAAAAAATTATTTAATTTTTTAACTAGATAAAAAGTTGTGCAACACACTTTGATCTTTTATTCTAATTGGCAAGGGCTTGTATTATTTAAATATTGAGCAAAAATATATTAATTTATTTTTTAGAACTTGTAAGAAAATTGGTAAAATGAAATGCTGAATTTTTTATGATTAAATATATGATTTCCATGACCCCACTGCTATTCTGTCTATAAACTATTTTACAATTTTCATCTGTCCAGGTGCATAATGGTCCTCCCCATCCGTCCAACTTTGGCTACAGCCACGCTAAACGGCTCATCGATGTTCAAAACCATGCCTACCACCAGCAACACGGTTGCATGTTCACCTCTGTGGTTCCGTGCAATGTCTTCGGACCCCACGACAACTTCAGGCAAGGAGAAGCCCACGTCCTGCCAGCATTATTAGCAAGGTGATTTTTTTTTGTTTAATTCTTGGTATTTTTAAAAAAAAAAAATTTAAGAATCCACAAGGCAGCTATGGAAGGTCAGCCAAGTGTGACAGTTTTGGGCACTGGCCGGCCACTGCGGCAGTTCATTTACTCACTCGACTTGGCCAAACTGATGATTTGGACCCTGTGGAATTACGAGTCTGTTGAGCCAATCATCCTCTCTGGTATATTTTCTAATTCAACATGGTGTTTTAAAAATATATATATTTATGAAATCTGCAGTTGATGAGAAAGATGAGGTTTCGATCGGAGAAGTGGCACATCAGTTGGCCAAAGTGTGTGGCTACCAAGGACGTTTGGAGTTTGACACCTCCCAGGCAGACGGCCAGTTCAAGAAAACGGCCAGCAACGCCAAACTGCGCTCATTGCTTCCAGAATTTGAGTTCACGCCGCTTGAACAGGCGCTCAAGGAAACTGTGCACTGGTACACCCACAACTGGATGAGCTCCAGGCGGTAACACTTTCGGAGGAAAATGTTTTTAATTTTGGTTGGCCCCTGAATATCCTATTCTACCCTGTGAAAATAAATATATGTGAATTTTAAGCATTTAACAAGTTTTTATTCCAATTAAATAATCTAATTTCTTTCCGAGAATTGTTAAAATTCTGCTGAAATGCATTTTGAACTATATACAATCAGGAAAGTAAAGGGGCGCCAACTTTTCACCGTCACGCACGGCCACCCACCCACACACCCCTATTTGAATAAACAAAAGGGTATTCAAATGGGAGGGGTGGTGGTGCCACCTGGGCGGCGGAATGTGAGCGGGGGCGGCAAACAGTCTCTATATTTTTCACGATGGACAGCCTGAGCGCCGAGGAGGCCAACTTGGCGTACCTGGGGTCTGAGGAGGAGGCTGAGCTGGCAGTCAAGGTCATCTGCCTCGGGGACAGCGCGGTCGGCAAATCGAAGTGCGTCGAGCGCTTCCTGCTGGACGCGTTTCAGCCGCGGCAACTGTCCACCTATGCGCTCACACTCTACACGCACCGCACAGTGGTGCGCGGCACGCAGGTGCGCGTTGACTTCTGGGACACGGCGGGACAGGAGCAGTTCAACAATCTGCACCCGTCCTACTTTCACGCCGCCCACGCTTGCGTCCTCCTCTTTGACGCCACCAGAAAGGTGAATAAACGTTTCATTTACATAAAAATTATTTTCTAAGACACATATTATAATACTTTTATATTTTTAACCAATTTTGGTATTGTTATTAAATTTTGATGAAGAATGGAAGAATCTTTAAATAAAAAATAAAACTAATCAATTAGATAACTAAAAATTTAATTTTTTTTGGTAATATAGTAGATTTTTATCTACTTATTAATTTTAGATGGAAGAATTTTATGTCATTAAATGAATAACTAATTTAAATTCAAAATTTCTGGTTCAATCTCTAATTAACTTATTGACGAAAATCATCTTTAAAAGAATTCCGAATAATGACATATTTTCCCTCTCCCCTGCCACACTCGTCGTATGCAACCCGCTGGATTCGGTTGTGAAGCGTGTTGCCTACTCGCACTTCCAATGGCTGCGATCTCTCATTTTTTACTCTCTTTGTTGCTACCAATTCGCTTTCGCTTAGCTTGCGTCTGACAGCGTGCACTATTTACAACCTGCCGCCGCCGATCACGTGATTCGCTCACTCACTCGCTGGTAATTGCGTAATTATACACACAGGCTGCCCCAGGATTAAGCCTCTTTATTATTTTAACCAGCTCGCGGAGCGATTTGAATTTCAAAGAGCGCCGCGCCGCGCGAATACAGTTACTTTCGTCTTTTGTATTCTAATCAAATCAATATGCACGCGACCAAATGCTTGAATTTTGGAAAACTACAACAAGAGAAAATAGAGACGGAAGTATATAATGAAAGCGGCTGTTATCGATTTGATACGCCGTGTGCGCTCGCTGCAATTCAGGAAATGATTCTGTTCACTGATGATAAGCTTTTGACTTTTGACATTTGAATTTACTTTTTATGTTGATACGCAAAAGACAAAAATTAAAGCTTCAAAAAAATAAAAAGGATCAGAATTTTAATTTAATTACAAAATAATTTCCTTTGAAAAGCAATTTAATAGATTTCGTTTTGAATTAAAAATAAATTAATAATTTTCAACAAATGTTCTTGTTTTTTTTTTATTTATTTATTTTTTTTTTGTCAAAACTATAACATCACATTAGATAAAACTGAACGTGCTCCTGTTCTAGGTAACGTACAAGAACCTGGCGCGGTGGTTGCAGGAGCTCCGCAAGTACCGGCCGCATATCCCTGTACTGGTCGGCGCCAACAAAATCGACGCCGATCCGGAGGTGACGAGGCGCTCGTTCGCCTTCCCGCAGCGCCACGCACTGCCGCTCTACTTCGTGTCCGCTTCGGACGGCACCAACGTTGTCAAGGTACCAAATAAATAAATCTCGCTCTAGGGATCAACGTCTTCTTTGTGAGCAAGGAGTGCATTTTGTATTTGATGGATCGCCAGCTCATTCCGAAACTGGTTCCAACCAGTCATTCATCTGATCAGTGCAAGATTAATGTTCAAACATAAATAAATGCCGTATTTATAAAAACAAACAAATACAACCTGAACTTTCTAGGTGGAACGTTTTGTAGTTATTGAACATTAAGAAAATTTAGTTAAAAATTGTTAAAAAATAAATAAAAATAAATAAATAAATAAAATGTTTAATCTAAACAAAAATTTCTCGCATGAGATCAACAACATATTCAGTAGGCTAAAACTTTCCAGACAAAACTTATTTTCTTTCTATACGTTAAAAATAATTTTGATACAAAAATTGTCTCGCGATCTCCAATAAAATTGATTTTTGGAAGCAAAAATAGATTTTTGGCGGTACCTCCTTTAAAGGTGTGACTCGTCTGGAGCTCATTTTGACATTTAATAATGCGGAATTCCGCCTGCTTTTTTTTCTTTGTACGCCTCTCCTTTTGTGCGAGCTTTGGTGCCGCCTCCTTTCGAAAAATTAATATATCCGCTTTTGATTGTTTCGCAGCTGTTCCAAGACGCGATCGAGGCTGCCGTCGAGTACAAACGCAACCCTGCTGACGACGCCGACCGTATTCTGGACGAACTGGACAGGCTGTGAGGAACAAAAAATCCGCCCAAAATCTAACGCGCCAAGGTTGACTTGGGACCAAATAAGAAAATAATTAAAACAAAAAACCGACTGGTTATTTGGGAGTTGAAATATAAAATTTATAATTTATGTACCACTCTAATTGCGAGAGGCGATTCATACTTGAAATAACTCCGGTGTCCAAGGATGCGACGAGATGGAGGGATTTTCCTCCTTTTGCCCGCTCAAGCATGCACCTCTATTGTCACTTTCATTTCTAGACGAGCTGCCGTCGCAACTCAGAGTTGGCAGAAGATCGAGCGAGCGATTTGTGTAACTTGTTTATGCAACGGACAAGGTGTCCGTGACGAAACTAAATTAATTCTCAAACTCTCGTTTAAATCGGCGCGGCCTTTATTTGTTTCAACACAAATTGTTTATTTGTTTTCCTCTCGCTAAGGACTCGAAAATATAGCACCAAGATATTGGAAACCAAAAATAATTTGCTTATTTTTACAACAAAAGTCGTTTGCAAATCACGCACAAAGAGAGCCGAAGGCGTTATCTGTTGTTGTCTAGCTGCTGCGGTCAACCCAGCCGGCGTTGGACCTCACCTGGCTGCAGATCGCGCTGTTGCCGAGGCCTTTTAAAATTTCTTCTACATTGGAGGATAGAAAAAACCAAGCGAATTCGTGCGATGGCGAGAGTGAGAGCAGGAGAGGGGCCTAGGCGTCGGGTTGCTGCGAATAAAAACAAAACTTTTGATTATACACGCCCGCTCTCGAAATTTCTCGAAATTTCTACTGTGAATAGATGGAGTATAGAAGGGTATTTTAAGTAAGGAATTAGTGATTATCGAGTCGAGTTGAGTGTAAGAAAATTTAGATTAAAAGGATGCTTAAAAATTTCAATCAAATTGAATGATAAAAGAGGCAAACAGTTTTAGATTGCTTAAAATATTGATTTGAGTTCATTTTGTATAGCTGTAACTTTTCTATATAGGTGCAGTTTTGTTTTTTATATTAAATTGCTTCTTTTATTCCTCTCCTTCCATTTTCAATTTTTTTTTCAATTTGGAGCCGATTCTTTATTTTATTTTATTTTTTATTTTATTTAACAGACGCATTTAAAGACAGCACAAATTTAAGCATAAACGCATGGGTCTAATTATGATCAACGTGCAAAAAATTCAAAAGTAATTTAGCCTCTTATTTTTTTTTAGCTCATTTTAACAAGAAAATAAAACCGTGGAGGCTAAAATCTCCCTGAGCGCGCAATTTAAACAAACGCCACTATACATATCAGAGGTTACAATTCTACTTTGGATCTTGCACTTGAGTATTATAAAAGGCTGAAAATTGATATTGTTCCCTTGTGCGATGTTGATTATTTCGCCTTTTCGAGCGAACGAGAGCGACCTTTAGCATAGTTGGAAACTTCGCCGTGCTAGTAATGAATCCAATTATTTCGAAGGCCGCCATCGACTTAATATTGCCCGTAATTGCCGCTGCATCTCTCGCGCAGATTGTTTTATAGCCCTGTGCGTGTACATTTTTTTTCGCTGAACGGTGGAAGTGTTTTTTGTTGTGTTCGAAAGCGAATAAAATAACGGATGCTCGTTTCGGCGGCGCGAGTGCAGGTGCACGTTATACACATTGTGATGTAATTTATTTGCAGTGAGAGTATATTGTGGAGTGCGCGCGGCTGCAGAGCGCTCGGTGAAGGGTGATCGGAATGCAGCCTTGAGAAGGCCGTTGCGGGCGTTCAAATCACCGAGAGCTGCTTTTATGATATTGTGCATTTAAAATTGATGTATTAAAGAGAAAAACAATCGCATAGGGTGTGGACACCGGCTATGTATGTTGTGACACTCTGCCTCGATCAGCAACATTATCAACGAGCTGATCGATTCGAATTGCAAAACGTGACCGGTCAGCGATTTCTGCGCCTCGAACGGAAATGTGTGTATTATAGAGAGAGAAAGAAACAATAATTCAGCTGAGAATAGCACTTTTCATGTAGATTGGATTGTAAGTAGAAAAATAATAAAAGGATTATGAGAGCCCGAGGGAAGGCGCAGGAGGTCGCAGCTTTGCGGTTGCCCTATCCCGGATCCCTCGCCGGCGCACGCAGCCTCGACATTTTATTGGACCAGTGTGTGTGTGTTGTTGTTAATTTATGCGTGTCGTGTTAAATTGCGAGCCTGTTTCTTATATAATAATAACAACGCACGGCACAATAGTAAGAGATCGGCTGCAATAAGGTGGGGCGAAAAGAGAGCGAGAGTAAAACTGGCTCCGTGAAGGCCATAACGGAGCCGCCGCCGGTGGTGGTTGCTAACGGCCCAAATAACTCCCATTCACTCTCTCCAACTCTTGAGCACGAAATCTCGTTTTCGAATATAAAAGTAAATCATGCAAAATATTATATTAAAATTTCCACCCCGTATGCCTTGTAGAAAAACTTCACGAGAATTATCAGGTGTAAAAAATTCGGCGGAGAAAAAAGTGCTGCGCAATTGCGAAAGGCGACCTGTGGCCAGGGCGTGGTCCAAGGTCGCGTAGGATTGCTCGCCGCCGCCAAGGCTTGCACCCTCTTCGAGATGGAATCCGGTTGGGCGGCCAACGTAGTGAAAGACTCTTCAAATTAAACGCAGCGACTCTTTGAATTTTGCGCGAGTCGGTCAATACGCAATTACAAAAAGTCGTGAAAAGAAAGGCGAAAAATAGTAATGAGACTGACATTTTACCTCGGCTGAAAGGGAGAGGGACTTTCGGCGAACGAATTAATTTGTCAATTACAAATGAGCCGCATTTCAAACGCACGGCTCGATATTATTCAAATTTTTGGAATATCATTGACTTTTAATTGGAAATTCGACCTAAAATCAGTTGAGTCAAGAAGTCACGCGTTTTGCATTAAGTGGCTTTGATCATTTAAAAATTCATTTATTATCTCTTCTCATAGTCAGCTGAATGAGCAAAAACATGCCTTCAAGCTATTCTGATATGATCCAATAGTTTAGAACCAAACTGTTAACTTTTCATGAAAAAAAACTTTCTAATTACAACAAAAAATTTATTTTTGTGCACCTTTTTGAATATTTTAAAATTTTAATTACCTTGTGGAATTAAATTAAAAGTTCTAGCAACAGAAAATAAGAATCTCTTTTATTACTTTAAAAATTAAAGATTACTAACTTGGATAAACGTAAAGCCGGACCTCTCAAGTAATGCACTAATGTGACAGCCAAAAAACTGATAGAAGTGGTTTTCCCTTTATAAAGTGTTCAGGATTTACAAGTAAAATATGGAGTTGTTCCAGAAGTTTCAAATGTTGTTATTTGTGTAGTATAATGTAAATAATTCTAAAGATTATTATTTATTCCACGTATTCTTTTTTTATAAAAATAAGCAGATAAAAAGGAAATTTGTTATTATCAGCAGCCATTAAATTCGAAAAAATGAGAGCACGTCTGTTAGAAAAGGACGCAAACAAAATATTTTAGCGCGCGTCACAACCGTAATGCTCCCATTCAGAGTGTGTGTCAACGAACGTTCCTGGAAGCACATCGTCAGTTTACACACATGCACGCGCTGATTTGCATTCGGATCGCGGCGAGCGCGGATTAGCGCGTTGTTTGCGCAAATCATTATCGCACAGCCGGCAGAGTTAAGTGCTGATCAGCGAAACCGGCGCCGCAAGACGACGACGGTATCATCTCTTGTGCCAATTTTGAAATCGATTTGCACTGCCAACTATAAATTTGCAACCGCGATTGAAAGAAATAAAGTACACAAATGGCAGGTTACGTTAGAGTGGAACAGAATAGAAAGAAAGAAAGACGCTGTTTCCTACTTTCCTTTTCGTGTTGTGCGGCGATATTAAGCGCGGCTAATTAATTGTCACGCGCGGTCAGAGCCGCGCGGTGCATTTCCTTGTTGCTTCACACCATCGGGAGAGCACCTTTGCATCACAGAAAGGCTCAATGGGCCCACCATCAATGAAGGGACTGCGCCTAACGCAATCTGCACTTATGGAATGCATGCTTGATTGGGTGAGAAAGAAAATGCGGCGCGATGCAACTGCGCCTGATTTATAGCATTAACTTACAAGAGTGTACAACTAACTTGAGCAAAAACTATTCCGATCATGACGCGATCGATAAAAGCCATTTAATGAGGGTACGTCTAAAACTTTTACTTGGATAGCTTGCTTAGGTCAATGAAAGTTGATTGTATTAACATTTTTTGTAACCTTTTATGTTTCACTTGCAAAATGAATCATGTATTGAAGTGGATGCAAAATGTAAGGTTATGCATTAGTCATTTTTCCATGTTAAGTAACTGATTGATAAAAATCTTACTATATTAATGTTATACTTTTTGATATGCTTCTACATTACTGAAGCGGTAAAATATTTCTAGGTATATGCGATGTATTGTAGTTTGATAATAATCTTCTAGGTTTTTCACATCCACTTTTAACAATTCCTACTGCTAAAATGTTGGTTTTTGATGAATGAAAGGGAGATTTTTTTATATTTAATTTAATATGTTGAATTTTTATTGATATTTGATGACACAGAGACAGCAGCAGCATCATTAGCAATTAAATATGGTTAAATGTTTGTTTGTTTAAATGGTATATGCACGTGTGTGTGTTTGTTGGTGGAGGGTAAAGGTACACGTCGTTTTTCTTTTGCTTCGAAAACGTTCGCGGTCAAAATTGAAAAGAGAGAGATGCACGTATTATATTTACAAAAGTGGGAGAATCTCTAAAGAGAGAGACGCGCAAAGATTGGAGACCTTGGAGGGAGATGCGCCGTCACGAAATGCGCCACACGCAGAATTCTCACGTTAAATCCAAAAGCTGTTCGAACGGCTGCAACTTTTGAAAGGGTAAAATTTTCACCCACAAGAGTTCTGCTTACAATATACAGTAAAAAACAAAGGCCTGAATCGTCCTGGTGTTTAGGGTTGAAGTGCCAAAAAAATCTCTTTGCAATTCTTTGGCACGTCCTCCTAGATATTCAGGACGATTCGAGGGTCTTATTTTGGCTTTCCTTCCAACTAAAATTGGTGATTATTTTGGATCATTTAAAACCGCGTGTGCCACTTTTCGCGAGGACGGGTCAAAGATCTCCAGGATGAGGGGAATGGGGGGCTCGTGTGTTTATTAAACCTACGATATAGACACTGACGCACACACTGACAGAGTAGACGGACGAACGCGCACGACGATCGGGGGCGAGCGAGCGAGCGGAGAGACAGCGGGCGGCGGTCGCTGCGTTGTACTTGCGGAGGAGCCAGCGGAGATCGGTGTTGTGCTGTAAATGCAGTCCTTGTGCCGGTCACAGCCTTTTCGGGGGAATGTATTTTCATATCTTTCGATTTTGGAAAAAGTTATATTAATAGATTAAATCGGTGCATTAATTTGTCCTCCATATATCTGTGTCTCGCGCGCGCGCGGTGTCAGCAGCAGCAATCATGAATCATCCTGCAGCAGCGGTTGTTCTGTGGCGGCGCCGACGCGGCGAGTTCAGCTGAGGATGCGGATCCGCACTCAGGACGCGTGCCACGGCTGGTAGTAGATGAGGGGAGGAGGGGGGGCGGTGTGGGCGGCCAGCACGTGGCACGCCAGCTCCTCGATCAGGGCCAGCGTCTGGCGCCGCTCATGGCCCATCAGGCAGACGGTGGACTCGTCGACGACCGAGTGCAGCAGCAACAGGTACGCGTACTGGTCGGCAGCGCTCGCCACGTGGTTGTTCAGGTAGGCCTCCAGTTTGACGCGTTGGCTCATCACGTCGGAGAAGTCGATGAAGAAGCGCGAACACATGTACCGCTCCAGGGTCTTGATCTGCTGCGGCCGCTCGGGCCGGTAGCCTCTGGTCAGCAGGTGGCAGTACTTGAGCAGACCGCCGCCGCGGATCTCCTCCGGTTGCCGCGTCGCGATCAACTGCTTGTGCAGATGGTGCAGCGCCTCCTGAATGTCGCCGTACACAGATTCACCCACCACCGTCGGGTAGAAGTTGTCCGACATCGCCAGGTCGCTGCACTTGTAGAACAGCAGCAGGGAGTCCAGCACCACCTGCGAACAACACCAATCGCTGCGTTAAAACTCGTGATTTTAAAGGTTTCTAAGCTCTTAATTTGATATATGCGATTTACGACCAAGAAGAATCTGCGCTACTCATATACGCGTCATTTGACAAGAGCGAAACACGACCTTTCGTAATATACGGCTACAATACTCATGTCACTCCTGTTATTGGTTCAGAAAAATACGGATACTCGGCATTAAGAGATCAATGAGAACTCCAGTGAAAGTTAAAATGCGCACCCCTGTGAGCAATGAAATGGAAGTGAGGATTTCAACGTTTAGATTGATCTAGAATTTCTAATTTTTAATTGCACCAGATATGTACTCTGTGAAAAGGTTCAAATGCTGTTGATGGATAATTTTTAAACTTTTCTTTCAAAGTTTAGCGAATTTCTTGATAGAACTGTTTGCGGCGATAATGAAATGTTATTTGATTTTCACATAATATATATTATGTTTTGAATATTTGAATGATGTACCTTTTTATAGGCTGAGATTGCCTTGTGGTACACCAATTATCTTAATTTGCAACTAATAAATTAAATAATTGTACTTGGAGTTCACGATCGAGGGTTGATTCAATTTAAAATTTGGCTTTTCCTCGATGGGTTTTTGTGGGTTTTTTCCTTAGACAATAAAAAAACACAAAAACCCATCGAGGAAAAGCCGAATTTTAAATTCAAATCACAGTAAAAATAATGTCTGGAGTGGACCTTTAATCGCGAACCCAATGAAAATATTTCAAATTTGTGGCTATTAGTTCAAAAATAAATTAATTTAAATTTTATCTAATATCTATAATTCTCCATCTTCAATGCAAACTCCAAAAGAGCATCTAAAGTAATTAAAAAAAATGACGATATGAAACCTTACAAAAATTTATTTAGATGAAATCGGATGAAATTAAAGTTGATAAATCCAAACGACTTTTCAAGTGTACGTAACAAATAATACTTAACGCTTGTCTCTCTTTTCAAATAATCTGATAATTAACTCACGTGATTAATTCCAACGATGTTTTTTGTAACACCCTCATTAATAAGTTATATTTCACAAGACGTATTCGCGACAATCAAATTACGCAAACGATCAAAAGATTTGCTCGCAGCCGTCAATTTGGCCAAAGATAACAAACCGATATCATCAATTTAACAAGTGGTACGAAAACATTCTGGAACATTCTATACACACTCGTAAATTAATCCACGTTATGTAATTGCCTACAAAACGCCGCAAACAAAAACTTCGGAATTCACTCGCATACTATCGCAGAACATATATACAATAAAATGTGTGGCCGCATAGAAAGTGGGACGCTCGCTTTTTGTGACGCGAAGGTCGAGATTATTGCCATGCACTGTGAACGCGCGATTATTCCAAATAGAAGAAAGAAAACTCTCGCTTATTGATATTTAAGAATAAATTTTTACAAACCTGGAACGAGTCGACGGAGAACTCAAACTGGCGGCGCATCGAGTCTACAAATTTGAGCTCGACGTTGCTGCCGTGGCCGAGGGAGATCAGGGACCAGCGGTCTCCTGCCTCGTTGACCTTGACCATTTTGCCAACGTAGGCCTCCTTCAGGGAGCAGGTGGAGATACGCTTGCGGCTAACACCGTCGGGCAGAAGTTCCAACAGCGACGCAAGCACGGCCTGCTTCACCTGAAATCAACACAAAAGGAATGAAACGCCATCGCCAGAATTTGAAACGCTTTAACATTGTAAAAATGGCACATTAATCACAATATGAAAATGCACTTGACTTCACAAGTTTAATGAAACGCATGAAAGGGTATTTCAGGTGAAAATTAAATTAAAGGTGGAAAACCTTTATTGAAATTTGCAGCAAAATTGTACCTTTCCAAGGTATCATTAGATTTGCCTCGATAAATTACATTTTGTCGAATTAAAATTTTGAATAAATTCCTACCTTTTCAAATTGTCTGGCGCTGGGCAAGTCAACGGCAAAGATGAGGTCGAGGTCGTTGTAGGTCTGCGCGTCGTGCGCGAGCACATGGGAAGCTGCGCCGCCGTTGAGGCGGATGTCCCTGACGCGAACGTCGTCCGACTCGAGTTTGGCACGGACGACGCTGACGAGGTCGCGCAGACGCACCTCAAGCGTGGGGAAGTTTCCGCGGCCGTGCACCTGCACCACCTGCTGCATGACGGCGTCCAGACGACGCACCTGTTCGAAGCTGAGCACCGCCAGGCGCTGCTGCTTGTCATCCTCGTCGACCAACGTAGCGCACGGCGGGTCCTCGGACGTCAGCGACGACGAAGACGAGCAACCGGAGTCGCTCGATTCGTAGCTCATCGTCGCTTCGCCGCTGCTCTGAAACAGACAAAGACCAAAAGTGCCCAAAGTTAGTTCAGTGTCGAGAAAAACAACTAACTTTAGTGCTTCTGAGGAGGAGCGGCAGCCACAAGAATTTTATAATTTGAATATTTGAGTGCAAATAAAATTCTTGAGTTACAACAATAAGAAATATTTTAAAACGGGAAATATCAACAACAATCATAAAATTGTGAGGATTTCTTATTGGCATAGTTGAATCAATTCCTAAAAACAATTTGGCCATTTTTTTGCAATTATTGGAAGATGAAAGGCAATCTTTTCAACCACTTTTGTGGTAAAGAGTTAGAAAATCCTTTATGACAGTTAAAAAAGACTTGATTTAACTGTCAAAAAGGATTTTCTAACCGGCGATTAATTATTCTCAAATTCAAACAAAATATTATTTGTAAAGATATTTGAAATACTAAAAAGAAGTTTGAGGATTCAATATTGACATAAAGTCAAATCAAGTCCTCACATCAACAGACACAGATTGCGATTGTTGGAAGACTATTGGAAATTTAAATCAAAATTGTTGTTTATAAATAAACACATCTCGCTCGCCCTAATAATGGAATAGGCTTCAAACTCTTTTTTATTTTAAAACCACAATTTCTTTATCGTGTTTAATATACCTAGTACTCTTAAATAATAAATATCGTGTTTTTTTCCTTTCCCGGTAATAATGTAGGTCGCCCAGTATCTTCAATTTAGAAGTAAAAATATTTTCCGAGAATAAAGTTTACAACTTTTGTACTCGTTATCTTTGAACTCATTTTGCAACTGGGTTGAAACGCATCATAAGTTTTTATAATTCAATTTCAGTCTTGAAACGTAACAATTAAAAAGTTTCAAAATTTTATAATGCGTATTAAAATTATGCGTTGTTCAATCTATTTTTTTATTTTGTAAGTAGGAATAGTGACGCGATTTAGAAGCGCAGAGGCTAATCACCTAATTCTGCCTATTTAGTGTGATAATCACCATAAGTTAAGTCTTTTGCCCAATAACTTGTTTAAACAGCCATGAAATAACGCAATTCCACTTCACGCGATCGCGCCCGGCCGTAAAATATGAGTAAAAATCACGCGTTAGCAACAAACAGCAATAAACGCCGACACGATTTGCGCAGATAACGAAAATCTTTGTGGAAAGAAATCTCGATTCAATAATAAAAAAGTGACGAAAACGAAGTCGTCGCCCTGTATCTGGGTACGCACCAATATAAACAGCAAGTGTATCTCAAATCTTATTCTTAAACAACGAGATCGTTGAGTCTTGGCGAGAAGAAAAGAATGTTTCTATTCGCTTCATGGCAATGACCTTGTTGCGTCACTCGGTTAATTTGGCAACACACGCGCGATTGCATTACACAAATGGTACGGCGTTATTTTGGTCAGACCGGTTCAACTCACTCTCTCTTGTTAACTCCTTCTTAGCAGCGATTATTGTTATGAAGCTGCACACATTTTCGCAAGTGCACAGTCACGGGACACGAGCGAACTTCTTCAAACGAATGGTTGAATGAAACTGAAAATTGGTTGGATGCAGCATGCCAATTAAATACTAGGCACACTTTATCAGTTGGTTCCGCAATTCTGCTCCGTCAGAAATAAAAATATTATTGAATTGCGGCGGAAGAATTGCGATTGTAATGCAAAATTGCTTTCATTTAGGCACGTTTTAGGCTTTTGAATGGCAGAATATTATTATTTTAAGGGGTTTTTTGCAATAGTGAAATAGCAGAAGTCAGTTTTTCTTCTTATATTTTAACTGTAGAAACGGATTACAATCAGTATTTATGCAAAATTTTATTATGAAATTCTTTAGAAATTCTTTTAAAATGTTGGACTTTTTCTAATTTAATATTACACAGATAAAATCATGAGAAACATTGCTACATCATTTTGAAGGGAAATTAACAAGGAATATTTTGAACATAGCATAGACAGACTTACCCCTAATGAAAGGGTTGAAATCGGCGCCGAAGAATGCGCCTTTTGAGCGAGACGCAGTTGCTCGTGCATCAACAAATGGAGAGAATAAGCAAGGGCGGCGCAGAACGGTTGGCAAGAGGTGCCAAAACCAAACAATTTTGCGCAAAAAGGTGTCACAATTTATTCTTCGCAGTAAAATACAAAAAAATTTTAAATTGCAAAAAATAAAAAGAAAATTTAGATCTTCATCCAATGAGCTTTAAATTGAAGGATGATAATTTGAAATTTCATAATTTAACATTAGATCGATTTAAATTCATAGAGATTTTATAAAGAATTTATAAAAAAAATACTGTAAATTAATGGAAAATGTTTGTATAAATTCACACGTAAGAAATATTTTTAGCACTCGAGTAACGTGCTTGGCTTTGTCTTGCTCGCCAGCCCCATAAGCACCGGCCTAATTGGCTGGACTTTTAACTTCTTTCAAATACATATAATTATCTTTTATTGAAAAAAAAATTGCGAGAAGAATACAATTTAAAATTTTCAATGAACTTGCACAGAATTGGAAAATCTATTTAATAATTTGCTTGACTTTCTAATTTGAAAATTAATTGTAATTTCATATAGCGTTAAAAACAAGAAACAGAATAATGTAAAAACTTGCACATACCAAAAGGAAAAATAAGATAGAAACTTTTCCTCAATAACACGTGCAAAAGTTTTACAGACAGAGTCCCCATTTTTTAACTTCAGCAAAACGATATCGTGCGAGAGCTGAAAAGCAAGCGCGTACAACACTAATCGCTGGGAAGATAAAATTCACAGTCAGAAAGTTGTGCTCTTTGCAATGATAGTGCTAACCAAGTGAACGAGACGCGTCACTCGTCCCTCGCGAACTTGTCATGTTAATGAAATTGCTAATTAGGCCGACTCCTTTGATCCACCGAGGCCTTTCCGCGGAAAAAGTTCATGCTTCTCAATTAAAAAATGCAGATTAGAATAAGAAATTGGCGAGGCCAAAACGAATTGAGGAAAACGCAAAAAAATTCGTCGGACGTCATTTCGCATAAAAGTCACTTGTTCTCTTTCCGGCATTTTTCCATATTTTCCTGTCGCCGTTCGCGGCGGAAAATTGGCCACTATTGTGTGCATTGTTTGCAAACGTTCAACAATGAATTGCATTTTTGCTGGCCGCTGAACTCGGTCGAAATTTGCGACGCAGCTCTCCAGTGTCAGCAAATTGCTTCGCCCTTCGTCGGCTGGATTGATTTCGGCTGCGAGCGCGCGGCGTGGCAAAGCAAAGGCTGATTAAAATCCAAAACCTCGACCTCTGCGGCATGAAATTCTATTTATAGACGCAGAATAGGAATTCCCTGGCAGAATGAAACCCCAATGCTATTTTCATCACGAATTCGGAGAGAGCCAAATATTTACCTCGAAAGCCACGAAAATATTTTTGTTGGAAATGTAAAAAATTTGCGATGGAATTTAAAATAATCGATCAATAACTGCCAATATTTTATTTATTATTATAAATTAATACAAAATTGAGTATTTGTGCCCGGTTTGAAACGATGACTTTGTGCTTTGAAAACAATGAAATATATTTTCCACTTTGACGCACCACGCTTGTAAGTAAAAGGGCGTTTGGGCGATGCTAATTAGCCGCGAAGTTTAACCGCGCCTTTTGAATTAATTTACCAGGAAGAGTTTCAGTTTGTTGATTAAAAATCCTCTGCTCTCAGAAAACAAAAGCTCCTCTCTTTCTCCGCGGCGTCAACCAACATTCGAGTTGTGCGCATGTTCTAGAGCCCACTCTCGAGCTTTCGTATTACAGCATCAACAAACTCATCCCGCTGGAGCGTGGCCGCGCACATAAATCGAATTATGTTTCGTTTTTCTTTCTCCTTACAAACCGAATCTAGTCTAGGAGATAAATAAAATTATCCTTTTCGTATGAAAAAATCTAATAAAAACGAATTGTTTCAAGAAGCAGAAAATCAATAAAGATGAAAAAAGTGTATCTGAGAAAAGATTTTAGGGAGAATTGCGTTGGCAGGGGTGTGCGGCGAACTCACTGGTTTAGTCTTGAGTTTATCCAGCGCGGGGCCGTGTGTGTGTCCGGCTCTCGAGTTGAAGGAAGGTCAGGGCAGACCTGATGTCAGGACGAAGTGGCGTGCGCAATCGACCGTTCGCTGCAACGGACAGGGACTGACTGAAGTGCCGGCGCAGTGAAAGGCAGCAGCCGCTGACGCTGCGGCTCTGACGTCAACGCCGCGGACTGCGTGGGCGGCCGAGTGCCTGGATCCGCCCACGCACCCTTTGACCTTTCCACCCCATTCAGCCCGGCCAACAACACCAACCCCCGGCCTCCGAGGGACCCCGAATTTACCCAAATTCAAAGTATTTACTATAGAAAATGCACAAAAAAATAATGGTTGAGTGAATTATATAAAATTGGCGTCAAAATCAAACAAGTGGTTTTTCTATTTGTGCGTGAGGCGCTGGAATAAGCAGCAGCGGGTTTTGTGTTTCGCTCTATTTTCGTCCCGCCGCTCTTTATCTCGACACGGGCTTAATTAAGCCTGCTTGTTTGTTTACCAGGTTTGCTTGCTTCGATTTGGGCGCTGCTTTTTCCGGGAAACTTCCACTCCTCTGATTTATGCCGCTGATTTTCTGGCTGAGGAACGTCTACCATCAGCAACGGCTTTCGCAAGGTGAGCTCTTATTGATCGCCGCTTTTCGCGGAAAAAGCAAGAGGAACCTTCTAGAAAAGAGCCACCAAAACTGTTCCAAAAAAACCATTTTGACTTTTGACAAAAATTAGAAAAGTTTTCAAATTTTTAATAAATAAAACTAGGTTCAATCTTTTACTGCTTTATTGAAATTTCAAACGAAAAGATTTAATAAAAACCTATATTGGCCAAAATATAAAATTACAGAAATCAACTACAAAACTTTATCGAAAAGCAGTATTTTTTTATCTTCCACAAATTAAATTATTATTATTTTTTAATCATTCTATTTTTGCAATAATTATATTTATTTATAAATCAAATTGAGATTTTTTGAGAAAATAAATCATTCATGGACAAATATGTATATGGCATGAAAGTTCCTGAAATTCAAATTCAACAGTAATTTCAGTTTTAGGTCCAAAATTGTCTTCGCTTTGTTATGTTAAAAAAATAGCCAGATGTTACATCTATTTGAAAACGTAATTATTAAATTTTCTTATCGTATTTCTTCAATCTCAGGTTACAAAAGTTTTCAATTTTCTCTAGTGTGGATTTAAAGTGAGGTAGAAACTTTTATAGCAGCACTATAGGAGGGTGCCACGTACATGAATGGCTGAAAGCATCATTTTGGGCCAAATGGGAAACTGCGTCGAAAGTGGTGGCCGATGTAATTCGGGGGTAGCAAGAGAGAGCGCGGGGGTGAAAAACTGCGTCGTGGCGCCTCACGGAGCGTCGGTCGGAGGCGCCGCGTGGGCGTACGGAGAGATAGCAGAGCGATTCATTCACCCAGTGGCCGATCGATAAATCCGGAGCTCGTCGCAGAAAATTCGAGAAAGCGGCCACCAGGGCACAACACATTAGCACAGTGACCTTCTCCGAAATAAACAGAGGTGGAAACTTCACCCTTTCGTGGCACCGGACACGATTTGCGGCCTTATCAAAGGAGTTCCTCTTTCTCTCTCTCTCTCCGGTGGCCGAGCGACCTACCATCCATCAACGCGGTGACATTGAAATTCGCAAATGTCACCGCGTACATAGTAATTCAGATTTTCATGAACGATATACGCGCGAGGTTGCGGCCGGAAAATAAATATGGCGCGCGAATTCATGCTCCGCCGGAAAAGGTACCCGACGCCGCAAGGATTTTAACTTTTTAATATTATTTAATGTTTGCGGTGAAGCTGATCTGTATGAAGCCGAGCCAAATCGTTCATTACGTCAGTAAATAAATAACGAGAGTCGATTTGTCATGGTGCAGGCCCAGACGTCTCGCCGGGCTCAAAAGTGCAGCAGAAAAGTGCACTTTCTGCCAGCAACACTTGTTGCTCTTGTGGGACGCAGAATTATTGATTCTCTTTGGGATGTTTCGAAATAACAACTCAAAGCAAAAGTACTTTGCAGATTAATCTTGAATTGCTTTGGAATAATGGAAATAAAGTTAGATTGAAAATAATTGTATTACTTATTTCCTTCGTGAAGTTCTTGTTTGACTTTGAAATAGTTTTTTATTTTTACATAAATACAAGTGCGAAAAATAAAAAAATTATAATAAAATGATTCACTACTATTTTTGCTGGAATTAAGAAAAAGGAGGGAATTCGTGGAAAAATTATTTGAACATTTTATAGCTTTTAATATTTATTGAAATTAAATTACTTTTTAATTGAAAGGATAACACTTAAAAATCGTTTTTAATTAACCTAAAATGGGAAACATGAATTTTTAATAGAAAATTCGGCCTCTCTGTATAGAATATTTTTTTTTAAATACGCACACGATTTTTGCTACATCCCATTTCAAAATTTTATTTTTATAAAACGATGACGATTTTCCAACCATTTATCATTTTTAATGTTTTGGTTAAAAATGAGAACAGCATAACGCGAAATGGACTACAAAAGATTGCTGTTTCACCAACCACTCGTAAATCAAAGAGTTTCAAAATTTTCGACGCGCTCTTGATGAAGGCCTGTAATTTCCAGCCAATAATTATGATTTTCGGAATGACGTGAATGACGTGCGGCCGTGTTTAAATTTAAAATTTTGTATTTTCCCTCTGGTGGCCGCAGCGTGGAAATTCGGTATCTTTTCCGGTGGGAGGAGGCAATCAGGGTCCGCGCGCACTTCCCCTCGTTGCTATACCTGCAGTGTTGGTGCCCGAGTGGCACTTTTTCAAAATTACCAACATGCACCAGGCAGTGACCTTTTTGTGGATCTGTGGCCTCTACCTTGGCCTGAGCTACGTGATGGCGCTGATTGTGGCCGCCTACGACCCCAGACGGCCGCCTGCCATCACCGAGGCCAAATTGGTCTCCAGAGAGGAAAGGGTTCGTCAAAATTGCTGACATAGCCTGAATAGCTAAAAAATGGCGCATTTCCGCCACAAAGCAGATGAGAGTTTGTGGAAAAAAGTGGCCAAAGCATTTTATTTCTAGAATATTTTTGATTCGATATTTGTCATTTTTGTTCAGCGAGGGCAGAAATTTATCTCATCTTTTCATAACTGCGACTGAACTTTTGACTGTTCGGTCGCGCGGTTGGCAGCTCAATTGCTCATTATTTTATCAACTGCTTTGATAATTTGAAGGCCACCGTTCATATCTTTCTTACATAAATTGCGATGCAAGAAAGTGAGCGAAGTCCAATAGTTAAATTGTGAAAAATTTCAGGATGTGCACGCCCAAACCAAGAAATGGTGCTTGGGCCTGAAGGACTCTGAGGCCCAGCAGCCTTCGGTGGTTGTCAGTCCCTTAGCCGAGCCGTGGCTGCAACAAGCCTTGCAGCACGCCACTGGTGAAAAAGTGGCGGCCACCGCACAGGCCAAGTACTTCAACAGGTTTGGCAAAACCGTTTTAGTTTTGGACCCGCCCAAACCAGAACAAGTCGACGAGTGGAATCGACTTTTCATGACTTGGGTCCTCAACTTCAAAGTATGTTTTTTAATTAAAATTTCACCGAAAAATAATTTAATTTTTTTTAAAGGGCCCAAGAGTGGTTGTTTTTGAATCTGAACTGGTCGCCGACCCAGAAGGTGAACTGACCCGTGTGCTTAAATTCCTTGGCCGAAAGACGGACGGGGTTGGATGCGCCCTGGAAAGGGCCCCTCCATTGGGGTCAAGCAACTCAAAGGTCAATCTGGAGTCCAGCGAGGTCAGACAGAATTGGGACATGGTCTTGACGGCACTCAACGAGACCACCTCCCAGTTGTGAAAAAGAAGAAAAAAACGAATTTTTTTAATTTGTGTGTTGCGCTGTTTTAGCAAAATTTTGTTGTTTGTGGTACTTTTTTCTAGAGACATTCCCACCGAGGACAAAAACCTGTGATTTTCCTTATTTTGTCATGATTTGGAGATAAAACTAATAATTATCAAATTAATTTTTTTTAATTTATAATTTTTTTATTAAGTGTGACGCAATTTTGCAAATTTTTAAGTCACAGTGTTGATGGCAACAGCATCGCAGTGAAATCGCAAGCGATGATTCAATAATCACACCGTTACATAATTATTTCCACTTTCTTTCCTCTTCCAATTCTGCGCGCCGCGATCACTCGTTTTTCATACGCGATTGGCCAATCAGCGAATGGCTTTTTATTACACTTTATCTGCTGCTTGCACAGCTTGTGGTGAATATACGATTATCTCTTTCTCTGTCGACTTATGTGCCTCTTTGTTGAGCCGACATAAATTAATAATTATAATTTATACGGAGTACGATTTGTAGTGGCTGTTCCACTGACTGACCCCGCGCCTTGCCTTATGCAAATGACGCTCACACTCCAAGGGCACTAAGAAACTAAGTGGAAGTTCACTTTTCAATTTTAAAATCAATTAGTTGCTCAAAGATCAAATAGGTGATTTATTTTTATAAAAAAGATTGGTTTCAAACGTGTAAAAAAGTTTAAATTTAGTGAAAAAAATTTAATGAGAGGATCATAAAGATGGGTCAAACAAAAAATTAAAATCTTTATGAATAATTTTTAATGTTTTGTATTATTTTAGAACAAAATGTCCTATGCAAAGACACCATCACTCATAATTATATTTGTAAATTTTCTAAACGTGGAATCAAGTTTGTCCGAATTGCAACTTCTGAGATTTCAAGAAAAGACAAAATATTATAATGGCGCGTCGAAACAAACAGCGCTTATCAAATTCGCCAACTAACGAAACTCACTCTCGCTCAGGTATGTGTTTTACTTCTTCCAAATTGAAAGCGCCAGGTCGGCAAAAGAAACGTTTGTCAGCGAGTTTGGCGTCTGCTGGCGAAATTCCGCCGCAAAGCAAAGCAAAGTACGATCGATTGCTCTGCGGTGCCGAAAGCCAAGCTAGCGCCCAAATGAATAAGTAACCCACTCATTTATCCACTTTTCATTTTATTTCTGGGCATCACACGCTGCGAGCAAAGTGCGTCGTTTTTTGCCCAATGTATAACTGGCCGACGCCGCCGCCGCCGCGAGTAGTACATAGTAATAAACACATAAGCCCCAACGAGCGAGAGATCGCAAAAAATCAAGGACACGCAGCAGCACCAGCAGCTCCACATTTTTAAGAAGCCTCATAGGCGCGTTCTAACGTGTGTGTTTGCTTTCTATGTTCGGATTCAGACGTTGTGCATGTTTGTAATTTTATCGTTGCGAGTTTTCAGGTTTTTCCACATCAATGCTCGACCGGCGTGTGCCATTAAAAAAATAAAATGTGATGCAAAAAATGAAAAAAATTGAATGATTTTCTGCATTCTGTACAGACTTCATTTGCGGTCATTTCCATTTTACATTTCCAACTATTTTTCATTACAACAAAAAAGGAATTTCAGAAAATTACACAATTTTATTAAAAATCGTCATTAAAATTCTAACAATTTATAGAAATTTTTTTTATTTTGCACAAAAATTATCTTCCTCACTGTTCCTCACTCCATTTTCCCGGGAAATTTAATTGTTAAATAAATGGTTGATTAATACTAGAAAATGCAAATTGCGAATTACGATTTTGACAATTTTCTGAAAAATTTCGTTTCAACCAAATTTTTGTAGGTCAAGTTATTTTTTAAGATTTAACCCAGAATTTTTATACTAATTCTTTTGAATACATTTTTTGCATTTTCCTGCATATTTTTCCTGCCAAAACTTCATAAATCACATGCGATTTTTTTATCTAAGGAAGGTTGACAGGAGATAAAAGTGCGACACATAAAACACTGCGGTCTTATTTATGTGTACGATTCTCGAGTGCGTGTATATAATGTAGAAGGGTGATGTGCCTTGTCAACGGCGCGCGGGTGGTTCATTAACAGAATATAATTGGTAATTGATCGCGTCAAGATGAAAACCGGTCGTCATCAGAGCTAATTGCTTTGCTTTGAACAATGCGCAGTGAATTAAAGTGATTCCACACGCAATTTCCCTATTATCTTGTGCTGAAATTTTCATTAGAAATTAATATAGTTTTTAATCAAAAGATTTTTAGTTTCAATTGAAAGAAATCTCAAAGGCCCCACTTTCTAATTAATATTAATGAGAACTAAACAAATGATTTCAGTTCTAACACCATAATCTGATAATTTTTAAAAGAAGCTTATAGCAATTAATAACAAATCGTTACAATTTTAATATTAATTTTATGATTTAGAAACATTCCATATATTTATTATAAAATTTCATTATTTGTGCAAATCTGAACTAATTTCTGATTTCAAAAGGCTGCTATATGAAAACAGTAGTTTAATTCTAACTCATTTCACAATTAAGTCATGATCAGAGTCAACAAAGCACCATTTCTGCACTTTTCTGAACAAACAGACTAAAAATAAAGTTAGAATTCTGCAGAATAACTGATAATTATAATAGACGTTGAGCTTTGCCCGCGAGCGCGGTGAAAATGCAATTGTTAAAAATTACGAACGGCTCTGATAAAGTTGAAATAAATCGACGGCAAAGAGCCACGCGAGCAGATATTTGTTTGAACAACGTCACGCAGCTCTAGTTGCACAAGATTGATGCCAACAGCCACCAGCACATTTTACTCGAAATGTGACAAAATACAAAGTTTTGTTTTCAAGCTAGACACGTCCGCGTATTCGGGAATTGCAAAGAGCAATCAAATTTATCTTTGGCGTGGTACGAGAGTTTTAATTATTATTTAGATTGAAAGTGGTTATGATGGTGTCGCAGACATACAATGTCAGATTAGTTGGCTATCGCGACTTCAAGGTGAGTGTTTTTTTCCTACACACCCACGAAAATCTACTCCCTCTGATAACAATAATTAATCTCTTTCTTATAATCAAGCAACTTTCGCTGTGAACCGAAAAGTCGTTTGACTTAAAAAACAAAACGGAAAAATCGGCTGACTCATTTTGTGGTTATAAAGATATATTTATTCATAAAAGTGCTAAATTGAATTTGCACGCCGAGGTGGCACATGCGCCAGTATATAATTAAGGTTCGCGCTTTGCTGCCAGCTGAATACATTATTCTACACTAGGGTGACGCAAATCGCTTGCATCACGTGCTGTGCAATTTTGCGCGTGATTTCTTTAAAAATAAAACGGATTAAATTTTGCATGCTGTTAACATAGAAACAAAATTGCAATCAAAAGTCAACGAACTTAAGCTCATTGAATCAAAGATCCTTCTTTATAGAGAGTTATTTCTGTCTTCATTATTCAGAAATGAGGGCGGGCTGTCTTGTTTATTTGGATTTATTTGTGTGTCAACCCAGCGCAGAGATGAAGGGCCTGTGTCAAAATAACTACCCTCGAGGAAAAAAATCGTGTATTTGCGCCGCCGAATTGCCCGGGTGGGCGACCTGTGACCCTCCTCGGGGTTATCGCTTTTGCCGGCGGCCAGAGCAGACCGATCTGAATTTTATTCTGCGGCGCTTTCGTATTTTTAGTCGTGTTTCGGCTGCCAATTGGCCAACCGCGCAAGCTTCACAATACACACACACCACTGCTAATTTCGGTTCAATACTATTGTCGCCGGCTGAGAGACGGCAGTGAAACGTGCGCCCAAAAAATCTTTACAAAAACACCAAACTCAAACTGATAACTAAAAATTTGAAATATTAAATTGATTAATTAACTTTATTAAATAACAAATTAACTAATGATTATTTACATACAATTTTGATTATTTTCAAGGAATTCAGATTAATTTTTGTTTCCTGCTGGGAAGGTGTGTGCGTTTTTTTTAATTTTGTTTTGATAGAAGCTTAGCTCAAAGGTTGGACTATTTTATTCGGTATATTCTGGGAAACTTCGCCATTTCCTAATTTCACGCTGCTTGCCTGCCGCCCACTTTTTTATGACGAGCACTTTGACAATCGCTAATGACTGCAGAGGCCACAGCAAAACCGAATTCCAGGTCGGTGCAAACCGCATTATCAAACTCAATGAAAAATTTGCCTGACGAAATTTGCGGCTAGACAAGGGCAAACGTGTTTAATTAAAAAGAGGCGGCCATAAATGTTTTGACAGGCGCGCCTGCCTCTTCTTCGAGAAAAACACTTTCGCTTTTCGAAAATAAAATCCTTCAATGCCGCGGTATAATGTGCTTGCAAAATTATTTTGCACACCATTTTACGTTTTTACCAATTTTCGAGCGGAAGTCATTTCGCATTTGAAATTGCATATAATATATTTTGATTGAGGCTAAGGGAAGCCAACACAGCGTTGATGCAAATTTGCTGTTCGCCGAATTGCTTAATGGAGTGCAAAGATTAATTTTATGCCTTAATGGTCATCACGCGCAACGAGAGAGTATAATTAAAGAAAAAAAAACCACAGCGAGATAACTTAATTAAACTTTTAATTAACCGCTGAAGGAATTTCGGTGAGGTGAAAAATGGGTTCACCAAAAGTGAAATGAAATTTTTATCTGAAAAATTTGCGGTCTCCGATAAATTATCAAGAGGGAAAGGAAACCGCAGCCTCCGAATCTTGAGATTGAAATCACTTTTAAGAGCAGTTTCCATTTTCAAAATTTGATAAAAGAAATTTGGATTTTCGTTAAAAAATAAAAATGCAGATAGTTTTTGTTCTTACCTGGGAATTTTGTTTGTGGGTGTCGAGGGGTGCGAGGAAGGGCGCCTGGGTGACGATCAGGGTGGACATGGCGATGGCCTTAGCTGCTGCTGCGGCCGAGTCTGCAGTTCTTTCTGCCGTCGGAGCTCGGAGTGGAGCCGCGGCTGCGGCCTAGCGACGCGGCGGCGAACGCGGCGCCCTCTCGCGGCCCGCCTTCTGCACTGCGCCCTTCACTTGAGGGGTTTTTTGATCTCGTTAGGCGGCACACAAATAGCAGCACACAGAGAAAGACACAACTGCACCTACCTACGTAGGCAACTAACTGGCTGGAAGCCGACCGACATGCAAACCGCCTAATCGCACAGAAACGTGCCCACCGCGTACACCCCTGCGCCTAGTAGTAGTGTGTGTTTATCTAGCTCGTCCTTTGCCTAATCGCATATATATGCATATATATTGTATACGCATATATTTATCTCTTTTCTTTGTTTTTATTTATTTACGTGTACAGGTTTCCTCTTTCTCGACGCTTCTTCGATATTTTGCGCGAGAAAAGTTCAAAGAGTGCGCGGTTTCTCGCTCTCTCTCTCTCTGCTGCAGACGGATTAGTTTGTCTTTCCTCTTTTTGCAACAACTCATTTGTGCGATGCGGTTTTTCCTCTTGCTGAACGGGCACCGCAGAAAACAACTAACAATAAGGAAGAGAAAATTTAAATTATTTATTTAAACAGCAGAGGTTACCTTTGAAGGGAAACTTCTGTCATTTATTGTGGAATTAACACCTTAAGGCGGGTTAAAATTTATATGATGAAGCTGAAATAATCTTGATTGATCAACTTTCTTGACTTGATTTCCAGAAATGACCAAACCATCAACTGAAAAAAAAAATGAAACTGAAGTGCAAAAAACCGTGCTGGTTCAAAGCTACGAAATTAAATTTTTGCTGGTTTTTGTAAATGTAAAAAAAATTGCAGGTTTTTTATTGAAGATTTAACCAGCATTTTTAAATTGATATATAGAACAACGTAAAATGGTATTGAAATGTAATTATATTAGTAATTATTAGGAGAATCAGCGAAATATGACTAAATGTGAGACTTAAAAATTATTGAAAACGCAGAAAAAAATGCCTAAGAACTTAATTAAAATCTGTAATCTAGGGATTTATTAATTATTTGATACAAAAAAAAAATGATATCGAATAAACGTGAGACGCCGTAATTATATTATATTTTATACAAGGGGAGTTAAAAAAAATCAAATAATTTTGTTTTTGCAAAAAAAAAAAAAAAAAAAAAATAGATAGAGAGGATTTTCTAGTACTATAGCCAGTTCAGACAAATCCAGAGCATATCCAGTAGTTTTCATCAAATTTTTCTAAGAAACTGTAATGATCTCATTTTGACTCATTATTTAATATTGAAATAATAAAAAAATAAATTAATAATTATGCTTTAATTTCATATATTAGCCTCAAGATAAAATACTGAATTTTTAAGCCACTTTTCATTAGCGTTCAAATTCTTTCCATGTGTGCTTTTTGCAGCAGGAAAAATTTGCAACCACAAGAGTAATTAATTTCCCGTTTTTGCCATGAATTATTGGAGCACGCAGTCGCAGCCTTCACATTTAAAACAACATTTCGCTCGCTTGCTCGCTCTTGGGCGAGCTCTATGAGTAAAAGTGTTCTTTCTTGTGTATAATAACAGTGGTCGGTCGGTGGCACTCAAAGCCTGTGTGTTGCAGGTATATGTGTGTTTATGAAATTGTTGGGGAGGTGCACAAATTGAGAGGTGCACTGCACAGAGTGGTGCCGCCGGCGTGCTTGACATTCTTCTACGCGTTCGAGGCCGCGCACAATAAAGAGCAGCTCACAAATAATTATTCTCGGCGCTGCAAATGTCAAAATAATTTCAGGTCCCGCGCGCCAGCCAATTAATAATTAACGACCGGTTCCCAAAGAAGACTTAACATCGACAATTGGCAAAAAAGTTTATGCTTAAAAAAAGACAGGTCTAAATAATGAAGGTGAACTGCTCCTCCTGAAATTTAATCGGAAGGGGAGTCAAAGGAAATGATATTTTTTGTCACAGCCACATTAGCCGCGCTGAAAATCTCAAATCGCTTGGTTGGAAAGTATTGTATTATTTCAGATTCAATAACAAAATTTGCGAAATTTGCAGATTACAATTCGTGAGTGCTGAGAAGTGAGAAATTTTGCGTCAACTCTTTTGAACATCGCACAATAAACTCGTCACGCAGTTTCAAAACAACTCTATTGAAGAGCGTCTTATCAGTCAGAGATAGCAATCGATGTTTTGAACACAATTGGTGAAATTGGTCGTAATTAATCTGTTGGACTTAAAAATGTGAAATTTACAACCTGGCGGAAAGTACGCGTGAAAATATCAGATTCGGACAAGAACGAATTATCAGGCCAGGGACTTTCATAACGTGAGGACCATTCCAATAATCAATTGACTCATCTTGTGAAGATTCGTGTCAAGCTCAAGTACTTGATTATTTGCGATTTCAATACGGTTTCCAATTCTTGAAAAAAGGATCAATACAAAGTCAATGAATTGCGTGATTTGAATTCATTGAAGTTTTATTTAACAGAATGAACACATAAACAATAAAACATTCTCTGTATAAAAATTCCGGGATGAGGAATTTCACACACCAATTAATGTTGTGAACAAAAATATGACTCAGATTATTCCTTTGAATTTAATTGTGATTATATGAGATCAAATATTTACAGCATAAATTTTTAAAGAGAAATGGTCTTTATAATAATAATTTATAATTGTATCTATTTATTTTATTACATTTACAACGTGTTTTCGCAGATACAGTACAATCACACAGTGCCCATAACTTTTTGCAATTAAGTACAGGAAAAGATATTATTTAAACAATAAAAAATCTTATTGTTAGTATTCTTGCCGTCGTAAAAATATTTCTTAGATTTAATAAAATCTAATCTCAGCAGCTATAACCCCATTGGATTAATTAAGCAACAAATTAGCGGTCTTTATGATATAAGAATTACTGTCTTTTATGTCTAATTGCTTAAACCGAATAATAATAAAAAAGAATGTGTGAGTCGAGTGGGACAGCATTGTTGCGGTCTAGATTTAGCCAAAATAGCCGAAATCAGACAAAAAAATTTTCAGTGATTTGAATTTTAAGTCGGCTTTTCCTCCATGGGTTTTTGTGAGTTGTTTATTGTTCAAGATAAAACAATATCCTGATCTACGTGTTTTGGCTGGCTGCGGTTTGCAGCATAATTCATGAGCTGTGAAATCATTTTGACAAGAATAAGTTCATAATTTTTTAAAAAATTGTCTTGCAAATTATCACTTTTTCCTGAAAAATTATTCAAATGTTACAATTAATGATACATTTTTACACAAAACAATTTTTAACACAAATATTCGACGGATGCATTCACGACCACCCCGAGAAAGGTACGCTCAAAACACAAGTTTCAATATTCTCTGACCAAAATTATTATAAAAATAATTTTGTTACGAATAATTTTGAATTCAACTGTCAAATTTTTGTATAAAAATGTAACATTTGAATAGTTTTTCACGGAAAAGTGCTAATTTGAAAGAAAAATATTAAAAAAAAAAATTGTTTTTTTTTCTAATTTGTGTCAAAATGATTGCACAGCTCATGAATTATGGCTGCAGCCCGCAGCCGAAACATGTAGAGCAGGATATTGTTTTTCTTAAACAATAAAAAACTCACAAAGCCCGTCAAAGAAAAAGCCGACTTTAAATTCAAATCACCATGAATAAACCCATGATCGTGAAATTCTAAACAACAAAAACATTTTTCATTTGTCTTTTAATTTATTCTTGCCAATATCAGGTGAATGTTTCTTCGCTAAATTTTTCTTTAAAAAAAGCATCCACTCTTTACAACGGGGGTTTGAGAACAAATGGCTGTTGCTCCACACTAGCTGCGATCGTTTTTCACTGAAATCGCGGTGCTGCTTTGTGTGTGTTTGTCATAATCAGAAAACGGTTGTTTAGCTCGAGAATGCAGCTTAATTATCAGGGTGCGATGAACCTTTCCTGCAGGAAGAAGGGAGGTTGCGTTCAATTGGTGACCTGCGCGAGGGTCTGCTCTAGTGTCACTTTGAAAGCGGCCGCCGCAGATAAGGTTGTGTGTGTGTGTGTATTTATGAAAAGTCCTTTCGCCGCCTCTAATCTAATCTCTCTCCCTCGCTATAGCCGAAGCATTTACTTTTCCCCCGAATCGGCGGCACACAAGGTTGGAAGAATAAAGAAAAACTCAACAGGTCCGAGCAGTGCACGAGGGCTGCTGGGTCGTCATGGCGACCGCGGCGAAACGGGGTCACCAACCGCCCCCTTCCATCACCTGTTGCCAAACTCACCCTCGCCGGGGTGAACTCGCCCTCGAATTAACTTGTGTGTCAAAATTGAGAGAGGGATATACACGTCGCGTGCTCCACTTTTGCCCGGGAGCTGCCTGCTTTTGATGGGGTGCCTCACGCCCGATAATGGCCAGAGATGGCCTGGCGCGACAATTTATGCGCCACGTTATGGCTTTTGATGCGCGCGTGTTGCTGACTGCAGAAACGGGCAAATAAACGTGGCAGCTGCTCGTTTGCTGTCACCAACTGGCAACGAAAATTTTACCCAACAAAGTCACTTTCCAGCCAAGAGAAATTAGCTACATAGATACTTTAATTAAATTTTTAATTTAAATGAAGACTTCCTTCACTTATTTATTTCTTAAGAAAACGAAAAAACAAGCAATCAGTTTTGTTCTTAAAATTATAAAATCAAATTAATGCAGGATGTTGAAGTTAGTGAATATATTAAAAAGTAGGCATTAAATAATAATTTAAATTTTTTTTACTTTTAGGGGAACTTTTTTTCTCATACAGTTTCACTTTCCTTTCTCTATAAAAGAGGATTTTTTATTTGCTTTTTTTGCCGATATCTTTTTCAAATTGAGTGTTTGTAATTTTTACTGACAATTCTCTTTCCAGATGTTAATCCATTTTCAGAGCTTTCTGACTTGTTGACTTATTGATTTGATTTTTAGAGGCTTTTTCGCGGATTTACTGAAACTGCTTGGCTTTATAAAATGGAATGAATAATAACATTTTTACTTTTAATTATGAAAGCAGTTGAACAAAAAAATCATTTCTATGTGTCAAAAAATAAATAAAAAATTCAATTAAAACACGGAAAAAATACAAGTAGGCAACATAATAAACAATTATTAGAGGTATTTAACTGTTTAAAATGATAAGAAAGTAATTAGGAGCCAAAATCTTTAATGGAATTATCTCATTAAATTACTAAATTGGTATGCGCCAATGTTTTAAGAAAATTCTCCTTAATCTCATTGTAAATCTGATACCAATTTTACAATTCCTTCAATGAATACGCTCAATTTATGAACTTTCCATAAGCTCTAAATATATAATTAAAATAATAATAATAGACTGTTAAATTTACAAAGCTCTATCTTGATATTACTACAGTTAATTATTAATTTTTCATATCTAACTAAAATACACACAATTCTTTCAACCCCATAACCTACCAAATGCCTTAAAGTTAAGTTTTCAACCGTCAGTTCGGATAATGGCTTGGTGAATATATATTAATTAAAAATTAAGATTTGAAAATTATTTCACTTTTTTGAACTGAGACTGCTTGCAATAATTTGGAATCATCCTGTTAATAATAAGATAAAGAAATCATCACTTTTCATGGCAACAAAGAAAAATTAGTTACAATTATCGCGAGACTATAAGGAGCTATTGTAGTAATTGTGCGCGATTTGACTTTTAATTACTGATATACATAAACAATTTCAAGCGCGGCTTGTTTTCTCCTCTTCTTGTTTGATATAATATTATCCTGCTCGAAGAAAATTAATTGCTCTTATAGTTCCTTTGGTTAGCTTGTCCCTGACGCGCCCCAAGTGTTACAAATTGAGCTGCATCCTGTTGCACGCCAGAAAAAGTGCCACCGTTTTCTTGCATAAAAATTATTCACACCTGCTGTCACCAGAAGCGAACCCATACAAAAATTTTCATTTGCACAATGCTGAGTTCACAGTATTTCCCAGTGCAATGTGCTGTTTAATCTTTTTTCAAATACAAAAAATATACCGCTTCTCATATGAACTTGAATCACTTTTACTTTTTGCATGCGGAATTAAAATTCTTATCAAGCGACGATGGATTTTGTTTTATCAAAATTCTTAGGTCACCAGTCACCAGCCTGTTGAATTTATTAACTCCAAGTTCAGAAAAAAGTTGTCCCTTTTTAAGTTTAGAAAAAAAGCTATTTGAAAAAAAAATGCAAAATTTAAAAAGAAAATAAGTTTATTCATTAATATTAAGATTTATTTTAATTTCAGATTTTTTCAATATTATTTCCATTTCCATTTTTTACTCACCTGAAAGTAAAAAACCTTTCAAATAAAAAATAAAACTGAAACAGGATAATAACTTTTATTTTCTTAATCATAAAAATAATACAATTCCAGATCAAAACTGTATTATGGGTTTTTTCGCTTTTGAGCAAAACATTTAATTCATCGAGGTTTATCACTTTCATAATGCGGATAAAAGAAAATTCAAAATACAGTGAGTTTTTGATACACAACGTGGTGTTTCTTGGCGTCCATTCTCAAGATCAATAATAAAGTTAATTTCTCAAGTTAAATGCGAGTAGGAAAATTTGATATTAGTAGGTAAGGCGGTTTTCGATGTTTGGAGGACAAGAGTTTCGTAAAAAGTGGTCAGTGCACGGTATAGAAACGATAAATCACCTTTGCTTTACAATACGTCACTAACAAGGTATTAAAATGAACTAGACGTCCTTACGTTTGTTACGCGAAAATCTCGACTTTCTCGATGTGGAGCACCAGATAGGCCGAGCGCGTATATATGATGTCATTGCATTATAATGCTGCAAAAAAACATGTAAATTTAAAATCAGCCGTGACAAGATTGAACCTTAAAAATTTCAATTAATCGTTTGGTCTACAAGAGGTTCGCGTTTTTCGGTTGAAATTGAGAACGCGAGAATAACACATGCACTTGTTGTAAGAAAAGTGACTTTTATATATTTTTTTAATCAGAAACGACCTTGACGACCTATCGATGAGAAATGAGAAAGAAAGAAATAAAAGCAAAGGCCTCCGCCCAGCTCTCAGAGCCTGGCAACAAGCAAGACCTGTCCCACGGGCCACCGCGATATGGCCCGCGGACCCTGTGCAAATTGATCCTTATTACTTTTTGTCTCTTGAGCAAGACCCACACCTCTACTTTGCTTGCAACACTTTTTTAATAAAATAAATTTTAGTTTAATCAAATTCATTTTAGAATTATAGTAAGTTTTTTTAGTTTTTATTCTATGGAATATCTTAAAAAATAATTTAATTACAAAATCAGCATAGATTATAAAATTAAAAAAAAAAACCTTTCAAAGTATTTTAATTACATGGTACCCTGGAAGGTATTTTTTTCTTAGAGTGTGGCCCATATTATTCTTTTTTTCTTGAAGGTAGTTTAGTACCTTTTTCTCTCTATATATATTTTTTATTATTTAAATTTGGCCTAAATTGGTATAAATCATATAATTATTCAACTGACTTGTGAATTAGTTAACGACCGGTTTCTCTTGTGAATATTTTTCTTTTACAGGGTGGGGCCTTCTTGCTCGGGAAAATCGAATCTCGCCTTTTATATTAATTGTGCTGCTTCTGCATGACTAATCGTGTAATCGCCTCCCTATACTCTCCGAAGAAGCAAGAGTTTAATTTGTACCGCAAAAAGTTATGCTCTTGCTGTGGGCAGCGCCTTTTTTGATCCGATAAAGGCGACCCCGAAATAGTAATCAATTTCACAACTGCGCACTTCTTCTCTCGCGAAAACCGCATCTTTTGCTCTTTGGAATGATTTTTTTTTAACTGCAATTTACTTTTAACTCTGGAGCAAACTGCGTATGTTTGTTGTACAGCCGCACAAAATTTATATTTCCAGTGTCTGTTGCGGATTTTATTCTCAATTCTCTCCGCTTTGCTTGTCCAGGTGTCACTTTTGTTTTTAAGGTTCGTCGCAGCACCTGGACCTGGGTAGGCCGGATTGTGTTCGCAGTTGTGGTGCAAAAATCTGCCAGCAACCAGATGGAGATCGTAGAACTGGATAAAAATAAAGGATTCCTTTTATAAAAGTCGCGGATGCACAATTTTTTTCTCGATTTCCAATTGTAAGTATTTGAATTTGACCTATTGAAAAATCACAATGAAGGAAATAATCAAATTTATTTGAATTGGCCTTAGGCCCTTCTCAGAAGAAAATATATTGGCTTTCATTTTTTGCCAAGCTTTAACCTTTTAATTTAATTACTGTTTTTCATAACGAAAAATCAGCGAAAGATGTTACATGGAAGATTCCGTTGATGTAACTTGTGGGTCCTAATAACAACAAGAAGCAGTGAAGCCAGACCGTTGTCAAATTATTAGTAGTTGGTCTCAACCGCGCGAATAACTTTGGCAGACCTTGTCGCGTCGTTGAGAGCTATTTTTAGCCATTTTGCCACAACGCTGCTAATTTTTCCAATCGCCTCCAAAGACCACCTAGATTTTATGTTATTTTTATGTTACATTTACGACGGAAATTTTTTTATTCACTTTTAACTTATTCAAATGGTCAAATTTTTTTAAAGTTATCATAAATTTAGCCTTGGAAAAAAACCAATCAATTACAAAATCAAACAAGATTACCACTTTTTTATTTTAACTCTTGCACATTTTTGGAAAATACAAAACGCTCTAAAATATCATTCAAACCTAGGGAATTAAACAAGTGTGAAGATTCATCTTCTTTCTTTCGTTCTACTGCGAAGCAACGCTTAATTATAAAATCATGTTTGTTATCGCCCGTATTTTCACATGCGGGCTGCGAAACGGGGGCAGCAGTTTATGCAGCCAGCGCGGCGCTCGGCCCATGCGGGTTGCCGCTGCTTTCCCCCCGTTGCGCACCGAAGCACCATCTGTCCGCCACTTGCACCAACACAATTGCCGCACCAGCGCTGATTCGCACCCTCTCACTCCGAGACTCAAAACTTGTTTATGTGGTTTGAATTGAAATCACGAGGCAGAGACGGTTCAGAGAATATTATGCAAATGTATAGACGAATTCATATGAAGACAGCCTACAGGGGTCGGAAACTTTTTTTAAAAGCAAGTTCAGTACTGCAGATCCTGATAGTTCTTTAAGTAAAATTGAAAGACTTAAAAATAGTTTTGGATCAAATTGTCAAATTTTAGATCCCAAAATTAATTATTAGGTGTTGATTTTTTTTTTCAAAAATAATTTTTCTGAAACGCAGCAAGTTTGTTTTTTGATGGAAGCGATTTTTAATGCTTAAATGTTGCCATCTCGTTTAATTTGAGATTCATAGAATCTACCTGAGTGAGGAATTTTTAGTTAAATGAGCCTCTGGAGTAGATCATGGGGTTTTGAAAGTATTTAGGGGCGCCAGACAAGGGGCAGAATTGGCAGCAGCAGCAACGGGGCCAGGGGAAGCGTCCTGGCGCCAGGGTTGCAACCGTCGCTGCTGCAGGTGAAGACGCAGGAGCGATACTCTTTGTCGTCACCAGGTTGGCGAACGTAGTTGCAGTAGTTGCCCAGGTCCAGGGCCGAGCAGAAGCGTTTTGTGCCAAGGCCACCTTCAAAAAGGAGAAAAACAAATTTAAGAGATTGATATTTAAGCAAAATGTGAGTTTGTTAAGAAAAGAAGAAGGAAAAATGCTCTGAATAAAACTTAATTGAATTATTTTATTTTTCTTTTGGTATGTAAAAAACAAAGAATACAAAACAAAATTTGTTGAAAAATAAATCAAAATAATATTTTTAATTTACTTCATATTTTTTTTTTAGGGCAATAAAGCAAAAACATGCCCAGGATTAGTTGAAACAATTATAACCCTCATTTAAAGGAAAAAAATCATTTAAAACATTTACGTTTTTTAATGAACAAATTTGGAACGATTTGTATTTTTACTTATCCAGAGCATGAAATTTCCAGCTGCGTTTTTAACATTTTGAGGTTTTCAAAGTTCTCATGCAGGAAGTGAAGGTTTTAGATATTAAATTAGAGTGATTGAGCTTGTGAGAAAATTGCATGCAGTTGCTAAAGTGTCTCGGTGACAACCGGTCGGTTGCGGGTTGGGTTGCAGAGTTGCAGGATCAAACGCTCAAGAGTGGGTTAATGTGCAAGCAGGTCTGGTCTGACTCCAGGTGCACCGAGCAAAAGAAAAGTGCAAGCTAAGCTGGGAGAACAAACGGATTCCGAGCATAAACTTCAAAGGCTAAACTTAAATCGGTCTCTTTGACTCTTGAGCAGAGGAGCGTGGACGAGGCACAAATAAATTTAAAAAGAAAATATTGGAAATAAAAAAATAAATAATAATTAAAGGAAAATTAAAAAAAGATAATATATTATTAAGAAAGGAAATGGAAAATGACATTCTAAAAATAATGATGATAAAAAAATAATTATCATCTCCAATTTAAGAAAATATAAATTTATTTCGTGCAATGAGTAAATAGAAGACTTTCAAATTTTTGAAATATAAAAATTCTATTTGTTTCTAGTAAAGATGGTGCACTATTATTTTAAACGAATTGTATCTATTTCTGAGCTTTGAATTTTGTGACCTGACCAAAGAGGCCGTCGCTCTTGACGCAGTAACTGGCCTCAAACACGTCACAGGGCGTCGGGGGAAAGAGCGCCGAGCAGTTTGGCGACGCGCACTGCACGCACTTGAATTCTGGCTCAACAGAAAGAAGCAATTTTGCTTTTGAGAGCGAGTGGTTAGTTGGAAAGCAAGCAAATTAGTTAGAAAACACCGCCAGCAAGCACCCGGCCCTAAAAGGAGACAAAATAAATTTGAATTGTGCCTTCGAATCTGCCGGTCTGCTTGATGCAGTAGCTGGCGCCGTGCACCTGGCTGCACGACTGCGCCGGCGGAAGGTAACCGTCAGGGTCGCCCTCGTCGTTGAACGTCTCCGGACAAAGGTACGGGTCTTCATGGTCAGTGCTGCTGCACTGGTAGCAGTTGATGTCTTCCAAAAATAAATTCAAATTAGCCACAAATTAAAAATAATAAATCATAAATTACAAAATCGTGTCACAAATTTCAATCAAATTCCCTTAAATGGAACGGTTTGGCATAGGTAACAAAATTTGGCCAACAACCATACTCCTTCATTTAATATTATGGCTTTTTGAAAATCTGAAACACATTGAAATGTAGAATTTTGATTTAACACAAGATTAATATTTAAAATTAAATAAAAGAGCACTTTTGAAAATAAGGCTTTAAAAATATTAAGTGAAGTCAATCGAATGTTGTGAATGTAATTAATTTTTGTAAACTATGAAGCTCGTTTTTTAATTAGAAATCTCCAGAAACTTTAAATTATTGCAAACATTTGTAGCTCATTGCAGGAAAAGGGATTAAAAAATATTGCGTGAAATAATTAAATAAATAATATTAGGCGCAAATTAAAATTAGCTTTAAAATTTGAAATTATAATTCAAACTTTCAAAACAGACTTTAAAAAAATACATTAGGACGGATTGCAGCAAAATATCATCAACCTTTCTTGAATAGGCCAAGTACCTTAACCAATTTGATGATAATTTGATTGAAATCGTTTTGATGATTGAATAATGTGGTTTATTAATAATAATACATCCACGAAATTTTGGTGTTCAGATAACGAAGTTCTTAAAACATTTAAACAATAAACTAATAAAAATACCGTCTTAAGCAAATATCTTTTTCAAAATTCTCAAACTTTCCTACGAATCTGACAAAGGTTTTCTTACTCGGGGTTGTGCAAGTTGCATAACCGCGTGCTTGTAAGGGGCTTTTGCTGCTCTTTGGTTTGCGGTCTGCCTGAAACATTAGCAGCAGCGCATCGTCTCTCAATTAGTGCTCGAAATAATGAGCAGCAGAACGTCATCAGTCTCATTATATTCACTGGTAATCGGCTTGGCCGACCTTGATGACAAATAAACAGCGCACAGAGAGTGGTCATTATTCCGGACTTACAATTAGACAAAAAATATGGTAACAACGATAAGCTCTGATTTTATGTAGGAAAATGAAAGTATGGTGAAAATTCAACCTCAAAATGTGGGTTTCGATGCAAATTTTGAATTATTTTATCATGCAAAAAAAATCCCACAAATTTTAATTCACGTGCATATTTATATTCTCCAATGACCTAAATTTTGGCTGAGTAGAAAAATAAAACAACTTTTTCTCTGAAAGTTAATCAACGAAACGTTACTTTGATTGCAAAATTACAACCGACAATTGAGCAATCAATTCAAGTGGAAGAAATTAACCAATCCAATCGAATCAGCGTCGCTGCTTATCAAGCTCTGCCGCTCATTCATTGTGAACACGTGCCCTGCATGAAATTTTCCCAATGCGAAAAATCAACAACCTCAGCACCACTCTGCTGACTGTTAATTTTTCTCTTTTTTCACTCAAGGGCCATCCATCCATCAGCCATAAAAGACACAGAGAAGCGCCGATCGAAAATCGATCTCGGTGATTAAGCGCAGGAAATTGCAGCCCCGAAAGACGCGCCCTACCGACCGAGTGTGCCGAGCACTTAGTTTGCAACCGAGAGCTGCAAATTTGTTTGCAATTTTTCCCTCTCTCTTTTTCCAACTGAGAGTGGCAGCCAGAGCTGAAAAATATATCAACTTTTCCCTGCACGGACGGATGGAGTTTTTCCGCTCAAGGAAAGTTTGTTGCCCGCTCGGAAAAAAAGCGACGCACCGCTTCAGTTGAATTAATACACTTTTTATATAAGCTCGCCAGGTTAACGATCCGAAAGTAAATCGAGCAGCAGTTCGTGACTTTGCTGGTCAGAAAGAAAAATATTCGTATTGCATAAAATTCAGTTAGGCGGAAAAATGCAATAAAATTTTTATTTTTACATTTACCTAAAATTTCAATTTTCAAATAAGTAAAAAGCAATATTAATCTTTAAATTAAAACAAATATCTTTAAGGAATTATTTTGTTAATTTTGATCAGTTTTTTTTTTATGTATTTAATATTAATTGATAAGAAGTAAATTGCTTTAATGAATGCATATTAAATAAATAATCCCAATGGCACGACTGAAAAAATTTGTTGGCAACGTCTGTTGCACTTTGCACATAATTTTTTTAAACATTAAAATTTCTGATTTACGAACAATGCAGACAAAATTTTAGTAACGCACAAAATTCAGAATGATGCCAAATGACTTGAAATTTAACGTACTTATAGATTTAATGAATGTGTTCAAAATTCCTAACTGTTTAAACCGAGATAAAATTTTTATTTATTGATTTTTCAAGTTAAAATCAGGGAAATCAAACAAAATTCAATTTTAGTCTCTCAAATTTATCAATACATTACTTCAGATTTGTCTGGTTTGTCCTATTTTGGAGAAAGAAATACAGAAGACTTAAAAATTTGATTAGTTCCTTTTGAATTGACTGATTAATTTGTTGCCCTCAAATCACGTTTTTTCTTGCATAAGAACTTTTGTTCCTACAAGAATCTGGAAATGCTCTTAAATTTTCCATTTTGGAATTGCATTGAAGAAAAAAGCAATTAATAAATTACAACTCAAAGAGAGTAACAATGTTTGACATCTTTTCGTTCATCTGAGGGATGTCTCAAAGCACACAATCCATTGTGTTCTCTTCCGCGCGTCATCGCGAGGGAGGAACGAAAGAAAGAACGGCCTGCCTGCTTTCGTTGGCAATTCCTTTTTCCTCATTTTCTCAAAAGAGGCCTGAGCTGCAAAATTTAATACTGGCAAAACCTCCCTCGCTCTCTCTCCAGTCATGAAAGAGGCTGAACAAAGGACTCCATTGTTTCGCAATTCATCTCAAATTCCACCTCTCTCTCCATAATTCTCTACCGACCGCGGCGTCGACCGACTTTAGAACATGAAGTTGTTGCAAATGAGCGAGTGTCGAGCTGTTTGCGGTTAGATAAAATGCACTTAGAAATGCGTAGACACACACACGTGTGTGTTTGTGAACAATTAATCATAATGATCCCTTTTGTTGAAGAGGTGCGAGCTCTGGCGGCTCACCCACGCATTGATTAGCCCCTTTTGGACGGAAATTGATCCCTTTGGCGCATCAGCACATTTATTTTTCAGCAGCTCCACTGACGATGAGTGACGAGAGGGAGAGAGCGAAAGTCCCAAGCAAAGGGACACAAAGCAGAGTGCTCGCAAAGGCTCTGCCACTTTATTTCTTTGTGCTAAAAAACGACACTGAACGCGGCATCGCTATTGTCAAAAAATCTTACTTTTATAAATTTAGGTTTTTTTTAAAATTTCATTTGAATAAAAAATAAGGGTTCAACTTTTTCAATTACAATGCTTACGGTTCCTAACACAACTTTTCACGCTTGACAACATTTTTCAAAATGGAATTTGTGATGAAAGAATAAAAAAATGACAAAAAAAGCTTTTTTCATCATTATTGAAAAATTACAATTTGAATTATGAAAATTATGAAATTGTTATCATTATTTTTTAATACAAATAAGCGGTTTCAGCACTTTTTCTTTGAAATTGCAGAGAAAAACTCTACAAAAGTGAACTTTTTCATTGCAAAGGTTTGAATTGTGAATTGAAAAATATATAATAGTTTGACAAAATCATATCACGTCTAGCAAAAAGCGATAAAAAAAAATCGTTAATTTTAATTTCACTATACTGCGAATAACTTTTTGGAGTTTTAGTCAACTATTCTTTAGATATCTACATGAAAATTAATTCTAAATTATAATTTGCGCGTCCAAAACCCAGTTCAACACTCAAAATTAGCGTAAAATATTTGTCCTTTCATTAAGATCTGTTTGAAATTTAAATACGTTTTGTTTTGTTTCCGTCAGAGAGAGTGAGTCAAAGTTAGTGTATGCTTTGCAAGCAGGGTGGAAAATTTATGATATATCAGCAACAAGTCCTTGAGCAAATAAAAAGCACGCGGTTTTTCCTCTCCTAACTCTGCTTATCAGTGAAATTTAATACTCAATATGGGACCCTGGCTTGCTACACCACAGCTTTAATTCGCCAAAGTTTTTCATTCTTACTTGACAATTAATAAGCATTTGGACTTTAATTGTGTAAGTTAAATTGTTTTTTGTCACTTTTAAGATAATTTTTTCAATAACGTAGACAATAAACAATAATGTTTAAATTTTCTTCATAATTTAAAAGGCATTTTTCATAAAAGTTATTACAGAATAAAGTTTCAAATCTTCCTGAATTTTACATGTTAGGATTTCCATTCATTATTTAAATTCAAGAACACTGGAGAAGTATGCAACACGCCTCTCTTTGTGGAGGAAAATTAAATGTGAGTCACAAAGGCGCCGCCGCCTGAGTAATGCAACACAGTGAGTTGAGCACCAGCAGTTTACAGAGCTGACCTTACGTGACCCCGCTCTAGAAAATGTGTATAATTTAAGTGAATTTCTTTCAACGCCTCGCCAAGTGACGTCAGCCCCTGTGAAACTTATTTTTTTCAGGACGCGGCGCCAAAACAACCATGACCGGAAGAGCCGGACGCTTCTTCTTTAATTTCGCGCTCAGGTGGTTTTCAGGGGCACGTCTGCAAAACCGGCGAACGGCTTTTCCTGCCTTGGGGTGAGTGAAAAAATTAGGCGAAATTCCGCCAAGTTTGAAAAATAATTCAGGTGAAACTTTTAAATAAAGGTGTGGCCCCGAGTGAGAGTCTCTCTCAGGTCGCTGTCGACCTGAACCTGACGCGCGATTCTGTTTGCCTCACCTGCGGCGGCCGGTCGCACGAGGAGGACGACGGCCAGGGTGACGAGCACCGCCGAAGGACCCATGGCGTGCTGAGGGTTGCCTACCCGCCTCCTTCTGCACTCTCGGACGGACGCACGGAGGGCGAAAGACGAACCTGCAAAGGCTGCAAAAGCCGCAAGCAAGACTCGGCGAACGAACGAGAACGAGAACGGCGGCGCGTTGCTAGGAGACGGCGCCGCCACACGGGTGCGCCACCTGCGCCTGAGCAACACTCTAGTTTGCCAAAGCGCCGCCAGGTCACCCCTGATATCAGCAGGTACACGAATTTGCGAATTAACTTATAATTAGGTGCAGGAAATGATGTAGATTTATTATAAATAAATTTCTTCTGAAAAAGTAAGAGTTTTTGCATTGCACATAGGCTTTCTCTTTTATTTTGTTATATAAATAAATTTTGCGATAATTTTCGCAAATTTTATTTTAATTTCCAATGATACAGGACCGCACTTCAATTGAATAATTCAATTTTACCTGAATTAAATTTTTAATAATTGCCATAATATAATGGTGAGTGTAACATGTCTGGAGGCCTAATTGTGATTAATACTTGATCACTTTTAATAAGAATGTGAATTTCAATCATTTTAATTAGAAGAAATATGATGTATTTAATTTTATATTTACGATTTATTCTATAACTTGAACAGAAAAAAATATACACATTTTCCAATTTTCTTAGAAAATTTGATTATGTTATTCCTTGAACGTCCTCGTACCATCTATAATTTTTTTTTATCAAATAATTTGCTGCCATGATGAACTATCTTACTTGTAAATATTCTTTTTCTTATGATTTTTCCAATACGAAATATATTACAGTGCCAACCTTGAAATCCCTTTAAAATAAATCGACAATATTTAAATAACTTTTACATTACACATTAGAAAACTTGCAAATTTTTACCTTTATCTATGAAATAAATTCTATCTTTATTAAAGAATTTTAAATGTATTAAATTTTTGAGCTCCCTAAAAAGCAGTAAAATGACGTCCCAACTTTTAATTCTTTTTTAGCATTAGCAGGAGTCACAAAACAAACACAAAACGACGAGATAATAATGAGTGGAGACACTTCTTCGTGCTTAAACGAGCTTAGGTGTTTACTGCTTGGTCATGTGCGGAACAACTACGTGCTAATCCTTCTTCTACTATTGAGAGAGAGAATGAGATGTTCCTTTCCATCGCTCTGTGACGTCTTGAAATATTAATTCGACGTGATGTCATCATCCCAGGCCAAAGAAGTAGCAGGGTAAACTTTTGTTTGACTTCTCTCGAGGCAGCATCGATTGATTCTAAGCGTCGTCTAATCAATTCCTTCTTAAGAGGAGGGACTTGAAAAGAGTTTCAAAAGTTTTAATGGCGTGTATGGTAATGGATTTGAGTTTTATATTAAAAAAGCAGCTCAAATGGTTGGTAAAGAGATAAAGCCGCTTCGCAGGCTACTTATTGTATTAAAGTGACAGGACAAATAAACCAAATTAGCATCTTTGTACACAAAATTAATGGAGAATAAATAGTTATTTAATTAATGGTTGAGATGGAAACATACAGCACGTTTGTAAAAATTAAGATAAAGCCTTTATTTATTTAGCAAGAGATATTAACTCCTAAAATATAATAATAAATCATATATTTCCATATTATTGTTTTAATTAATATTGCCAACATTGATAGAATTAAAATTATTTAATCAATCTTATTTGTTGATTAATAGAGATTTGAACGCGTATCTTTTTTTTAAATTATTATCTTGGTTGCATTTTGAGTGAGTTTGTTTTTCTTGTATAATTTAAATATCAAAATAGCGCCGGCCACGCCACCATGCTTGCACTTGATTCGTTGTAACTTAACTAGCTTAACTTGAATTACATTTTGCTTATTGAGTAAATTAAACTTACAGATTCACATGTGAGATTGATCAATTATTGCAACAACACAAATCGTGAGATTTTCTCTCCAAAGATAAAATAACTAATATATATTCAAGCTGATTGGCTCGCTACACAACTATTGTGAAATAAAACTTTTAAATATTGCTTTTTTTGTGCACAAACAGAATATAAGCAGAAGTCTATGTCAGTACCTCTCAGCTTTGTACATCAAGATCAAATTTTAGTCCCATATTTTTAGAGGGACTTTTCTGGACTCGAGAGAAACAAAAAAACAAAGCTGTGAAATAATCACTTTGAAATGCACATGGGGGGCCAAAGTGCAGCACCGGCGGGCCAACAATTATGTACAGGCAGGCAGGCGGGGCTGTAAGTACTTAGGACTAGTCCCACGGGACGGTTTGGCACTCACTGGGTTAAGTACCGGCTCGCAATTAGTAAAAAAGTGCGCCAGCAGCACCAGTGTTCTTTGCAACTAAATACTTGCTTTTAATACTTTGATTGAGAAGGCACCTTCGGTTCAACAACATTTTTTTTTCTCTATTTAATTATTGCACTTGCGCCCTGACGAAGCCACTCAGCTCTTTATTCAACACAATTGCTTTCTCAAATATATATATATAAACTTCTTCTCTTGTTCCATATAATATATGCTTGCAATAAATCAATGAGGAAGAAAACAAATCAAATCGTATTTACAGACAGGAGGCAATTTTAAGACGTTGCTCTGAGATAATAATTTTTTTGTTTGGATTAGAGGTGGTGAATGAGAAGCCAGACCTGGTGTCGACCGCGCTAGTAGCAGAGCCGTGCGATTATCTGAACACAGGGTTGGAGTAGTTGTTAAGAAGGTCTTGGTTAGCAGTTCTGGCCACAGACAGGGGCGTGTGTGTGGTACGTACGTGGTTGGTTCATTGGTTAACAGAAAAAAGAGAGAAAAACAGCATGTTAGTCATCGTCATCATGAGAAACAACATCAATAAAAGAGAAAAAATTAATTCGCCCCTCAACTTAGCACAAAACCGCCCATTAATTAATTAAATATGCGTTTAAAAGCAGGTGTGTGATCAAAGTAGGCAGGCTATGTATAAGCAAGTGGCGAATTAAGTATATAAAAAAGGAGTCAGCGGAGAAATTGCAAATTTCGAAAACTTGCAAGTTCTCGGCTGCACTTAAAATAATTATAAATATTCTATATAAACCATAACCAAACTAAGTAAAAAATTAAAATGCAAGGAGCTGACTAGTTGTGGCGTGACTGACACCGTGGTTAGTGAATTATTATTGTATGAGAGAGGAGCAGAGTAATGGATCACTTTTTTAATCTATAATTATTGCGAAAATTGCATGTGTGTGATTAATACGAAAATTGCAAAAAGAGCCTCAAGTTATTAATTCAAGAAAAATATGAGATTAATAAAATATTAATGTATATGGAAATTTGCCTCCTGCTGCGTCTGCTGAAGAATCGATCAATTAATTAATATAGTATATAATATAGGAGGTCTCCGCTGCAGCAAAAAAGAAAATGCACAAAGTCAATCAACTGTTTTTGCTTAAATAAGAAAACTGCTTTGCTTTTATTCTCGGAATAATCATAATAAGAGGCATAATTGTATATATAATCGTATGTGTGTATAATATAATCCATGTAAATATATCATATAATAATCATCAAAGTCGTAATAATAAAATATGTACACAGGCGCCAGTCAGCATCAACAAAAATACAAAATAATAAAATCAGCAATAATAGAGAGATAAAGAGAGAAAGAGATAAAAAACTCTTTCTAACAGAGAGGCATAATGTTCTTTTTTCTCAAATGTAAAGAGATAAAGTGAAAATAAATAATAAAAGTCGTCATAAGACACTCTCACACACTTGATCCCTATTTTACGAATAAATTAAAAACAATTAAAATCAAAAGTTCGTTTGCGCTCCTTGTCACGCCCAGCACCCCATTTCCCGCAGGCGCCGCTCCTGCCACCCCTTCTATTATCATCAGCTGCCCTTCTGTTGGGCTTCGGGGGCGCCCGCGGGCCACCCCCAGCAAGAAGGACCCCTCAGGTCTTCTGCGTCAATCGGGACTCGCACTGGACCGCACTCTCCGGAATAATATTTAAAAAAAAAATAATGTAAGTAGCGCCGTAAACTTACGTTAAAATTATAAGAAAAAGAGTGAGTAACGTTTTAAAGGGGCCATCTCATGGCGCTATTCCATTCACCTCTAGCTTTGCAAACTACAATTCATCACGAGAGCCTTAATTTACAGGGAAAGGCTTTTGGAATCAAATTTATTGCTGAAATTGATGACTTCCAAAGGTCCCTATGAGTCTTACTAAAGTTGTTAAAGTAATAAAAATTTGTTAAATCCAAATCTTAATAAAAAAATTAAGTATATAAGAGAGATTCAGAGTTTGGGTCCAGCCGATTTCAACCCGGGGGACTAGAGAGTTGTGTGACAAAACTATAGTTTTTGGGGGCGACCTTTGTGAGAAAGGGTCCTTCTTGCTTGAGGGCGTCCAGAGTGTGTAGAAGAGAGAGCATCAAAATGTGGGACTGACCTGCGGCATCAAAGCCTCAAAGACAAGCACACAAAGCTCAAGACATTGCTCCTGCTCTTTGATAGGGATGCTCGCGCAACTGACCCAAATGTCTGCGTTGCTTAGCCGCGGCACCTAGGGTCACAAATCACAATGATCACTGCAAATATGGCACTCGCGACGCCGCCAGCTGACTGACGGCGCCGCGCTCGACGCTCGGACCGGCGCCTTCAACTTCAGCTTTCTTTTTTTTCAACGCTCACAAAATTTTCTTTCTTTTTTCATGTTCAATAAAAACAACAACACAGGGCCCGCGATTGACTACTTTGTGTGTCTCTACTTGTGTGTCAAGGGGTCACTAAACCTAGCTGCCCTACTATAGGGACACTCGAACAACCGAAATCCGGCGACTCTGGCTGATTTCGTGCACTTCCCTGTAAAGAGGAAGTGCATAAAACAGGGCTGGAGTCATCAATTGCGGCCACTCGAGCAAACAATTTATGGCAAAGTGGACTTCTTCTGTTTCAAAATATGGCGCACTCCCACATCTTATCAAATAGTTATAGGAAATTTAGCACTTAGCTGACAACAACAGTTACAAATCAATGAGGGAGGTATAATTGGATTCGAGAAAAAGAGAAAGTGAACACAAAAATGAAATTCAAATTTCCCTCCCTCAGAGAGATAGAATGGGTTTGGATTGGGTCGGATCTATGATGGAGGGCACCGGTCCGGCCCTCAATTTTCTTTCTCTAAAGAGCGGACTCGGTGTTTCAAACAAAGTCCTGAGAATGGGAGTCCACTCGGGATCAGTCTGGCGTGTTATTAAAGTGGATGTCAACTGAACTGTGAATAAGCTACAATTCCCTTAAATGCTAATGAAACCAGAAAAGAAAAAAATAATTAGGTTGTCGAGTGGATTCATAACAAAAATATCGGAAAATGGATAGATTTTGAACTCCCAAATTCATGTAAGAAAAATGCATTTTGATTCTACAGACATATCAAAAAGTATATGAAAAGGAACTTGAAAAGTTGCATTTTTTTGTGATCTTAGAAACCCAAAAGTGCATTTAAAAAATCGCGATTTGTGAAAATTTCACAGTGTTGACGTCCCCTTTAACTGCTTGTTTTTGATTGGCTCGCTAAATGCAAGTGTGTTCTTTCTCAGTTGAAAGTAGTAAAATAATAAAAAGGGACAGATGTGTGATTCGTTTCGGGAATGGTCTCAGTCGTTGTGTGTGCGTGTCAGCGCGCGAACAACCCACCGGCTGCGTGCTCGGCCGTGTACTCGGTGAGCAGGGGCGAGGTGAGGCTGGCCGCGTAGTTGGCGTACTCGGTGTACGGCGTGTAGATGAGGCCGTCGGCCGGCGACATGAGGGGCTGGGGCGCGCCCTGGCCGCCATTCAGCAGGTGCGTGGCCGCCGCCGAGTTGGGCACCTGCATGCGCGGCGACAGGATCAGCGGCGCCCCCAGGGGCGTCGGCGGCGTGCGCAGCGCTGGCGCCGTCATCCCGCCATTAGGCGCCATCAGCCGCTGCGACTCGGCCGCCGCCACCAGCGCCAGGCACCGCCACTCGTCCTCGGACACTGAAACACCACAAGCAAATTAGCACAAGCGTGTCAACACCTTGGGCAAACCGAACTAAAAGGGAAAGGACTGACCGCAAAGTAGATAGGAACAACCTTCCAAAATTGTTTTCAACTCAAAGTGGATTTCAACGCCTGTCTTTGTGGATTAAAATGGGTGACAACATAAGAAAAAGTTCATTTCAAACTGACTATTCTATTACTATTTTTCTTACAAGGCTTTTTTGAAACCTAGTGTTTGCATACAATTTCATTTTTTTTTTCATTTTAACCAACTTTATTTTCTATAATTTATATTTCAATAATTTAGCTAAGATCAAGGTAGTTTAATTATAAAATTTATATCTATTCATACATAACCCATTTAAGTTGTTGTACTTGTTGTCAAAACTTTTAAATTAAATTAATTTCTGTCAATTCGCAAATAATGCATTTGTGATCAAAAACCTAGCCTTGTCAGTTAAGTGCAATGTAAGGAATATTACCAACATAAAAAAAAACAAATTTTTCTATATTTCTAATTGATTGGATCATTTTCAGGTTGAAATCCACTTTAAAAGCAGGCAATGTTAAAACAAAATTGTAATTTTATTTATTATAAGCAGCTCCCAATCAAATTACGTCCCTATCTCCAAAAAAATGGCTTGAAAAGATTTTCAAAATTTACATACTTATGCAATAAGACCTGGCACATCGATTGGCCATCTCAGAGGATTCGTCAGGTAGCATACCTACAAGGGCCAATGAAATTCAATTTTTTGCTTGAAATTGAGGTCAGTAACCTTTGACCTAGGTTTTAGTAAAAAGATGCTTAGTTTCATTGACTCCAACAATTCCCGCATTGGCACATTCCTTTTAACTGCACTTACAACAATTTTAGTCGAAGGAAGCCATTTTGAATTTTTAACAAAACTATTAAGGTTTATTAAATTTTTCTTGGAAACCAGTCAGTAATTTTCAAACAAAAATTAATTTTTTCCAAATTTTCTGGCTCCTGTTTTGTCCTAAAACATTTACGGCCCCAGATTTGAACGGATTAATGAGTTACATTTTGAAAGGCAAACAAGTTCCTATCTACTTGAAATTTCTTAATAATTAATTAATGCGAGCCGGTGGTGCGTCATTAGATGTCAGAAGAAAACGAGACGGCACCACCGAGCGGAAGGAAAGTGCGGTATAGAGATATGAAATGGTGACAAGCGCAAGCCGCATTTGGAAATTTTACCTCCTGTGGCCGACTTGATGCTCGAGTCTCTGTATGTGCCGTTGATGATGGCCAATTCCATGAGCTGCCGCTTCTTCAACTCGTCCTCGCCATCAGCCTGCTCAAAAATTAAACCCAGTTCAAAAACTCGCTCTCGACTCAAGTTTCGTTGAAAAACTCGAAATTGGCAAAAAGGGAAATTTTGAAAATAAGGGGATAGGTACCGGGATGAGCAGTCTCTTGACCTCGTCGACGGCCCGCTGCAACTTGAGCTTGGCCCTGTTCTCCGTGTCCTCGACGGTGATGAGCACGTGCAGCTCGTCGTTCAGGTGTTCCCAGTTGGGTTTTCCGCGGTTCTGCTCCTCCTGCAACGGCCATTTCGGGCGCTCACATAAGTACAGTTCGTTCGCACCAACCAAAGTTAGTTGCAAGCGCGATTAGTATTCGACTCACCACCATCCTCGCTCGCTCGCGTCGAGCGGCAGCGTCAAAACAAAAAGCACAATCATGGTTATTTTTGGCAATCTCTCTACCACCAGGCCAATTATAAAAGACTCGCTTATTGCTTAGGAGCTAGCTGACCCCATTCCCTGGCGCCCGCTCGAGATCATTCTTATTATGCGACGCAGCAAGAAAACTGCATTTTTCACTCCAAGAGCGCAAATTCAATTTTCCTGCCGCTTCCAAGTAGCGCGGTCAGAATGGGAGATAAGGAAATGCTTGAAATGCTCCCTGCAAGGCATGCTGCAACTTCCTAAGCAGTGTAAAAAATGAATTCTAAACTTTGTAATTTTTTTAAATATTCCCTGAGATATTTCTAGTTATCTAGAACAATCGGAAAGGTATTTTTTGCTCAAAATTGTTTTTTTACTCAAGGCAGCCATTTTTTTAACGTATAATATACAAATGAATTCAAATGAATGATAAAAATCTAGAAAATAAAAGCAGTTTGTACTGCTCCGAGAGGTTAAGAAATTTAATTACTGACCAATGATCCTGACAAATCTCAATTCTATTCAAATTCAAACGATGTTTTTTGACCAAACAATGTCAGAAGAATCTCGGAAGTTTTAAAATTGTAGCTACTGCAATTATGTAAATTTTTTGCACAGAAAGTGTTTGAATATTTATGCAATGAACCATTAGAATCTCAACTATTCATTTTTCTTTTTCAAAATGAACATTTTTTCTATTTCATTTTAAAAACAGAAGAAATTGTGATTATAAATTGAAGAATTTGTTGATGAGCGCGGATCAAATAAATTGAAAGACAAAAACGTGTGAGGAAGATGCATCCGAGTGTGTGCCTGATACCAATTAAGCGCCTTTAATTAAGTGGGGCAATAAAAGCCAATTGATGTCACTCAATTAGAGACGTCCAATAAATAATATCGGTTTATTTACACCAAGACAAGGGACAATTTTATTTATGTGCTCTCGCGCGACCGAGGGCATTTGAAAAAAGGAAAGTTTTAATCGGCCGAGTTGTTTTTGCGGGTGCAACTTTATCAGAATGAAAGTCTTCGTTCGTTCGGCCGGCGAGTGAGTTTTTGTAAGTGAAGAGGGGAGGTCGTACAAGTATGTTGAGTAAAATAAAAGACAATGCGTGTGTGTGTGTGTTAAAGTAAAATGATTTAAATGTCTCTCACGCGGCGAAAGAGCTTTGAGATCTGTGCGGGGCGATCAACAAGCGAAATTCCCACGGCGTGTTTGTTCTTTACGCAAGTGAGGCGAACCGATCCGCGACGGACCGCCGACAAAACCATTTCTCAAACACAGGAAGGTTCAATTTGCCAGCATTTAGGTCTCCGAGTAACAAAATTGGATTAAATCAAATAGAAAATAATTAAAATCTAAAGTGAGTGTATAAAATTGAATATCTCCTCGGATTAATTTTGGATAATTCAATTTTGTAACCTTTTGTTAACTTTTGGGCCGTGGGACTGCTGCTGGCGAATGTTAAGTGGAGTGATTATCTCACCGGTGCTGGCAACCGAGCAAGACAATATGACGCCTCAAAACTATTTTCAGAGATGATGATTTTATGGCTGCCTTGAGAAAATATTTGAGCGTATTTATTTGCATGAGCGAGGCTCTTGTGTCTGTCTCTCGGAGAGGAATTCCGCCGACAGACCCCGTGAAAGTCGCAGGTAGAAAGTAATTTGGCCATAAAAGTTGAGTTATGGCCGAAAATGCAAATCGAACGCGCGCGCTTACCTTCTTCTTATCTCGCATGGACCCCCGTCCGCGGACCATAATTTTGCATCCAGTCTCCTGCTCTAGCTGTTTGGCCGTCATGCCCCTCGGGCCCAAGATTCGGCCCACGAAGTTGAACTGCAAAAAGAAAAATAAAACACCATAAGCACATCAATTACCAATGAATCTAAATAGACGCGCGTAAAAACCAAACTCGCGCACATGGCCACGGGCGTTAAATTTTGATTGCTTCAAGCGCGCGGCACATATGGGTGAAGAGAGAGACGCCCAGAGACCCACAGAGTTTAGGGGTCAATTTATTAAAAAAATACTTCTAAAATATCAATGTTATTCTAAAATTAAAAAAAAAAAATATTGGCCAGAATTGTGGCTTCTGCTTGATCTTTAAATTTTTTCTGATAACTCATTTAAAGAAAGTTTTTTTTTATCAAAGCTAAGAATTCAATTATTTCTTGGTCGGTTTATTTTTTATTTTATTTGCCGTATCAAAATTGTATCACTTCTGGCCCCTTTATCACCCGATTTCCTCTCTGGAATAAAATGAACACATGATGCAAAAGTGCTGCTCATTTCGAAACAAAGGCTCATCAGCAAACTATTCTGCGCGTGTGACTAATCTGCCTTTAGAGCTCAGCGGATTCCAAGGAAAATGATAATAAAAAATCCTTTTGTGGATGCACTGGGATTCGAGGAAAAATTCCGACGGCAAAGGTCGCTGATTGTGCGTGAAATTGAATTTTCCTCGCCTAGACCAGACCCATATCAGGAATATATCTATCGAGTTCTACATATTGTTGTTCATCTCGAAGGAGCTGGATTCCGGAGCGCGCCTCTCTCGGAGCGGCACGCCCATGCTGGCTGGTGATTTAATGGCTGGGTGCATGTATATTTATGGGAGAATATGAGCTCATCTCGTTCGGCGCTTATATCCTCCCACGGACACTCCACCCCGGGCACAAGAAGGGCTCATTCTGTGCCGCTCTTTGGCGCACGCACGCCCATCGATCGCTCTCTGCATTCGTAATTCAAAGTCACAACTAGCATCCTCCGCACACTAGCAACACATGTCTCCTTCCGACACTTTGTTCCTCCTATGGTTTTTTGTGTCATCTGTTCAAACAGACCCAGCCGAGGGTGGAAAAAAAATTAGAAACTGACTGGCTTAAGAATGTCGTGTGTTTGCGTTTGCACTCAAGACAAGACTCAAAGCGACCAGAGTCAGACAGTAAAACATGAAACCAAAAGTTGAAGAGAGAAAAATAAGTAAATAACTTAAAAAGCAAACAGTAAAATATTACAAAATGAATCAAATTTACCAGAAAGCAACGGATTTAAAAATATAATGATTCCCTAAATCTTTATACTTAAAAATAAATATATTGAGAGCAATTGAAAGGGAGAAAATATTAATTTAAAGCATTAAAAATTTTGGACTGACCATCATGTCTACCATTGGAAAACTCGTACAGATTGATGCGTAGTTTTGGTCCAGAAATAAAATACCCAAAATGTGTATGCGAAAACAAATTTCCAAACAGTTGCAATCTCAACATTTGAAATTGATTCTGAGAAATCCTTCTTATGATAAATGATTGAATCAAGCCTGGGGTTAACAAATCCCACGGGGTGCACAAACAAATCAACACAGAGTCAATCAGCGCGCCGTCTGGTATGTACCTCAAGTGAATTGACCTTTTTCGTGATAAAAGCAGACGTCACCTCGCCTTTCCTGCCGCTGACGACGCTCGCTCGCTCGCTTACACCATCCTCAAACGAGAAAGACATTAGGGACGTGAATTATGCGTGCGGCAAAAAGCAGTAGCCGTCGTAATTGATAAGCCATGTGCGTCTTCATTAATCGCAAAAAAGGGATTTGACGACAAACTTGACAGAGCGAAATAACAGTTATATGGAGAGAGTTTGGATTTGGACGTGCGAATTTTTTTGGTGTCAATTTTTCCCACAAAACCTGCAGTAAGTTGAACGAGCGGTACGTCGTGTGTCTGCCAAGTCAGGTGGAGCAGAGCAACAGGTGTTTGCTTTCTCAATATTTGCTCTCAGATTCGTATTCACGCACGCGGCGGCTATTCAGCTCTGATTTATCTCGTTTTCACACGCTGACAAAAAGGAAGAAAACGTGTTGACTGATTGGAACCCTGTCAACCGCCGCAACATAAATAAGTTAATATTTACACTTCTTTCGTATCAAAATAATTGCCTCGTTTTAGGAAGAAAATCGTTTAATGCTTCCCCTTATTGCATAATATAAAATGCTACCTCGAAATTAAAGAGAGTTACTTTCTTTAAAAATTGTGTAACCTAATGATAGGATTTTACTTCCTTACATATTTACTGTAAATTACATATATAAAACTAAAACTTCCAAACGAACATTCTGAAAAATATTTTGATAAAAAATTTCACTCACAAATTGATTTTTCATCGAAGGCAATCAGGTCACTTAGAAAATTGGTACAAATAACAATAAAAAACAACAACGTTTTAAATCAAAATTGCTCAAATTTCCAAAATTTCATTTCTCTCTCAATTAACGAAACTTGCAATCCAATAATAAAGCTCCTTTACGCCTAAATAGGGCATAATTTAGCTTCTGCACTGGGCAAGGCGGTGCCAAGTTTGTGTAAATTTTTGTCCAATTAAATTGCAAACGCTGCGACCAGTCTTGAGAGCGTGCTGGAACATTTTGCTCGGCAAGTACATACTTAAAAATCTTGAGCCGTCTCTCTCGTCTGCCGCTTTGTGTTGCGCAATTCATGCCGGCACAGATTTTATGGCGCAGATAAAACTCTGCGCCAAGCAAACTCCTCTTTCGGAGAATAAGAAAGGTGGAAAAAGAAACTATAATGTATACTCACGTCTGGATGCTCCTTGACGGGCACATAGACCTTTTCTGTGAGGGTGGTCGACGGACCGGACGCGTCCGGCAGCACCAGCGGCTCCTTCTTGATTCCATTTATCTGGAAGAGGTTACTCCGCACCTTTGCGATTTCTGCGAAAAATAAATATTAAACAATAATTATCATTCTTCAAATACAAAAATTATTTTAATACAAAATTAATAGAAAATAAATTGAATCAATTCATATTGTAGTTCAAAAGTTGTGAATCATTTAATAAAAACTGGTCGCCTTTTGTGGTCGGGGGAATTTTGGTTGGCTGTGCATGATATTTTTTGCGCCTCCGAAAGACATTTATTAGTCATCTCGTTGTACAAACTTTCAATAGCTTCCTGATGAATTGGCAAGATTTTGCCCCGTAATCAGCTGCATTTATCAATGTCTGTACCGCGATTTATTTCAAAATTTATCTCCAATTGTGGCGCCTTTGTGCAATTAGGTTCGCCTTGGTAGATTAAAGGAGGAAAACAAATAAAAATAACGGTCGTAGGTGGGCGAACGCGCAAAGGTCGAGGTGAGTGGGCCACATTTTGTACCTGAGAAGCAACACCTGGAACAATAATCTTGATATCTTTCATCTCATTCAGCAGGAACCAAATGAAATAAAATCCTTTTTCGTTTTATTGGTATATTGTTGCGCGCGTGAGAGAGGATTTTTCCACTTTTATGGCCCAATAAAGTAAAGAGGATAAATAGAAACATTAAAAGCATTGCGAACAATTTAATTATTTTAAAAACCATTACAATTAAAAGATATTTGTGCTATTACAAATAAATGTTATTCTTTTTATGTTACTTCATTTACTGAGGACAGAAATTGATTTTATTTTTGATAAACTTCATAATTGTGAATTGAAAAGTTTGAAATTTTCAGAAATTCATGGTCAATACCTTTTTTTTAATTTAAACCCAATTTTTGGTTGTGGATGCTGACTTAAAAAAAGGTGGCAAATATAAATTAATTAAAATTAGGATTCAAACTTTTTCTGAAATTCTGTGACTTGCACAACTAATTATTTAATTTCAAATGTAACTTTGAGATCGTGAAAGATAAATTAAATAATTATATATCAAATTGATAAAACTTAATTACATAATATAGCTTTATATTCTCAAAACTTCTCAAAACTGTTACAAAATCAATCATTTGTTATTCTTTTACAGATTTATAGTTGGGAATGATTGGGTCCGCAACTCGGCACAATATTTGACAGGTTTAATTGAGCGCGAAATTCGACTGTCAGCTGCGTGCATCTGACGTCACTCTCGTGATTTTCGGAACCACTCAAATCAAATTAAAATGCAAAGAGGGCGGCGAAGAGTAGTTTTGGCTGCTCCTTTGTGAGTCACGGCATTTATTTTATTTTTCACCTGCTGGAATGTTTTTATTCAAAGGGGAGGTGAGCGCTTTCAGAGAGAGCATTGCTTTTGAGAGACTCTTTCGTGTGTCTGCGTGGGGTGGCAGTGGAGGCGGCGTTGCCTCGTCTCCTGCCTCCGTGGGAGCCTCCTTCAAGGCCACATGACTTTACTTCTCCAAAACACACGCCGTGCACGACTTTTATCAACACTCGCAGCCCGCATAATGCGCGCTTTTCCGCCAGCCGGAATCACTCGGAATGTCGAGGAAAAGTCAGAAGTTTCGACTTCAATTTTTAATGAGGGAAATTTCACGTTGGGTCGCGGGCACAGGCGCATACTTAAGCGCCAAAAAAAGTATAAAAGCTCCAGTCTCGGGCAGCGGCATTCTTCTCTTGTCTGCCCGACTTGACAAAAGTTAACAGTAACTCGCACCCAATTGTGCCAAATTCGCCACGGACAACCAAATCGTTCAAATTTAAAACAAATATTTAAACCAATCTTTACATTCTTAACTTGAAATAAACTAATTTCAATATAGAATAAATTAAAATAGGCAAAACAGGATGCTTTTTTAAAATTTCAATTCATTTTTTTTTAATTACTAACTTTTGACTCATTGACTATATATTTTTTTTTAATTTAAAATGTAAATTACCTTTTATTTGTCTAATTTTCACAGCTATAAAAACAGATGGAATAAACACAAATAAATGAATGAATAAGTAAATTATATCATTTATGAAAAATTTATATTATTTAACAATTTTTTCTGGAAGCAAATTATACTAAATAATACCAATCTTTTTATGCTTTGAAATTAAAAAAAACCTCTTTGTAATGAATAAAAAAATTAAAGCTTTAATTCTTTTATTACAATATTATACAAGCGTATTGGCATCGACTATGAAATCTGGTGGAATTTTACTCATCAAAGAAAGCCGCGTCCAATGGATTTGCAGTCATGCTTATTATTTTGAAAGCAAACAGTCCGAAAATGCACCTCAGTGTGTAAACAAAAAGTTTGGCAAGATTTGGGCGATTAGTCCCGAAATAAGGCTGACGCGGCTCTCTTTCTGGCGAAGAAGCGGCGCCCACTCGAGTCATTTTTTTTTTATTGCTGTTTGCTCATTTGCATGCAACGTTGCCCAACCGGCGACTCCTTCAAAATATTTTTTCCAAAAATTCGCCAAATATGCAATTTTGAAACAATTTCCGAAAAGCAGCCGGCGCAGAGAAAGGCTGCTTTCTTATTTCCAACTGAGAAACGGGACTTCTCTCTTTCTCTCTCTCGCGTACATATAGGCTATAAGCTGCAGTGCAATGTTCACGCGTGATTTCTTTCCGGAGATGGGAGTGACTGCTCGCACACTCAAAACATCTGCTCCGATTTTGCCCCATTTCGGACCCTGGACTTCAGCGGATTTCAAATTTTTGTCCGAATCCCGGCTGCACTTTCGGCAACGTTTAGTCAAACCAAAATCCGCGCCAAAAAGAGTCACTTTTGACCTGTTATCACAATGTTGCCAAATTTAAAATAACTATATTTTTTATTTTGGAAAAAATCAGGACGAGGTTTTACAGGGATAAGCAAAAATAAATCTGCAGGGGTCTGAGAAAAAAAGAGCAAAACAAAACTCGTCACTTGTTTTCTGACTCGGATCAGGTGTTACGAGCACCGGATTTTTTACATTCTAGCACGTTTTGATTAAATATTATTGAAATTCGCTTTAAAGTGAATGACCTGCGTCGGCAATAGGATTTGAATTCCATTTCGAGTGCGACCAGGAAGCGGCGCGAGAAATCAGTTTCTCAATTGCGAATCGCGCATTTTGTATTTTTTCACAAGAGGCAACAGCTGGCGCGAGGAATTTCAACAAGTGACACGTCTGTAAACATTCTCGGAGGCCCTTCCCGAAGTCCGGTGCGTCCCTACCGAGCACCACAGAACACCCGATTCCATCTTCAAAGCCCCAAAGCCCTTTCGGGGGCCGAATTTCGGGGCAACCGAGACCCGCAACAGGCGCAAAGGGATTTAGCCCGATTTGGGCGCACTTACGAATACCGACGGCAGATGGACACTTTGGTCGCTTTCGAAGGCAAACGGGCTGCGTGGGTTTTGCCCGACGGGGTCGCAGGCCCCCGGGGGCGGCTCCCGCAAGGAAAAATTCAAATCGAGAAAGAAAAGGAATGAGATTTCTCCGGACGACCCACTTCGGGCAGGATGCGGCCGGAAGAAAGGGGCGGGGTTTGCTGCTGACCCTTGCTGAATACAACCTGGGAACGTGCCGCCTCCGGGGGCGGCACTGAAGAAAATTTTTGCCCGAACGCAATTAATATCATATTGCACCAGTTTGGGGTTGGAGGAATAATTTCAATCCGAACTCCGAAGACCCCCCCGGCGGGGTTGGGGGCGGTGGGGCCCCCGGAGGACCTCGGAGGCGGCACGAACACACACAAAACACGGGGGATCGAGACTCACCCTCGTCGAGGAGTCGCTCGACGTGGAGGAAGACGTTGGGGAAGGCGGCGATCTGTTTCTTGTCTTTGAGCAGCTGTGCCAGGTAGTCGGCGATGCTCTGTGTCGAGTCGCTCATGGTGACTGGCCGATGGAGCAGCGCGGCGCCGCCGCTGAGGCCCCACGGCCTCCGCAAGAGGAGCCCCCACCTCCTCAAGACGGGCGCCTACCGAAGGAGGGGGAGTGGTGTCTCGAGACGCCGCTGCCGCCGCCAGCGCCACGTCGCACCGCTTTCTCACCTTTTTTGGCTTCCGACCACCGACCTGTGCGACCTGCCCACGGCCTCCGAAGGTGGAGGCGCCCGGGGGCGGCTCGGGCCTTTTCGCCCGCCTCCGTTCAACGCCAATTTCAGCGCCCACTTGCGCCCAATTCGCTACATCGCGCCTCCGCAAAAGCAGTCAAGAGCACGCGTTTTCTTTTTTTGAAAAATTAATTTCGATTTCCTCCTAATTTTGTCTAGACTTTTGTGTGCACGCGGATTCTCATGACGGGACCAATTTAAATTTCACGGTGTTTAGTTTTTTCACACGCGGAAAACATGCGCGTGCACCTGTTGCCGTATAAATTTTATCCTATTGCATTGCACACACAAACGCAAACGCTCCGCTCTTATCACCGCGATCGATCAACGATTTGTCCGCCAGATTAGAGATGGAATATCAACGCACGACTTTTGAAATAACAAAATGAATATTAATGAAATTAAAAAATTTCCTAGTGATTCAAAAATTATTAATTTAATATATTAAAGAATAATTCTGTAATAGAAAAAATTCGATCATCTAGTGAAAATCCACTCTTTGTATAAAAATTTACACCTACAATTTTCTTCGAAATTTTTCCAGCTGCTTCATAGTAACGTAAAATTTAAAAAAAAATATCAGTTTTTATAGAATTGTTATTAATATTTCAATTATATATTTTTTTCATTGAAACCACTCATCTTAAGAACCAGCAGGCATGCTATTAGTCAAGAACTCTACTCTGTATCAACGCAATAAAGCGCGGCTTAGCTAATTTGAAAACTCAATTAGCAAACTCCCAAGATGGAATATGAAGACAACAATTTTATTGCCATTTCGGTTTGTTTATCTCGTCTATATTTCCATATTAGACTTTGGTGCAATTACGGCGCCAATATGATAAGATGCGAGAGAGCTTCTCTTTTTTCCGTCGTAAAATCCTGTCGGAAAGAACTTATAGGTAGAAGAAGAGGCGTCAAAACTTGTTTGCCGCTTCAGAGTGTGTATGGCGCAATTTTGCATAAATGAAGCGTTGCACACTTTTTTTTGCATCAGCAGCGTGTGTCTTCATTTGACCACTCGCGCGTCTCCTTATTTAAATATTTATTTTCCACGCGAGCACATAGTGGAAAAAATTGTTGGAGGGAAATATTCAACTTTTACACAGTATATTGTGTTTCGTTCTGCGTGGGAGGATTCGGAAGGTTTGTTTCAACAAACGAACGGCAGCAGCTCACCAAGTTGTAGTTTTATCTTTCTTATTATTCGCGGAATCGCCGCTGCTGCAGCCAAGCCAGAGATCACCTCTCTCTCCTTCTCCACTTATATAAAGCGCCTCTCTTATAAATATGCACACACGTATACCGTTGACTGTACACGGGTAAAAATGTACACTCTGTAGAAGAGTGGAGAGGGCATGCACGTTATTAATGTGCAAGTCGCTGCATATTTATGTGCGAGTGCAGAGCGGCCAGCTTTATGCAGGGGAGAGTTGAATGCTCACACTTCTTCACCAGAGGCACTTTTTTACAAGGTGCACGTCTGACTGACACGCTTTGACCACGATGTGCTCATCAATCCTTATAAACTCTATCAATATTGAATGAATTGCATTTCGTTCGTGTTTTTTTTTTTATATTACAAATGCAAAAAAATTGTAAAAAAAAAAATATTTGTGCATATAACATTTTTTATTTTTAATGTGCCACATACAAATAATATAGATGCGTAAAAACTCAAAAATTGCTCCTTTCAAACCCTCTCTCCCTCAAATCAACAGGACATCAAATTTATTGACAGATTAAAAAGTTCAATTGTAGAAAATTTCTTTGGTTCCGTTCTTATTTCCACGCAATTCGAAAATTAAAATAATAAAATTGACGGCCCTTTTCAATTCAATTTTTTTTGATACAGTTGAAATAAATAGTTATCAATTAACAAATAGGGAAAATATTGTAGTAAAAGAGAAACCGAACTACAAATACTTTTGCACAATCTTTTGATTATTAATAATTACGATTTATTTTTAAATTTGACTTCAGAAGAAATAGTTGCAGCTCCAACCCTTTATATTTTGTTAATTGCGAACCGTTTCCAAAACAAACGCATAAATCACAAACAAGCCACACAAAATTAAATGAAGAGGAACTCTGTTGCGTGGTTTGATTAGTGGCCTATGTATAGAGCAGAAGGGCCATCATTGTATGGCACGCCAAGAAAGTTTTGTGTCCGCGACCTGCTGGCCGGCGCGGAGCAACAAATTGCGCGAGGCGCGAAAAGTGATACTCTGAATGTAGCGCTCGTAAATCAAAAGGTCGTCCTCAAAAAGTGTTTCTTTCTTTTGCTGCAGAATCCGAGCGCAACAATTAGGACCCTCGAGAATACACGATTAGTTCGTGCGCGATGATATTTTAGTGAGAGCGGGTTTATATTTAACACTATCAAAAGAAGAGGTGCCTAGCTAAAAAATAACGGAATTAATATTCGCAGCAACTTCCTGTCCAAGAAGCATTTCAGAGAGGTGCTTGGCAAAAGTGCTCTGCGGTTTGTTAGCGTTTTTGACATACGCGGCGCACATGTGAAAAATCTCCACAAAATGCAGAACCCTTCTCTCTCTCTGATCACTGTCGCTCTCAACGTGCGAAAAAAATAATCCGCGCGCCACACCATCAGACATGAAAGATTTATAATAATTGCCCTGTCATGTGGTGCAAAGAAGTGTGTTTATTCAAGAGGAATTAAAACTGCTTTTGTTAGATCATACGCAGAGTCATACGTTAAATAATCTTTAGTGGCCTACAAAAAAACCCTCCCAAAATGCGATTTTCTTCAATATTTTTATGTTGCTTTACCTTACACTGACGCGGCTTATACATTTTTTTTCACATTCAATTTTTATTTTATAAACCATACTATCACGTCATTCATTAATTTGGAAAAGCTGTGCTTAAAAATTCTAGGAATGGATTTTTGCAAAATAAATTACCATCTTATTTAATTTTAACTCATATTTGGCCAATGCAACAAGATTCTTTGTTAATTTTGCGGCTATTCTAGAAAACGAATATTCAGAAAAATCAATCAATGAGACAAAATATTAAACTGAATTCTTTTTGCATTTTAGCTGAAGCGTTTTTCAAATCTCTGTATGATTTAGACGACTTATTTCATTTATAGATATTCACAAAATTTTATGCCCTATTATATTCACAATTAACTAAAAAAGAATAACAAACGACTTCAAAAGTGTTGAAGCTATTCAACGAATCCCAGACATTAAAGTGGTTTGAAAATAGGTGAAAAAATCACTTCTCTTCGCAATCGCTGAAGAATAAAAAAAATAACATTTGAGAAATTTACAATAAAAATAAGTGACCTGAATAATAAAAGAAAGAAAAAACACAAATTTGTGGATAATGTTGATTTATTTTTAAGACAAACACCGTTCGAGGCGCGCACAAAATTAATGTGCTTTTATGTGTGTGAGTTTTTGACTGTCATCATGGCCAGAAATCAAACGAAGCCTTGTTTTGAGCTGAAAATAAGGGGCCATAATTCTGTCGACCACCAGATGAGGTTGACTTTTTTCTATTAAGATGAGTTTCCTGCGCGGCGGCGATTTTCTTCCTCTCCAAAGCAGCGACGGTTTTGAGTTTCACGTGTGTGCAGGGTGTTTTCCTGTGGCGCTATTTTGGAGCCAAGACTGACTGACTTCTCTTCCGACCGACGGATGCTATTCTCGGCTCATCTGTATGTGTAAACCGTGCATGTGCAGCACAAACACCCCTGCTCCACCTCATTATAGTACGGAACGTACTACCCCACTGAAAGAAAAGTATCCAGCACTGCCAACAGCAGAGAAATGAATGCTGAGTGCTCTGGAAAGTGCTCAACTAAAATTACTGCTATAGACAGACTGATCAAAATAAAAATAATATTTTAAGCCAGTAATACTTAATTTATTTAAATATTAAATTAAAATGGATTTTTGTAAATTATGTCACTTTTGTGATTTTTTTAACCATATGATAAGACTATTTTATAAAATTCAATGTTATAAATAACCTTTTAACAAGAAAAATAAAGTATGAAACTTTTTATCAGCACAGTATAGTATTGCTTGAAACAAGAAATCCAATAATTTGAATAACATTTTAATAACAATTTAAGTAAATTTTAATTTTTACAATAACATTATTTGAAAAGAGCTTTTACAAAATCTGATAAAAAAAATAACTACTTCCAGCATACACAAAAAAAAAATATTAGCTGAAATGCTAAGCTCCATTTTTAAATGTACATATCTCCAATTTTCGCCATCCTCCTTTTTTTATGATAAGCCCAATCCAATCAATCAGTCACCACTCAATCGTTTAAAACCCCCACTCTATCTGTCGCGCCTGTTCACCATAAAGTTATGGCGAGCTGCTGGTGTGTTATTTTTTAGTGCCAAACGACCCGGTCGACGGCCAAAAGTCATCCACTAGTCACCGGCGTGAGTCAAGCGCTTTGGAGCAAAGATGCTGTGGCGCTCACCCCTGAGTGAGGCTGTGACTCAGCGCTGCACCGACCGACGGCCACCCCAAAATAGACGACGCCATCGCCCTACGACTCTTGGACACGCCGACTGCCGCCTCTCGCTGCCACACGCCGACCGTCATCACCAAGAATTTCTCGCCTGGTTTTCCCATCACCGTCAATTGCTTCCAACAGGAAGAGAGCAGGGCAGCGCACGTGCCACTTGAAAGAACCAAAAAATGAATGGGAATTGCAAAAGATTAAAAAATATATATTTAAAAAACAAACTGAAAAAAACCAACGCTTTCAAATAGCTCATTCTCAACATTTTCAACATCTTTCAATCACTTCAATAAAAGAAGCAATTATAAATTCTATAAAAAATAATTACACTATTTAAGTTTTTTTTTTTAATAAAAAATATTATATTTTTAAGCTCAATAAAAAATAGACAGTCCGCGTCTGACTTTTAATAATTAAATTTTGTTTCAAAAGAAAGCTTTGTTTGTGTGACATATCTCAATGTGCTAAAATTGATTGAGAAATACGATCCGATTGTAAAGAGAAATTAATTGATCTTGTTCTCATTGCACCGAAAATTGTCTCCGCGTGAGCATGTGTCGTCTCTGCTTGAAGAGAGATTTCCCAATGCCTTCCGCCTTATTCCAGTTTCCAAAAATGGAGACCTGAATGAAACGACCTGACGTAAGGTGCTTTAAATTCCCATGCGCTCAGAAAGATTCTCATTATTTTCACCATGCGATTCCACGTATATAAACTTACGTGAGAAAGAAAGAGACGTGCGTCCATTTATTTGTTCGAGAGAATCTACTGGAATTAGACGAAGTACACCTGCTGCGCGGCGAATCTTCTCCTTTCAATCAAGAGAAATCTTTCCGAGGATAAATCTTTGTTGGATAATTACGCTCGGCACAAATCCTTATTTGAAATTTGCCTATTTTCAACTCAAGTAAGAGACTTTCTTTCTCTCTTTCTGAAATAAAATTCTAAAGAGGGTTTTCGTGTTTCAAATGAATTGGCGCAGGAAGTTGTCCGATTTGGTTTTGGCTCCGCCGAGCAGGATGCGTTTTTAGCGTGAGTTTTTAATTTAATTGAATTTGGTCTCGCAGGTTGAGGGTGTTTGGCGCTGCTGCCGCGAAGAGAGACTCGAAATAGCCGCAAATGAGAAATAAATTCGGTCCGCGCAATGCTTCTCTCTGCTCTCTCAGAATCCCGCTTGCAACACACGCTCATTTCTCGAGAAAAGGGTTTTGGCGCCGCTCCAAGTCACGTCAGGCGAGAGATTTTATTTTGGTCGCCGGGGCACCTGTCGCCCCGTTCATCATTAGGGGCCCCCTTACCAAAAAAATTATCAATTTTTTCAATTAAAAGCGGAACAACCGGAAAAGTTGCAAAATCACGTTTTTTTTTGTTTTTAATTAATTTCAACCCTCGTTGAGTAGACTTTTGAGGTGATTCACACGTGATGTGTCTTGGCAGACGCAAGTGTAGTGACTCAGGTTCTTTCGGTGTAAGCAACTCTTTCTGCAAGTCGAATTAGTCGCCAGGAATTTTGGTGACAAAAACACGCAGGCACGTCGTAAAAAAGGCTCTGCATTTAGTTCTAAGCAGGCGGAGGGCGGATTAGGGGAGGCGGCGCCGACCTATTTTTAAACTCGCCGTCTCTCGACTCCCCGCTAGAGAGAAGGGTAATTCAATTTCTTCCTTTTAGAAGAATCTCTTGGGTGCTGACGGGAATATGAGGATTCCAAGTGCGCGGCCATTAAGGTTCGTCATTTCGAACCGGTGCAGAGGCCAAGAGGTCGGTGCCGAATTAAAATAAGAAAAACGTCTTGAGCGAGATACTGTTTAAGCTCGCAGTTTTTATTTTTAAAGGTGAAAATTTCCTTTTATTTTAATTTTATTAAAATTAAGAGCCATTTAAAATTTAATTAATGTTTGGTACCATATGATTTCAAGAGTAAAAAAATCTTAATTGAATAAGCAATGCCAGGCTTTTAAATTTGCACTTTTTTATTCTTGCACAGACAGCAAAAATCATCAAATAATAACGCACACACAAATACTGCATAATATATAAACGTTAAATTGCACTTAAAAATCATTTGAAGCAAAGTTGATCAATAAATTTCAAAAACTGCTCAAATTGAACTAAATTTATAAGATTTACCGTTTTTGGTCATATTAAAATTAAAAAAAAATATATATAATCAAAGTATTTAAATATTTATTTTATAAAATAAAGATTTAAAAATATTTGATACTTTATAATGAATTTTTCTCAAGAAAGAAGCTTTTTGAGGATATGGTTTTAAAATTTGGATCGGATCTTTAAAAGCAAAAAAGTACGAAAAAAGAATTTCAAGATGGTTTTTTCAAGAAGAGCAGCATGTACGCAGTAACTTATGCGTCGTAAGAAGGAAACGGCAGACGCAAAAAGCGTCTCTAGTGGTGAGTTTGTAATCTGGCGTCAAACGTGCCAAAGCCACAAGCGTGATTCATAATGGCGATAATTAATATTCAAAGCGACGGCTTACAAGTTCTTTCCTCAATCTTGTCAAAACACCGAGGTGATGTACTCTAAACTAATCCTCACTCCAAGATTTACACCGACGAAAGTCTAAATTAAAAGCAAGCTCCAGTCAGATTTTCAGTTGTTAATCCTCTCTTTTAATCTTCAACAAAATAAAAACAAAAAAATTCCACTATAAAATTAGGATTTTTACGATTTTTTTTTCACCGCATTTAAAAAAAGCAAAATTAATTAACAGAAATAAGAGATCGTGAAGTTTTGAAATAAATTAGTGCTTGATCGACCTATTGACCTCGCGTGCGCGAACTTGATCTGCAAAGAAGGTCAGACCATACAAGTATGAATTTGATTAAAGTCACCGCACTGGTGTATTTGTAAGGCACAGCAGCGATGTTTGAGACACACATGGTCTGGATATGTTTGTAACGGAACCGTCCTGAGTGCAGGCTGGGGGCCCTCGCGCTCGATGCTCGCGTCTCGCCATCCTCTCTTTTATATTTATCCCGACTCGGCGGAGCTGCTCTTTTTTGTGCCATTACCCGCTTGGAGATTCATGCGGCTCCAGAAATAGAAGAGCTGCACCGACTACACACACATCGTCCTTTTCGCTCAAATTTTACACAAGCACTTTCTGTGTACTGACTGGCAGCTGACGAACGCCACACGCCCTGCGAGAATAACCTCCAAAGAAAATTTGCACAACCCCTGCAAGCCATCCTTGTGCTTTAGATAAACGTCTGGAAAACCTCTGCGTTTTTATTGGAGGCTGGAGAAAATTTATTTTGCTAAAAATCATTTATACCCTGTTTTGAAAGATTTTTATTTCAGCGCTGTTCAGTTTCCGATTTAAAGTTAGCATAATGAATTAATTAGTAATTTTTTTATTAAATAAAAATGACATATGTGCACAAAGTCTTGCCTCACCCGTAAATTTTAGGAGAGATGTTGATGCGTGAAATCAAATCCAACTTTTTCTTATTTAATTGGAATGACAAATAGAATATTGATGGTTTAATACATTAAATTAAATTAAACTAAAGAAATAAAATTTAAATTAAGTGAACAGTAGATCTTTCTTTCGCAACCAAAAGTCAAAGCTGAAATCAACCATTTAACCTCCCATGCCAGGATACTAAACCATCTTTACGGCGGCGCTAAGTCTCCCTTATTATTTACCTCAGTCAGACTAAAACAAAACCGCTTTATTATTACATCCATATAATTTAATTACACACCTCCGCACCAATCATTTTACAAACTGACCACTTTGTAATTATTTTAAATTTGTGTGCGAGCGTGGCGAATGGCTGATTAATTTTTTCTCAATCGCTCTCAACGCATGTACATAATAACACACCGCGCGCACGTTAGTCCTCTTCAATATTTCACCTTTTAACAGAAAAATAAATTGTGTAATTATAGCTAAACTTGGAGAAAATCTTTCTTCGAACCGATCGGAGCGGATCTCCGCTTTTTTCTTCTTGGCCCCGGTCCAGCGGTTCCTCTGCGCGCGGGCACAAATTATCGCCGCGTGCCAAAATCGCAACCCTTCATTAGTTGCTCGCTGTAAACAATGCAGCTGACACTGATCGAGAGAGAAAAGGGTCCAACCGTGACAGACACACTCATCTTTTCGTCCAAAATAGGCGCCAATTTATTCAACGCGGGACAATGAACGAGGCTTTGTAGTTTTCTCTCCTTTGAAATATAAAAGAAAAAAACCAAATAGAAAAGTGATTGACGAGTCAAAAATCGTAACACCATGTTTTATTTGATGGAATTCAACAAAGCTACAGAGATGAGGAGAAAGCAAGTTTGAATCCCACTCAAAAACCTCAAGGACTCTCAGATTTTGTCATCAAACATAGTATTTTATTACTGTCTTGAGGAATATACACAAAAATATTAGAGATTTTTTTTAAATAATTTTTCTTAATTTCAAAATTTTAGTATTCGTTTTATATTCCAAAAATATGTTTTTTATAGACTCTTAATGGACTGGTGGCTCAACTCGCAATTCTATAGAGCTTCTTATTAGGTACGATCAGGCAGATGTGTAATTATCGCGATCGGCGACCTGAGTAATTGCAGGTTCGCTGGCTCGCGTCACTCCTCCCTCAGCAGCAGCCACTAACACCATCTAATCAGCGGTCAGCTTTGATAATTAATTAAGAGGGACGATTTAATTAGTTTTCAAATTACATGCGGGCTTCTCTAATCCGAACCAACCAGCCGCGTTTTATTATTATAAAATGGCAATAAATTACCAGAGAATTTGGTTGTGTCTTTTGGATTATTAATTTAAAAAACAACGCATAAATCTTGAAATTATATTTTTATCCCACTCACATTGTTGGAAGATGGGAAAGGTGATTGAGCTGTTGTTGTTCTTGAATTTTAAAAAACCACAGCACACGAGATGCGAAAAACAAACGTCTTGATCGTTTGTGACGGGATGAAACGATCGCTTTATTTCCGTCTGAATAAAAGTTGCTCTTGGCCAATTAGTGAGTCTTCCAACAATACGAGCCAACACCATTGTGTTTTACTTTTTTATTCTTTCAACGGCCAAGGGAGCTGTAAAATTGCCAAATAAGGCGCATGATTTGGAGCCGAATTTACAACCTGCGTGTTGTAATTAAGAGAGAGGCGGCGGTTCGTGCGGAGGCGGCTCGGCGGCGTGGGTCGGGGGCCGTGGGAGGCCCTGAGAGGGCCGCGCCCTGCGTGACGCGAGGCGGCCGCAGCCGCGTGGGCCCTTCCTTATACGGCGAGCCCAATCGGGCGCCGCGTGGGCGTTTATGGGGTGAATCACTCCTCGCGCCTAATTTTAGCCGCGCGCTTCTTCATTCAGCTCGAGAGAGACCGCCACCTATTCTCAAAGGGGACGAACAAACTCGCCCCTTGCGTAATCTCACGCGCACCCAAACGACCTTTTGACCCCACGTGTCATTTCTATCCAAAGCTGTCAACCTAAACACCTGCGCATCGTCTTTATAACACAGCCATTTATTATTTATTTTCATTGTAAATTGCTTTCAATTTAATTTACGTTACCAATTGTCATCTGTAATATAGTTTTCTTTTTAAATTTTTATTATATTCAGAAAAAGTATCATTGTTATTCAGCAATAGATTGAAGATTCTGATCTGATAAACTAGTGCATTAAAATTTAGAGCGCAAAAACTGTTCTCCTCTTTTCAATGAACTTTTATGAAACAAAGCAATACATAATGGTTAAATTGCAGTAGTTTTTTGTCCAATAATATCAAAATTCAATTAAAATAAATTTATAAAAAAATCATTGAAAGTCCTAACTACATTTTTTATTAGAAAACGCATGAATTTGAAGCAAAACAATTTAAGAAAAGCGCATATTTTTTTTTCTGAAAACAGCAATTAAAGAAATAAAAAGCCATCCCATTCAAACTCATATAATATGATTATTAATATAATTATAAATTTAATTAGAAAAACTTTTTTATATAATATATCTTTAAAACTTTAATTCCTGTAACTTTCATTAAAATCTTCATAACTTTTAATTAAATTGAAAAACTCTAATAATTTAATTTTTTTAACTAACTATAAAATCTACGAAGATCTTGCTGCGTCAGAAAAACAGAGGCACCAAAGATAAACAATAACTATATGGCTCTTGGGATGAACCTAGTCGTCTCGCATGTTTACTTTGGATTAATTGCTGAAGGAAGTGGAATAATTACTGCGCCTCCACCCTTTAGAGATATTGTTGTCGTCGTTAAGACTCACTTAAAAAATGCATCGCGTCCCCACAAGAAGCAATTCAACTCCCAAATTCCGGCTGTTTAAAAATACCTCATTCCGAAATAGATACCCCCTTCATTTGGCGTGTCATTGACTGGAACCATCAGGAGAGATTTTCAAGAGAAAGAAAGTTCTCGAATTATAAACATTATTTTGATTTAAAACGGCTAATGAAAGCACACAGGGTTTAATTTGTGGGTTACAATAACGGCTCCATCATTTGGTAAATTTAGCCCCGGCTAATTGAAATCGGCGATAAATCTTATTGAAATTCGCCTTGGAAAATGGCCAAGGCGATAAATTGGTTTTATTGCGCCAACTGCAGAATTAAATTTAATGAAAAAGCGCTGCTTGATTTATCGCAATTCAATCGGGGGGAGGCCTTGGGAAATATGTGAAAATGGAAGAGCCGATCTGCATCTCCTCGCCGCGAACCTGTTTTATGCACGCTTCAGTCGCGGCCAACCTCGAAAAAATCCCCTGTTTACAAGCAAAATGACAATTCTCAAAGCAAGACTTGTTCAAAACGAAGGCGATTCAAAATAGTCAGCAGAATATCGCGACAAAATTTACTCCGAAATTATATTTTAATTTACAACACAAAATAAAAAATAAATATTTGAATAATTATATTATGTGAATGTGTGAATGTAAGCTAGTCAAATATATATTTTTTTATGTGTAGATTTAAAGTTTTACATCTAAAACACTCCATAAAAAGGTTAAAATTTGGGATATACATCAAATTAAATTAGAATAATTAGACAATTTAATTTAATACTACTCTATATTGATTATTATAAAAACGTATTTTTTATTTATTGAATTTAAGTCTGAGCAAAAAAAAATTGTATATTTAAGCTGAATCTTTGGCCGGCTGTTGTGTTAACAAGAAAGAGTTGCATCCTCTCTGACTGAGTGAGGCACTTGACTCGCTCAGCTGAGGACAAAAGAGAGAAAAGCAGCTCTGTAGGTGGATGGAGAGCCAGCGCAGAGAGATCGAGATTTCAGCAGCCTTGCAAGGCAACGCGTGGGCAGTCCTCGATAAATAAAATAACTGGTCCAGCCCACGCGGCCGTGCGGTGTGGGCGGCCCACATGGCGCCCAAAGGGCCCCTGGCCGAGGCCCCGCGGGCCCCTCGGTCTTGCGCCGCCGTCCACGCACGCGTCCCCCTTCAACCGCCCCACCAGACTCAAAATCGAGCCCTCCGAGGGCCTTCGAAGGCCCCCACGGGAGCTTTAAGCGACCGTCAGGGAAGATGCGGGGAATAAATTATATCGTGATTGCTGCCTGCGAGCAAAGGGAGGAGCGTTTTACGCACTCTTTCTTTCCTGAAGAAAATTCTCATGTCCAGCACACGCAACAAAATTCATAAGAACACATTTAACGCCCTCTTTTTTTGTTTCCTTTATTTGAAATATTAAGACGAAAAAATATGCGCATTTATAATAATATGGTGTGTATTTTAAGATACAAGCAATGTTAAAAGAAACTCTTACGGCGCTGGTCAGTGCCTGGAAAACCTCTTGGGGTCCCTCGGTTTGACCCTTCGCTGGCCCATTTCCTTTTTACGGGGCCTGTTGGCCTTGCTGCTGTTCACTTCTGAAACATTCATGACAATGGCGCATAAGTATTTCAATTAAAAGACAGCCTAGCCTTACACAGCTAAGGATTAATTGCTGCGGATCAACCAGTTTAACAATCAGATCAGCATCATGCACCACCATTAGAATCACATTTTTTTTATAAATTAAGTCAATAAATTTTAATCAAAAATTCATAACAAAATTAATGACCATTTTAGCGTAAGTTAATTCTGTTCTTTGAGGCAGAATTTTTTGTTTTCATGATATGATATGATATTTTTTCTTTTATCATTTCTGATTTCACCGGTCATAGAAAGACAATGTGAAGATAAACAAATCAAATAAACTTGTTGGTTGTTAGCAGTTATTCAAGGTTGACAAACTCATTCAACTCTGAATCTCTCATTTGCATTCGAGTTGCTCTTGCTCTGTGAATGGATAATTGTGGTGACAAGACGTTGTGTAACAAACAATACAATGAAGTTGTGTTTTGTTTATTTTCAGCCTAACTAGCTGCTTGCTCCGATTTCTGCGCAGCAATAAGGGGATTAATTCATACGAGCAGAGAGGAAATTCGTGTGGGCGAGATAATTGCCAGCTTGTGTCAACCCGATGGCGTAATTGAGCAACAGCCTTAATAATCATAATCACTGCCCACCATACTACCTGACTGAGAAATCGACTTTGCGTTTTTGACCTCAGGGAACTTCAACAAGTCGGCGGAGGTGTGCGCATCAGAAGTCAGCATTCAACGTGAGAGAACCTTTCCCTTTTGTTAACACTCGGAAAAATTGAAGGTTTCGAATAAAGTGAAAAATTTGACTTCAGTTTTTAAGAAGATCAAAGCAAGACATTGAAATTTTTCAATTATTTTATGATTGACTGACTTAAGATACAGTGACATCATTTTGGTAAAACTGAGATGTAAAACAATCACTAAGAATTACGAGACAAGCGCAAAAGTGACGTCAAAATTATGAGAGGAAGTTGTAAGTCACAGGAATAAACAACAATAAAAGTCGGTTGGACAGCAGCAGTTTGAAATGACATTGGGCGTGATTGTGAGAATGAAATCGTGTGGCAGGTGAAATTACAGAACTGCGTGTGGGTGTCGCCTTTTATTCAGGTGGACTGCGCTGCCTACTCAACTTCAACTGACTAAGTTTTTCTGCATACTAACAGCTTGGTCAATTAAAAGGCACTTCCTTTTATGGATGGCGATTACAGATTTGTTTAAACTACAAGTTAGAATTTCTTAAGATTTCACATCATTCAATTACTTAGCTGAAGGTTTATTGTAAATGGATGATATTTAATAAAGTTTTATTCCAATAACCTTCAGATAAATTTTTTTAACTTTTCAAACCATTAAAATATTTTTTTAGAATTTAAATACCCAAAGAAACCACTCAAAACGCAAAATAATTGAATTAGTAAAAGTTACTAATTCAATCAAAATATTTATCTATTTTTTAATGAGAAAATTAAAAAAAGGTAGAAATACTCACTTAGATCAACAGAAGGTGCGGACAAGAAGCCAAAGGATTTGGCCACCTTGGGCAAGTCCAAGGTCTCAACGTCATAGATGTTTTTCAGTGAGTTTGAGTCGTACGCGCGGACATACGCTTTGTACGCCTCCCTTGCAGACTGGTTGAGGAAGTAGTTCTTTCCGATCAATTTTTCCAACTAATCAAAACAAAACAATTAATAATTTGAATTTAAATTTAGTTTGATTGGGAATCACCTGGAGCTGAATGTCCGCAATTTTGTTCCAGGTGAAGTCGAACTCGTTGAGGGGCACCCTGGCCTGCTTCAGGTACCTGAGGAAGCCAAGCTCCTCTGGGCGCAGAATGAGCAGGGCGTGGCCTCTGCTGCCCTCACCTCTGGCAGTTCTGCCCACCCTGTGAATATACTCTTTTGGGTCATCGGGAGGGTCAAACTGCACGATCCAATCGACCGCTGGAATGTCCAGACCTCTGGCAGCAACGTCAGTGCACAGCAAAATGCCACTGTCTGCATTGCAGAACTGGAAAAAGGTTGTTGTCCGCTTTGTCTGCTTTTGTTTGCCCTGTTATAATTTAAAAAAAAAATTACAGTTGATGAATACTAAAAACCATTCATAGTAACAAAAAATACGTTACAACATACTCAAGATGCATTAGAAATAAAAATCTTAAAAAAATAATAACTAATTTAGGAAAAAATAATTTCCAACTTACATGGATGCTCATAACTGGTAAGTCAATGTAATTGAGCAGTTCGTGGTGGAACTTGACAGACATGCAGGTGCTGAAGAAGACCATAACCTTCTTCTTCCTGTTTTTCTTCAAAAAGGTGAACAACAACAAAAATCTCTTCTCTGACGGACACACCACATAGCCCTGCTCAAGACCTTCGACAGTGGCCGTGTCCTTTAGGTCATCAACCCCAACGTAGAAGGGTTCCTTCTTCAAGGCCAGTTTGGTCAGAGCTTGCGTTTTTGCCGTGGTTGTTGCACTGAACAGCATCGTTTGTCTGCGTTCTATGATAGAAAATAAATCTCAAATTGAATGGTTAAAAAAATATGGTTCATACTGGGCAATAGATTGATGATTTGTTTGAGTTCTTCTTCAAAACCAATGTCCAGAATTCTGTCGGCTTCGTCAATAATTAAACATTGGAGATTTTTGTACAGAAATTCCGGGGTTCCCTGGAGGTGATCCAATAGACGACCTGGAGTGGCCACAATGATATTCACACCTGAAATGTTTCAAAAATATTTTACATTAATTTACAATTTAATCATTTTATCTAAAAATTTCTAACCTTTCGCCAATTTTTGAGCTTCTGCCTGTCGATTGGCACCTCCCATGATGAGACCAAAAGTGTGCTGGTGGTACTGCATCAGTTCTCGAAGGACGCCAAAGGTTTGCATGGCCAACTCTCTGGTGGGCGAGATTACCACCACTCCCGTCCCATTCCTGGGCATAAAGTGAAGCTTGTAGATGAGTTCAACGGCCGGGACAAGGAAGGCCAAGGTCTTGCCAGAGCCAGTTTTAGCTGAGCCCACTAAGTCCCTGCCCTCTAAAAGTGGAGGAATGGACTTGGCCTGGATCTCAGTCATCTCAGTGAATCCCATTTCGGCAATGCCCTTAAGGGTGGCCTCGCAAACCTTGCCCTCCAAGGTACTGAAACTCCTGTCTTGCAGGGCTTCCAATCCTCCATCTGAACCTGGCACTACAATGCAAAGAAAAATTATTTTAAGGAAATAATACTTTAACAGACGTACATTTTTGCCCTATGTCCTCAGAACTTTCAGGGACATCACCGTTTGTGGTGCTAACGTCTTCTATTGCCTTCTTCTTTTTCTTATTTACTGTAAAATAGGATAAGTTAAAGTTAAAATTTAAAATATGTATACGTAAGTGCATACAACAGAGTTCATACATACTTTTTTGTTTAGCTTCCTGATCTGTCGGCCTTTTCTTTCCAACTAACGATGTTGATTCCTCTTCTGTTCCTTCACTATCTCCATTATCTAAATAAAAAATTCAGAATTGCGGATTAACAAGAAAAAAAAAGAAATTTTTTAAATAAACCGATTTGTTCCTGCTGTCTTTCTTGCTCTTTCTGTTGAACGATTTTCAGTTTTGTTTTCTCCGTTTTCTTCAACTTCCTTTTGAGAATTTTATCACTTAAGGCCATGGTGCTCTTTTGGAGGCTCTGAGCCTTTTAATTAATGATTTAAAAAGAAACACCACGAGAAAAATAACTTGACTACACACGTGGTTCTAGAAAATCCGGGCGTGCAAGCATGCATGCGATGGGCGAGAGAAAAATCAACAACCTAACATACCAACCTTATAAAAAGTATTCTTAATATTTTTGCTATGTTTAAATTAGGAAAGCTTGCACACTAGACATTATAATATAATCTATATAAAATATTTCTGTTCGCACAGATGAAAAATATTATTTACGGCAAAAGGATAAATATTTTAATTTAATATAATTTATTTTATGTTGGCTAAAATTTGCAAGTTTCTGCACAATGGCGACTGAAGCGCCTTTGCTTCACCCACCGGCCGCACCATTCAAAGCTCCATAAAATCTAAAAAGTCGCCGATCTTTTTGGATTTTCGACGCGAGAATCTGCTAATGTGAAATCGGACATGAGCGGAGAGGACGAGAACAAGGCTGAGGTTTCCGCCGAGCAGGCCGAGCAGGCAGAACTCTGCAAAGAAGAGGCAAACAAGTGTTTCAAAGGTACACATCTCGACATTGAGTGTGTTGATCAAATTTTATCTGCAACCATGTGATCCGTAAATGTTTCGGCCAAACAACAAACAACGCCGCATTCGTCTGTCACTTCAAGTCGAATTTTGCAACTTTGTTTTTCATGAATTATTGGGAATATAATTGTAATAAATTTGAACCATAAGACAATCTGTTAGGCTGTTAATTCACTCTGGCTCTGATTTTTCTTATTTTTTTTTTGCAGAACAAAAGTTTGATGAGGCCGTCAAGTTTTACACTAAAGCGATTGAGCTGAACCCAAATGTGGCCGTTTACTACGCAAACCGGAGTTTTGCTTACCTGCGGCAGGAGTCGTTCGGCTACGCATTGTCAGACGCATCCAAGGCCATCCTGCAGGATAAGTCGTACGTCAAGGGCTACTACCGGCGGGCGGCCGCGTACATGAGCCTTGGCAAGTTCAAGTTGGCCCTCAGAGATTTTGAGACGGTCACCAAGGCCCGACCCAATGACTCAGACGCCAAGAAAAAGTTCCTCGAATGCACAAAAATTGTGCGCAAGTTGGCCTTCGAGAAGGCCATAGCTGTCGACACCAAGAATGTTGCTGACACCATCGACTTGGAAGGAATGGGTTTGTCTCTCTCATTAAAATTTAAAGCCTATGTTGCATTATTTAAAAAATAGCTATTGAGGATGATTACACTGGGCCAAAGCTGGACGGAGACAAAGTCACTCTCAAATTCATGGAGGACCTCATGGAGTGCTACAAAAAACAAGGAAAACTGCACAGGAAATACGCTTATAAAGTACATTGCTGGCTCATTTTAAATTTGAATTATTTTTAATGAAGCAAATTTTAAGATATTGCTCGAGGTGGAAAAACTTTTCATGCAGCAGCCGTCTATGGTGGACATCAACATTCCTGATGAGGCCAAGTTCACCATCTGCGGGGACATTCATGGCCAGTTTTACGACCTGATGAACATTTTTTCGTTAAATGGCTTGCCTTCACCAGACAATCCTTTTGTATGAATGCAGTAATTTCTTAAAGATTGTGTTTAATAACATTGTTTTTCCTCATAGCTCTTCAATGGTGACTTTGTGGACCGAGGCTCATTTTCCGTGGAGTGCATTTTTACATTGTTCGGTTTTAAGTTGCTCTACCCCAAACACTTTTTCATGTCAAGGGGTATATATTGGATTTACTATAATTTCTTTGCTAAGAGAATTAAAAATGTAGAACACCCAATATTTGTTGGGTAAATCTGTTATGTATCAATTATTTTTTTTTTTCAAAATTTTTTATATTTAAAATGGATTTATTGAATTTTCATTTTTCACATTTTGTCAAAATTTAAAATTTCAGGCAATCACGAGAGCGTTACAATGAACCAGATGTATGGTTTTGAGGGCGAAGTTAAGGCCAAGTACACAGAGCAGATGGCCCAGCTGTTCACGGAAGTGTACAACTGGCTTCCACTGTGTCACTGCCTGAACAATAGAGTCTTGGTGATGCACGGGGGACTCTTCTCTCGTGACGGCGTCAAGTTGGATGAGTTGCGGCAAATTGAAAGGAATCGCCAGCCACCTGAAGACGGTCTCATGTGCGAACTACTCTGGTCCGACCCTCAGCCACAGGAAGGAAGGGCGCCTTCCAAACGAGGGGTTGGCGTCCAATTCGGGCCTGATGTTACTCACAGGTACTTGAATTTATTTTAACAATTTATTGGGTTTTATAGAAGATTTTGTGCAGATTTCTTAAAGACAACAGCTTGGATTATGTAGTTAGAAGTCATGAAGTCAAAGCAGATGGTTACGAGGTTGCGCACGATGGAAAATGCATCACCGTCTTCTCAGCGCCAAACTACTGGTATTTCAGGATTTAAAATTAACTTTCTCTAATTGGTTGTGCTTTTTGTAACAGTGATACAATGGGAAATAAAGGAGCATTCATTGTCCTAAATGGAAAGGATATGAAGCCAAATTTCACTACTTATGAGGCAGCTGTAAGTATCTACTTATAAATTTATTTTTATTTAAAACATATAAATGATAAGCACCTTTATGATTTAGAGATGGGTTTATTTAAAATAGCAAATTTTTAAAAAAGATTTTGTTCTTTATTTTGTACTTAAGAGATAAAATATAAATTTATTAACTGGCCACCTACACTATTGATAATTATACTGTGACCGTAAAGAACAGCTCGCTTTTTATAGCATCACTTTGGTAACTCACTTTTAGGTCCTTACACATCTACCAGTTGGTCTAAATCAGGTCTAAATGATATATATTATTTCCTTAGCCACACCCGAATGTGAAGCCAATGGCATATGCCAGCTCGATCATGAGTCTGCTGTGCTAGGGCGGCGCGGCGGTGACGGCCTGCTGGGAGCGTCGCCTAGGGTGACGCTGGTCACGTCGCGTACGATCATCTCGGCCACGCGCCAGGCCACTTCCTCCTGGTCGTGTGGCCGCACCAGCCGTCGCATCACCCTGCTGAGGCGCGACTCGCGGCGCGCCTCGGGCTCCGGCTCAAAGTCAGCTTCGAATCGGCCCAACTCGTCGATCCGACCCAGAGACAGGCCGCTGCTGCTGCATCAAGAAAAGCACGCTCATTTCAAAGTAAAACTCTAATTGACCACATATTGGATCACTGCAGGCAATAACCACTCAACAAGTGTGTAGTGCTCATGCCAGACAGTCAATAAATTTGCTAATTACACATTAATGCAAATGCATTTTAAATTTTAAACAATTTAAAAAATAGTCATCAAAAAAATGTTTTTTTTTTTAAATAATTATGTTTAAATTTTAGTTCATTGGCGTGTTTAAAAATTAAAAAAGAAAAACCTCGTGCATTATTGAATAAGCAAAATTTAAATTGTAAAAGAAAGGTCCTCACTTATGTCTGCCTCTCTTCCAAATGCTGTCAGGATCAGAATCGTCCCAGCTGCAAGTGCTAGTCTGTGACGAATCATTGGAATTGCTTGTAGAATTTATGAGACCATTGCTGGCCTGCAGCAAGTCGGCCAAGTACCTCAGGTACAACTGGGATTGCAGGAAATCGGGCAGAAACAGTCGCTCCATGGCAGATAGCGCGATCTTCGCAGCTTTCTCAAAACAATCTGCCGATGGTCCAAATTCCCCACATATCTTTTCCTCAACCTAATTTTCTAGTTAACACTTATAAAGAATTTTTTTCTTCTTTATTTACCTCAAGTCTTATGGGGTCTCCAAAACCCAAGGGCGACGTTGCCTGGAGTGAAAAGTATTTGTCATAAAGCACGACAGCGTCCGCCTGCGCCTCAGAGGGTTCACTCGAAGGGTGTTTTTGAAAGTTGGTGGCCGCCAGCCAAAACTCCAGAAGAGTTCGATGATTATCTTGTTCCATAAACTGCAACGATTTTCATTATTTTTTGTATTTGATTAGAGAAGTTATATACCTCTGTAAAGTAAAAGAGAGCTGATTCATTGAGTAGCAAATCGGCCAGGTGCACTTGGCCGCTGGTAAGCACCTCCACCTGGTGCTGCCGGTAAAACTCTGACTGGAGAAACTCATCAAAATGCCTAGGATATTAAGATAATATTGTTTTAGCTTGCCTAAAATAAATTTTAATATTACTCTTTGAGCAAGACTTGTGAGACGTGTTCTTGGAGAGGATGGAAAATATCCTTGGGAGGCGCTTCCTTCCTCCTTATCACAACTTCGACTGCGTCGACAAGGCCCCGTGAGGCTGAGACCCGCTCAGACGCGCCTTGAGCGAAGAACCTCTCGAAGATGGCGACAGCCGCCTCTGACCGGTCGTCGCTTATCGCCGGGGAAGGCCACGGAGGCGGTCTGCCCTCAAGACGAGCAGCCTCCAGCCAGAACAGCAACAGGGGGGCGGCTCCGCGGGGACGAAGGAACTGCAGCAACAAACTGACCGCCCCTCCGTCGACAAGCACTTCGGCCAGGGTGCGGCATACCCGGGAGCGGCCTGCAAAGCTCTCTGGGGGTGGCTCCTGCTTCAGCAAGTCCTCCACCGACAGCTTGGCCGCCTGCTGAGGGCCTGCTAGAAAAAAAACATGACGGAGGCTGCTTTATATTTTGAGTTTCCAGCTCACCGCTGGAGGCGTGCTTTCGCAGAAAGGTCAGCATCGGAGGCCGCACATCAGTGCCGTGGGCATTATTGAGGGCGTTAGCCCATGCCGAGGTGTGTGGGGACCATTTCTTTGAGCACCTTTGACAACGCACAGAGGGTCAGGGGCAGGTCCAGGTCAGATGAGCAGAACTGCCAACTTGAGCAAAAAGCGCTTACGTGAAAAATGTTAACTACGCAATTTCCAACCAAATTCTCTCAATGATATTTCAAGAGAATTTTAGATTTTAGCTTTTATATTAATAGACTCTTATTTTGGAGTAACACTGGATCTTAATCAATGTAATAAGGGTTATAGAGGAAAAGATAAATTTCTGTACAGTATTTATATTAAAAAAATGCTTCTTTAACAAAACTGAAATAGTTTGAATTCCATAATGACATCAAATTGAAATGATTCCTAGTCAGACACAACTCCCACTACATGAGAAACAAAGCAAATGAACCAACAGACCAAGTTATCAGAAAATCGAATTACTGAATAAATATGCTTACACAGTACGCAATAACTAATATTTAAATTAGTTCGTTCATTCATTCTCAAGAAAAATGGTACATTTTTGAACGACTTTTTTATATGCCTGGTGCCTGGCATCAAGACAGCATAATTAAACATTTTAAGTGTTGAAAGAGTTTATTGCTACGATGCCAACCCCACGGCTGTGCCACAGATAAATTAACTTTTAAAAGCACACTCTTGGGCGAGTCAGTCTGTTTGTACTTTTGGCTGCATGCCTACACCTTTTTGCTGAGGATGCGCGTGGGGATGATGATGCCCTTCTTGCCGGAGGGGGTCGAGATGATTTTCACAACCTGAACAGTGCCTGGCAGAGGCATGTTGTCATTACCCACCTGCAAAATTAGAAGCCATTCTACTGAAGGAAATATTTTATTTTAATTCAATAACAAACCTGTAGGCTTAAAGTGACTGGTTGTGAATCGCCACTGGCATTGTTGCTCAAAACCACCCTATATTGGCTAGGCTCTTCGGTGACAATTGCGGCCACAGTCTCTGCTTCAACCACTGGTTGCTCTGTGCAAACAGTGACAGTTTGGTTGGTGCTGACGGTGGACATGTTGGCTTCGATGGAGTCAAGGAACTGTTGTGCCTGCTCCTCATAGGCAGCGTTTTCATTTTCTTGAGCCTCCCTTTTCAAAATGTACGCACAGAACCGCAAGGCCTTTATTTGCAAATTAATGATGGAAACTTTAAAAAAAAAATTCATTACCTGGCCTATGTCAAAAATGTACTGCGGGTTTTTTGCAGTTCCCTCTTCATAGCCACAGACATATTTGATGGATTCGAGAATAAGTGGCCAGTAATCTATGTGGAAAAGTGAGGCTAGGCTGTCAATGCCTTCATTCATGGCCTGGGCAGCCCGCAAAAGTCGAACTAACTCTATCATCCGTTGAGATACAGCAAGGATCTAAAATGATAAAAAAAAAAAATATAATCAGCTTTTGCAATATTCATATCTAAGTGATTGTTAATTTCAGCACAGCATTTAATTTTTTTCCATTAGTTTAAATAATATATATGTATATTAATTATTAATAGATTTCTGTTGAAAAATATATACATTTATTTTGTAATCAAGTTAAGCTAATTGTTAGTGATTTGAAAGAATAATTACCGTTGCTCTTGAGTGTGGTTGTGTACTCATGTTGACCAGGTTGAGACCAAACTGCTGTATAAGCTGGTCTTGCTGGACGACGCTACAAATTCTGTCTGCCTCGGAGGTCTCTTCAGTAATGACCTCCATGATTTGCGTCTGTTCAGAGCCCGTCTCCACTGTTTCCATGGGTTCCTCATCGGCCATCTCAATGCCTTCTGACACAACCATAACATGTTGTTCCTCCTCCTGCAACTCCTCCACAGGTTCCTGCTCTATTAATTCCTCGTCCGCCGGCGCCTCATCAGACTCAGGTTCAGGTTCATCGACAGGCTCTTGTTTGGTTGCTTTGGGCAATATCGGAGACCCATCCTCTCTCTTGATCTTGGTCTTGGAAGGTGGCGGAGGTGAAAAACGCTGTCTCCATGATGAACGGTTTGGGCGGAGGCGAGTCTTCAACTCTGTAAAAAATAATTTAAAATGCTCCGCACACAAAAAGTTGGTTCAAAGTTAGAAACCAGGTTTTTAAAATCTTCAAGAACTTATCAATTGCAATTCAAAATAAAAGATAAATTTCAAACTAAGAAAAACTCGCTGCAATGCAATCACTGGTAAAATATGGGAAGATTTGCTACAAGCTTTGAATGCTGTGAAGAAGACCCAAATTTAGGCTCTCAGAAATGCCCGAAAAATCGGACAGTAACCCTTATACTGATGATATTTTGCACTGGGAGATCCTCAGGAATGAAAATCAACCCTGAAATACGACCCCTGCACCGGCGGAGGCCGGGTGGACAGTTTGGCGGGCTGGGGGCGTGGAAGGAGGCGTCGACGGGGGCGGAGGTCTTACCTGGCTTTGTTTTGGCCTGCGGACCTTCCGGAGGTGGCTCAAGGGCGGCTGGAGGGTCCGGTGCAAGAGGATCTACCTGCAGGACTTGCTGGACGACGACCTTAGGCCCTTCCTGAGGACAAAATACAGAGGGAGCGTGAACTGGGCGGGGGCGGCAAAGCCAAAGCTCACCTTCGAGGCTTCCAAGCGGCCAGAACGCCGAGACATGACTTCTGAGGGGCCCTCCAAGGACCGAATTAAGTGCCTGAAATTTCGAAGATAACCTCGGACACGACGTACACACCCAGACGCAGCCTGACGCACCGCGGGACGCGCAAAACATAAACAAAATGCCCCACCTCCCTGAAAGTTGTACCAACTTGACAAAGTTGCCGTCGATTTGGCGCCATTTCGAAACTCGTTATAATAATTATGGTTTTAATTATTATTTATATTTATCATTATTATGAACACAGTAAATACAAGTAGAGTTCAAATAAGGTTTTAAAATAAATATTTTTAATAAAAAAGTTTTATACAAAATAAAAAATATGAAATTTTTATATAAAACTAGTTTTTATTGTTATTTTATTTTTTATAACATGAATCAAGGACATCAACGGCTCAACGCATTTATGCTGTATCTTTTTTTTTATGAAATTCTGAATTTTAAGCAAGAAGATTTTAAGTCTGGATAATGGAGGAAAAATGAAATAAATTTCATAATTTTCCGGCTTCTCCGCGCGGTCTTTATCAGCAAAGAACTGCTCAACGATTTGATTGGTGCAATAATTCTGGTTTCCATGGTGACAGCCAATCAATGGCTGAGAGGCCAGTGAGAAAAATAAAAATAAAGTCAGCTGCTCTTTTCTCCTCGCAGACTTTGAGACCACCCAACCCTTCTTCTTTGACTAGAAATTGGTTTTCCAGAGCCGGGTCGACCTCGATGAAGGTCTTGTGGACGTTGACCCTTCTTCTAGGGGTCAGCGCCGCCGCTGACCTCACTGCCATCGTCATCAACAGCCAGTTGGGCGAAAAGTACCTGCAAGAGGTTAATTCTACTGCGGAGATTATTTTCCTCTTCTCCAATGTCAGTCAGGTGCGGATTAATACAAAGTCTATTGATTAAATTTTGTGCTAATACTGCGAATTATTAATGATTAAGAAAAAGCTAATTTGTCTTAAAATCTTTTTGATAAATCAATAATCATAATATTCTCAATACATAGTTGTAAAATATTACAACAAATATAATTTGTCATTTTTTATAATTTTTACAGGGCTTATCTTTCAGAACTGATAAAAAACTTTGTGAATATATGATAATTGATAGGTATCCTCAAAGTCTCCAGCGAGAATCAGTGTTGAGAGCAAAGAGGCCAACTACGAATCTCCTGTGCTTGTGGTTGTCAGACAGCAAAGGGGAGTCTTGTCCTGGCAAATTCCGTATGCCACTGAAAGGTTGTAAAAAATGAAATTAGTGCAATTTTTATTACAACTTAAGTTTTATACAGAGGATCATACACTTTGGTCTCTCGAACACTTTGTCCATCTAGTTTATTTGAAGTGGTGACTGGAGATGGCTCTCAAGAGAATCTAATAGTCAGTGTTTCATCGTCCAGCCACAAAAATGTAAACTTTACAGTGTCCGTGGATATTGAGGTGGGCTTTGAGTTTGGTCTGGATGATGAGAGGAACACCACAGTTTCTCCATCGCAGCCTCGATTCTTCAGTTTCGTTTTTCCTGACAAAGTAAATACCATTTTACTGGAGGCAGAGAGTTCAGACAGTAACTGCATGACCATCTCACTTCAAGAGCGAACAGTAAATCAAACTGAAATTATTACGCTCTTAATCTTTCAGATTATTATTGCAGTGCCCTGTTTATGATTTAGAAGGAACGGTAAACTTTGAAGGCTCATGGCAAACCATGACCAAAAAAGGAGGAATCACCTTAACCGTAAATTTTTAGTATATATATATTTGAAAAAATTTGATGAGTTCTTGATTGTATAGAGAGATAAGTTTCCCAATGGATTTTTCCTGGTCCTGGTGGTGCATGGCGATGACTCGGCTTGTCTGACAAACACCCCTTTGGAGGCACCGTCCAGACACAAAAGTGTTTCTTTCAGTTTGAGAAAGAAAATTTCTTATGACGAATACTTGGTTGCAACATTTGGAGCGTTTGGCGTTTTTGCTGTGTTCTACGTCATAGCTTATGTTGTGGCTGTATTGCACCAAATGAGGTGTGATTTTGTATCATATTTTTCTGGAAAATAATTAATGAAATGCAAATTAAGTCGTCGAAGACGAAGAGAAGCAGCTGCTAACAGTGCAGGGGAGTGTCTCCTTGAAACTCATGCAGAGCAGGAAACGGACGTTGACCCAAAAAGCAGGGAAGAAAAGTTGAGAAGGAAAGTCAAGTAAGTTGAAATACTTAAAAACCAATTCATCCATTTATATTGGAATTTTTAGTGCCGGGGAGTCTGTTTTTGTGAGCGATATGTCAAGATCAGGTAGCGTTGAGCTTCGAAGATCTGCTCAAAAGTATTTGTGGAATATTCTCACCGTCGCTACATTTTACGGTCTGCCTGTGGTACAATTAGTCATCACTTATCAGCGAGTCCTCAACAACACCGGGAATCAGGTAAAAAAAAGGATAATTCTTCTGGAAAGTCCATAAAATTTATAATTTTTCAGGATTTGTGTTTCTACAATTTTCTCTGCTCGCACCCAGTGTCTGTTTTGTCAGACTTCAACCATGTTTTCTCGAACTTAGGCTACGGGCTATTGGGGCTTTTATTTGTGATGCTTGTTTTTCGAAGGGAGAGACGCCACCTGAAGGCTGTGGCCCTCAACCCTGCTCTCGACTCGGCCCTCGGCCTACCTCAGCAGTTTGGACTGTTTTATGCATTAGGAGCAGCATTGATTGCCGAAGGGGTGCTCAGCGCCTGCTACCATGTCTGCCCAAACCAGACCAACTTCCAATTCGGTAATTTAATCATGAAAGAATGAGTACTCTTTAAAATCATTCAATCAATAAGTGCCAGAAGTTAAAATAAAGGTATATTATTTATTTATTCATCAAATTTTATAAATCCCTTCCATTTTATGTAATATTTATTTTTTATTATTGTCCAGGTTAAAATCAAAGTAAACATAATTTTTTTACCTTTTCTTGTATAATAGATTAAAGCATCTTCTTTTTTTTCTTATTGCCCCCGTTAGCTTATTAGGCCATTGGGTTGGTCTCGTGCCGTAGTTGAGCATCCTTGGCATGATCGTGCTTCCCAACCAACTTTCTTCTTATAATCAATTTATCCAATTTATTTAGACACGAGCTTCATGTATGTCATTGCTATGATGTGCATGCTGCGCATATACCAGAACAGACACCCTGATATTCACGCCAGCGCCTACACCACCTTTGCCCTCCTGGCTGTGGTCATCCTGATTGGAATGTGCGGCGTCCTGACCGGCACCATCGTCTTCTGGAGCATTTTCACCACGGCCCACTTGACCTTGTGCCTCTTGCTGAGTGCCCAGGTGTACTTCATGGGTTGCTGGAGCTTTGACCTGGGAATCCCTGCCAGGGTATGGGCGGCCTACACCCAGCCAGGCCTTACCTGCAAGGCTAGGTTCCTCCCCGTCTACCCTAAAAGGATGGCCCTGCTCATTTTAGGTACAAAATTTCTCTCGATTTTAATTCAGCTTTACAATTTTTTTGCTTCTATATATAGGAATTCTGGTGAATGTGGGCCTGAGCGTGGTGGGCCTGGTGTACAGGCCAAAAAACTTTGCCAGCTTCCTGCTTGCCATCTTTATGGCCAACTTGAACATCTACTGTTGGTTTTACATCATCATGAAGCTGGTGCACCGAGAGCGAATCAGCTGGCCGTCGCTTTTCCACATTTTGGCCTCTTTTGTCCTTTGGGGTCTGTCCCTCTTCTACTTTTTCCATCGCAACATATCCTGGCAGGAGACACCCGCGCTCTCCAGGACTTACAACCACCCCTGCGACCTTCTTGATTTCTATGACTACCACGACGTGTGGCACTTTCTCTCGGCAGCCAGCATGTTCTTTTCATTTATGGTAATAAATAATATAAAAACCGATAAAAACTGCAAATATCTTAAAGATTTTGTTTACTTTCAATTCCAGGTGTTGCTGACTCTAGACGATGACCTACGATTGGTACCCAGGACGCAGATTAGCGTTTTCTAAAAATGTGATGCTTCAGCCCTAGTCGACTGCACCTTTCAAGCCTTTTTTTTATAAATAAATCCTAGAAATAGTTGCTTCACATATTAATAAATCATGTGAAGTTTTTTACCTTTTGATTGACCAAAAGTAATAACTTTTAGAAGTTTATGATGTATCGATATGTTTAAAATAAGCCATTTAGCATATAAGATAAAGTATGAACAAAAACCAAATGGTAACCTATGTGAGGCTCTGGTCAAATAATGGAATTATTTTGTCTTTTAGTAAAAATTAATTTGCAATTTACTTCGATATCTGCAGACAAGATGTCGTGATTTAAGTGAAATAAAGGAAATGTAAAGTCTACTTAAATTGCAATATATAGTTTGCTTTATAAAAGCCTGCATAAAAAAGTTTGGATCATTTAAAAATGAATTTTATGTTTTGAAATTACATGCTGCTTCTAACATCTATTTTAAAAATAAATTATACAGGGAAGAAATTTTTTATAGCCCGTGTATTTTTTAATGCTTTTCAAGAGAACTATGAGAGCTATTGTTTTTAGCCAATATTAGCTTTTATACACAAAATCCCTATGAATTTAGAGACCTATTTTGCTCACGCTGTTTTAGCGCTGCGATTTAAAAAAAATGTGGTTTGATCGTACTGATTGGCTACTGATTGAATCCCAGCAGCTGCCTGCCGAGTGCCGATAACTCCTTGGCCGATAATGTAAACAAGAGGCTGATCGCCGCACTCGATTTTACCGTGCTGCTGCTTATCGAGAAAGCTGTCGCGGCGATTAGCCCCCAACACGCAAGACACGTGTGTTCGTGTTCGGTGATTTTGTAGCTTAAAATTTTTTTGAATTTCATTCGGCTTTCGGTTTCGATTCGACTCGTCGTGATGGGGAAGTACAAAAATAAGAGGCAATTAAAGCAAAGGTCAAGGTTGAGGAGCCGACTGGTCTTCCGAGTGTGAAGCAGGAAGGTGAAAAAGCAGGAGGACGAGGTTTGTCTGCCTGTGAGACCTTCAGCACAAACTACCCTGCCTGCTCTTGTGCAAGAGGTATTGAAATTTTTGTTTTATGCAAGGATCTTAGATCCTTGGTTTTATGTAATGCTAAGCAAATAATGAGACTAAGAAATCCTTTTCTTCCAGTTGACCCAAAGGTTCTGATGATGGAAAAGTTCGGGCGCTGTTGGGCATTTCGTGTTTGGAAAAAGTCGAGCTGGACAGGCGGAATACTCTCAGGTCCATGGCACCTTTGCTCTGCGATCCGTCCAACAGTTTTAAAAGTAGCCTAGCCACTGCCTATTCCCTCAGGTATAAATTTAGCATTTCAACCCGTTTTGAAAAGTTTTAAAGGAAAGTTGACAACTTTCCGCTCCTGGAAGAATGATTTATATTTTGATGAAAAGGTGTTTGAAATTTAATTTAATTATCTATGAACTCTGAAAACTTTATATCAACTATAAATAAAGAGACGCAATAAAGTCTATTAAAAAGTCTAATGAAAGCGAATTTTTGCTCAATGAGCTAGTCGTGATGACATCACAGCATAGAAACCAAGACACTCCCACAACTGCGTTAATTGTTATTTTTTAATAAAGAAGCGGCAGTTGTTGCCGCAGTTGCTTGGGTTTGTTCGTTTGTTGCAGTTCGAATCCACTTCTTTCAGGTGCTTGCTTACAGGTCAAATTCTTGTCATTTAAAATTTTTTATAATATATTTAATCATTTAATGGAGAATTCAAGGTATATTATTTTAACTTTTGATGCTTGGTGCAATAAATTCTCGATCGCGACATTTGATCTTTACTACTTTATCGTTTCTTGCGCAAGGCGCGCAAGAATTCTGACGAATTGATTTTTAACGGTTTTTTCGCAAGAATTTTTTTTTATATTTGAATTCTCACAATATGTTTTTTTTTAGTGATTCGTGTGCATAAATCATTGTGCGAGAATCGCTGAAAAACATGATATTGCGAGAATTAAAATGCAAAAATTCGCGTGAGAAACGTTTAAAAATTATTTATTTTAGCGAGAATTTATTTGAATGTGATTAGAATTTTAGCTTGAGAAGTTTTTACTGCGATTTTTTTTAAATAATGAGACTACACATTGCTCTGTCGCCGGGAGCGGAGAGAAAAATAAAAAAAAGTTTTGTATTAAATAACGTTTTTGCGTACAACTGGGGTGCAATGCAAACACCCTTCTCAACACGAAATCCTGCGGCCCCCGGCCGACTTGCAACCCTTTTCACTCACAGTCCCAGCATGAGAAATCACTCAGGTTCCCCCGAGAAAAATCCGCCTGGAGTCGGTATCGAACCCACTATCTCCGGGATGGAGAGCAAGCGCATTATATACTCCATACTTAGATGATTAATTATCCTCATCTTCATTCAAGAGCTTAGAACGATCGCGAATATACTTTGTTCGAAATTAATTTAATGATGAAGATTACTACCACAAATTACACTTTAAATGAGGCGGTTGTCCTACATAAATATCGTCAATATTTAATTCTTTGTTTTTATTCTCGATTATATTATGGATTTGGTATCGTCCGATCCGACTCTAATTTTCGCTATAATTACACCACAGACTAAACTCTCTAGTCATGAAATCTGCGATTCCACAGACCACAGACCGCTTTTGACTTGTTCTAGGCGATATTCGGCTCCCTCGAGAGAGTGAGAAAAAGAGCGGGATTAAAAATTATAATTTTTTGTCTTCAGTGGCATCATTTAATCTTCGACAGTGCAGTATGCTTGGAACCTGTTAAAAATTGACGTTTTTTTATATTTTCAACTTATTGATTGAAGTAGTAACATTTTATTATAATCAACTGTTGGTGTTAAGGTTAAAAAGCAAAGGAATATGACTCTGTGCTGTGTTTTTGAATTTTTGAAGCCAATAATATTAATTTTTTGTTTGTTTAATGTCTAATCAAAGAGCAAGAACAGACAAGTATGGGAGCATGGGAGTGTGCACGTGTGTTCTCTATGTGCATTATTATAAAATCAATACTCTAATGTTTAACATGGAAATTGTATTAGTTTTAGTGTGTCGATTCGCTGCGTTTGTTATGAGGTCATCCATGAACCGGCACAAAGCTGGCATTTTCGAGAGACAAGGAAAGGCCACAAGATCATCGGTGGCGGCGGAATCCACAAACATCTTCCAGAATAAAAAAGTAAGTAAGTCGTAAGTAAAAAGTTCGTTTCCGTATATAATATTCTGACCCTTTTTGCCTTTTTTTTTATTCTTATTGAAATATCTTTTAATCTAAAAATAATGCCATTCTGAATTTTTCCTACCAGATGTAGAATTTCATGGGCAACATTTTTTTCTATATTGCGGAAAAAATCTGAGATACGCTTCTTTGAGAAAATTGACCTAGAAAATTAAAAATGCATTTTACTGACCTTGACCTTTGACCTAGGTATTTTTTGTCAACGGAAAAGTTGTTCAAAATTAAAAAATAAGTCTAGTAGTGAAAACCGCATTGCTCTAGGCTGCTTAGAAATGATATAACAGAAAAATGTGAAAATACCGCATATCGGAAAAACGCATCTTTTTAATTTTAAATTAAAATAACTAAAAAACTAAGATATACGCCATCGCAAATATTTCGGACCAGATGTAGAATTTCGCGGGCTACATTTTTTGCATTTGCTAAAAAAATATCAAAAATACGCTTCTTTGAGAAAAATGACCTCAAAAACTAAAAATGCATTTTAATGACCTTGACCTTTGACCTAGGGCAATTTGGTCAACAGCAAAATTGTTCAGAATAAAAAGTTACCTACTATAGTGAAAACCAAATTGCTCTAAAACTAAGAGGAGCAAAGATATAAGCATTTTTGAGTTTTTCAAAAAACCCGAATATTTCAAAAAGTAATAAATATTTTGGTCTAAAAATTTGGTCAAAGTAGTTTCTCATCAACCCTAACAACATATCTAAAAATCAGAGTGGTGCTCGTAACAAAAAAAATCTGTCCAATTTATCTTAAATCATTCGTGAACGGCCCCAAGTATTATTTTTTTCAATAAATTCCTTTAAAACATCAAATTTTGTCAGGAGGGGCCAAGCTGAAGGGCAAATGCCCTCAATGCCAAGAATTTGTATTCAGCTTCATCTCTGTCAAAACATATTCGGAGATGCTTCCCTCTCAATCAGCAGGAAGGGGAAGTAATTGTCAGGTAAGTTAATCTAACTAATATATATTTTTACTATACATTTTCTGCTCTCTAGAGTTACATATGATCATCTATTAGTGCCCATTGAACAACAAGTGGAAGTCGTCGGTGAGAACCTGCATTGGCCAGAGGGAGACGTGCTTGTTGCGTGCTTTTCTAGACCGAGCAAGCCCATAATGCAGCTCACATGGCTGTATAAGTTATAATCCTCTGATAAACAATTTTTTTTAACATACTTTTTATTTTCTAGCACCGGATGATGGGCCCTATGATTGAAAACTAAGAGCAGACTGTTGTCACAGTACTTAATTTCTATGACTACCATGACGTGTGGCATTTTCTCCTGGCAGCCAGCATATTCTTTTCATCTATGGTAATATAAAAACTGCAAATCCCTTTAAGATATGTTATTTACTTTGAATGTTTCAATTTTAGGTATTGCTGACTCTGGACGATGACCTAAGATTGGTACCCAGGACGAAAATTAGCAAATTCCTTTGATGCTTCAGCCCTAGTCTACTGCACCATTGAAGCCTTTTTTTATCAACAATCCAAAAAATTAACAAATTGATTAATGATGTGAAGTGTTTTTTACCTTTTGATTGATCAAAAGAAATAATTTCAAGAAGTTTATGATATATTGGTATATTTTAAAATAAGCCATTTAGAATGTAAGATTAAGAATTAATAAGCACTAAAAAGTAACCTATTTGAGGCTGTGATCAAATAATGTAATTATTTTGTCCTTTAGAAAATGAATTTATTGAATTTGCAATTTTCTTCCATATCTGACAAGAAGATGTGATTTAAGTATAATAAATATACAACGTAATGTCCACTTGAAAAGCAATACAATAGTTTGCTTTATGATGCAGTGAATAAAATTGGACCATTAAGAAGTGAATTTTAGATTTTGAAATTTTATAATGCTTCTTGGGTCTCTCATTAATTTAAAAATTAAAATACTTTGGGAAGTAAATTTTTTTAGCACGTGTACTTTTAATGCTTTTTAAGAGAACATATTAGAGCTATTGCTATTATACACAGAATCCTAATTTGGAATTAACGGGAATTAATTGACTTATTTAGCTCACGCCGTTTTAGTGCTGTGCTTTTAAAATTGTGTTTCGAACGTTCTGATTGGCTACTGACTGGATCCCCCAAAATCCCCACCACTCCTTGGCCTCTCAGCAGCTGCCGAAGTAAACAAAACGAAACGCGAGACACGTGTGTTCGGGGAATTTGTAAAATCTTTACAAATTTTTTTGAATTTGATTCGGTTTTTGGTCCGACTCGTGATGGGGAAGTACAAAACTAAGAGGCAAAGCAAGGCGAAGGTTGAGGAGCCGACTGGTCTTCCGAGTGTGAAGCAGGAGGTGAAAAAGCAGGAAGACGAGGTTTGTCTGCCTGTGAGACCTTCAGCACAAACTACCCTGCCTGCTCTTGTGCAAGAGGTATTGAAATTTTTGTTTTATGCAAGGATCTTAGATCCTTGGTTTTATGTAATGCTAAGCAAATAATGAGACTAAGAAATCCTTTTCTTCCAGTTGACCCAAGGTTCTGATGATGGAAAAGTTCGGGCGCTGTTGGGCATTTCGTGTTTGGAAAAAGTCAAGCTGGACAAGAATACTCTCAGGTCCATTGCACCTTTGCTCTGCGATCCGTCCAACAATGTTAAAGTAGCCGCTGCCAATGCCCTCAGGTATAAATTTAGCATTTCGACCATGTCTTTTTTTGTTTATTCCAAACTTTTCATTCCAAAGAATGCTCGTCATGAGCGGAGGATCAAAGGTGGCCAACGAAATGATTGCGGACGACATTGTGACTCCTTTAGAGACTGTGCTGAATAAAACTGTTAGTTAAGTTTCTAACTGTATAATAGCAAATTAACACCATTTTATTATTATTCTTTTTCAGTATGCAGAACTTTTCTCAGGGAAATCCTTAGTGGAGGACGATGTTAAAAAAGAAATTCTCATTTCTGCCATCAAATTACTCTGGACCCTAAGGTATGTCATAATGATTTTGGGAGAGCAGCTATTTTTATATAAAATTGTATAAAATCTGAATAATTTCAGTGAGAACAGTGAGATGGCCGTGCAATTTGCATCAAGACCTAAAACCATGAACGTTTTGATAAGTTCTGCTGAATGTTCGGACAATGGTCTTGCACTTTCTGCTGGCAAGTTTTCAATTCTAATTAAGTGGTTTGAATTTTCAATTATAATTTTTTTCTAGTCCAATGCCTGCAAACAATCTCTGAGGACAACACATCAGTCATTACTCAACTCTCTAAGAGGCAAGATCACATGCTTAGTGTATTGATTCAAGAGAGTGATGCGCCAGAAATCATCCAGTTGCAAACAATTTTTGCAAGTAAGTTTTTTATTGACCAAAAAAATATTGTTAAATAAGGTGCCTATGAATTTGTGATTTTAATCTACAATTTGCTGCCTTGTAATAATTTAATTAATTCTTTGTATTTTAAATTCTTATATCTAGTTTTTTTCTTCTAGGTTTATTGGTTAACATTCATAATGGACTTATTAGCCGAGTTTTGCCTGCCACTCTGATAGCAGTTGTTGCGACTCTGACTAATTGCCTCAAGAAAAATACAATTGCTCAGTTGGAGTCATCAAGTAGCATTGGCAAGGGAGAAGAAATGGACCAAGACATCGGTGGAGAAATGGACAATGACGAAGATGACAAGAGTGAAGCTGAAGCTCAAAATAGCTCAAAGGGATCCTCGAATGAGCTTTATGTCAAGCAGATTTACAGCATTGGCCTGCTGATAGACGCCCAGGTGTGCGCCCTTGAGACATTGGCCAACATTTGCACTAATGATGGTTTGAGCAATATATTATAAGATTTACTTAACGAAGATTAAATTTCTTAAATTTTAAATTCTGCAGATGATGATGAAGCGATGGAATTGTCAGAAAGTAGTGAAGAGGCATTCAGCGAGACTGAACTGGAGGAAGAGCTAAGCAGCAACTTCCAATCTCTCAGTCTTCCTCCCACCCTTCCGCCAGAGGTGGTCGAAACTATCCTGAAGAGCGAGGTGTTGGCCTTGATTATGGAAAAGGCAAAACCTCTGCCTTCGGAACTGATCTCCAACCTTGGTCCCTTTGTAGAGGAGGAAGACATCCCAAACCGGCTGAGGCGAGTGCAGACAAGGGCCCTCCTTTGCCTACACAACCTGGTGAGGGGGCTGCCCCTTGAAGGCCTGGGAGGAGCCCAGCAGCTGCAAAATACTTGGAAGTCATTGGCCCTCAAAATTGTCACAGGTAAAAAATAATTACTTAAAATTATATCCAGGTTGTCAGTATTTAATATTTTAAGAGTGGAACAATGACCCTGAGCTGCTTGAAGCCGCCAGTACAACCCTGAGGGCACTCTCAACTAGATTGGCAGAGGAGAAAAGTGGCACAAAATTGATTGAGGAGATTTCCTCCACAGACCTAGTCAGTCTGTGCCAGCTGGCTGAACAGAGCCAGGATACAAGTGTCCGGATAAACATTTTCAGGGTTCTGTCCAGTATCTCTGCCATAGCCAGTGACAACTACTCAGACAAAACCTCACCTTTAATTTTGGTAATTATTTTAGATGGAGGAAAGAATTTTATTATATTTTCCCATCAGACTGCAGGTAGATTCCTGCTTGAACAGAGTGGAAAAGAGACAGACATTGTGGTTGTAGCCGAAGCTCTGGACGCCTTGATGGACGCCCTCTCTGAAGACTGCACTGACGGAGCGTGTGCGGAAATGCAACTGGTGCAACGCCTCCAGTCCATGCTGCCTTCTCTACAACACAAGGTATCTTCATATAACAATTTATGAATAAAGCAATTTTATTATTATAATTATCGCTTATTCCAATATAGTTAAAAAAATGGGAAAATTGAAAAAAACTGTAACTTATTTTGGTCACTTTCTATTTCAGATTCGAAGCCAGAGAACAAAAATGCCGGTTGGAAATCCTGTTGTGAAGACAGTAAAATCAAATTTGACAAGATTCATCAAATATAAAGCCAAACGTTGTATTTGATTGTTTATGTATCATATGTATCAAGCAATCATAATTAAAACTAAAATTTAAATTGAAAAACTTTTGATTTTAAGTTGTTATAATGGTCCTCTTTTTTTTAATAAAAATTTTCTTTTTACAGCAATGCCAAACAAACTATATTAAAAAAAGTTAAGATTTTTTAGCATGACCTATCCATTTGATTTACGATAAGAACTTTCTAGATGCATTTATAATTTTCTGCAAATTTTTTGTTGAATTCGCCTAAAATTCCTAAATAAATTTCCTTGAATTGCATTATTGCAAGGAAATCACATGAATTCTTCAAGAGATTCCCCATGAAATTATATCAATTACTGTGTAAAAAGCCGAAAATTCATTGAATGAAAATCATATTAATCGGAATAAAAAGGAAGTTCTCCGATGGCAGTGCCGCAGTCAAAACAAAGAAATTGGGAATGGTATAAATTATTATTTATTAAATTTTCCACATCAAGACTAGGCGCAAAACAGAAAAATCTTGAGCGTGAGCGCAAAATTTTTAACCGCATCTATATATGTGCGTTCTATTAAAAAAGCTGTTCTGGTTATTTGCGTTTTTTGTTCATTATTATCCTATTATCCATTACCCTTGCAAAAAAAAAGAGAAAAAAACAGCATATTATACATTATAATTTGCTACTCCATTCCATACATAAATTTTTAAAATCATTTTTGTTCTGCATTGTACTATCTATTAAAGAAGTGTACTACTTTATTTTGTCTTATCATGAAGAGAGCACTCGTAAAATTTTGACTAAAAAACTTGCATAATCACTTGTCAAGATTGAAGATCTCTTTGTCTTTTAGTGCATACGTGATGAGACAAGCGGGGTTTTTCAATGATTATGTAAATAAAAGGAAAAAATGTAATTGATAACACATCAGACGTGTGTGCGCGTGGGAATAAAAACCCAGACTGGCCGCACGAGAGAGAACAGTCATATTATATATATTTAATTCTTCCGATAGTTCCGATCAGTAAAGAGGCGCAAGTAAGTTGCTGTCTTATTTTTCACAAAAAAAATTAATTTTTACTTTAAAGTGTCCCAATCCAATCTGGTGTTGGCCATTATTTTGGCCTGCGTGAGCGCAGTGGTCATTAGCCAGGTGGTGGTGCCGGGTCCATGTCCCGATCTCACCGTGCAGCAGAACTTTGACATAGACAGTGTAAGTTAAAAAGAAAAGATTGAATTTAATATATTAGACTTTGTTTTTTTTTTTACTTCCCTCAGAGGCAATTAGGTCGAGTCGATTGTTATAATTATTACATATTTAATTTTCTGAAATGCAGTATCTGGGCAAGTGGTACCAGCAGAAGGTTTACAACGTCTCGTTCGAGCAGGGCAGGTGCGACTTTGGCGAGTACCTGGACAACTTTAACGGCACCTACACCTTTATTGAGAACGCCATCAGAGTCTCGTAGGTTTCCATACACCCCGAAAATTTATTCCTATGGAATACTTAAAAGATTTTTTTCGGCAGAAATGGAGAATTCCTCCAAGATTACGCATTAGCTGAGATAGTCGGCGAGAACGGGGAGGCCAAACTGACCATTACACATTACGCAGAAACCGGAAGTACTTTTAATCTCTGGTCACCTTTTGAGCACAGAAAAGCTATATTATTTCTTAATTTCCACTTCCAGTACCGGCTGACTACTGGGTCCTCGGCACTGATTACGTCAACTTTGCCGTCGTCTGGTCCTGCAGAGTTGAAGGCACAGACTCTTTGAGTAAGTGGGTTGTAAACGGTTTTTGCGATTTTTTTTAATATTTCCATCTTTTAGGACTGTCATGGATTTTGTCTCGCGAGCGCCAGGCCAGTAACGAGACGCTTCAACTGGCCTATGAGGTGGTCAGGGCCAACAATCTCACCGAAGTCTACAAAACCACCGACCAGGAAAATTGTAACAACTAATTTTTTAAATAATGCATATACAATGACACCATAATATCAAGAGAAAAAATAAATTAAATTGACGATAGCTATAAAGTAGAAAAATTTCAATATATTCCTATTTTGAAAATATTGTTGTCATAACAATTAGAGTAAATTTTAAATTAGTTGGATATCAAGAAGAAAAAAAATCATTTTGTATGCTTAGAACAGTTGAAACTGTAAAAAAATTGATTATTGACCTGACCACCAAAATATGACAGTTATGGAGTTACCCACTATGCTAGGCTGGTGACGCTGGAGATATGCAACCTGCTTGACTCGTAAGTCAGGCAGATTGCAGCATACGCCTCACCAAGAAAGAACAGAGCGATCATCCTCAAAAACTTGATATATCATTAAATTTAAAACTAGGCAAATTCCTTAGAAGAAAAATTCAATTTTTGATCTAGTTAAATATTTTTAAGAACTTCAGTTGTAATTTAAAATTGGATTTTCATTTTGATTACATAAAACCAGGAGATTGGATAGAAATTTATAATTGTCTACAAATTATACATCTCAGAATTGTTATAACTCAATTCAGTTAACTAAGGTATTACACCAACAAGTAACTTATACTACCGTGAGTTTATGTTTAGTTTAAAAATCTTTTTGCAGCAAAATGCCACAGACATAATTTATTTTTTATTCATCACTTTCTAGTTCATGAAAATATATCACATACAACAGTGCAGAACAATGCTTTTTTTCAATGAGTTATCACGCGTGCAAAAATGCAATTTACAGCTACAAGAGCAGTTGCACATATTTGCAATAATCTGGTTAAATTTTTTGGTGCGGCACTGCAGCGAAATTCAAATGAGAGTGACTTTTCACAGATAAACGTTAATTTTATGATCTTTATCTGATTATTGAGATTATTTAGTAAATTAATAATATAAATACGTTAACAAACACAAAATTATGAAAAATAAATCATTTATACCAAATCTGATTCTATCAAAACACATATAGCTTCACTGCCATGGTAACTTCCCTTGATTTATGCAAAGTAAGAGGCTCCCACACAAACAGCTCATCGCTGATGCGCGGTTGCTTGTTTTCGCCTGAGCACCTGCACTTTGAGATAGACATAGGGTGGAAATTCCCTGTGTATAATCGTCACCGCACAACATACACTCGACTGTGAAATACGGTTCAAACAACATAGATTTACAGGAACACAAGCATTATATTTTGGTCAATTCAAGTATCCCGAAACTTTGCATGTTCTCCCCACCCTCAAATAAAAAAATTCTGCACCATGGAAACTTGGAAACATACAAATTCTGGTTTCAGTTTTGGTTGATTTTGATTTCACTGCAAGTTTATATGCCTATGGGTCCTGCGGTTGGAGCAGCGCGTGTTGATTCCATTAGAAATTGTTAGAAACGACAGGCAGGAGAGACTCGCATGGAAACGCGCTGACTGAAGTGATTATTTTGACTTGTGCGAGTGTCAGCACTAATTTATTCCTCTCACTCTATCTGTTGGTGCTTTATTGCTCTAGTTGCTGGCTGTCGCAAATTTGAATTAATTGCCTGAGAAATGCTGCGTGGCGAATTTGACGTTAACAGTAGAAGTGAAATCTGCTGTCTCTTGCCACAAAATATATGAGATAAATTTAAAATAGCAAATGACTGTGTAGAAAAGTACTGGAAATCAAGATAGAGTGAATCACCCATCAAAATGTTTCTGCTTAAATCATTTCCTTGTTATTTTCATTCTGTGAACGTTGCGCCCTGAGGCTACATATCACAAAAATGACTTGACTCTCGTTTGCGGTTTGTTTTTCTTATTGAATAATGCATTATTTGTGCGGGGGTGTAGTTTTGCGGGATTGACAGCTGGATTTCGGGGGTCGGCCGCAGGACTCGTGCGACTGAAACAACAAAGCAAACAGAAAAAGTAGAAAATAATTGAGATGTGAGTGGAGTGGGCAGATGTTATTTCCGGCAACTGCGATGCAATTCCTAACCAGTATTGTCTCACGGATAAAATATAATTGCGAGTTATTGCTTTTTCCAATAGTTCAATTCAAGAATTTAAAAAAAAAATACGACGGACAAGAGACTGGGCATATAAAAACAATCCATGGGCGCAACTGCTTACCACAAATTTGAATACTGGTTTTGTTAGAGTTGGGCGTCTATAGCAGTGCTAATTACTCATTACTATGCTTGCCACTGGTTTCTCTACACAGCATTTTCAATATTAATAGGATGCGTGAAAAAAACTTGTTTGTTTGCGTTTGGCAGTTTTGCATAGGCAAACAATCGTTTCCCACAGAGAAAATATAAAAAATTCGGGAAAAGTTTTTGCGGATCCGAGGATGCTTTTTTCTGAAATTGAGGCTTTTTATTTTTTGCAATGGAGAAAGTAGAACTATAAACTAGAGATTTGTGCTTAGACGTGCCCACAGACAGGGCAATAAATAACTTCGTCTTTTTGATTTTCCTTCCTGATGCTCGTTCCTTTGCCAGATTGATTGATGAGATATTTGAGATCGCAATCCACTGATCTGTTTATGATTCGACGGGTATCAAGGCACAAGTCAAAAGCTTCTCAAGTTATATACCTCATATAATACTAGGGCATATTTCTTGTATATTCAAATCCTGCTTTTACTTTCAGATGCATGCGACAATGGCATGGTATAATGTAAATTTTTTTACATGTATTAATTGGCCACACACGCGCGCATTGTCAAAACAAGTGCCGAAGGGTTGAATACAATTTAAAAAAAATATATATATATATAAAGAAAGTAAGTTTGAAGCAATCAGTTGAAAATGTAAACATAAATATTAATGATATTGATAAAATTCCTTTATTGCCCTTTTAAAAAGTTTAAAAGTTTAACGACTTAATTAATATGAAAAACCAAGGTATATTTGAAAAAATCACTCCAAGTAGTTTCGGCTCCAGGCCATCATGCTGGTTGTGATGGCGTAGATCTTGTCTGGCGTGTACTCAAAAATCTTAGCGTCAAAAAGAAGGTAGAGGCGGCCGCGGAGCACCGGCACGACGACCTCATCCAGCACCGACGAGTAAACGGCCGAGGCTGCGCAGAGGGAGCGGCCGATGGCCTGCACATCCTCGGGGTACACAAAGTCTTCGTCCTGGTCGTCATCGAAGGTGTCTTCAAGGGCCCTAAGCGAATCAATCGCCTCCTGGTGGCGGAAGGAGAAGTGAAGAGCGCTGCAGCCCAGGATGGCCCACACGCCGTTGAGCAGCTGGACGAGGACGCCGCTGTGCAGGGCCTGCACAAGTCCACGGACGGTGCACGCGCGACCAATCGGGACGAAAACGACGGAGTCGTGGACGATGAAGCGCAACATTATGCCCTGGGTATTGACGTCCGGTTCAGGGTCAGCCTCCCTCTCCTCAGCCAACGACCGCAGGAGCGCCTCCCTGCCCTTCTTGTAGGTCTCGCAGAAGGAGGCCAAAACCTCATCATAGATACAATTCATGATTTTCCTCTGCGATTGTCCAATAAAAGCAGTTTTTTGTTTTGAATCGGCTCAGATTTCTGTTTGTTGCAAAAATCGCACGATTTCACACAACTTTGAAGCGCTGTTTGTAACAACTTAATTTACATTCAGAAGAAGAAAAAACTTTTTTTGTTATTTTCGTATCCAAAAATATTTCTACTGAACGTTTTGGTCAATTTTTCCAACATTTTTCCTTCCATTTTTGCTCTTTTGGCCTATTAAAGAAAAAGAGAACTTTTAACTTCATAGTACATACAACAATGAGTAAAATCAAACAATTGACGATTTTATGTTTTTCCTTAAATTCGTGAATTGCATCAGAAAAAAATAGATTTTGCAGTAGGCTGGGCCGGTTTTTTTTTACCAAAAAATGTGTCACGTGGGTTGGGTGTAAAAGTAAATACACGTCGCTACTATAGAGTCAGCGAAACTTTTCGCTCGGAATTGTGCGAGACTAACATAAACACGTGCCGTGTTAGTGGATAATGTTTTGCTGCGCGTGGAGCCGTAATATAATTTTTGATAGTCCTCTATGGACGACACACGCGTGGACCGACTTGCAGTAACTCCCTATCAGCACAAAATCGCATCAAACCCGCCATTCCGCCATGGGCAGTAAAATATACTTCTTGCTTTCTTGCTCTGCAGGAAAAATGATAAAAATTTTGACACAAACTTATTACATGATTTTTTTTATGAAAAGTTTCAACAAAAAATTTTTAAATTTAAATTTGTATCAATGAGAGATTCCATCATTGGAAAAATAATTTAAAATTCCTTGAAGAATTATTTCCTTTTTGTATCAAGGCTTATAATTCAAAATATTACAATTAAAGTTTGGCTTTCTTCTCTCGCTATCAATACGTTCGCCTTGAAATTGGAAAAACACGATTCATTCTCATGTGAGATTATTCCCACGCCTTGTATGATCAAAAAAGGTCACTGCAAATCGGCATAATGTTTCTCTTTCCATTTTCTGACCAGTCTGACACTAAAGGGTCTCTTCGGAGCCAAGAACTAAACCGAGATGTAATGAAGACGAATGTCTGACACGAGTGTGGGAGTGTAACATCTGCTTGGCGTCCCTTTCGACTGCAGGCAGATGGAGCAAAGTAGGTGTACGTCGACGTGACCTGAAATCCACTGTCGCCAACGCGTTGGTTAGGCAACCCGCCCGACAACGTGCGTGGGCACACAATAACGAAACGGGATTTGCACCCCACGCATGTTAACACGCCGCCGTTTCCGCACAGAAAAGACGCGTTCAAATATGTGCGTAATAAAAATTTCAATTTCAATTTGTAAAATGCCAGTTAGAGACGACATTTATTTCTTCAAGACGCAGAATATGAATCAAGAGATAAATTGTAAGTATTAAAAATTATAAAAGAAAGAAATAAAGAATCGCCATTTGGATTTGATAACAAAAATTGATCTCTTTACCGTTAGAAATATAGACTATTTTCTAATTCTTGCAAAAAAATTGTTAAATCTAATTTAATTGAACGTGTACAAAAGAGATTCACAAGCAAATAAACTGACTTTTTTAAACAAACTATAGAGAGCCAAGCAGC